CATATTCTCATCCAAGCCCAGTGTGGTGGAGAGAAAATGAGAGAACGAAGCTTCTGTCATAAAATCCGCATCCAGGTTCCATTCTAGCCGATTAACTTTATCCTGGACGAAGGGCCGATTCTCGTCTTGATGCGCCTCGCCGATGGCTCTGAGGTTAACCAAAAGTTTGATGACTGGTCTGAGCTGGCCATCCATCTCTTCTTGGAAGACCCAAGACTGGCCTGTAGATGCTTTTGGCCCATCGGGCTCGATCTGCATGGCGGCAGTCAGGCTATCGCCTGCTCGTGACGAAACCTTGGCATCAATTTCCAGCAGAGTAATCTTGGTTGGAACACAGGGAGCGTTGGACACAAACTTCTTGAAAAGCATCCCACTGAGCTGGTGAATAGCATCGAGGGTGATCGGGTGAATGATGTGAGGTCTGAAGGAGCGATATGGCATCAAAGAAGCCACGTCTGGAACAATGATATCGAGAAGGCCTTGCTTGTTGCCGTATTTCAAAGAATCAATCGGACTGAATGCCCCGTCCCATTGGTTGCCGGTAAGCTTGGCGAACTCGTAGAACTCGGCCTTTGTCATCTCCATATTACAGCTCTGTAGAGCATCATTAAGGAGCTGCATCGATTCTTCCCTGCGCAAATCTGTTTCTCTTGTCCCATTCACTTCATCATCCTCAGTGCTTTCATATTCGACCGTAATTTCACCGGAGCAGTTTTCGGTCCATGATCCATTCGCATTGTCATATGACCAAATTCGGAACGTTTCCCAACGACTGCCTTCATATTGGCGTGAGGTGGACATGCTGAGCTGCACTTCAACTTCGCCAGACTGCTCGTCATTGTCTGACTCGTTGAGGACAATGGACTTCGAAATGACCACATCACGGAGGATGAATCTTGAAATCGACTGCTTAGCATCTCTCAGCTGTACAAGCTGCTTCATTGCCTCGATAGCCATGGTAAGGTAGCCTGCGCCCGGATACAATGTAAAGCCCTCGACCACATGATCACGCAGCCACGGCAAGGCGTCCAAGTTGATGAGATATCTCCAGCGCGGCTCTTGAACAGTGCTCGCCGGATCTAGTAGGCCGACTAAATCATGTGGTGGAAACTTGCGAAAACGATGATCCTTGCTTAGTCTAGACTCGTGCCAGAATGGAGCAAGATCCCAGGGATAAGATTTCAAATCTCGGATAGTTTCAGGCTCTCCTTCATCGCTCATCTTGAGTACGGCTTCCAGATCAACCTTGAGGCCTAGCTCAAAGATCTTGCCAGCGAGGGATAAGACTGTCTGTACAGCGTTCTTGTGACGCACGAGGGCAGAGAAGTATTCGAATTTGAACTTTGCGCCTCCTGATGGTGCAAGTGTTTGACGGGAAGGGCCTGCCAAGGCTGAATGAGGACCAATTTCGATGAAAATACTTGTGTCCATCCCCGGTTCGTTTCTTAATTGATCATCCCGCAGCAAAGCCAATGCCTGGCTGAATTTGACCTGCGATACTAAGTTCTCACTCCAGTAGTCGGCGCCGAATGCTGCTGATTTGGTTGTACCGGTGACGCTTGAGTAGAATGCAACATTCCTTCGTACGTCAGAGGACTCGATATTTTGCATCGCTTTATGGTAATCCTGTGCGATTCGCCGCATATGATGCGAGTGATACGCAGTGTCAACTTTAAGTTTGCGGGCAAAGATTCCCTCGGCGTCAAGCAGAGACTTTAACTCTTCAATGGCAGCCAAGTCTCCCGAGATTGTACTGCTCTCTGGGCTGTTCACACAGGCTACACTGACAATTCCAGTTGTAACCCTATCAATGTATCGCTGCGCTTCGGCCTCTCCGAGACTGACTGCCATCATAGAGCCAGGCACCTCAGCCGCTGCTTTTGCATTCGAGGAAGCAACACCACGGTGATAGGCACTATTGAACATCAGTTACATCGTTTCGTAGGATATGCACTTGACTTACACAATGATGGCGTTGTCTCTGCTCAAGGCACCGGCAGCATATGCAGCAGCAACTTCACCAGAGCTGTGGCCAACAACCCGGCTGGGCCTTATAGAAAGACTCTCTAGTAGATCCACAAGCGCAATCTGAATGGCCGTCGTCGCAGGCTGGGAGATCTCAGCCTCGCCAATCCTCGACTCGCTCTCCGCTTTGAGTAGCTCATCAATGAGACTCCACGAGCCTCCTTCACTCAGTATGGTACTCTCCATAGCCATCATTGACTGACGGAAGCATAGTGACAAGTTGATTAGTTCACGACCCATTGCATGCCATTGGGCACCTTGTCCGGAAAAGACAAAGGTGAGCGGTGCAAGAGTGGTCGCTCTCTTCGGATGAACCATCTGATCTAATTCTTCCAGCAGCTCCATGCAGGTCGATGAGACGATAGCTCGGCGGAATGAAAGAACAGACTTGCGAACACCCAGCGTGTAAGAAAGGCTGCGTAGAGTCTGAGGATTCAGTAGATGGGTATTTGCCCACTGCTTGGTATTCTCAAGTGTTGAGAGTAAAGCCTTCTCGGTTGATGCACTAACAACAAACAATTGCGGAGTAGAATCGATAATAGTAGTGACATCAGTAGAAATTGAAGATCCATTCGGAGAAGCCAAGTGAGTGTTTATGGATCCATTGGTGGCTCCATTACATGACTGAGTGCCATTCTGATCAGTGGATGTCCCATTCGTATTCCCGTTAAGCTGGTGTTTGGAGCCTGGATCCTCAAGGATAACGTGACAGTTAGTTCCTCCGTACCCAAATGAGTTGACAGATACTCGAGCGGGGCCATTGTGCTGTGGTGTTGGCAGCTTTGTAAGTTCACTCGGGATCTGCTTGCATGTTAGCGCGTCCTTTATCGAGTTTGATGACTTTAAAACTTGTACCTTTATCTTCTTCTCATAGAGCTTTAGAGACGGCTTTGGTTTGATGAAGTTGAGGTTAGCAGGAATCTGGCCATGTTTGAGAACGAGTATGGATTTCAACAAGCCAGCGATGCCAGAAGTAGCTTCAAGGTGGCCGATGTTCGTCTTGACTGAGCCGACGTATAGGTCATCTCTCCTGCCAGATCCTTCGCAGAAGACCTTGGATATCGATGCTATCTCCTCGCGGTCGCCTGCTTGCGTTCCCTAATTATTCTTCTTAGACTGAGTCTTCTTTTGACATGCCAAGAGACTTACAGTGCCGTGTGCCTCGACGAATGACGTATCGGCAGGATTCAGCCCAGCCTCTTGGTATACACGGAGGGAGAGAGCTGCCTGTGCCTCGCTGCTTGGAGTGTTCAGGCCTGGCGTTTTTCCGTCTTGGTTCATGCCCGAATTGGCGATGATGGCATGTACTCGATCACTGTCATCTTGGTAAACATGCTAAGTGGCTTCGAAGGATCCATGACTTACCCGTCCTTAAGCGCGTGGTCCAAACGCTTGAGTACTATTGTGGCAACCCCTTCACCGCGTCCATACCCAGCGCCTCTCGAGTCAAAGGCATAGGACTTTCCATCTGGATTGAGCATTCCCATGCCACTCACTACATGGATATCAGCGCGATGTTCGTGTCTGACTTACGATTCACAGGCAGTGCAGACGAAGAACAACTCACTTATGCTTAGAACGTCTGGTTGAATGACAAGCTGCGAGCCGCCAACCAAGGCGAGATTCGACTCGCCCAATCGAAGGCTGTGGCATGCTTGATGCAAGCCGACAAGACTACCAGACTACCCAAAGTCAGTAAAGCATTCTTGTGACATTTCAGTTCTTGGATTTCATACGCAGCCAGTGTCAATCGTCATGCAGGGACCCCGCAGGTCGAAACAGTACGATATTCGGTTTGATAGGACTGATTGGTGTAAGCCGTGAGTACAGGCATCATTGGCTAGCTGCATCGACTTACTAGACTCGCCCGTTCCATTCAGGTGCGTCCTACCAATCGTGGACAAGTCCTTGTGCCCCATGCGGTCGTAGCTCCTCTCGAATATGCTGGCATACACGCCAGTGTTGGAGCCGCGCAGCGTTTCAATGGGAATACCAGCGTCTTCGAGAGCTTCATACGTCGTCATAAGAAACAGACGCTGTTGCGGATCCATCGAGTGTGCTTCCGCGCTCGAGATGCCGAAGAACTTGGCATCAAACTGGGAAATGTCATCGTGGAGGAAATATCCGTGCTTGGTCACCATAGACTGCTTTGCATCTGGATAAGCATCGAACCACGAATCTGCGTTCCAGCGGTCTTTGGGAATTTCAGTCTGCCCATTGCGGCCCTCCGACAGCAGTTCCCATAGCTTGTCTAAGTTGTTAGCTCCACCTGGAAGCCTACAACCAACGCCGATAATGGCGATCGGGGTCGGGGGTATAATTCGAGACATGACGTTATTGCGACAACGATACGATGATTTTAGATTTGTATGGGAGAAACTATACAAACGGTCTACATATATCACCTTTTCTGTTCTTGTACACTATAACTATAACTTTTGTCAACTGGTCACGTATCTACTTCGCAGGCCAAGGTGTTCCCCCTCTTCGAAGGATTCAGGCTCGTCCCGTCCCTGCGGACGAAACAGCTCATTCTGGCTCGCGAGCCCGATGGATCACAGTTTTTGCCTGCGTCATAGTAACAATAGGCTAAATTGGTCGGCAGTCAACTATCAAGATCCGAAGTTCGCTCGCGCACGAGAATATCTCCAAGATCTGGTGGCGGCGCGGCTAGTCAATGCTTGTTTGCCGCTCTAGGCAAAATCGGAATCAATGGCTCCTTGTGGCCAGGCGTAGGATCGTGGAGCCATAAGCCTTCACTATAGTACGATTCAGAGCTCAGAAGGACAGATATAGTATAGCATTTAACCTGCCAATGGCAAATGAAAGATACCTATTATTTCCGACTGGAAGGATCGTGGGGTTGCATCAGCTACCCTAGAAGGTGGCGAAAGGATGGGTCTCAGACATGTATCGCACGCTCTATTGGACAGCAGCCCAAGAGCCGCAGAACTGTGCCTCACGTAAGCCAGATCCTACAACTTGCTTGGCCGTGCATCCGCGAGCCCGGCTAAATGCTCCTCCACTACAGCCCATGTCTCAGGCGGCAAGATTGCCATCATCCACGTATTACCCCCGCCATCCCTGCCCCCCACCTGGAACATGTTGCGAATATGCGTGTTATGCTCCAGCGAAGTCCACTGGTGCCATGCGAGCTTGCCCGGAGACTTGCCATGGCCGGCTACGGCTGGGGCAATGACACCGGGGGAGAAATCGATTGAGTCGAAAAAAGCCATTTTACTAAAATTGGACACGACCAGGACGAAGGAGTCTTGGGCGGCAAATACGGGCGGGTTCTCTTTGTCCTTAGCGTACGACTCCCGCAGGAGATGCAATTGCGCGTGCACTTGGGGCGCCTTGGTCAGCGTCGCCACGGACTCCCTCACTAAGAGGGCGGTCTTCGCTAGCGGCTGCTCCCGAAGCGCTCGAAGCGTCGTGTTGGTAGAGGTCGAGAAAGTTGCATTGGCGATGAAGACGGGGCTCGAATCGGGCTTGTCCTTGCGTTGAGGGAATGTTTCTGGTAGACAGTGTCTTGCCTCATACATGCCCATAATATGAACGGGCTGATCCACTGGAGGAAGGATACCACAGCAGAGCCGTGCCGCCCATGCAGCCAAAATATCGGCGTCACTCACAAATTTTCCATTCAAGAGGGCTCCCTTTGGAATGACTTCGAGTTTATCCGAATCGCGGCCACCGACAAAGTCCATCTTGATCCTCTGTAAGGTGGAGTCTGGTAACACGAGCATGCGCCGCACCGATACTGGGTATCTCGCGACATGCTCTAAGTATTTTTCGTACGTCTTTTTGAATGCTTCAGGGCTCAGTTGCATACCCGCCAGAGCGTAAGGTTCTCTGGGCGGCACTGATCCAATATTCTTCAGAGGGTCGTCGTATGCACCCATGAAAGGTGGGATATCATCGTAGCGTCCGTGAAGATCCATCGACCAGGCCAGGACCAGAGCTTTAATCCCCATGAAATCACATACCACATGAACCCAGCGGATACTGATCAACGTTGCATCGTTGAAGAGAGCTATGTGAACACCAATAATGGGCTCTTGTCGACGAATGTGTTCAGTAAAGTCAAGCGCCCATTCCGGTCCAAGGGTCAAGGAGTTGAATTGCGAAGTGATACCAGGAAACAATTCGGGCTTGCCTCTTGCCCTCGGGAGGTTTTTCGCAACAGGATGGTCCGTGGTTTTCACCGAGAAAGTCTCTTCTGAAAATTGAAATGCTGGACGCTCGTGGCTATATGTTCTTGGTGCATGGATCTCGAGCTTGCCGACTTTGTTGAACTGCAAGCGGCCGCCTAATTTTCTCCAATCGCCCAGGCTGAGAAGATGCGTGAGAGCTACGCACAGCTTCTTCGTGTCTAGGAGTGCATCGAAGCGCAGGGTCCAGTGTTGCATGTACCGATTGATAGGGGAGTCGTCGAACTCATGCAAATGGAACACAATGTCAGATGTGGACATTTTCCCCAGGTCGGGAGCAGTGGCATTTCCAGAAGACATTGAAGCCTACGCGTGGCTTGTGAGATATGATTTTAGAGACAGTTAGGAGATTATACCACCTTGGGTAGTAATTGAAAGCTTTCATAGCGAATTCTCGCTTCTGCCGACCCCGGAAATTAGTAAATCCTTCTTTGGAACTGTAGCATGGCCTCTCAAAATCCCCCGCATACCAGGACTTAGTCGGGCCGCTCCCCGGTTACTGGGTTTTAGGCAGATATCACTACAGGCTGCATAAAGTATGGTTTATATAACACTCAATAGCTACAAATAAAAATAACAGTTCAACTTCAAATACTTATTTAAATGCCCTCAAATGCTTTTTATAAGAGGCCATTAACTCATGGACAAACCTTGGGTCTAGGCTTGCAAGGGAGAGACAGATAAAAATACTCTACGCGTCTGGAATGTTTAATTTTAAATCATCATACTGTAAGACACTCACCTTCCACCAAAGCAAGATTCGACATCTACGCGTCTGGAATGGCCAATTTAAAATGTCATACTGTGAGACACTCACTCTATACCTCAGCAATATTCTCTGCAGAACATTGCTTGGCTGTGGGCCACCTAAGACATCTTACCCGATGTTTGAAAGTTGTTTCAATAGTGAATTCAAGGGAGAGATGTTCCCCGACGACCTTGTACTTAAAATCCTGAAGATTTCCTGCCATGAAATTTTGTTCTCTGTCGCTTACTGTAGATATTCTCAAAACATCATAAGAATCATGAAGAGCCATATCTTTGCAACTACTCTTTTAGGATCAGTAGGCATTGCTTCGGCAGCCGAATATCCTTCGATGGTTATGGACACTTGGTGCATTACGTACCTATCAACCTATCTTGCTCCAATATCTGGTCAGCCCAGTTTGTCACCGTCAAGACACTTGACATTTTTCGGAAACAGTTCCACTGCAACGGTCTCGAGTACGAAGTCTTCATACTTGCTACATTTGTGTTGAATCAGTATTAATAGTGTGGCAGACACAGACGAGCAGAGCATAATTGCTTCGGAACCTGGAACAACGCCTGACTTCTCAAGCTTCAATGTAGCACCAACCGAAGCACAAACTGGCTCTGGGGCGCCATCTTCTGGTTCAATAACCGAGCCAATTATCACACCTTCAGTGTCTACAACGGACATAACCTCTTCCGCCTTGCCCACCTCAACCGGTATTGTCGAACCACCCGGACGATCTGTCATCTTCCTCATACAGGCATCCAATGATCAAAAACGCGATATTGGAAAACGAGAAGCTGAAGGCTTTGTTGGCGCTGATAACCCCGACATTTGCACCTTTGCTTTGGTCTTCAATTTGGCTGAAGGCCAGCTCTTTGTTGGCGGTTTACCGACGTTTTACGCTGGCGAGGATTACAAGGCGCTGGGTGTCCAAGACGAAGACTCTTTTATCCAGGGCGCCATTACGAGAACCTTTGGAACTACAGGCCGAACACTTTTCTTCAGGAACTCAGACCTACCAAATGGCGAGGCAGGTTTCTGTCAGGACTCTAGTGGTCAAGTGTACATCACTTTTACTAGTAGTCCTCCTGGATGCTTCCCAGTTACTCTGGGTGTCTACGACGGTGAGATAATTGTCGATGCTTCTTTAATTCTACATGCTGATCAATATACAGTTACACAATGTCAAAATGGTCGGCTTGTAGGTTTTGAGACTTCGACTTCTGCTTTGGCAGTCTCCTCTGAGGCAAGCACGACTGAGAATGTCAGTTCCGGAAGTGTCAGTAGTGGAGAGTCTACAACAGCAGAAACGACCGTATCTACAGAGTTCAGTTCTCTCAGCTCTGTTGAGCCAAGTAGTACCCTCTCCGAAACATCTGATTCTGAAGCTTTTACCACCGCTTCTTCCCAGATTGTTGATACATCTGCCCCAGCCTCTTCACAAGTATCTGTTTCTGGGGCATCTTCCACCGTTTCTTCCCAGATCGTTGATTCATCTACCTCAGCCTCTGCGCAATCAACCAGTTCTGAATCCTCCACCGTTTCTTCCCAGGCTATCAGTTCATCTGCTTCAACCTCTGGACTTGAAGCGCCCACCACGGTTTCTTCCGAGCTTGTTCCGTCGTCTGTCACCACCCAATCGTCCATTTTCTCCAGCGACTCGACTACTGAGGCATCGTCGTCTACTGAGCTGGAGATTTCAAGTTCGCTCACCAGCACGTCAGAGGGATCAACCGGTACGACCACTGCAACTTCAGTTGGCTCAACCACAGAGACCCCGACTGAGCCAGCTAGTTCAGCTAGCTCAAGTACGTTCTCGAGTGCTGAAGAGACTACTTCAAACCCATCGACGACAATATCAGAGTCTTCAACAGAGATCACATCTACTACTACCGAGGCCAGTACCGCAGACACCACTACTGATCTCATGACGACTACGACCACTGCCGCGCTGAGTGAGTGCCGCAGCGACAGCAATCCACACACCGAAAGTGGTGTCGACTTTGATCTCTCCTGTGATAACAGTATCACAAGCGGTACATCGATAGGGGTAGTCCAGGCAAACAGTTTCAACCAGTGCGTGTTCTTCTGCGCTCAATCGTCTAACTGCGCTGCTATACAATATGAAAAGGCTACAATGCTCTGTAGCGGATTCAGTTCATTCACTGGAACTTCGGGGAACGCTCAGTTCGACGTTGCAGTAAAGCAGGTTGCTACTACGACTACGACCACTGCTTAGGCAGCCACAACTACAAGCGCAGCTCCTAATTCTAGTGGCCTCGAAAACCCATACACAGTTGACGGCGCAGCTATCTCTTGTCCTTACTATTTTTTCTTACTCTTTTGTTCTCACTCTTTAATTCTCAGCCTCTCCTTTAACCATTATGCAGAGTGATTCTAACGATGCATTCAAAGAACTGCCTTTAGCTACTGCCCTACATCATAACAGTTTCATTAAATAATTGACATTGAATATTATATTTTCCTTTCCATAAATCTCCAGAAATGTGAAAACTCTTTAAATGCAAAGATCCAAAGGATTCATTACTCCACATCTTTGCAGGGGCGTTCGGACTACTTAACTCAAAGCGTATAGATACAGCCGATGATCTATCTTTGAATGAAACGCTGCCCCATTTCCAAGCATAAAAATGGGACCTCCGAAGCACATATCCATTCTGTCGGTGATATAAGCCCCTCTGGTCAGCGCAGTTCCTGGTTACTCTCACTTTCATCTTACAAATTCTCGTCAGCATGGAGCAAAAGTCAGTGTTGCTACCAGCCAATATTACGGCCGCTGCTTTGTTCCAAGCCATTGCGTATCTAGTCGTTTTTTGGCTTGCATATCGTATGCTACTGGCAGTTTACAATATCTCGCCATTTCATCCTTTGCACCGCTTTCCTGGTCCTAAGATTGCTGCAGCAAGCTACCTGTACGAGGCATATCATGATTGGTGGCGGGTTGGGCGTTATGGACATGAAATCCGTCGCATGCACGAGCGCTATGGTAAGTTCAGCAGTTCTGTCCCTCGGAAAATGTCTGCTAACATAATGCAGGTCCAATTGTGCGAATAAACCCGGATGAACTTCATTGCTCAGACCCGTACTTCACAGACGAAATCTATGCTGGCCCTGGCCGAATCCGCGATAAATGGCAGCACCAACTAAACACGGGGGGGGCCGGTCCCGTTTCTGTGACTGGTTTCTCAACAGTTAATCACGAAGTTCACCGTATGCGGAAAGGGGCCTTGTCCAAATATTTCTCTCGTCAGCAGATGCTCAAACTTGAGGGCGAGGTGCAAGAATTGGCACAGATGACAGTCGACAAGATGCTTCGATTCGCTGGTCGAGAGCCCTTTGACGTGAAGGAAGCCTTTAACTGCTTTACGGCAGATATTATGTCTCAGTACGCTTTTGGTGAATCCATGGGCTTCATCGCTCAAGATGGTTGGGAGCCGAATCTGGCAACTTGGGTCAAGTCCTTTTTCCAGAGCGCCTACATGATGAGACATAATGTCTTTGCAAGGAAGATGGCTCAGCTTCTTCCGTTCCTATCTGACTACTTGGGTGAGGATATTAAAGCAGTCATGAGACAGATGAATGTTGTCATTCCTGGGTACATCGCGGCTGCTTTGAAGAACCCTGAGGGAGGAAGAGTTTTCGCCGATGTGATGGAGTCCAAATCATTACCAGAGTCAGAGAAATCCATGTATCGGCTATCGGGAGAGGGGTTCAATTTCCTCCTAGCCGGGACCGAAACTACTGCCGTAAGTAATTGCTCTTCATTTCATATACAACGTTGGTATTCATAGGTTTCAACAGGCCATCCTGACGGTTATCACTTACTATCTTCTCGCTCAGCCACTGACATATAGACGATTGATGGCCGATCTCGAAGGAATCGATCCGAACAACCTCAAATGGACCGAGCTCGAGCAACGTCCTTACCTCTGGGCCGTCATCCACGAAGCTCTTCGTGTAATGCCTGGTGTATCTCACCGCTCAGCCAGGATTGCCCGCGAAGAGGACTTGGTCTATAAAAGTCAGGATGGTAAAGTTGAGTGGGTGATTCCAAGAGGCACTCCCATCGGTATGACTTCAATGATCAATCACTGGAATAAAGAGATCTTTCCCAATCCGGACGAATTTGTGCCAGATAGATGGTTGGACGGGGGAAAGCCCAACTTCAAACTACAGAAGCTATTGATTGCCTTTGGTAAGGGTAGTCGTGCATGCATTGGTGAAAAGTAAGTTGCATGTTGTTCAAGCCCGGGTTTTGTGTTAACTTCTTTTTCAAGTCTCGCTTATTGTGAAGTCTACATCATGGCAGCTTTGCTCGCTTTTCGAGTTATTCCCAGGGCGCGCCTACATGAGACAACAATTGAGGATATCACATATGATCATGACTTGATCGTAGTACAGACGAAGAAGGGATCTATATCAGTCCGTATTGCTATCTCATGAGTCATAATCTTAAGCAGAGCAGGTTGGACTAAAGCTTCATATTACAAGTAACATCAATAGAGACTAGCTGTACCTGCAAACATGTACTTGTCTCTACCCCTCATGAGCAATATTTTGGCCAACCAAACCTCCTAAGCGTGTTCAACTTCTGTAACTGCACTCTTCATCTGCGCTTGGCTCTTGGCGATCCCAGCTGCAGAGTTCTGTCCATCGAAAAGAACGGCAATCTCTTCCAGAGTAGGGCCCTTCGTCTCGACGAAGAAGAAGTAGATCACGAGACACTCAATGACCAGGCTGGAAAACGATGTTAGTCTAGTTTATGCGTTGGCGCAAGTGGTAGTGACTTACATCACAATGTAAACGAAATAAAACTTCCATGCAAGCTGCTGCAACCCAAGAGGATTCACCCACTGGTTAAATACCCCTGAGAGAGCTGTAAAGCAAAAGCAGAGCGTAAGTCCCTTGGCCCTGATGTTATATGGTAGGATCTCAACAGTATAAGATACTGTCAATCCTGGCCATGCAGCACCAGCCACGCCGTAGAAGAGGAAGATCATAGCGACGACGGCAATACCAGCAGCAGACGATTCAGTCTTTGCGTAGACGGCGCTGCATGCAGTCCAGATGGTGAAGGATATGAGCATGCCAATGCCAGCGAAGAGGAAGAGAACTCTTCGTCCAACACGATCAACAAAGAAAGCAGCGAGAAGGGAGACAAGCCAGCACCAGATGGTGAGGCCACCGTTGATGTATGCTTGAGTGACAGCACTAGAATGTGTTAGCTTCTCTCGATAGTAATGCAGCATACATGTTCACTCACTCCGTAATACCGATAGTTTTCAGAATCGCGGCAAGCTGTGGTCAAGGTCAGTTTATACTCCCAGTCGCATCAGGCCTTGGGCTCCTCTTACATAGTATGAGACAAGACCGTTACCGCTGCACTGAGAGAAGATGGCAGTAGCAATAATCAGCCCGCATCGCTTGCGGTTACCTGGGGTACGCCAAAGCTCTGCCCATCCATTGTCTGATGATTCACGCTCGAGTCTGATGGTGTTGACGATCTCAGTGAATTCCCATCTGACAAAATCATCGTTATCGTCTCCGTTGCCATGGTACTTGACAAGAATCTTGCGAGCTTCCTCCTCACGTCCTTTACTAATCAACCATCGCGGGCTTTCGGGCACAATGAAGATGGCCAGAAGCTGGATACCAGGCATGAGACACTGCAGTCCGGTGGGAAGAACCCATTGGATGTTTCCAGTCTGGTTTCTCAGAGTTCCAAAGCATACCCAGGCCGCGATGATACTCCCGAGATACCAAAGCGTGTTATAAACAGTCGTGATCTTGCCTCGATGTCGGGGATGGGCGATCTCGGTGATGAGGAGAGGGCAAGTGGCGTTGGAAATGTTGGAGCCACAGCCCATGATAAATCGGCCGACGAGATATAGGGCGTCGCGTCGTGGTCCGTGGCCCTTTTGAGGAAAACACTGCATGAGGGCGCCGACAATGACGATAACACAACCAATAGCTGTGCCTTTCTTTCGACCCAGTCCATCGGCGACATATGGAGCGAAGAGAAGGACAAAGAGACCTCCGAAGCCGGGCATGGCGCCAAAGATACCTAGTCGACTTCCCTCTGGGTGATCAAAAACTATATCATCATGTCAGCTGAGAGGAGTACTGACGTTCAAAGAAATGACTTACATGTCTGCCATGATCCCATTGTCTGGAGACCGTTGAGCAAGCTAGAGTCGTAGCCGAGGGTAGTCGAGCCCATGAAGAGAAAGACCATCATAAGGTACAGCTTCCTCAGCTCAGTCTGTTTCCAGAAAGGCAAGGTTGAGCCTTGAGGAGCATGGGTCTCCTCTGAAATGTCGACATCAGTTTCCTTTGAGGCCATGATGAGCCAGAGTGTTGGTGAATGTGCCAATTGGTCAAGAGACTGGGAGTTGAAGCACCTATTGATGAAGGGATGATCTTGGCTGCTTCCCCGACGAGTTATATATCCAGGACGAGGAAGTGTCTGGCATCAGTGTCTATACTTGACAGCCACATACTAGTCAGAAATCAAGCCATGAGTCTCGTGCCAGTAAGTTACTGTGATACATCATGGTCCTTGCATGGTACTGTTTGCCATGCTTTTCCTGCTCTCCCCATGGGGAAGACAAGGTTGAGAAGTTTGTTTGGGAGACTAAATCACAACAGGCTAGGCCATTGGAGATGGTCCACCGCGCTGGTGGCTTTAATTGGACATGAATGTCTGCGCTTGATGACTACCTGCAGTCGAACCATTCTTATTCAGGGAAGGCCATTGAAGTATATCCGAGATTTCGGCGAACTGGTCCATACAGAAGACTCTAAAAGAGAGCAGGTGATCCGAATATTCTCCTCGGACTATCTCTTTCCTTTTTGCCAGTTGATTCCACGCACAAAGACCGTCACCTTATTACTCCGCAGTAAAGCCTGAAATCAATGGCTGATACAGTCGAAGGCGCCCCTGCTTCTTGCTCCGCAGGTGCATCGACAGCAAATCCGGGGCAAAGGTCTCGGAACCAAGCAGCTTGTGATGTCTGCAGAGCAAGGAAAATCCGGGTTGGTAACCTTGCGGCACCCATAACGCCACTATCTACCCCTCATTGTTGATATTCTAACAATTTCAGTAGTGCACGTATGATCCCAACTGCCAACGATGTCAAGGCTGCGAGTTTTTAAATGTGGACTGTACTCATGAACGGCCAAGAAGGAAGCGTGGTCCTCCAAACAAGTCAGTCCATTGTATGTTGCTAATTATGTTGGCATACTGATGCAGAGCAGACATGCACAAAAAGCTCAAAGGCAAGTTGCAGGGACCCCAGGAATCCCTTCTCCAAACAACGTTTCCATCTCACCAGGCGGAAGCAATGATGCTCGCCAATCAACAACACCACTTCAAAGTCCCCAGTTCCTGGGCCTTGTGAGCCGTTCCGCGACTTGCACCTGCTCTGGACTCAGTAGCAAATGGCTTTCCGCGTTTGCCCCGGAGCCGATCATCATGCGCCTGCTTGGGGACTGGTTCAATGTGATCCACCCTTTAGCTCCGATCTTACTCCGGCGCCGGTTCCTCCAACGCCTCCAGCAAGGGGTAGCTGACGTTGACGCCGAGTTCTGCGGGCTTGTCATCAGTGTATGCGCAGCGACCAAGGCCACACTACCGCGGGGTGACTATGGGCCAGTGACTGTAGATTATTGCGTCGACTTCCTTGATGCTCACGGACTACTCAAAAGTCAATTTACCCGAGACTCTTTTAGCATGGACAGATGCATCGCCTTATACAATATCGGGACAGCGATGAGCGCCACCACAAAATCGGGGTTGAGCAGTATGCGCGCCTATCACGCCTTGAGCGAGGCAGCTGCAGGGGCCAGGTACCTGGCGTATTATCGGATACATGAGCATGATGAGGCTGAACAACAGCTCCTGAGGAGACTCATATGGCTATTATTTGCTAGCGCATGGTAAGTTTCGGCACTGGGAGCGGACGACTCGATCAACGCTAAACAAGTCGCATATTACAGTAGTGCGGACATTTTCGGAAGACTACCCATCAGCCTACTTAGTCAAGATCGCATCGAGAACTTTCCAAGGCCTCTCCCTCTTTCTGACAATCAGATGGAGCCTGGAGCCCCAGACAGCTGTCACGAGCCACCTTGGCATGGAGATGACACGACCTATGTCCCAGGACTTAACTCATTGAGCGACCTATTCCTCATCTGGCAAGAGGTGCAGCAAGTTCCCGACGGTACGGAACCACAGACTATAATTACGAGATATCTTGGAAAGATCCAACGAGTGTTGGATAATCTCCCGCCCGAGCTGCGGTGGCGTGGCGGTCTGTCACGTCCCGCACATGTCACAGAGGGACACGACGTCCAAATCGCCAATTTATTTGTGACAAGCCTCAACATCCGCTCCAACATTCTTCAGAAATTTGGGCCAACGGACAAAAGCGCACTAGAACATCAGAAAATCGTAGACGACCTGTTAGAAATCCTGTACCATCTTCCCCGGGCTGTCTTTGATGCAAACGGCAGCAGCCTTGTCCCCAAGATTCGGGACATTGGAGCCGCGTACCTTGAACAGACTCAATTGGGGGATGGCGTGGGTGAAGTGGAGATAGGGGATGCGAGAATTAAACTCGAGCGATTACTTCGGAAGCTAGATGATCTAGACTGTTGGCAGGGAATTGGGGTGCTCGACACTCCGCCCTTGAGGGTAGAAACGTGACCCGAATAAACAGACATCAGATCATTATTACCCAAGTCGGAACTGCAGAATGGGGGAGCCTTGGTCAACACTACCCAAACTTCGGAGACCTTTGCCCCGCAACCGGGAGTGCTACACTATTCGCCGAGGCTTGGTGCCATTTCTCCCAGGTTAGAGCGAAGTAAATCCGAGTATCCTTGTATGCATGGCTGGAGCTCCGCACTAGAACGCATGATCCACCAACCCTACACTCTATTTTATACAGTTCGGGAAATACTGAAGTTATTTGAACCATCTGCAATTCATAACTACCATCAATTTCATGTTTGTCAACTTATTGGTTTTATATCATTTTAACACTCTACAACTATGACTGCCACACAAATTCCAACAGCACCAGCTCAACATGCATACCCTCATCTTCGGCGGTCTGACAAGGGCTCAGTCCAGCTCATCGTCAAGGGGAAACCCTTTTTGATGCTCCCTGGCGAGCTTCACAATTCATCACTCAGCTCCGCAAAGTTCATGAGCGAGGTTTGGCCTAAGATGAAATCCGATCACATCAACACATTGCTCGGTTCGGTAACTTGGGAAATGATTGAGCCCAAGGAAGGCCACTTTGACTTCAGTGAGCTTGATCTTGTTCTACAAGGCGCTAGAGAGCATGATATGCATCTCGTTCTGCTCTGGTTCGGAACATACAAGAACGGTCTGTCCACATACGCCCCAGGATGGGTCAAGAGAGATCCCAAGCGATTCCCCCGAGTTCAAGTTCTTGAAGCTGGTGGTGTCAAAAGGACACTCGAGATGATTACTCCTCTATGCGACGCCGCGTGCGAAGCTGATTCTCGAGCTTTTGCTGCCCTTTTACGACATCTTGCAGAGGTTGATTCAAAGCACCAGACTGTCTTGATGGTTCAAGTACAGAACGAGACCGGAGTCCTCGGCGATTCTCGGGATCGATCGCACCGAGCCAACAAAGCGTTTGCTGAACCCATTCCAAGTGATCTCCTACAATATCTGAGCCGCGTCGATACCCACTCCAGATTCAAGAAACGAATCTCAAGCGTTCCTTCATCAGGAAATCATTCCTGGGAGTCCCTTTTTGGGCCTGGAACAGCAGCCGATGAGGCCTTTATGGCGCATTTAATCTCTTCTTACGTGGGGCGAGTTGCCGCAGCAGGAAAGGCCGAGTATCCCATCCCTCTGTACACAAACACATGGCTCAACCTTGAAGGACAATCGGAACTGGACTTTGGTGGGGGCGCACCAGTTGTTGTCGGCGGTGGTGACAAGCCTGGAATTTACCCATCTGGAGGTCCTTGCCCACATGTTCTGGACATTTGGCGATTTAACACGCCCTCTCTGGATCTACTAGCACCGGATCTATACTTCCATGACTACGAAACTGTGTGCCGCAACTATACAGAGCAAGGAAATACTCTCTTCATCCCAGAACAAAGACGTGATGAGTATGGAGCAAGACGCATCTGGTTATCCTATGCGACTTATGGTGCTCTTGGGGCCAGTCCGTTTGGCATCGACACCGGCTCTGATGTCATCGGCCGCGAGTTCAAGCTTCTCAACCAGACCAAGCAGTATTTCCTTGATGCTGCACCCGAAGATCGCTTCGGATTCTTCTTTGACGAAGAGCCAAGCGAGAAGAAGCCGGAACAGTGGACTCGCACATTCGGTGACATCAAGGTCATTGTTGAGCGCTGCTTTGTCTTTGGCAAGCCTGGCCCTGGTGCTGGAATGATTATTCACTTGGGTAACTCCAAATTTCTCCTCGTCGGCCGGGGCTTTCACGCCCGCTTCAAAGCAGCTCGCAAGGATGCAACCTTTGGTGGGATCCTTTGGGGCGAGGAGAAGGAGGTTGATGAGAACGGAAACCTGCAGACTTTGAGAATCTTGAATGGAGATGAGACAAGGCACGGCGAATTCATGATGATGCCTAACGACGACCCAGATTATGGCGGTTTCCCTATTGCTGTTACACCTGGAGCGAGGACTTGTATTGCTGAGGTGGAGGCTTATTGGATTGCCGAGGATGAAGATGACAGATAATGACAAGATTGATTCATTGGGTAGCCGAGATTACAGTAGCATCCACAATAATACCAATTCTGTAAAATCTTGTCGCATTCCCTTGTATATCACGTGTTTCAGACCCATGCTGATCACAGATCGCCCCTCATCCTTCTCAGCCACCTCCAGTTCAATGGAGTCGAATAATTAACTAAGACACAAACTCTAATCATTCCAGTCACCATGGCAGACCAAACCTCGCAGTCACTCAATCCGGCAGAAACACCATCATCGCCTGCCGTAGCCTCACCGCCGCAACAGACAGATATTATCGCTGCCAATGACGAGCACGTACGTGGATTAAATACCTCATCACGGTTAAGTCATGAGTTCATCTCTTTTGTAGGACAACGAGGTTGAAGACGATGCCGATTCCACTCTTGGTACAGACGCGTTAGTTGTCCCTTCAAAATATCCAAGTGTGACTAAATGCCAATTTCTCCGACTTTAGAGAAAGCTCGACTGCTTCTGTCTCGGCCAGTATCCTCGAATATCGTCGCAGTCAAGGGCGCACTTATCACAGCGATAAATTTACCACCAACTACTTTTTGCCCAATGACGATCAACAGCTAGAGTCTGTGGACTTGACGTATGGCCTTTGATACCCGAAACCATTGTTTCAGGTCTGATCTTTCATAGTCACCACTATTTGACAATCTTGCTGGATGATAAGCTGTTTCTCCCTCCCTTGGAAGCAGACGATATTAAAGTTGGTATCTCCGTTCCAAATATAGCTATATTGGTCGTGCCACTGACCCCTTTGTGCTTCGCCAGAAAGTGCTTGACGTCGGCACTGGAACTGGTAAGTTATCTCAGACATATTGCTTCCATGCATTGCTGACAAACTGCATCAGGAATCTGGGCGATGTAAGTGCAGTACTGGTTCCTTTACATGCCTGTCGCTGACGAGACCTAGCGAATTTGCTGACCGTCATCCGAATGCCGAGATTATCGGTACCGACCTCTCACCATGTCAACCAGAATGGGTTCCACCAAACGTTCGCTTCGAAATAGACGATGCAGCCCTTAACTGGACATGGGAACCTAACGAGTTCGACTTCATTCATATCCGTTACATCTTTGGTGCTATCAAAGACTGGTCTGCCCTGTTCTCTGAGGCTTACCGTTGCTGTGTCCCTGGAGGCTGGGTTCAGTCTGCCGAAGCTGATGTCGAGTTTCGTAGTGATGACGGCACTATTGACAAAGAGCCAAACCTGAAGCTATATAAAAAGTTGTTTGAAGAAGGTGGAAAGATCCTCGGATATCCCTTCTTCGTATATGATCAGCAGGTTCAAGGGTTCAAGGACGCTGGTTTTGAAGACGTCACGACTGTTGACTACAAGGTAGCCGCTGCAAGTCGTTCAAACTCGAGGAAACATCTATTGACAGACTTCTAGCTTCCTGTGGGAGATTGGCCGAAAGACCCGAAGCTCGCCGAAGTTGGGAGATTTGTTCGCGCTTGTTTGGAAACTGATCTCGAAGGTAGCTTGAGGCCTCTCTCTTCTCACTTATTGACTAGCTAACGTCAACCCCTAGGATATACTACTATGATGTGGAATGAGTTACTTAAGTGGCCCAAGGATGAATACCAGCTGTTCCTGATGAGCATCCGCAAAGCTATCAGAAACCCAAAGATTCATACATACATGAGGGTTCGATATGTATATGGACGCAAGCCATCATCACAGTGAGATGAAACTTATATCACGATTTCAATTTAAAGATACGTTACAGCACTGAAGAGCCGCTCCTTGAGATTGACTGCATATATGCACGAGTCTTCTCAATCCCAATCGCAAAGTCATGTCCAGCCACTCCAGGTTATCCTCAGGGGGCCATTCAATTAAATGGTTATTTAACAAAATACAAAAGTGCTAAAAGAACAGACCCTTCTTCTTCCTCCAATCCCATGTAGTTGCCTGTCGCAGGTCATCAACACTGAGTACATCTACACCCTCCCGTGTTAGAATATGCCAAATATGATTCCTCAGCCCAACAGGCCATGCTGGCACACTGAAATACCTGGCTTTTAGGCCTAATCGATGAGCACCATGGATCTGGGCCCGGATGCGCTGTAATTGCTCTTGCGACAATCGCGAACCCCAAACATGCCCAACTGCTTTTTTGAAATGAGCAGAAGCATAGTAGCTATTATGAGAGTTGTATTTGTCTGAGACTTTACTTTCTTCCACGTTGTATGTCCTGACTTGCCGTCGTTCAATGCTGCTCGGCAATACACCTTGCTCAATGCAGTTGTCCGGCATTTGAGAGCTTTCAGCTTGAGCTCTGTTTGGATTTGGCCAAATTTGAGACGTATCAGCCAATAGATCCAATGGTGCATCATAAAAGACATCACGGTAGGTGTTATTTGCCGTTATTTTATCGAATGGGGTGTTTCCCGTGCCGACAATCACCACGGGGCCAGGTACAATGGCTGTACCGTTGAAATGCGTGAGCAGGTTTCTGCGTCGGAGTGGCTCGAGTTGTCTCTGAAGTTTCTCCCAGGTTGCGTTCCCTTCTGTTTTGAAATCGATGAGGACGACCAGCGGTCGGTCCGGATCAGACTCGAAAACCCCAGCCAGAGGCTCATTAACAGCCGAGGGGGAGTGACAAGGCATCTCTCGTCCACATGAGAAGGTGTCTCTTTGGCGGTCGAAAATGCCGAGAAGTGGATTGATATACAAACTTTCCAGCGTATGGTTGGCCTCCAACTGGAAATGACGATGGGCCACATACAGGTCATCATCTTCATTCCATACGTCGGCTTCGACACTCGGACAGCCCGCAGAAATGGCTTCTAAAAGTGGCACATTCCTCAAATAATCGTTATGTGAATGGCAACGCACAGGTTGCGCAGTCATTGTTGAGTCGGACAACCAGTGTCCGACGCCAATTGTTGCCGCCGCGGAGTCGATCCATGGGTGAACGATCAGGTCCATTTCGTCCGGAAAGTAATGATGTAAGGTATTTCCTAGAATATGGAACAGGCCACTGTCCACATTGAGTTCTCTTATTAGCATGGCTCTCTAGAGTCCAGTCTGAGTGCGCCAAGAGGATAGCAGAACTCACGTCATGGAGAGATAGCCAATAATCAACAGGCAGAAGGTCCTTCGCATCTTCCTTCGAAACTGAATGACTCGAAGACGGGGCAACGTCGATGCTCCCAAGCCTTTAAAAGGCGAATTTCGTCGTCTTGGTACGAATCCATCGATATCCAGAGGCTCAGGCCAGTCCGTCGGATTGTCGTATCCTCTATCCAACGAAAAGCCGTCATTCATGTACTCGACAGAGGACTCCAAGTCATGTCGTGGGGTTTGGTTACCCTTCATGATCCCACTTTACAGTCTGTTATCGGTTGTAGGCTTTATCAATACACTCTTGTTCTCCGATTTTTACTTTCTTGATCAAGCACTTGAACAACGTCAACGAATGCTGTCAGACGAGTAAAGTATCTCGCAGGGGCACAAAGTGGAGTAAGAGAGGTCAAGTTACTTGGTAAGTTAATCTTCAGTCTGGGTTTCAGGGCTACTGTATAGACAAATATGAGATGTAACATGCTGCGCCGAGGCCGCGTAAGCGCTCCCAGTCTGTCAAAAGATATCGGCGTTTTCACTAGTTGAAGTCCAGCATATGCGTTTCCCGTGTACCAATTGACTTTTCCTGGGGGTGGGGATCGACGCCCATCTGTGCCGGATTGCCGAGATACCGGCCTAAAATGTCCGGCCTCTAGCCAATAATGGCATAGTTCACCTGTTTTATTTCGTTTCAAGGCTAGTTTACCATAGCTTAAAAACGCCTGTGCTGTCAGAGCTGACGCGGTCTTGGCAACCGTCACAGAGCCAATTTAGAGACCAATGGCTAATAAGCATCAATTTGGCTTGTTGATAAGCTTACAGGTCTGTTTTCATATTCGTATGCAGTACGATGCAGGTGCTTAACACTCTATCACGGCTTTGTTTCGCCATAGAGTGTACCAGGATCTTAATATTACGTAAATAAAGATCCAATGTATAAGCTGCTTAAGTGTTGGATGCTTAATGCGCTCCGAGAGAATGAATCTCTTGCATACTCACCGAAAGCATGATCAACTAGGTGGCATGCTGCAGTGGCTGAAGCAAGACTTTTTCCCACACTCGTAGATTAACATCAAGGTGTCTTCTCAATCATGGTTCGCAAAAGGGTTTCTGGCCGGGAACGGTGATCTCCGAGACGACTCGGTATTACCAAACTATGCATGTACCGGGGTTATTCGAGTGCTATGATGTCAATGAATGCGTAAGCCTCTCACCTTATCACTGAACTCTGTCTCATGCTCAAACGCGGCTGTGTTACGAAGACCTCAGTTATGCTAAAGATAGGCGATTTAACTGATTTAGGTGGTACCCGTCTTGTTTCAGTAGGCATATACGACTTACGCCATTGAATAGAGGAGCATGCCAAATCTGGGTTTATTGTGAGTCATGTCGAAAGCTCTGCCTTACTTCAGAGATGTCTTCTTACCCCTAGGCAGCAGATCGGTATAACTATTAAACTGCCAGAGCATAGCTATTTATTCCTTAACTGCGATATTCTAAGTTACATAGGGATTAATTACTATTACTATAGTCTTGTCGTAGTTCTTGGAATAATAATAAGCGTATTGGTACGTAGAACAGGAACTTTTAATGCCGTTCACTTATTATATAATATTAAACCTTTTAACTATCGCTTAAATGTCTAATTTATTTCGCCTCCTTGCTTATACTAATATAGGATTAGCAGATAAGCTATAAAATATACCTAAAAATACACTGCTTGCTGCGAGCTTTACTAGCTGATAGCGACAGCAACTAGCGCCGGCAATTCTCAAAAGCCGATATGCCCCTGAATATCTAAGACTGGCTCGTACAGTCTATACTAGTGACGCGTCTTGTGTTCAGTCATACTCGAGAATTTACCTCGATGAATTGTGCCGGACGGGCACGTGCATGAAACATGGCAGTGCTATGTCGGTGATTTTAGTGGATAGGGATCAACATCTTCCTAACAGTGATCCAATCAGCCATGCACATGGGTGAGATGAAACAGATTGCTGTGAGATAGCACGTATCGCTTTATGATTCAATAGTCGTTTTATTAACAAGGTCTTTCTTTCAAGGGTCCCGCGTCTGGTTATATTATAGAAGACATCAATCCATTTGTCAGTTGGCAGAAGTCCAAGTCCCATCCCGCTTTGCCTTTTACTTTGCCTTTTGCTTTGCCTTTTTCTTCACAACACTTCTACCAAATATTATTTCTATCCAAGTCCCAGTTCAAGAAGATGGATCATCACCAATTTGGGGAAAGCAGGGGACCCTTTCCTTCGACGCCAGCATCTTCATCACCCCCTTATACCCCGAACAATGGCACACCAACACCAACTGTCGCTCACTCTGATTCTGGAACAGAAGTCGAGCTTCAGCCGTACACAGGAGGTGATAGCGAACAAGAGGTAGATCCACAAACGCCTGACGGACTCGCACGACCACGTCATATCTTCTCCAAGCACAAAAAGTGGATGACTGTGTACATGGTGTCCCTAGGTGGAGCGTTTTCCGCCTTGTCATCCAACATTTACTTCCCAGCGATCGATACAATATCCAAAGACCTTCGTGTCAGTGCGACCGACGTTGGTTTTACTATTACCGTGTATATGATTGTTCAAGGAATCGCGCCCTCACTGTATGGCTCCATCTCAGATTCGCGTGGTCGTCGCATCACATTTGTTATCGCCTTAGTAGTCTACCTCGCCGCAAACGTGTCGCTAGCTTTCACGTCCAACCTGGCCATGCTTGTGGTTTTGAGAGGATTGCAAGCTGCTGGATCGGCTGCGACAATTAGCATCAGCACTGGTGTGATTGCCGACATAGCAGAACCCGATGAGAGAGCAGGCTTCATGGGAACCAACGCCGGCATAAGGTATGCGTATCCCCAGAGCTACAAAGATTCTTGATTAACAGCTTTGATACAGAATGATTGGCCAAGCTATAGGCCCTGTCATTGGTGGATTGCTGAATAGTGCATGGGGATTCAGAAGCATCTTCTGGTTCCTATTTGTATTTAGTGCGTTGGTCCTCTTAGGGCTGTTGGTGTTTCTACCAGAGACACAGCGGAGGATAGCTGGCAATGGCAACGTTCCTCTCAGAGGCTTTTACAAGCCCTGGTCCTACTTCTTCTACCCTCCCAAGGAATGGCGCAATGCCCCTACACCGCCAGCACCAAAGCTAGAAAAACTCTCTTGGAAGACGATCATCGAGCCACTGACGTATATCCTTAGAAAGGATATTCTAGTTCTCCTTTCTTGGGGTGCTCTTGTGTACACCATCTGGAGTATGGTCACGTCCTCAACCACAACAGTGCTGCTCAAGACTTTCCCCGACCTTACACAATGGCAAGTGGGCCTTTGCTTCCTTCCAAATGGAATCGGATGTGTTTTTGGGTCGGTATGCACTGGTCAACTGATGGATCGAGCTTTTAAACGCGCCGAGGCTCGATACAAACAAGAGCATGGACTCGCTAACGTAGACGTCAAGTCCCGGCAGGACTTTCCTTTTGAACGTGTCCGGCTATCACTAATGCCTTATTTCAGCGTTATTTTCATCGTTGCAATGGCGCTGTACGGGCCCAGCTATGAGTTCAACGACCTACGGAGACACTTTGCTGGGAATCTGGTTGCCTCCCTGGGTCTGCAATTTATCATTGCATCTACTGCAACGGCCATCTTCAACATCAACTCGACGATATTAGTAGACTGCTTCCCGTATAACTCAGCTGGCGCTACAGCAACAAATAACTTGTGCCGTTGCCTCCTCGGCGCTGCGGGCGTCAGCGTGATACAGCCTATGATCACCAAACTTAAGATTCGGAACGCATTCCTCGTGCTCACGGCGATTGCTGTTTTCTTCTCACCACTGGTCTGGGTTCAGTGGAAAATGGCAGAGAAATGGAGAAGAAAGAGACTAAGTGCCTAATAGAATACATAGGCTAAAGTGATTTATACCTATATAGGGGTTTAAGATATATATAAATACAAGCTATTATTATAGCGACATAGGAGTTATATGTTATTTCTCTATTGTAATATAATTATACATTTTATATAATATTCAAGAGCTACCCCTCCAGATTAACCAGTAAATGTATAAGCTCTATTTTCTCAATTCAGATCTCTGCGTTATCTCCAGCCACTCCCCAGTATCCTCTGCTGATGATCGAGGCAAGAAGGTTGCAGGGTGGATAAAGTTGAAAATCCCAACGGCGATTACCATCATGGCTCCATCAAGCGCGATAAAGTACCGCTCATGCGTAATAAGGTATCCCGTCCAGCCCTGGGAAAGCTCTATAGTGCGGTATATGCTCCTCAGATAGATACATAACAATGACAGCGTCATGGCGCTTAGTATAGGAATTGAGGACTGCTTTCCAGATTTTAACATGCCTCGTCTAGTGGACCGAATCAGAAAGTCGATTGCAAGAGCAACAAAGACGCTCATGGAAGCCAATTGGAAGACTATTCCCGCAACCATGGTGTTTGTGCCTGGATCTGTGTTGCCGTTGACCTTGTTCACTTCCGCTGAGGCCAAACCACCGCCAATTGCCTGGACAACCAGGGAAATCACGTCGCAAGTACAAAATATCCAAAGATATAGGCTCGGTCCAAGAATAGAGCAGTCACGGCCGAAGACCTGGATCAAGCGGCCAAGAATAATGTAGACACCAGCAGTGAAGAAGACAGGGGCTAGCAATAATCAGCCAGTTAGATAACAGCCTCGATAGGTCAATAAGCGACTGGCCGGAGTACATACCAATGATGAGTGTCGAGATCTGCATGAGAAATGCTGTAGAGTTGTAAGGACATTGAGAGGACCATGTACGGCCAGCCCAGCCGATGATTTCGACTATTGGAAATGGTTAATTCGAGCCCATACTCATGGATAGAGTGGTTTTAGCATACCCAGACCGCCAATGATGAACACGACGCACCACCAAAGCTTCGACCGGCCAAGCTGAACTATGTGTATAAGGGTAGAGAGACCGAACAAGATACAAAATACAATTCCTGCAGAGGTGGATGGAACGTAGCCATATGAAGTATGGATGCCCGTTATCAAAGCGTGGCAGCCCTTGCGTAGGTCTTGTTCTGCTGACATGTTGCGTCGGTGCGAGACAGGAATCAGGGAAAAGGACTGAATTGGCGATGAGATCTAAGAGCTGGACTCTAGCTGTCGCTTTATATACTTGCCATTGTTATGAGAACGTAAGCCAACAAACCGGGATCTTTCCTTCCTATAGGTTTATCGATGAGACCACAGGTGGTGTAACCGAAACTGCGAATCTCGCAGTTTGATACCTACCTAATGAACGCTCTGGGGTTGAAGGCCGCGCAGCGTGCAACATTCTGGCACTGCCATGGGTGTTGGGATTCCTTGTAGACCCAAAGCCCCAATTTCACGCAAGTCATCGCCTTATCTTGTAGGTGCGTGGCTTACAAAGCAGACAAATCTGACAACCCACTGGCCATAAGCCGTAAGCACCAACTTATCGGCCCCGCATTTCTTCGGAGTTAATCTGCCAAGACTGTCCTGAACTGCGAATTTCGCATTTCGGACTTCAGTCGTGGTCTTTGACGAAGAGTCAACGCCATCTACACCGGGTTTTCGTTCCTCTTGTCTCAGTCTGTCGTGGGAAAACCTGTCGACCAGTTCGGGTCTAACGATTCGTCACCTTTCGCTTCAGCCATTCATTATCACCATGCACTCAAGACCTAGCCGTGCAAAGAGCTGCACTGCATGTCGACAGGCCAAGCTGGCTTGTGATGCACGCCACAAATCCGCTGGAGTCCCGTGTACGAGGTGCAGTAAGCGCGGGCTGCAATGTCGGTTCGATTCGAATTTCAAAAGAATCCCAACAAGAAAGTTAGTAACGGCCATGCGGGTTCCAAGAGCAATCGACCAATCCCCGTCCTTGATAACGACTCTAATACTCATACTCACAGTATCGTGGAGGCCATCACCAACTGTATTGACCCTCAGCAGCCGCTTGGTGAATCAAGGACCGCGGGAACCCAATCCCATACAAAGCAGTCGACAATGTCACAAGAACCCTGCATGTCGTCCTCGGCCTGCACGCGCTCCTCTAGTCCGTCCTCTCGTACCGACTCTCAATATTCCACTGCCCCCATCGGCACTACTCAAGATACTACCGTATCTAGTGTCGGCGGATGTACTGGGGGTGGTGAGGCATGGCTGCAGCTCAAAGCGGTCGACATACCCTCCAGTTACCAGCTCGGAAGTCTGAATGTAAACAATACAGTAGCTCTGGAGTTATTCCAACAGTCAGTATTAATATACCCTGAAGGCGAATTTAAGCTTGCCAGAGAACCGAACTGAGTCAAGAACTAGCTTCGATAGCTACTACCGTCCGCACGCCAAGTTCTTGAGGCCCATACGTACGTCTTTAACCGAGTACTCACAATCCTCCCCACATCTTTTCTGGACCATCATCCTCTGTTCTTCCCAAATGCACACGAAACACGCACATATGTACCCCTCTATTGTAACAGAGCACGAGGTCATGTTCTCAGGGACCTATCTCCGTGCTCCACTCAGTATCGAAATGATGCATGCCCTGCTTTGCCTTTGTTTGTGGCCAGTTCCGAAGCTTCGCCTTTGGCAAGACTTGTCCTGGGGATATATAGGGCTTGTTGTGAACTCCGCCATGCAGCTCAACTGTCACCTGCCATCCAACCCGCTCCTTAACACACAGTTGAGGAGAAATGCCAGCCGACGTGCCGTGCCAGACATAGAAGCTGCTGTGAGGGATACCACCTGGCTTGCCTGCTTTGATATAAGCACTCGGTATGTTCTCTTTCGGCTGATTCCCCGTGTCACATCCATGAGGTCCGCTGCTTACACAACAATATTGCCACAGGCTTAGTGAGTTCTTGGGTTTTCCATCCTTATTCTCATCCGGATACTACCTGAATAGCGTATCCCGTGCTCGGGAACGAGCATCAAGCCTTCTGGACCCGTCTAGCCATACGCTATTGGAAATTCGCCAGCTCACCATGACGTTGATGGCAAAGCTCGACATGATTACAGACTCCTCCCTCCACTTCTCCCAGACGCAAAGCAGCATCAACGACTTGGAGCTACTGAGGAGCTCAGACCAACACTCCTGGAGTCCCGAGACAGAACTCACTTTGCAAGGCGCAAAACTGTACTTGTATGCCATGTCACTTCTATTACCTCCCCCAAAGGAGCCTATCGTAGCTCTGCAAGCTATCTCTGATCGGGATGCGGTATTGATCAGTGGATTAATGTCCGCTTCGACAATGATATCAGATATGCTCCACCAACTCCGTGACAAACCTAATCAAGGCTCAGACAAGATGACTTGCAGTGCAGCGTTCTGGCCAAAGACACAAATCAGCTACCTGTTCTTTGCCGCGACATTCATTTTCCGGGTTCTTCTCTCACATTCAAGTCTGACACCGCAGGACATAACCCTTGCTATGTCACGTCTTGCAGATGCACAAGCAGTTTTTAGAATGGAACCATTGCATCCAGATCGCACACGAGCTGCTGAGATTATCCAGCGGTTGATAGAAGTTGCGCGCGCTTACATAATGAAAGACGAGGGCGAAAATGACGCCGAAAACCTACTCCCAAGAGGCCTTCTGGTCACTGGTCGCTTGGGGGCATCAGTCTTGTTTGATGCCGTCCTACGGTCTGTGCACTACCACAAACAAAGTGCACAGAGGCGCAAGTCCCGCCCACGAAATGAAGTTGGTATATATGAGGCCGGCGCACCTACCCCTGGCACGGAACTGCGTGTAGGCGGAGAAGCGAGTTCAAATGCCGGAGTGATAGAGCAGCGTCAATCTGTAGAAGCCTATGCAAATGCACCAGACGCTCCAGGTTTAATCGGGCTTGGCGATTTGTTTGATTTCGAATTCATGGATCGCTATGAGTATATTATGAGTACCGACCCGTCCCTGATGATCGATAACCTGGGAGATCCAGGCTTCAGGACTTGGTGACCCCCCTATAGCATGGAGACTATTGCATATAGGTCTGCACCAGAGTCGCAACCCTACTACCTCAAATCGGACGACGGAAATGAGCCGCAGGTTCATATCTATGAAACCAAAGTCTCCTGCCCCATAACGGGTATAGATGAGGACTCCTGGGTTGCATATCAGTTTGTTGATACTTCCTATCAAGAAGACAAACCGCTTGAGTATGGTGAACAGCATGGTGTTAAGCCAGATTCTCTGACAGGGGGATTGTTCGATGCAAATCTCCCTATATGGACTCCAAAAGAGTATTTCCTCATTTTCTACGAGTGTCGACTTAAACAAGTCAGACATTCTATGCATAGACTGGTCGCAAGACTGTTTCTAAGGTTAGAACCATATGTAAGTGGCCCCAGGCATGTAAAATACTATAATAGAGCTCTTACTTAGTTTTAGACACAGGATGAAGGGGACATAACAGCTTCTTCTGGCTAGGGAATCGTGGAGTCGATGGCCCAGAAGAAACTCACGGAGCGAGTTCTCAAAGAAGCAAACAGATTTCTACCACAGACTATCCACTCTATCTGCAAGGCAATTGAAGTTTGGGATAGGTTCAGCCGAATAGATCTTGCTTACCTCTCAAACATACTGAAGTCAGATTCTAAGAAGAGTCCAATTCCATCTGATAAGGCTGTTACCATGATTGAAGATCAAATTGATGAATTGCGAGACCTCCAATGACGCGCAGAGAAACAATGAGACTTGTGCACGGGGCTTGCTCGAAAGTTATGCGAGGAGAGGGGACATTAGGGGCTGGATTTACGTGGAAAAGCTTACAGGAATAGCTGGAGATGCAGATTGTAATGGAAAATAATGATGTCACAGCCCGACAACAAGCAGGGAGTGGAATGACCAATTATTGGGCCGGTATTGGCTTGGTAAGGACATGCAGTCTGTTTCTATATAGCACAACGTTAACTCCTTGTAGGTCTTCCTACCGCTCACGGCTGTTACTGTTATCTTTAGTATGCAACCGGGTATTTTGCCAGGATACTTTTATAAGTGGTGGATTTTCGTTGTTTTCTGGGTTGCAGTCACGCTTCTCGTTTTACAGGCCATCAGATTCCAACCATCGGAATCAACAGTCCCGATATTGGTGAGCAATGATTCTTGCAGGAGGGCTACTCCCTTACACCCTATTACATTAAGACTCTCTCTACTATCATCGTCAACGAATTATCCTGCTAAGTTCAAGCTTATCCCAAGGTCCCCGGGTAGGACGGTTTAGTGTGGACTTTTCTGGGGTCCTGCATTTTCCCCAGGAATCATGAGATATCGCGACCCCATTAATAGTTCTCATTGGTGCGGTAGTGTTTTTCCATAAGCGATTCATGGACGATCAGCTTAACACTATATGCAGTGGAGACTGGTGGGTGCTTGACTGGGCAAGGATATCAGGCCAAGCTCCATACGGTATTTCGGAGGCACCAACTCCATCAATTGGAGTGGGCTGCCATTGGCCCGTACCGGCAAAATATAGTTTCAGATGCTGATCTCTGGTTTAGCCTAATAACACTTTCTGCCGTAACCTCGTGCCATGACTGTATAAGACCGTTGTGATATCGTTTAAGAATTCATTTTCGTAAATAGTTGTTTTTGTTATTAGTGACAGCTGAGGTCTTGGCTAGCGATATGTTTGACGGCATCACGACAAAGGCTCTTCTAGTAGCCTGCCTGGTTTTCTCAGGCTCGGCATTACCCAATGGCAATGATAAGCGCCATTGGGTAGGCACATGGGCGTCGATGCCTCAGGAAGTTGAGCCTGCAAACTTGGCCCCAGCTCCATTTGTATGTTTTCTTCAAATATTGTTGAAGCTATCTTGCAAAGCCCTCAAATACTAATGAATGACTTCGCGACAGGGAGGAGCAGATGCTGCAGCTCAATTCGAAAACACCACTCTGCGCCAGACATTTCACATGTCCATTGGAGCTGACAAGATCCGTATTCGATTTTCCAACATCTTTGGCAAAACAGACTTGCCCATCACTGCGGCATCAATTGCTCTACCAGTTGGTGGAAAGGCAGGTGTTGGTCAAATCGATACCAAGACCACGAAGCAGCTCAAGTTCAAGGGAAAGAAGTCCGTTTCTGTCCCAGCAGGAGAGATTTTGTACTCTGATCCCATTGACTTTAAGCTGAAGCCTCTGTCCAACCTCGCATTGTCTGTTTACACTGAGAAGGGTCAGCTTGGGAACAAGATTACCGGACATCCTGGCAGTCGAACGACTTCTTGGATGCAAAAGGGCAACCACGTCAATGCTGCGTCTGTATCTGAGGGAAGCACCAAGCATTGGTATTTTGCGAACGGGGTTGACTCGTGGGCACCAAAGGACCATTACGCTGTTGTTCTCCTCGGAGACAGCATCACCGATGGCCGAGGTAGTACAGATGACACCAATGATCGGTAAGCGGAATCAATGTCCAAGCATTTGGTACTCTTGCTCACAATTCTAGATGGTCTGATGCTCTTGCGGCCCATTTGCAAGAGTCTGGTATGTCAAATGTCGCTGTGAACAACATGGCAGCAGGTGGCAATGCTATCCTCTCAGGCGGTCTAGGCCCTCCTCTCCTCCAACGATATAAGCGAGATGCCTTGGAACAGCCAGGTGCCAAATTCGTTGTCGTTTTCGAAGGTGTTAACGACATCGGACCATCCGCAACCGACGATGCCACCCAAAAGAGGATCAAGGACGGTCTCATCAGTGCGTATATTCAAATCGCGAAGGATAGCAAAAAGGCGGGCATGACCACCATTGGAGCCACAATCACACAGATGCTTGGAAACCAGTACTACACTCCCGAAAGAGAAGTCACTCGAGTCGCGATCAACGACTGGATCCTGAGAAATGGGACTTATGACCATACAGTGGACTTTGCGTCTTTGATCGGAAGTGGAGACAAGCTGCTCCCTCAGTATGACTCTGGCGACGGTCTACATCCCAATCCTGCCGCGTACAAGTTGATGGGCACAAAGTTTCCGGTTCAGGTTTTTAAGAAATAGTCATAGACGCAAGCTTAAGGAGGATTGAGAAGTAATGAAATAGTAAAAAAAGGATTTTGCCTTTTACAATGTTCACCAATGCGATACCCATGCAATTGGACCCAAGTACAGAAGGCCGGAATGCTAATGGAAGAAACATCTCCAAATCTACATATACTAGCTTTATGGCTCTCCGTATTATCAACCTTGCCCAATTATAGCCAAACACTTTTTCACAAACCCCGCACCGCCCTCACATTCCACGACTAACAACTCTTACCCTGGCATAATTTCCGCCTTTGTGTCCATTAGTCCAATAGCCAATATGCCACCAGCCAATGCTTTTACATCTTGCGAGGCATGTAGGTATGTCTTCGCTGGATCCTTCCCAGCTAACCAGTCTCCTCCTAAGTCACAACTAACTAGTTAACAGACGTCTTAAGCGTAGATGCTCAAGAGATACCCCATCATGTCGCCTGGTAAGTACTCACTTTTGTTCGCTTGGGCATACAGGTCTCAGATCTCTGTTTAGTGTACTCGACTAGGTAAAACATGCAACTATGGAACAGAACATGCCAGCCCAAACCCGAGAACCTCTACCAATGGCCTGATGGGTCAAGATCGCACAACTCCTGCTACGGAACTAGACATGCACCGAACACACAACTTCCCGTGCTCATACTTTCTGGACTCCGATTTATTCCAGCCGATATCAAGAGATATCTTGACAAGACATGATGGCCCATCTTTTCTCGGGCCGCAAAGACGCTTTGCGACTGCTGGTACATTTGACTCTTTGATAGAACACTACGAGAATACCATCCACCACTGGCTGCCCGTGCTAAGCATCAAGCGCCTAAGGCAAGACGCAAACGCTCTAGAATGTTCAAATCGAGGCGTTGTTGATGTTCTGGTCTTCTTGGCCCTTGAGGCTCTTGTTAGTCAGAGTGATGAGCATACCGTATCGCCGCAAAGTAACCCTTCATATTTAAAGGCAAAGCATGGCAGTTTTATCGCTGAGAGTGGGGGAACTATCAACATTCGACTGATACAGACCATTGCTTTGGTAGCTTTGTACGAACTTGGCCATCGTATCTACCCTGCCGCCTATTTAACGATAGGACAAGCTGTGCGACTAGCTACCATGGTTGGACTGCATAGCCAAAAAGATGCAAAACAGCTGTTCGCGGAACCGGAAACGTGGACATTATGCGAAGAGCAGAGACGGACTTGGTGGGCGATTGTAATGCTTGACAGGTATGTGCAGATCCATGTCCCACGAGAACTTTATCATTGATTATTACTAGAGTTGTCGTTGCAGGCTCCCCACAACTCCTCATGGCTGCTCCAGATCCGAACACGAATGATCTTCTTCCTTGCAACGACGATGACTGGACGAATGGACGAATAGGTTTCAATGAAGCACTATTCACGCGCAACTTCCACTCGCCCTCGTCTGTGGGACAATTTGCTAGAGTATGCCAAGCGGTCCATATGTTTGGCAAAGTCCTCCGTCACATAAAATCCAGAGAAAAAGACACCGACCCAGTCGAACTTACTGCCGAGGCCTTGCAGTTGCACATCGTCTTGACAGCGTTAGATCAGGGCATCATGAGTAGTGACTGTGACATCATGACGACACCTGGGAGCTTGCATTCCGCATTATCATTGTGCAGCTTAGCTCGATTGCTACTATACAACGAATATGCATGCAACGAGCCCAGCTTCAGCACGGCACGCGAGAGACTGGCTGCAGAGGTTGAGATGCAACAGATATCTCTGGCGAGCATCCAAGACATCGTATCCAAGACAATACCGCAGATGGCGAGGCAAATAATGTCAGCGAGTCAACAGCAATCCAAGGGACCAAGACATTCGCCCATCTTGGCTGGCTGCCTGTATCATGCAGCGACAGAGTGCGCATGGTTTGTCAAGGAGAACAATGATGCGGAGATGGTGGCTGGTTTGGAAGCTATCACGCATGCACTCGAAGTTCTAAAGTCCGAGTGGACTGTTTGCAGTAAGCCTCAATCACCTTTATTGGGTCCGAAGCATGACGGCTGATAGTTTTACGCAGATGAATATCTCACCTACCTGCAAGGCAACAGCCCTCAAAACTGACATCATTACAATAATAACAGGGCCGATAGAAGTTAAGGCTGTTCACTAGTGCGTTCTGTCTGTCCGCAACGACTTCGCATTCCCGCTCTGCCCGCTCTGCTTACCCTGAGGTCTACAGCTAGCTCAAACCCCACCTCCGCTCTGCCCGCCCCAACGCTGACATTCCCGCATGCCCCAGTATGGACTGCTCCACTCTCTGGCCGTTGTTCCGAAAATACGCCAAAGCATGATAATGCCAAGTTCTTTACTCAAGGGTCATCAGATTGTTATAAAAAGGGAAATACCTCTCGTTATGTTTTCTTTTATTTCATCTTCAGGATATCTCGAACTTGTCTTTTCCATCAACAGCCCTTTCTATCTATTATCTTTAGTCGTCCATCATTACTATTTGTTCTGTCGGTCAACATGTCTCAGCTCGTTTGGCTTGTTACTGGCTGCTCCTCTGGCTTTGGATCGGAGTTTGTGCATCAGATCCTGTCCCGCGGTGATAAAATCATTGCAACTGCCCGAAACAGTGCAAGGATTGAGCCACTTGCAAGCCAAGGAGCAGCTGTCCTTGAGCTAGATGTCACAGACTCACAAGACAAGATTGATCAAACCATCGCCAAGGCCATTGCTATCTATGGGCGCATCGATGTATTGGTTAACAATGCTGGTTTTGTAGCTGCTGGCTCTTGGGAAGATCTCAGGTATTGCTCTTACTAACCAATGGTATTGTCGACCTTGCTAACATGTCTAGTTACGATGAATTTGTTTCCTCCTTCGAAACCAACGTCTTCGGACCAATCAAGGTTACGCGTGCAGTGCTTCCGCATATGAGAGCCAGGAAATCAGGAACTATGGTCTTTATTAGTTCTTTGTCTGGCTGGGTCGGGCACCAGTTTACTGGAGCTTATGCGGGATCAAAGTTTGCTCTTGAAGGTCAGCTCCCGAATTTTGTCTATGAGAGTCTACATTTCTTTATTCTAACATAAAATCAGGTGTTGTTGAAAGTCTGCATAACGAAACCAAGCCTCTCGGTCTTCGCACCCTCTTGATGGAACCCGGACGCTTTCGAACCCCTCTTCTGTCAACAGGCCACCTTCGGTCAAAGCAGAGTCAAATTCCCGACTATGAATCAGCTTCCGAGACTCATCATGGCCACCTTCATGGCGGAGATCTGAAGCAGCCTGGAAACCCAGAAAAGTTCGTCACAATTGTGCTGGACTTGGTCAGACAAGAGGGCTGCGCACAGGCGAAAAGCATCCCGTTTCGTCTACCTGTTGGGAAAGATGCGGTAGAAGAGATTGGGGCCAAAGCCAGGGACGTTTTGGGGACAATGCAGGAGTGGGACTCTATTATAACAGAAACCGACTACTAGTTGGTATATTAAGAACAATTACTTAAAGTAATTAAAAATTGTCCGCCCTGAGTTTTCGCAATCATGTCTTATTTCCATGTGATAGAACCGAGTGGGATGTCGAGTGGGATATCACGTGCCAGATAAACTCAAATCCGGTCAATCGGCATTGAAGTGCAAGCTGCATCCCACTGTGTATCCCACTCAGTGGGTCTCCATTTACGGCTTGTTCCTTTGGTGTTGGGTCCAAGCTCGCGCTTTGCTCAGTCGCACTGCTATCCCACCGGATATCTTTGTCATAATAAGGTTCAATCCAATGGCGGCATAGCCGCAAGCATGACGAAACATACGTAAAAGCAATTGGGGTTGATTTCACAATACATTAAAAAATTAAATATACCCTGCAGACTTGCATGTATAAGTACGATGTTGCATTCCGCCTCGAAAGCAGCTCACCATCAACATCCTCAATCATATTTCATCGTGCATCTTGAGTCGACAAAGCAAAAGTCCAACAATCACCATGCAATCCAAGATATCTCTTCTCGGCTTGGCCGTTCAGGCTAGCCTCGCAATTTCAATTCCTCGGCCTTGCACTTGTCCATCGATTTCTGGCAACAAAACGATTGATGCTTATCAGTTGTACCCAGAGAACGTTGATTTCGATACACGCCGTTGTCTTTTGTACTCCAGGTTAGTACTCACGAGCCGTATCAAACAGCAGGGATAAAGTCCTGACATTCACTATAGCGTATTGTACAATGCAACTGCGGTCGCCTGGGATCCCTATCGAGGAGAGATAGTGCATACTTTCGAGGCGCCCGGGCTCAGCGGCAACCCTCTGCTGCATTCAAGTGGCGTGCGTGTCGACACTCTGGACCGACTCTCTGTTGTCATCGACGCCGGCGCTGCTTTTGATACTGGTGGCCAGAATATTCAGGGTGATAACTTGCTTGTCAAGTTCGACCTTGTAGACAACTCTTTGCTGTGGCGAGCAAACCTGACCAATGCGACCGGTGGTGTATACGGCGGTTTTCAAGATAGCGAAAGTGATGATGCAGGCAACACTTTCGTTCTCGGAACCTTTCCCAGCAGCCTGATCAAAGTCAGCGCAGATGGAAAATCTGTTGTCCCATGGTATCTCGTCGAGCCAGCCAATCATACCATTCACGGCTTCTCAGGAATTGCCCGCAAAGGCGACACGCTCTTTGTGACTGATAACTCTGATGGCCAGCTTTACCGATTCGATATCAAAGCATCAAAGGGCAAACCGGTTCATGTCCCAACATCTAAGGATGACAAGCCCTTAGGCCAGGGTCTCGACGGTTTGCATCTGCCTTCACTCTACGCTGGTACTGTTCTTTTGGTCAGCGATAATACCAACGGTACTGTTGTGTTGAGATCCAGCAATGGAAAGTGGAAGTCTGCTGAGAATCTCGGCACCATCCCCAACCCTTACCTCAATCAGGGCGGATTTACTGTCGCGTCTGTGCAGATCTCTGATAGTATCTATGCTGTTACCGAGTTCTTTGGTGATGCTATTAATGGAACTCTCCCCGGCAATAGGACAGCTTTCCCCTTGAGGGATATCACAGAAGAGGTAGAGACTCTACTGAGAGCCTAGGTACTGTGAAAAGTCGAGAGTCAGGTGGCATTGGTCTATAAAGTCGGAAGTTCCTTTACTTAGCACTATATTATAGGACGCCAGCAATAAAATAGAGTTGTTTAAAGAAGGTTGTTTCGCTTTAAGAATTCCCCGTTTTTATCATCCAGGCGCTGCACAATCTCCATAAGTCTTCTCTCATCGTGATGACCTTCGGGGTTTGAATCGCAGTGTTGGTAATATCGGAGTGCTTGGCTCAGGAAGTCTTCGGGGTCCAGAACCGCGAGATTTTGCTCGATCATGTCGCAGCTGAGGTCTATTGGGATGTGCTCGTGAAAACTATTAAAAGAGCGGGCTCCACCATCGTTGGATATTGACTCAAACAATCTCTGCAATGAGTATGTAAGTCGTTCGCGGTACATAGGATCCATTTTCAGTACTTGGCTTAGTGATGACTCCGTACAGTGTATGTTTTGTTGATAGTTGGTAGCTGTTTGTGTTTGTGAACGTATTTTTAATCAAGCATAAGACGAAGAAGTTCAAGTATTTATATTACAAGCTGAGCTGCATGTTCGGTATAGTTTCGTCATGCTATAGTGCTATGCCTTCAAGCCGAACACAATTGCTTCTTTGTCAAGCTTCCCAGAATGGTAAGTATTAAAGCATAGCAATGAACTCATTCATTTCTTTCAACATCTTTGTCCCTTGGCCTTGATGTAATGTTCTGAGAGCTTAGAATCTAATTCAGTATATTGCTTTTGTTCTTCGTTCTTTGTTTGTATTGCTTTGTGAGTTTATCTACAACCTGTTCAGTCAGGCTGAATAGATTTCATGCTTGTTGAGGCCAGTCTACGGCTACAACATGCTGTTTGTAGGTACTGTTTTTGCAATAGTTAGTATCGACGTACTGCTGAGAAGTGTCTCTGCGTTTGGTCACGACTGGAAGATGCATGCTGTCACCCATGCTAAAAATAAGGCAATTGACAATCCATCCATTAATGAAAATAAAGCTGTTTAATTAGGCGTAAACTCGATTATAGATGGTCTGAAGCCCAAGATGATACCCTCACAGCCTGGTGGAGTGAAGCGTTCCCACTTGGTAATATAGACACTTGTCAACCTATAGCCTGGTGGTGCAGCACAGCCATAGTATGATCCATGCTTTCCACTGCCGCATTCCAAAGCCTTATCCTTATTGTTCCAGAACCTAAGCTTTCCAAGTTTTTGTCCGTAGTAAACACTAACCCAATAGAAGTATTCGTCCTCCGCGAGGTCAAGTTGTTTGGGCGCACCCCCAGTAGTCGATCCGTAGGCATGACCCCAGGAGTCTCCGTACCTCATCTGCAATCCATCAATGTCATCCCATCCCCTCACGTACGCGGAAGTGATGCGAGGACCACGGTCGGTGATAGGAGCTTCACTGTATTCGCTCCATGCAGCATTAGTCGTGTGACGACCAAACGGGCCAAAGAAGATCTCTCGATCCAATCTTTTCAAGACGGACTCGGGCATCTTGTCTCCTGCCAGGTACGGCCAATACTCGGCGTAGTTGAGTACATTCATGACCATGCCGGAGTCGTAGTCTGCGTAGGCCCTGAGCGTGGCTGCAGCTGTGCTTCCTCTATTGTCGGCGTCATTAAGCTCCGCACGGTAAGGCTTGACTTGTCCGCGCCCTTTACGATAGATCTTGTAGGCGTAGGTTGCATAGTCGAGATCATCGTAACCTTCTCCATTTCCTGCGGATCCTGATGCAGGAACAGCAAGGTCGGAATATGCGTCTTTCCAAGTAGCGATTATAGTAGTTGGCATTTCTAAGTCGATGGCTGTGGCAATAGCTCCTTTGAGTAGATGGTTTTGTTCCGAGGCGATGCTTGCTGCCTGTTCAACAACAGCCTGGGGCGACGTTTTCTTCCTAAACTCGGCACGCATGGTGTTGACGTTCTTTTCCGAGTAGCCCCAGGCTATGCCATGCCTGATTCCATCAGATAGTAGCATGAGATGAATGTTGGCTGCAAGAGCAAACAAGGGGAGAGAAGGCACTGCAAAGCGTTCGACCCGAAACTCGGGAATGGCAGCCCTGACCACGCTCAAAAAAGCGATGTGAGTCGTTTTGAGCGTGTCCCTTGCTCTCATCTGTTCCTCACCCGAAGAATCCTTGTAGTCTTCCCAGACCCGTGTGTAGTTCTCCATATTATCTTGAAGACCTCGGATCTTCTTCCTCAGAATGTCCATCTGAGTTTCTGTGATCTTGGTATCAACGAGTGCCTCGATGCGCTCCCGCAGCTTCTCCCAGATCTTCTCAGTTGCATTCGGGTGGAAGAATAAACTTCCCAACAGGGTGGTAAGCGCGCTGAGGCTGCTTCCAATGACGGGAATAAGTTCACAGCCTAAAGCTAGGACGGAGCAGACATATTGTCCAACCTCGTCGGGGTCGGTAACTCCCAGCTTTTGACCACCGTCGGCGGCCTTGATAAGCTTAGTGGTTAGATCATTGAGGAACTTTTCACTGATTTTAATGCCCATTTTGGAATACCGCGTGGTACATAGGGAGCCGAGTCGAAAAGTAGGGAATAAGGAGGATATGTGTAGGTGGTGGCGGAATGGCTCAGGACGTTTCTTGTAGTAATTGAGTAACTTACTTAAACTTATATACTTGTAGATTCTTTTTGCTGCACCCAGGATACTTGTAATATATTTTTATAGATTATCAGTTTTATCTACTTAGAATAATGGATTGGCGCAAGATGCGTCATAGCTAAAGCTAGCAATACAGCCTCAGGTGAAATATTCCCCAATCTAACCATCTTGTCAATCTGGTGCAGCTGGCCTTGAACCGTGTTGATATTCTATTGGCCTATAAACTTAGCGTGCGGAGAATGTGACGTGCAATGACACGGCACAACACGGTTCGGTAGTTAGTGGAACAGATCCTTTTTCAGCTGCTATACTAAATGCATATCCCTACCTCTTGAAGAGTGGAATTCGATAATATGACAATGGCTGACGTTACCTTAACCCAAGCATCGAGATCTTTCCGAGCAATATACAGCAGTTCTTATCAGGTTTAAACTGCAGGATTACATTGGCATTTAAAATTTATATACCACTTACCTAGGTATAATAAATCCTTACCAGTTTTATAAAAGGCCAACATCTTCTATTATATTTTATAAATATATTAATAAATAATTAAATCTTAATAAGATATACTAAGTTAAGATTATAAATTTCTTAATTATATTATTCTATTATTAATTAATAATTAACTAAATATATAATTATATATAACTTAAAGCACTTAATATAATAGCATTATAAGAAATAGATATAATACTTCTCTTATATCTAAAGACTCCTTGTTAATTACTAGTGCCTTAGTGCCTGCTATATAAATATTTAAACTATGCGTTTTTCTGTCCCTAGAACTCTTTATAACACCCAAGACCCTTTCAGTGTCCTTGCTGAATCGGCAGCCGAGAGTTTCTTAGAGTAGGCTTTTAAATAGATAACCTAGCAGGCAGAAGATAGGCTGCCTTATAAATAGAAACTCTCTTAAACATTCTATTAATTCTCCAATATTGTAAACCAGGGGAAAAGGGTAATATTTTCAGGCTGTCCTAGATTAATTTAATACTAAAACCGCTTACTCTAATATGCCTTAAGTACAAAATACACTCTTGCTTTCCTTGACTGATGGACGCGAACGTGGTGTTGTAGTGTGTCGAGTCTTTTGACTCGGTAGGGCGTGGCAGGCTGCCCCTATCTTGTTCAACCCCTCTTTAATCGGGCGTACCACTAGCATGTTTCGTTCTTCAAAGGGTGTAGTCAATTCTGGGGTGCCCCCAACTGTTCGGTACAGGCGGCTTGAAATGAATTCCGCTCAGAGATAGACATTTTTGCCACCGCGGAAATGGCCCGAAGACTAGTCATTGGAAGAGGACGATAAGAGAGGTAAATTTAGAGCTGATTCTGTTAATCCAAACGGATAAGCCACTCAGAGAAATATATGAAATAACATTTGGAGCCCTTGTGGCCCGTGACATGGTCAAATTTGCTAGTTTTCACAATCTGTTGCTCTATTTTGATTGCAAGAGAGCCTCTGTTAAGTTAGTAACTAGTCCATCATATAATCAGCGAAGAGAAATATAATACCGGCACCCAATTACAAAGAGCAGAATATAAAAACATAATTATATCACCAACATCCAAGTGGATTGATTGTGATTTGCGCTCTTAACAGGATCAAGAGCAGTGTGACATCCCCTGAACCTTGCGAATGGGTGAGATGAGCAGATCTCTGTGTATTGGAGAGACCTGGCTGCTATTGGTTCTAGATCATTAGCCTAGCCCTGGCCGGCATTGATACCCGAATTAAGCGACCGTCAGCCTACGAAAGTCTACAAGCCCAGGATTAGTTTTATTATCTGCCCCTATGGCAAGCATGATAAATGAAAGTGGGTTCGGCCCGTGCACGCCAGCATTCAAGCTGTATTTCAGCTGAGCCGATCTAGCCGAGATAAAGAATGGCTTCAGGCATAAATGGGATCTCGAAATATCCTCTGATAAGTAGCCAGCGCTCGTCATCTTTACAATCTCTCCACTGTTTCCTCAATAGATTTAACATGGGTCCATTTATAAGCGTAATAGTATATGTGACCTGGTGCCACTGGGCTTGGATTGCAGCCACTCAAGCTGAGTTTCCCAGCTGCGCGGTAAGTTGTAGGAATTCGGTCATTACGGTCTGGCTTTTCTAACTACCCCATCACGTAGTACAATTGCTATAGTGCTTTAGTTGGCAGCAGCTCATCAGCTACAACAAACTGCAACACTTCCGATTACAAGTGTATATGTCAAGATGAGGATTACCTCCAAGACCAGATCTGCTGTTTACACCAAGAATGTTCCGACGGAGATCGCGAGGCTGCTGAGGGCTATGCCAGATCAGTCTGCCAAGCTGTTGGTGTGACTTTGGGTCATAACTTGACTTGTCCCACTCTATCGGCGTCTGCTTCAGGTACAGGTGAATTTGCCACTTCCATAGTACTAAGGACCAGCTCCTGGCTTACAGACTTACCACAGCTACAGAGGAGCCAGGGGCCAGCACCAAGACCGATATTGCAGGCTCCGCTTCGTCTTTAGACTCAGCCTCTGGCAATAACGAAAGCGGCGACAAAAGCTCAAACACGCACATAACTCACCAAACACCGGGACATAAAGTTAAGACGGGATTGGGCGTGGGACTGGGAGCGGGGATACCTATCCTGGGTACGATTCTAGGCGCCATTACATGGTTTTTGAAGCGGAAGAAAAGCCAGTCTGCTGCACAGACACCACAAACCAACATAACAGCTCAGCCTCCCTTCGATCCCGCGGCCCCAATTGACGAGGTTCAACATGTTCACCCGGCACCTGGTGCTGCATTTTACCCTGTGCCGCTAGCACATCCTCAGGATACAGCACATTCGCAGCAGCCAATATTTGAAGCCTATGGATCACCTGGAAACATTGGAGAAGGCCGACATAGTGCTACAAAAATTCCTGCTGCTCATGAGCTGCCAGTAGGAAGGGCATAAGTCGTCTGATCCACAGGAAGTACGTGAGTCTTGGTCGTCGTCTATAAAGAAGAACTAACGGAAATGGAGAGGATTGGTACCGTGTTGATGGCAGAGGCTGTGGTCTGAAGGATGCTAGTACCTAGCCTGAAGTAATGCAGAATACAACTATATGGGATTGAGTTTAACTGATGTCTGAGTTCTCAAGCCTCTCATATATAAAGACACGCACATGTATTACAACTAACCAATTGCCTAGTATACCTTCATTAACTTTACTACTCTTGAGCATAGAAATTATAACTAAAGCTAGAAATATAGCTTTAAGTAAAATAACTCTTAATTTAATTATTTTACTAATTTAGTATAGCTAACCTTGAATTATATAAATTTCCCATTAGTCTATTAACCTGATATATAAAGGATATAATTAAAAGAAGTAATATTAATACTATATATTACATGGTATAAAGTATTTCTAAATATAACTGTAAGATATGGCATTATACATTGTATTTAATAATATAATAACTTTATTATCAAGTTATTAGATTTTATATCTATTACCTTAAACTTTAAGTTTTAATTAAATAAATAGCCTTTATTTCTAATACTAAATAAGATATTTATCTTATCAATAATAACCTAAATATTAAGATTATAATATATAATAATATAACATAATACAGTATAGTAAAATTAATCCATTTTTAGCTATTATATTAAATATATATCCTTACTTCTTTAAGATAAAAACCTATAAATATAAGTAAAGCTAATATTAACTTATGACAAATATTAAGATCTTTCTAAGTACTATATAGATAGGCTGGCAAGTAGAGTATGTTTCCGAATATCAAGTAGTATAGGAGGCTTCAAGTGGTGAACCTGCCTTACACATCACTGCTTGCCGAATGGGGACCAGAAACATACTTGCAGTCGTATTTCACAGGAAGCTATCTAGCATCTGGCTGAAATCCAGTTTCGCAAGGTCTATAGTTGGATTTAGAGTACCTTGCACCAATGGGTCGCCTGTTCCAGCAGTTAGAGAAGTGCCCCACAGACCATCATCATTCTCAGCAGCAGTAAGGAAGTCGTCGAGGCTCAGATTCATTTCCATCCCGTCGAGAATGCCGCAACCACCAACCCTATCCGCCGTCATACCGTCATTGAGCCAAGCCTCACTGGCTTGAGGTAACTCCCTTGCTGGATCGAGTATAAGAGGGCTGGGCATGCGACCTCTCTGGCGTGGAGTGGCCTGGGGCGAAGCCTGAGCCGCACGTCCCTCTTGATCTGGCGCGGAGATACCCAGTCGAACGCCCGCTTGTTGTAAACCGCGTATCATCTTCCACAGACGCCTTGAGACATATGATCTCTTGCTGAAGCCCCGGACCAGATCGAGAGCTGTGTTAAACTCTTGTCGTACGCTATCTCGGTACACAGCAGGTTCGAGAGCAACAGCCAGGAAGATAACACCTAGGGCAGATATTAGAAAATGGTTAAAGCATACTTGCTGTGTTTGGTAGATATCTGTTGTTTGGTTGAGATGATGAAGCTTCTGTATCATGTCCTTGGCAATGCTAACCAACATCTGGACTTGCGACGTATCTCTTGCGGGTCGAGGTATAGCATGTAGCGCGGACTGATGCAGAAGGATCTTCATCTGACAGGCTCTCAAATCCAGAAGGATCTGCAGGCGGTGATGACCTCGACCAAGAACAGGCGCTCCATCTTCAGGGAGTTTTAATATCGTGGGTATCTCTTTGTACCAACGCTCCACACTATAGTGAAGGAACTCAATCTCATCTCTGGGGACGTTGGAAGCTGTGCTACCCGCATTGTAGAGTGCCGCCCAAACTTTAGCACCGATTCGATTGTATGCCACCATCGCGTGGAGATAAGGCACTTCATCATCCTGAGACGGTTAGTAAAGGAGTCCATATTGTCCAGTGTGATTTGATGTCGGGTTGGACTCACTGGCCATGGGATGTTTGAATCAATGTCATTACTTTGGATTATAAATGGAAGTCCAGCTCCAAAGCTCCATCGTCTGTCTAGTGTATGCACACTCCAGAACATTCTAATGGCCATTTTCCTTTCGAATGGCCCCTTGAACATGGTGGTGTACGTGGTTGCTTGATGTAGCCCAAGTTCCAGACATGAGCGCGCAGGAATCCCGATAAGTCTCCATGCTTGGAGGTCGTCACCGGAGAGGAACGAGTGAGTGGCCTGGATGATAGTTAGTATGGTGAGAGAAGTAATGGCAGGTTGACCTTCCATCAAGGTGAAAAGGGATATTGAGTCAAGTGATGGAGACTCCCAAATCTTGCTTGAGATCCTTTCCTGTGCTTTAGCAAATAAAGCATTTCCAAGTCCACTTGAACCGCTTGTTTCAATGGTCAATGCAGATGATAGAGCAAGTCGTAAGATGTCAATTTTGTCAGCAGTAATAAGTGGTGGTCCAGGAAGTGAAGCAAAGGCAAAGCCGGACCGGGAACCAGCTTCCATGGCGTCATAAAGCTTGTGTGCATTTTCTACCAGGCTTGAAAGTGTCAATAATGGATACGAGTTCCCGATTTCCTCTTCGTAAACATGACAGAGTCGCAACGCTTCCTGTTTGTCGATGAGCCAGAGCGGATCAATTGTTAACTTGGTGAAGTTCCATGACTCTGGTGCTACCAGGGGTCTATTGAGGAGTGATTCGGATAAATTGGCAGTGTCAGAAGATTCAGAGTCCCCAGCTCTAGAGCCCTGGGCTCGAAGATGCTGACGGGCGAGCTCCAGGTTGAAGGTATAGTTGACAGCGGGCTGGCGCGGTTGTCCGGTGGATGACGGCGTGATAGTCGGAGTTGTTGTATGCGTATGTATCGCCAGATCAGCTGCATCCTCCTGGGCGGTTGTCGACATTGCATGACGAGATAGGGGTCGTCTCAAGGATGTCTGTGATGCGGACTCCAGCCCTTCCCCAGGGCTTACAGCTGTTACAGCGCTGGTTCGACGGTCATTTCGTAGCTTTTGAAGGTTGTCTTGTAGCTGAGCAACTTGTTGACTTAAAGATTTGATAACCTTGGTCGAGCTGATTCGTCAGCGTTGAAGACATGATATGCACGGCTACAGATGAAGATGAAGACATACGAATCTGATTGGCTTGTCGAGGCGGAGGGTGCATAAATGCCTGTAGTTATGTCAGAGATTGTGCAGTATTCATCGTTTACAAGGTATCTTACAGTTGAGGGAATGCTGGACACATCGTCCGCACGGCTGCTGCCCATTGCATTTGCTTTTACGTCTCTTACATTCATTGCTTCAACCAGAGGTTAATCAAAGACGACTAATGCTGATAATTGAGATAAAATGAGTCTTACCAAGCCTTAGAGATGTACTTTCCCCGTTTGGTCTTTGGCTTATGTAGGCATTGAGGCTGTGGTCCTCTCGACGCGTTATTGTTGCCCTGAGAAGAGGTCTGGACTTGGGCTGCATCGACTTGATTATCTCGATCATTACTATCGTTGCTGACTGTCCCATCACCTGTGACCTCCCCTGAAGTCTGACCATTATTGCCTCTTACTACTGACCCCATTTGCCGGATGGGTGGGGTCTGGGCTGTCGACATGGTGGAATTTGGCAATGTCTTGGTGAAATGGTACGATGAATGGCGGTAGCGGAAATGAAAGATAATTCCGGGGATTTTTGATCTCTCAAGAGAATGATCGGAATTGGATGACTAAGTGCGGGGTACACTAGGTCTCATATCTAAGGCTAACTTATTAGGCGAGATAGTGGCGTCCTTCTTCACAAGACTAACCAAGTATGTATTCTGATATTTACTGTGGGATTTCCATACGATTCTGCCGTTCACTTGTCCTTTCTCCAGCTTCTTTGCCATTATGTTAATCTGGTCAATCGGAACAACCGTAATCAGCGGCTTCACTTCCCCCCGAGCTGCAAGTTGAAACAGCTCTTGCATTTCAGGAAGCGTGCCAACAGCACTTCCGATAAGCCTAAGGCCTGGCAGGTCGTCAGCTCCAGTTGGGTTGTCAGTGGTATAAAGTAAAGAAAGGGACTACTCGCCTCGACGGACCATATCCAGCGGCGAAATAGGGAGGTTTTGCGGATTGACGCCAATACAAACTATGGTCCCTGCGTTCCGCACGCAGTGAGCTGCTTGCTGGTAGGCAGCGATGGATCCTGCTGTGCAGATAACACCGTGGACGCCTAGGGATGTGAGTCTTTTGACTTCTGCTGGTACCTGCGAGAATGTCAGTACTTCTAGAGCTTGTGATGATGAACAGCCAGTTATGGCTTACATTTTGTGTTAAAAGGTCGATAAAGTGAGCAGCCCCAAACTGAAGACAAATTCTCCTCTTATCTTCGCCACTTTTCAAGAGTCATTAGCCATTTCAACCATAATTGATAAGCTAAGGGGTGACGTACGTATCAACCGCAATAACGCGGTAGCCTTGCGCTCTTGCGATCTGCACTCCACTAGATTATTAGAATTAGCAGCGACAATAAGTGCACAAGAGTGAGCAGAACGCACAGATGTCCCAGTCAACCACCTGCACCAGAGATCAACAGCCAATTGTCGGTCTGCAAATTGCATTTCCTGATAGCAGAGTACATAGAGATACCAGCTATGAGATCTCGAATTAGTGCTCTTATCTACGCATAGCTTTTATGAACCGTCTCACTTACCGCAGAGTAGGGGTGCAGCGATGTCACTCTGCAAGTTGTCGGGCAGTAGATGTACGAAGGCAGCGTCAACGGCTATCTACACTAGACACATCGTGAGAAATAAAAGTGCGATATACGTGATGGCTTCTTCTTACGCTGGAAAGTGCCAGGGACATCCTATAATGATGTGAGCGAAGCCCGCAAAACATAGAACGAATGACATTTACCCTGCCTAGGTTTTGTTGCTTTGGGCATGATGTATACTCAACATCGCAAACTTCGCACTCCATACAAGGGCGACTTAGCCACCTGGAATAATAAGTTAAGCTGGTATCGTATACGTGCTATTTGTTCCTTACCCTAACCCGACTCTCTTGTTGATCATGTGCGCCGTGGCTGCAGACCCAGCTGAAACAGTGCCAAGTAAATGTCCAATACAGATATTTGGCGGTCAGACTATACCTTTCACCACCATGCCAACTCCCTCGTGGCCAACAATATCTGAGATTAGCGGCAGCGTGCCATAAACCCGATTGAGGTCAGAGTGACTAGCAAATTGAGTTACTGTCCTTCAGGGCTGGTCATACCATGGATGGATACGTACCATAAACCAGCGATTAATAGTTTCATAAGGATCTGGTTTTTTAATAGCTGAGGAACAACCTGCCCATTCTGAATGATGAATTGAGCTTCTGGTCCGGGGTTTTGGACTCGTGCAGCTGTTTGCGTTGTAGGGACATCTGTAGTACTCATAATTGCATAGGATTGAGATACTCGTCAAATGGAAACCCCTTCTCATTCGGGCACAAAAAGGCTGCTGAGTATCGTGGTCGTCGGGATGCATACCTGGGCATGCTGAACCGTGATCTTGAGGAGCGGGTAAGCAAAGGAACTCACAAGCCTTGCATCCTGGCAAATATCATGCTAGACGGAGAGGCAAAGCTCAACGACGTGGAGATGATGAAACCATGGCAGAGCCACCCATCACCTAACAAACCTACCCACTCCCGTTGGCATGGTGAGAGGCTTCAAATCGAATTGGTTTCGCCTCTCTGTCCGCTGGATCCACGAACCACCTGTTATCCAATTAGCGTTTGTCAAGAAACCAATATGCTCAGGCAACAACTCACGTCAGGTCAGCTCCATCAGGTCTCTCTTCCTCCAGAGCTGTGAAACCGTTCGCCAGCCACGCAAATGCAAGGTCGCTATCCTCACATAAACTCTTCCACTCAGAGTCCTCGTATCTCAGATCCTCAAGAAGTTTAAAAAGCTGAATTAGTGAGCCTGGATGCAGTGACCGAAGCTCTCCATCCTTGGTTCCATTCTTATAAGTGTTGGTGCACCCTGATGCCCATACCGTCCTCTTGAGATATGACAGGGCATGATTCTGATAAGCCCGAGCGACTCCTGGACGAAGGCTGAAAGATGAGTAGTTTTGTGTCTGGAGCTTTCTGATCATTCTCACGATGAAGCGGTTGCACATCTCAATGGACGTAACCAAGCTTCCGTGACCAAGGGAACTGGCTGGTCCAAGAATAGTAAAGTAGTTTGGCATATCAGCAGCACAGACTGACAGATAAGACTCGGGAGCTTTGAGCCATACCTCTTGAAGGTTAAGACCATCCTTGCCGAGGATGGGGAAGCGAGGTGCATAAGATAGCTCAAAACCAGTGGCACAAATGATGGAATCCACCTTGGACTCGCGACCATCCTTTGTGAGAATGCCATTGGGTGTGAACTCGGCAATGTCTCCCCAAAACTACCTCGCACTTGGGTGATACAAGCACTTACAGATATCCCAATCAGGGTGTTGGTCGACGGCTTCTAATATCTGTTAGTTGACGGTATTCTCCATGGCAGTTTGTACATACCCAACAGCAAAATCCGGCTCTAGAAATTTGGCCAGGTCAGGCCGTGAGTCAAGTTTAGCCTTGATGTTGCCAACGACTGATTGGCGAGCCAGCTTCTGTTCAGGTGTATGATCCATGAAAAGCTTGAAGCGTGTGTTGATATCGTCCTCCATGCTCTTGCGGAACTCGAGATATCTCTCAGGGTGCTTGGCCCACTCAGACTTCTCTTCCTCAGTGAACTTTTAGTTGACGCCCTTTGGTTCAGCAAACTTCTCGCCGATGCGCGAGGTAATCCATGTTGGGCTGCGAATATGAACGTAGATCTTGTTGAATTTATCGAGAATGGCCGGCAGGACCTAAATTCCGCTGCTACCGTTACCGATCAGAGCAACGGTCTTGCCTTCGATATCCTTTTCCCAGTCAGATGGCCAGTTAGCAGTGTGAAACACGGTACCACGGAATGTCTCGCGTCCGGGGACATTGCGAGGCCATTTCCAGTTGTTGAAGAAGCCGGTGGCGTTTACAAAAACGTCACATTCATCAATAAACGCATCGTTGGTCTCACCATCTGTGACGCCAGGGCTAGAGATGGCGACATCCCTCCCATCGGTCTTTTTGATACGGAGTTGCCAGATTTGTCTTTCTTCAATTCACTTGGCCTCAACTACTTTGTGTGATAGCTTGAAGTATGAGCGTAAGTCGTGCTGGTCAGCACAGTCGTCAAAGTAATGCTTGATCTCTGGTGCGGGTGCGTAGAAATGCGACCAGTGGGGATTGGGTGCCCAGGTATACTGGTAGCTGTGAGCTGGAACATCACAAGCACACCTTTGAGCAGTCAGCATACCACCGACTCAAGTAGTTCAAAAAGGCAGCAGGGGCTCAACATACCCAGGATATCTACTTTCATGCCAGGTTTCGCCTATATCGGCGTTCTTCTCATAAATGGTGAGATCCACGCCAGGGAGCTTACCAACGCGGACCGCAGGAGCAAGATCAACACCTCCAAAGCCCGCTCCGACAGCAATTACTTTGAGCTTGCGAGGAGTGAGCATGGGAACCTTGGATAGGGCGTAAGCAAGGTCATCGCGATCCTGGTAGTCTTCAGTGGCTCCTGGCAGGGTAGTAGAGGTAACAACCTCATTGAAGTACTTGGCTGCACGGGCTTGGGGGAGATTGAAGAGTCCATCTTGGATAGAAATTGTTCTTGCAGTGCTTGAGCTTTCAGTACAGACTCTAATCTAATCTCAAGGGAAGTGTCTACTATATTCTAGGCCCGGCTCTGAGTATCTTACTCTTTTCCAAATGCAAAGACATGAACGATAACCGACACTACCCTCCACCATTCCCTTGTGACATACAAAAAGCGGAAAGTGGATTGTATTTCCGCGCACAGGATGTGACGTAGCCCGGAACGTTGGGCGAAATCCCACCAATGACAAGGGTTTGCGCTGGTAATGGCTTTTCAAGACATGGCCCCCGAATTCATCACATTGAATGGACAAGGACGAGCCAAGTAGTAGGGGTTTATGCAGAAGGATGATTATTGAGATCCTGCTTTACTTATAGCTGTCTCTTGCGCATATTAATTATATCTCTTCAAGTTCTAGTAAGTAGAGTAATTATTAATACTAAGATAAAGTAGTTATAATAAAGGTAATTATTTTATCTCATATAAAAATAGACTATAAGTAGGAATTATTTATAATAAATATTTATACTTTACTACTATATAATAGTTACTTTTTTTCATCTCTTAACCTTTTCAAACAGCTTCCTTTACTGCTATAATTGCATTCACCACATATCCTATATTCCTCGAATTCACTAATACTGTCAGCGTTTCTATCTGGATCAGCGGAGCCGCACAACTTACGTCCTGCCATTGATATTCTTCCAGATGAAGAGAGGTAAACGTGGTACTCGTTCTTTAAGCGAAGCACCTGCTGAGGGTTGAGACCTGTGTATGAGAACATGCCACTCTGCAAGGCGATTATTTAGCTGAATTACAAACTAGACGATATTCAGGTCTAATTACCTGTTTGATGATATGGTCAAAGTCGCCGCTTTCATCAGAGGCGTTCAGACCATCATGAAGTGCTGATCGGACTTGTCCCAGTCTTTTGCTCATAGAAGAAACATCCCTTAGCCATTGAGATTTAAGCTCTGGGTCGCCGAGAATTGTTTTCACAAAGGTACAGCCTGTTCGTGGTGGAGTTGAGTATTCGGTGCGAATAATGAATCGAAGCTGCTGAAGTATGTTGGACTGAATGGCGGTGTCCTTGCTGTTCATGATGAAATGGAAAGCTCCTGTTCTCTGTCCGTAGAGACCGAAGTTCTTAGAGAAGGACTGCGCCACGCAGAAAGTAAGGGGGCTTTTCAGGCTGGCAAAGTATCTAAGCGGCCAAGCATCTTTCTCTGGACTGCCTGTGGCAAAGCCTTGGTACGCATTGTCAAAGAATGGAAGGATGCCTTTGCGCTGGCAAATCTCAGCTACGGCCTTCCATTGTTCTTGGCTAAGATCGAGGCCAGTTGGGTTGTGAGCGCAGACTTGAAGTATAATCACATCACCAGGTTTGCCCTGAGACTCAAAAGTGTCGATCATGCCTTGAAAGTTGAGGAGTCGTGTGGCTGGATCGTAGTATGGATATTTCTTGCATTTCACGCCCATTCTTTCAAACATGAGAATGTGAGGACCCCAAGTAGGATCAGAAACCCAGACGCATCCAGGGCTGAGGAAACGGGACAAGAAAGCAGCACCGATATGAATGGCCCCAGATCCGGAGACAGATTGAACCGAGACAGTTCGTTGCAACAGCTCAGACTGGTCATCTTGACCCAATAGAAGCTTTTGGGCCAGTCTGAGGTAAGTGGCATCGCCCTCGATAGGGAGATACTCATGCTTCCCCAGGTCGTTTTGAGATAGGAGACGGCGTTCTGCTTCCAGTACCGAAGGCAATGGACATGGGTTCCCGTCATCCGAACGATAGGCCCCGATTAGGAGATCGACTTTTTGCGGGTTTTGGTCGAGTCGGTACTCTGCTGCCAGAGAAAATATCTCATCGGCGACAATGTTTGGTACTGCGTTCAACCATGACGGCGTGGCGTCCTTGGAACTGGTATCCTCGAGAGAGGGCATTTTGACAAGCAGCTGTCGTAAAGATGCTGGTGTATAATAGTTGCAAGTCTTTGATCTATACTTTTGAGGTGATTATGTCAAGGTGTTAAAGTGTCTCTATGGCGTAGTAATTATTTCTTCTTATTTTTTAATTACAATCAGTCAGTGTCGAGACTGCAAGAAGCAGAACTATGGAAATGCGGAATGGCGGAATTCGTATTAAAATATGAATGGCGGAAACAACAAACATATTCACCTCTGTGGAGTCTCTCTTCACGACAGAAGTGGCGTCTAATTCCGTCTTAAAAATCGTCTGCCATAAATTAAGCAAGGAGCACAAAACGCTCTAGGTAACCAATATTCAACCAAAACTCTGGTGGTATTAAAAAATTAAGCTACTCATAATCATGACCGAGTCTCAAATCCCCGTGGGCGAATACCTATTCCGTCGCATTGCCTCGCTTGGTATACGGCAATCAGTGGAAAAGCAGGACAGATTCGACTAGGAGTTTAAAAAGATCAAAGTAGACTGTTAATATAGATTTATAAGTATACTTAATGCCTGGTTATTAATAATATCAGAATATCTGTAACATTTTAGTAAGATGCCAGTATAATGAGCTATTTACATTATTTCAAAATTAATTGCATTTTGTTCAAATTTATTTTAACACAGCTTGTAAGGCGGTATTGGTGCGATTTTGTAAATTGGTGTACATCGGTATGTGATGATGATTCTTAGCCCTTCCGAGATTACGCTGGGTCCAGACGCAGGAACAAGAACGCTACCCAATAACTGCATTCCGATGCGGAAGATCGTTCCGTTTTCTACAAAGCCCAGCTCAGAACTACGTTCCGGATATCTACGAGTTCCGCGTTGAAATATTTAAGCAACACAAAATAAATAATCATCGCGGGGGATTAAACCTCGTACAAAATTTGACTAATATAAGAGAAACATTTATCTCGACGTCATCATGTCTGGAAAAAAGGTCTTACTCACAGGCGGCAGTGGGTTTGTTGGATCTCATTGCCTTGACCTTTTGCTTCAGGAAGGGTAAGTTCAATGACCATCTCAATTGAGTTTGCTGACATGACCAAGCTACGAGGTCGTTGCAACGGTGCGATCCGAGAGAAAAGGACAAGACATTCTCGGTGCCTTTCCTGCAGCCAAAGCCCAACTCTCATACGCCATTGTCGAGGACATTGCTCGTGAGAATGCTTTCGACGAGGCTGTAAGAGCTGCCAAATTCAATGCAGTTCTGCACGTAGCCAGCCCTTTTCACTACAAACCGGTGGATATACAGAAGGATCTTATTGACCCTGCTGTCAACGGCACGTTGAATATCCTCAAGGCAGTCAGCGAATACGCCCCAACAGTCAAGCGCGTCGTCATCACATCATCGTTCTCCGCGGTAGTCAACATTAAACACCCCGAGAAGATGTATCGAGAGCACCATTTCAACCCAATAACTCGGGAAGAGGCATATGAGGATGGCGTACAGGCTTATAGGGCTAGCAAGACATTTGCCGAGCGCGCTGCTTGGGACTTCATGCAAGTCAAAAAGCCTGGATTCTCTCTCTCCACGATGAATCCACCTCTGATTCTCGGACCACCGGTCCCATGGCTCGCATCCATGGACTCAATCAATACTTCGAATGAACGTCTGAGAGATCTTTGCCAGGGAAAATGGAAAGAGGGATTACCTCCGACAGCCTCGTGGTACTGGGTTGACGTTAGAGATGTTGCTCTCGCTCACGTTCGAGCATTGGAGAAGTCGGATGTTGGAGGAAGGAGATTCTTCTTAATGCAAGGTAGAATGAGTAATGCTCAGATCGCACAGGTGGCTGCAGATGAATATCCGGAGCTCAAGGATAAGATCCCCAAGACTCTGGTGGATGATACACCTGTCGATCTTTGGGAGGTTGACACATCACCATCGAAGGTCATTCTAGGCCTCGAGTGTCGGGATCTGAAGACCTGCATAGTTGACTCGCTGAAACTTTTGATAAATTAATAGCTGCTCGGAGGTGCGAGGTAAACCCAGCTGTAAATTAACTATCTACAATGCGACTATTCAAATCCTTCCCATCCGTTGCAGGTCTGGTGAAATATTACTTCCGACTCTATATGAGGCCCATAGTATCGTCCGAAACAGCTCACCATAATCCTGCAACCAGCACACCACCAGCCATCAAAGCAACAGCTAAAGACGCTGTCATACGAGAACCCGGGGAACCATCTACAGCCTCCGGCTTATCATCTTTCCTGCCCTCTTCCTTCTCTCTATCTTCGTCTTTATCCTCATTTGCAGCAGAAGTACCTGTAATTTTAGCTTTCAGAGTACTGCATGCATCTGGTCCAACTGGCACAAGATCAGTGATAGCAGGGTCATCACTGCACGCCTCCCATACTACGCGATATTCGGAAACATGCTCCGCCTGCCAGCTTGTCCATTCAGAAGCCCACTCCGAGAATTCCTCAGCTGACGATCCAGTAATGACAGGAAGTTTGCAAGGGTCTTGGGTGTTGTAGAGACTCCCGAGGGCAAAGGATACGCCCAGTTCGGACATGTCCATCGGAGGTGCGGGGGCGCCGGTCATTGACAGAGAGTCTTCGAGCGCCCAGCATGATGGCAACGTGAGAGATGGGCGTGAAGTGGTTATGGTTGGTGCTGCTGTTGGGGTCAGGGTTTGAGCAGCGGCATGAGCGCTGAAAGCGGTGAGGAGGAGGATGATGGAGGTATACATGTTTGGTTGGATATTTGCTAGTGTTGCAGTTAAAAGGATAATTCTCTTTTTTTTCTTCTTTAACGGCCGCTGCAGCGCCTCTTTAACTTCACACGCATACTCGAAAAAGGCCTCCAGAACAATGGAGGTAATTTAATATTTGTAATTTCATGTATTTTGGACTTGGCAAGCAGGCGCAATGTGCTGAGTCTTATCTGACAGGGTGCATGCATTGGTTGTTATATTATAGCCTAAACCTTGAAAGGCAGCTGACTTAATTCATGCTTATTCTAAGCCACAATCTTGCAATAAACCCTTGTAAATAACAAGAAACTAAGGCCAGCAATCCAATGCCGTGAAGTAGCTAACCCCACAGGCTAACCATCTATAGCACCAAGCATCAATCTTTGCCTTATAATATCCTTTTGCGGAATTCCGTTTCCTGTTATACTGACAGGAGGAGTGGTAATAATACGGATGTTATATTGTAGAATTTGAGGGCATCCTTGAACTATCTCCGAAACTCGTTTTGTATTAGAGTCATGCCATGTTGCCGCCACATCAGGTCCCACACAAAAGGAAAGCCCTTGGTATGCGAGATGTGCGGGAAGACCTACGGCCGCCAGTTAGTACTATAAAGCCTTGATTACCTCATGATGTCTCACATATTATCCCGTCAATTCCATGCCCCTGCCCTATTCCACTTTCTAAACTCTGCTTGCTGACGAGAGCCGGCCAGCGACTCCCTACTTCGGCATTCACGCACGCACGACCGCGACAGTAGCCAGACGGTGCTCAGAGACGCTGAGTGGCCGTCACCTTTGGACAATGCCGTCGTGTCTGACAATATCGCCGCCCACGACACCATATCTACCGCTCTCGACCCAGTCCAATGCCCGCCAGAACACTTCACTAGATCAGCCAACGCCAGGCCTGCCGCAGTCGCATGTTGCCGCATTTGCAGCTGAACCCGCCGTCCCTTGGCCGATGACGATATCGGAGACTGAGAGCGACCGCCCTGCAGATGGAATCTCATATGCTCTCCCCGACTACACTCCCCGACCACACAGTAACCTCGGTGTAGGCCTCAACAACTATGAACCTGCCTGGCTGCCCGGCCACGGCTTCAATATGAATGATGTCAACTTCTCTATCTTTTCTGCCATATCCGATTTTGGCCAGCGCAACTTTGCTCAACCGCCGCCACCGGATCATGACCAGGTCTATGCCGCGGCTGACGCCTTGAGCGTCCTTAACGCATCCCCAACCTTGGCCACAGCTCGAGGCCGGCAGGAGCACCAGCAACAACAGAACCAACCCCAACAGTCTGCATCCATCGTCCAGCATAAATGGCACACTCAGCTCAGCTCCAGCTTGCCCGTGCACATGCCCAGCGCGCCCCTCAGCGATCCTGAGCAAGTAGGTGACGAATATCGGAGAAGGGCTCTCCCATCGACTGCAGCCTCCTGTTAGCAACACGGTTCTACCCTCGGCCGACTTTTTCGTATGCACTCCCTTAATCCATTCCCGTTGTTCGTCACTGAAGAGAGATGACAGAACCTATGTATCAAGCTCTACTTTGCTCAATTGAGTCCCGTGTTTCCGTTGATTCGTGCGCCCTCTTTCCGCCCTTCGTCGGAAAGTGCTTTGCTGCTGCTCTCAATTTGTTCCGTCGGTGCGCTCTTCGTCGGCTCTCCAAGTGCTATGCCCCAAGGCAGGAGAATATTTCAGGTTCTAGACAAGGCGGTTGTGTCATCTGTAGGTGGCTTCCATGCAAATCTTGTATCTATTATAATCTAACGCCGACAGTGGGAAAACTACATGGGTCGCGACAAACGCGAAACCTCATCACTTATGCAGGCAGCTCTGATCGGTCAGACTTTTGGCTTGCTCTCCGGGCGCCCGCAGGACCTCTGCATGTTGGAGGCATTTGCCGGTACTGTAATCTCTTGGGCTCGTCAGGGAGGTTTTTCTAAGATCAAGAACTCTCTCGAGGTGGTGGGCCTGAATCAAATTGGTAATAGCAGCAGTTAGTCCATCGACGAGGCGTGGAAGTCGTGGGCACAAGCCGAAGAAGCGGTCCGACTCATCCTTGGCCTCTACGTTCACGACTCTGAGTTTGCCACCGCCTTCCACCATGAGCCCCTACTCCGGCATACCGAAACGAGGCTCCCTGTATCCTGTTCTGAGGATCTCTTTTTGGCCCCTACTGCGGTTCAGTGGCGTTACTTACTGAGCAAACAAACCGCGAGTATAAGTACAAACGTATCGTCTTCGGGCGAGCCTGCGCGTCAGCCAACATCCTTACCTCGCTCCGAAATGTTCCATACGCCTCGCTGGCCGGCATAATGGCGTCTATACAAGAAAATAAGGCGTTAGCTTTAGACACTGCTACTATTCCTTACTTTCGGGATCTGTTGCTGACATGGCACAAAGAGCATATGAGTAAGCATCGTGAGGAGAGGAATCCTAGGGGTTTGATTGTGCTCTGGCATGCTGCTTTCATGACGCTATACGTCGATTTTGATCCCCTTGAGCGCGCCATCGGCCGCGATGGGACTGATGAGGCGGCAAAGGTCTCAGACCGTGTCAAAGTGTGGGCCGGCTCATCCGAAGCGAAACACTGCGTCCTACATTCTTTACTCGTCCTAAAGAATCTTGAGACGCTACCAATGGGCCTATAGCCGGCAATCCACGTGCCCAAGTCGCTTTTCTACTCGGCCGTCGTCACATACTGCTACATCACATGCAGCCCCTCGCTTCACGCCCTCTCAACCCCGTCTTGAGAGGAGGCGATTGCTGCTGAACTGCAAATGTTGAATACGGCTGGCACAGCAAGAGATATAGAGGGAGGTGACCGGGCGTGGCCGGGAACATTTTCGGCTGTAGATTCGAGCATATTATGCAACACGATCGATCTCTTACGTGGGGTCGGGCATTGGGGACTCTCGCGCAGATTTGCTTCCATCTTAGAGTTGCTAGTAGGTGACCTAGTCAGCTAGCAGAGCCAGTCAGGTTAGGGTAGTGATGTAAGCAAGGATGTGCTACCAAACTATATAAGATTTTAAAGTCCCTCATTATATGTACAGTGACAAAATCAACCTTCTCGCCATCAACTCCATTAGGCAGTAGAGACGATCAGGTTCAAAGAGTGTGATACAGGGAATCCAAGAGGTGTTTGCATATAGATCTCGGGCTCTACATCTAGGTAATATGGGTAGCTGGCAAGGTTCCGGGCCCTTTACAACGTGGATTGCATGCTCCTGTCCCACGAGCGGAGTAACGATTTGTTCCCCTGCTGCGAGACCTGACAAGGCTGCCCACAAACCTTCCCCACTTCGTCTGCGGGACTAGTCTATATAATTCTCCATTAATCTTGTATAAAGAATGCTGGGAGAAAAGGCAGAGACCTCTTCCAGAGCATGTAATTTTTGCAGGATGTACTACTAGAATAGATAGGGGTTTTCTAATCAAATGCAGACTCTCCCCTCTAAATGTCAATATTTTTCAGGCACTTTGAGCCTTAAACCTTTCTCTAGTAATTAGACCCTAATGTAACTAACCACGAACCCGAGTTTCTACTATAACACATATTTACAAAGTACACACACTATCAGGTCTATGAAGAAGGAATACACGAGGGCGGGACAAACAAAGGGGCAGGGGCTGAGAATAATATCAAATTCACTATCAAGATAATAATTGCAATTTGACAGGAGCAACCCAAGCTTTTAAATGATAGGTATGGTCAAAGACGACTTATACTGTCCTTCAGTGTATACAGAGTGCAGGCCCACGTTTTCATCATCCGGCTCGGTAAGCCTAATGTGCTCAACCTCAGGGTAAGCCATTTCGTGCCCCGAAATCCGCAGCATGAGGCCCTCGCCCTTCTCAAAGACCATGCCGGTTGGCCAGAACGTAATCTCGAGGCATGCCACCGTCCCTGCAGGTACAGGCTCGCGCCTGTCGTGGGCATAGAAAACCTCCTGACCATCACCGCGCGTCCTGCTCTTGTCCAGCGACACAGCGTGAGAGGCCCGCAGGTATCCCTCGGTGTCGATGATCTTGGCCACATTGGTGTTGGCCACCTCGCTGCACGGAACTGGGCAAGGGTAGTTGAGGTGCTCCAGCAACTTACCCTGGGCATCTATCTTGCGTAACTGCACGACCACGTCCATGTCATCTTTGTCCGCACACGACATATTCACGATCACCTTGGCGTAGCCTGCCAACTCGGTATACTTGTCAAAGTACAGCGTAAAGTCCTACGCCCGGTCATTAGTCAGGGGTCAAAAATTGAAAGGTGGTAACAGCTTACTGTGGAGTCCTCCAGATGGTGCGAGTTGTGCTGTGCCTGTGACAATTGTTGGGGATTCTCCTCAACCAGGCTGTTGCTGGCTGCGTCTAGGTAATACGTTACCAGCCTTTGCCGTGCGAGTGGGTACTCCTGCTCCGGCCGCTCGATGATCGTCTTTGCTGGACTGCCGTCAAAGCCTATGAGAGACAAGCGGACTGGCGGAATATCACGCTCCCAACCATTACCAATACCCTTGACAAACCTGTCAAAGTACCGCTGAAGCTCGTCTGTGATCTCAGGCCGATAAAGGTCATACCACTCCTGGTGCGGGTGAACGCGCAGCCACTTTTGCGTGCTCTTGGCAACGCGGAAGGTATTGAATGAGCCAGCAACGTGGAGTCCTGAGGAGTAAGACGCCGTCAAGTAAAGCGGCACATCGATGTTGGCAGTATCTATGTACTTGCTCTGCCAGTAATCGTCAAATAGCGGTCGGTTTTTGAGCATGCCGGACATGTCCTCGACCGAGTTGGGTCCCGCAAAGCCCCCCATGATTAGGTCGAAGAATTCCCTGTGGTGTGGCTTGCCGCCACGAGCGACACAGTCACGGTATGGGTCGCTGAAAGCCTCCATTGGAGCAAGCGCTTTAAGGGCTGGATGCTTGAGACGGGAGGCATAATTGATCTGGGCAACAGCCAGCCACGAGTTGCCCATCATGGCCACAGAGCCATCGCACCACGGCTGCTTGGATGCCCATTCGATGGTGTCGTAGACATCCTCTGCTTCCTGGATGCCAAACCAGTAAGTGTCGCCCTCGGACATGCCGGTTCCACGAGGGTCAACGCTGACGATGGCGTAGCCTCTGCCGCACCACTCGGCAGGGTCGGGACCCTCGAATTTCTCGTACCCCGACGTCGTCTCAGCTGGCACTCCGCATCGGTATGGGCCCATAACATCATACTGCTGCGGCCCTGTACCGGACTTGCCGTAGGGACTCCACGGGATCAGTGCTGGGACCCTCACTGTGTGTGAGTCCACGGGCCGGAACACATCTGTGTAAATCTTGACCCCATCTCGCAACGTAATGACCACGTCTTGGTCAAAGGCTACGTCGTGAGGGAACGCTCTGCGACCAGGCTCCTTGACATGGCCTTTGGGAATCGTGGTTGTGCCGGGCTGAAATCCCGGGTAGTGGAAAAAGTCTGCATCAGTGACCGATACTAGTTTGGTGAACTTTAAGTCTGGGAACTCGGCCTTGAGTTTCTGTTCCGTGGTAGGAGCCATGATTATCAGATGAGAAGAAAATGAATAGTGAACAAAGTCAGAAGCATAGGAGTCTAAGTATATCGCTTAGCTGTGGCAGCCTATCTAATACTTTAAATAGAAGTCTATTAGTCTTGTTGGCATAGGTAGCACGTGGGGAAGATTGTGGGGAAGATTGTGGGGACGATTGTGGGGAACTGAGAAATGCGGGGAAGTGCATAATGCTTTAAATGTCCCACTATAAGAACCCTAGCTACTAGTATGACGGGGATACTGAGCCGGGTGTCGAGGGCGCGGGCTTGGACTCAATTGTGCCACTCGGCAAACTCCCGCGCATCGGTGACGGGGTTGAGGACGTTGAAGTGGTTCATGAGCTTGCCGCCGATGAGTTCATCGGTGGGTGGAAGAGAGAAGAAAGAGTCGTGATCTTTCTGCAAAGAGCCGCCCGGCCCAGGTCTGATCATGTCGATAAAATCCGTGGAGCCAGCCAATGAAACCAATGGTGCCACACAAGGTACCCGAATCGCATTACCACCTATCTGTAGCAATTTGCCCTATGAGCCACTAACCGCCGTTACGAATGGCAAGCACTTTGGTCTACAGAGTAATGGGTCATGTATGTTTTCAATAACTGAATGAGTTATTGATAGAATAAGAGATGTTATGCTTGGAAGTAGTGTTTATGTTTAGGCTAACATGTTGTCGAATGTCGTGGGCGTCAAAGAATTAATGCATTTCACAAACACCTCACATAGGTGCCTGTCTTGTCTTTTCGTAGTACAAGTAGAGTGACATGTTTTATTTATTTATCAACCATAAATCAAGAGAGTCTGGCTCAATTTTCCATCGGCTCCAAAGTTTCTAGTTATAATAAAACTGCTACTATCTTAATAATTATGCCCTATTGGCTAGCAAGCCTATGCATTAAGGTCTGCATCTTTTTTATTTCAAAAGGCAGATTTTATACTAATCCTATACCATAGTTCATTATTTTAATATTTAACACAATAAAAGCCTAGGTCTTTTTCTAAGAAATATCCTGCAATGGTATACTTTGCGTTACTTCCCTGATACTTAACTAATTAATTAGTATAGACTCCTAGTAAATCGATGCAGGTACAAAGACGGATATTATACTGCTTAGATAAGAAAGTAAATAGATAGCAGAGGCGGCGAATATAGACATAGGCATCTAGAAGGTGTTAATGCAATTAAAAGGGAGTTAGTTAATACTATCTTAAATAGTAATAGTATATAAAAAGGCGTATCTGGCATCTATAGATCCTTTAATCTATTATACTAAGTCTTTAAGCTCTTTCCTATTATCTCTTAACTTAAAAATATATTAGTCTATCTAAAGATATTAATAGATTTAGTTAAAAAGCTTAATTAAGTTATATAATATATCTAGGTATATAAAGTACTATTAAATTACTAACTCTAAGTGCTTATTCTTATTAAAGGGCTAGATATTATTTAAAAAATAGAATACCTATATTAGAGCCTACTTTACCTTAGGAAGTATTAGGATTTTAATAATAGACTTTAAAGATTATATCTTATAGTTCTCTTAGACTAAAGCATATAGATATTCCAGTAAGATATATATATTAAATAGTGCTTTTACGCTCTGTAAACATAGACTAACTTTATCTTTAGTATCGGTAATTATAAAGAGCTTATAATAAATATCACTAAAAGAGAATATTAGCCCTTGGGGCTGCTCTTGGTCTATCGCTCGGCGCTATTCTTAGGCATCTCGCGCTTCAAAAGCCTTCGAATAAGCTGAAAGCCTGAGAGTATTTATTGTATGCAGAGTAGCAGCTCCTGGTTGACCTAATAGATAACTCAATTGGCCGTCAAGAATGTAATGACCAACAAGCGCGCGGTGATAGACTTCTTCTGCGGCCCATTGCTTCCAGTCACGCTTATCGTTGACTTCTCGGTGGGGTTGTTGTGATGACGCTCCAGACAAATTGTTCTGGTTTGCCCAGTTAAAGCCTAACCTATGAAAGACCTGGCTGGTAAGTTTCAGGTCTGCTTTCTACGGAAATTAGCCAGTTGTCATATTATATGAGCGAGTCTGGTAGGTTACCTCGGACATGACAGCATAGCATTGGCCGAGAAGTGCAGTCAGCACGAGCTGGACACCCCTGTGTGAATCGTAGGGCCCTCTGTGGCGTAGTAACGCCGTCCACTGCATTGCCATATCAGCAAACGATTATGAGGCTGTTAAACTATCGGATGCATACAGCGGTGGCAACGGCGGTGTGAGCCAGTCTCCATAGTACCTCTCCCTTGCTAAGTCAGCTTATCATCACATCATCCGAAACAGTGTGGACTCACCCCGTGACCCGCATCATCTGTACCAATAAATAATGATCCAAGCGCTATAGCATTAAGGATCAAGCTCGGCGAACAATCACGATATACAAAGGTTGGTCGATGAAGAATTGGGTAGATGTTGAAGTGGGAGAAGTATGCTTGAAGACAGCTATCAAGAAACGCTGGATTGAGTTCCGGTAGAGACTTTGCGGCTGACGTGACATTCTGTGACTGCTTCATTGTCAACCTCTTAAATTTGATATTTACTTTAACAGAAATACATACTAGGCATGTCATCATATCACTGAGGCTTTGGATTGCATCGCGGGAGCCATTCACGGGTGATAATTGATCCGAGTCCTGACTCTCCTCGACATCTGCTGACTGGTCGTCTGAGAGAACATTGGGCGGTGGCAGCGATTGCTGGAGTGGGTGAGGTGTTGGTATACTGCCAGGGGGTAAGGTCAACGAGCCCCAGTCGAATGTGATGATGCTGTGTAGGAGAGCTTCAGAATCAGGCCATTGCAGGTGCATATCAAGCTCTGAATTGGATAGAGCAGGATTAGCAAACATGTCCCCGTTGATGTCTGGCATTGGCTCGTAGGTGATACTGTGGTTCTGGTTCTGTTCGATAACACTTTGGATGCTTGTATAGTCCGACATACTAGGGGACATGGGCCAGCCATCTTGCGGCTGCTGTTGGTCTTGATCTTGCTGTTGCTGTTGTTGGACCCGAGCATGGGTTCGCTGGTGCCTCGTCACTGAATCTGGCCGGCTGAATTGGCGTCCACAGACTCGGCAGGCAAAAGGTTTTGCCCCAGTGTCTAGAGTGGAACCAGGCCAGGGTCAGTCATTCAGTGCATTTATCACGGGGTATGATATGAGCGGCGTCAGAGGGAGGAAAACTTACGGGTTCTTTCATGTCGCTATTGATATCAGTCATCTAGTGCAGCATGTCTAGGACAAACAATCGAACGTCCCAAGTCGATAAGGAGTACTGACCTGCAAATGCTCTGCTTTGGAATACGTCTTGTGACAAATGGAGCATGTCAGAGCTGATCGCTGATGGCGGGTTCGTACGTCATGTCTTGTCATACTAGCTATTAGAACAGCACAGGCTGTTTGCAGTGAATTACAGGTAGCTTTGGTGATGGCGAGAGCACAAGGCGTGGAGAAGAAATGGCTTCCGGGGTGGAAGATGCGGATGCGTCGGGGAAGTCAGTAGATTGCGGGGAAGCGAAATTCAGCTGATTGGGTTTAGAGTGTATTGACTTAAGTGTATGATTCCCCACATCCCGAAGCCTGAGTCTCTAGGGTTGGTCTCAACGACCAGAGCTTTCACGCCTAGTTTGGATAAGAGGTAGGCTTGTAGGAGGCCGCTCGGGCCTCCTCCAATGATGAGAACAGGGACTTTGACTGCTTCGTCGTGATCATTGGCATCATGGCCATTGGTACCATGACCGTTGGTATCGTGCCCATCGGTTTGGCTAGCCACTAGGATAAAGACCGTGTTGTCGGTATGACGGTTGAAGATTAAGATACCCATTATACTAGATTTGTGTGCCAATCCTATTTGTTTGGTGGGTTTAAGATGGTTGACGATTTACTCGATGCTGAGAGACAGGGTAAAGAGAGCAATGGAGATATAGATAACACGACTTGCAGTCCTCCGAAGCGGCAAAAAGAAAAATATGCATTTCTTGTAGTCGGGGCAAGATACAATAACACCCACTTTTCTAGGCTTTCGATTTATTTTCGAACGCTCGACTTTCGGGTTCCACGCCCAGAAAGCCAAGCGGTGGGTAGGACTTGGTGACAAGGTTTGGTGGAGAAGTTGTGGAGAGCCCTCGCCTCTCCACGATGGGCCGATATAGGAGAGATGCGAGTCGAACTCTGGGAGATGGTTAAATGTCGATCGTATTGGCGGAGAATTGATAACGGGTAGCTCATCGTCGGCTTGTCTGTTTTATCTTGGTAATCATGTCGCTAACCTCCTTCACCCGTAAGCACAAGTCCAGCATAACTCTGCTAGTTGACTAGAAACCTAACAATTAGAATGCAGGACTAATTCGTTTCACTGCCAAGAATGAACCATCCAAGATTCTGATTGGTGAACCTGTATCAGGCAGTGTGGACGTCGGCTTAGTGTTGAGGAATGGCCAGGATGTCTGGGCGTACCTCTTCACTGGATCCTCCATGCTAGAGCTTGGAAACAAGACAGGACAAAAGGTGCAGGTTGATCGGTTGCTTTCCCCTCTTGCGCAGCATGAGGTTGGCACCATTCGGTGCATTGGCTTGAATGTAAGATATGCAATTGCAAGCATGATTCAAGGGTAATCTACTAACTGCATAATTCCTAGTACAAACAGCATGCTCGAGAGGTCAATCTAACTATACCGACCGTCCCAACCGTTTTCTTGTTAGTTAATCGTCCTATAGCACTGCTAGACTTGGCTAAACCTTGATAGGAAGCCAGCCACGAGCCTCAATGATCCCTTCCCATCACCAATCCCTCTGCCGAAAATATCTCAGTCGACTGATTCAGCCGACTACGAGTCAGAGCTAGCGGTAGTCATTGGAAAGACTTGCCGCAATGTAACTGAGTCTCAGGCCTATGATTATGTCCTTGGTTATACAGCCTGCAACGATGTGTCATCTAGAGCACCCCAGTTCCGAGACAGTCAGTGGTGTTTCTCCAAGGGATTTGATAGATCATGTCCTCTAGGTAAATACAGAAAGCCTCTCGAAGTTTTCAGTAGTTTTTTGAGTGGTACTAGCGATCATAGGCCCGACATTGGTGTCTCGTGACGCGATCCCTGATCCAAGCAGGCTTAAGCTAAGAGGCATCCGAAACGGACAGCTTGTGCAAGACTGTGGAATAGAGTAAGAAAAGCCTAGCATTTTAGGGACCTGCTACTAATATTGGCTAGTGACCTGATCTTCAACGCGCCTCAGATTGTTAGCTATCTATCTCAAGACACTACTTTGCCAGCAGGAACGGTTATCCTGACGGGAACACCTGCAGGCGTAGGATATGGACGGTCCCCACGACAGACTTAAAAAAGGCAGATGAATTTTCAGTGGAGATTTTGCCCTTCATTGGCACGCTTACAAACTTGATCGAAAACTCTTAATGGTGTTCGGGGCTCTCATCAACAGTTAAGGTTTAGATACAGATATAAATGGAAGATTGTGAGATATCTAAGATAGAGCCATAATGTTTCCCAAAAAGTAATGCCAAGTAGTAAGAACAACTTTGTGTATTTGACGACCCATGCAAATGACCACAAGACGCAAATAAGTCTGACCGAATGCACTGCTACGTTTAAAGTTCAACTAGATATTGTACTGGTGTCTGCATTGCTCTGTTAAATGAGACCCCGCAATACCAGCTGTGGGGATAGGGAGGCATGGATGGACCTTGTGATCATGGGATCGTGAATCTACCAATTCCTGATCAACCAAAGGAAGCTCATTGTCCATGAGCCAACTCCCGTACCATCGCTGACGAGTTCAAAATTTGGGCTCCCCACGACGTAGCCTCAATCAGTCTAGACCAAAGTTAGTTTCCACCAGCTTGAATTATTCTTCCCCACGACCCCCCGATTTCTCCACATCTTGTCTAGGCCGTAATGCCGCTTGGTCATCATCATTCGTCCCTGGACTAACAGGACGACTGCCTTCTATGCAACAAGGAGGACCAGCTCCTCGAGGTCATCTTATCAGAATCAAGTCAAGCGTGGCAGGTTGATACGACGTTGATCATCTCGCCCCGCTTACTGTTCCTGTACCCCAGATTCTGGAGGTGGGGTCTGCGTCTGATCTGGGGTATAAGAGGAGACAAGTGAAAGCTATCTCAACTTTCCTAACTACCGTTCCGATTCTTATGTACACTGATTTGTCTTCGCTACCCTCGCCATGGCAGAACAGGAGAATTCCGAGATCCATGCCGAGACAACAACCAGCATCCGCCCACCTGGTACCGAACTTCTCTACGACAACGCAAGCTATCTACAATATGTCAAAGACAAACAAGTCAATCATATCATTCTCGTGCCCCAGCCTTCTACCAACGATCCAAATGATCCACTCAGATGGTCCAGGGCCAAAAAGTGGATTGTCTTCCTGAATGGCGTTTTCTACGCCTTTATGGGAAGTGTTACTGGTCCGATCATGGCTGCGGGAACGATACCGTTGACACAAAAGTTTGGTGTTTCTCTGCAGAAGCTTACTTATGCGAATGGCGCCACTTTGATCTGTCAAGGTGTTGGAAATATATTTTGGATGTAATCTCAAGACTTCCCCTTGCGTTGAACGTCCTTCTAACTAGTTGATTTTAGGCCTTTCGCTATCAAATTTGGCAGACGACCGGTGTATTTGATGTTCAATCTATTGATGGGTGTAGCGTGTATCTGGCTTGGCATTGCATCCAACGCTACATACACGCCTTTTGTCATCGGCCGGGCTTTTCTGGGGCTGTTTGAAGCACCCATCGAATCAATAGTTCCAACCACTATAACTGATACGTTCTTCCTCCACGAACGCGGAGCCATGGTTTCTATTTACGGTCTTTCCGTTCTTAGTGGTAACGAACTTGGGCCTTTGGTAAGAGAAGCATTGCCCTTCTTGTTGTGATTTTGCTAATGTGCAATTCAAGTTCTCTGCCCTCATCATTCAGTACCTTAGTATGGCATGGGCATTCTACATCGTAGCTATGTTCATCGGTCTCAATTGCCTCACCATGTTCTTCTTCATGACGGAAACAAAATACACGAACCCGCATTTCCCGACCTCCTTGGGAATCACTGCGCAAGGTCAGCCGGAGGAAAAGATCTGCGCTCAAAAAATCGAGGATATACATAGTAGCTTTTGCAATGAGCCAGCAGCTCAGGCACATGCTCTACAGAAGGATAACTACCTCAAGGAACTTCGGCCATTCCGAAAGGGTGATCCTCAAATATCTCTGCTGAAGGTATTCCTTCGACCTTTCGCGCTCTTATGTTATCCCACGGTGTTATGGGCCTCTATGATATACGGTGTGTCTCTTGGCTGGAATGTCATAATCGGTTCCACCGTGGCCCAGCTCTTCGGAGGACCATACGGGTTTGACTCCCAAGCACAGGGCCTGATATTTCTATCTCCTTTTGCAGGGTCAATCGTTGGCGCATGGCTCTGTGGTTCTGTTTCTGACTCTTGGTCTAACTATCTTACGCGCAAAAATGATGGTATTCGCAAGCCCGAGATGAGATTGCCCGCCATGTGTATGGGAACATCACTGTTGCTGTTTGGATCCCTCATCGCAGCCTTAACATATCACTTTCACGCGCATTGGGCTGGGCCTGTTATAGGCTTGGGTGTACTAACTGCGGGGGCTCAAATCGGTGTTTCCCTGTCCATGAGCTATGCTCTGGACTGTCACAAAGAGGTGAGTAATCTATGTCGCTGTATTGTACAAGTGCGTACTAACGCAACTCACAGTTATCTGTCGAGTTGATGGTGACAGTAGCATCTCTCAAATCTCTTATGGCATGGATATGGACGTGGGTCATTAACGACTGGATTGTAAGCAGTGGCATGCTTACAGTTTATATGATTATTGCTGCTATTAATGTTGGTATTCACTTAACGACAATTGGTCTATATTTAAAAGGTAAATATATTCGTATTTGGCTTCAGAAAAAGGACTTTACTTAGTAAGCTTAAGTTAAATAAGATTATTTCATAAACTAAAATAAAAAGTACATAAGTCTTAAATATTTAATTAGATTTTTATGATATATAAAATGTACTTAAGTAATATGACTTATTATATATTTACTAAATAGCTTTATTATTATTTTATGTTAGAATTAAACAAATATCAGTGCAAGTGTCGTGGCAGCAGAACAACTATGGAACTGGAGCCGCAATCGTTCTGGAGCCCCGAGAGGTCTGCATCTTCGGTCGTTATTGGGAACCCTTCGCTCTTTAGATGGAGGCTCTTATCGTTGATCACCGAAGAGATCCCGGAAGTAGCATTGAACATAGCGACAGTTTGACCTGCTCCAGCCATTTCTGCGCTTGTCGAGAAGTGCAGCGAGGCAGCGTTGGTTCAGCTTAAAAGTCCGCACTTGGGGAGGGCTTAGCGGAGGATTTGCAGGCATGATTGGACGCGATGGAGAGCAAGTCGAAGGCTGCGCAAGAGGCGTCGTTGCGAGGGCGTGAAATTGTGCCATTTGTAGTTATCCAGGTTCGATTTGATACCATGAGATTTTGACTCTTGAGTAGAATTGTGATGTGAAAGATATGTGGCAATTTCTATCGCTTATTACGCCGTGTCGCGCATCTGGCTTAACTTTGAGTTATCACAATAATACTTTACGTGCTCAGGGTTGCTGTTCTACGCCACTCGATACTGACTTCAAGTTTTTGGCTTAACAATGGTATCACGGCTAGTAGAGGTGGTGGTTTTGACTCTTGACGGGATGTAGGTGACTGGGTTTGGCTATTTCCTTATTGTTGAGAGTGATAATGGACTATAGGGACATCTCTAAGTCTTAGAATACTCGATGCTTTAGTCCAAGGCACTCTGAACCCAAGTATAGACCTTGCGAAATTGGATTTTAGCCAGATGTTAGATAGCTTCTTGTGAAAGAAATCGCAAATGGAATTTTCATCCCCATGAGGCAAATAGTAGTGTCAATTGCGTGTATCTAACGCTCGATTTGCTTGAGAGTGAGAGACAAATACCGCCAATTGTGTAATATTAAACGGGAAACGCCAACTGCAACGGTTGGCAGTTATCTCCATTGCGACGTATCGCAAATATGACAGTTACACTGTAACTCAAGTATCTATCAATGCCCAACTATGAAGAGCCAGAGTTATCAGCACACGACCAGGCCGCTGAACCTCCAGATACTTTGTATGAGGCTATAATGTCAACCACGGAAGCATACGTCCCAGCAATAGTTAGAAATGTCCCCAAGACGATGATGGTGACGCTCCAGAGCACTCCGATGGACCAAGTGATTGAGCGATCTTGCTTCCCACGCTTCCAGTTATCGTAGAGCCACATGCATCCCATAGGCTGGAATGAGAGTGATGTGGCAAGCAATGCCCCAATAAGAGAAACGAGCCCACCAAAGATGGGAATACCGCTGGCTATCACATACGCAACAACTGTGATACCGAAGGTACATCCTATCCAAGAAGCCCAATGGGTGAAGGTATTGGCCGCGAGATGCTTGGAGCCTCGCAAGACACGCACGAAGACATGTTTGCTCGCCAGCTAGAACATCCGCAGTATTAGCAACATCCCACAGACATATTCTAAGTAAGCACTCACATGGCAAGTCAACATAGTCGTGACTATCAGCCCAGGAAGGGCAATTCCATAGCTGATTCTCTTGATCAAGACACCTGCAGATCCGAGAGCTGGCGAAGCAACATACGAGCCACAGAAATAGTATACCACACAGCCGATTGCGATATAGCAAGCACTGATGACTGTTTGGCACAAGATCAGAGATCTCGTATAGTGTCTAGGGTCCCTCATTTCTGCAGCAATACTGAAAAAGGCCGGGGTACCTGCGTAAGCAAAGATCAACGCACAGATAGCGGACATGGCGTTGGTGAAGCTTGGCTTTTTGAAGAGCTCGTAGTCTGATACCCAAACCGCATCTTTGGGTGCAGCTGCAGGTCGATCTTGTATACCCACGGCAATTGTAAGGATGATGACTGTGTTTGGGACTTTAGCATGGTATTCTTAAGACAGGTGCGGGCATGTACTTACCAGAAGAGATGACACAGATCAATCCCAGCCAAGCGAGCCAACTTAGCTTCCCGAGTGTTCGGATGCTGGCAAAGATGAAACCAGTGATAGCTGCAACTGCGACAAAGACGGCAGTACATGTTCCGTGATTTGAAACGGCATTGAAGCCGATTGACACGCTGAGCATTGCCGATCCACAGACAAACGTCCAGTCTAAACCACCAAGCATCAGTCAAAGTTCAAGCACCCCGGTCTTCAACAGCAGGCGTTCTTTGACTTACAGAGACCAAAGGCAAAGCCGAAGATTTCCTGCCCAGCACGACCAAACATCAGGCCGCCAGCATCATCAATACCATAGACTTCACGATGCCGAAGCTTGAAAATGCCGACTATGTAATCTGACCACGTCGTAATTGCAGCTACGACGCAGAGGCAGATGAGGCCTGGGATCATTCCCAGCGTGTCGAACACAGACGGGATGGACAAGATTCCAAGGCCAAGCTGCGTCTTCATCATCAGACCAGCCGTACCCACCCAACCGACCTACACATACAATTAATATTCTGGAAAATCAATAGGCAGAGTAAACTCACATTGCGGTAATTTGGCCCGTCATTGGTGAGTCTTCCGAAAACAGCATCATGAGCATGACCAGGGTCATCATGAACTTCGCCAGCAAACACTTGACCCTCCTGGTCATCAACCTTTTCAGTACCAAGCATAGTAGTAATTAATCGGACAATCGAGCTCGTGTTCTCCTTCCGAATATTGAGAAACAAGGGAAAGTGACCCCGAGATGTGCATTTCGTCACGATGTGAAATTTTCTCCATTTCAGCAGTAATACCTCCGATTCTAACCGCCAAGACCATGAAAGCGGAGCACGTTTACGATACAAGTCATACAGTTGAGCTTTATTGGAGTTTTGTAGAGTAATTTCGTCTCATAGCCCCAGAGTGAATTCCACTTGGTTGAGAAATTTTGCCGATACCGGATGTTGGAGAATGGTGGGCGAGAGTTTGATTGGTTGGGGTAGTGATTTGGGTGGGTTATCAATCTGATCTAAACTCAATTGGAGATCTTTTTCGCTTAGTCCAAGGGACAGAATTTGTTGACTTTGTCATGCATTTCAATCGTTTGGCATTGTAGATGCTGCGAAAAGGTCGAACAAACATGCTTGCAACTCTTATGGTAAGTAAGTTCTGTATTCTACTTGCTCCGGGTTGACAGATCTTTGTCAATCGTACTAACCGGCATCAGTGCTGTTGTTCCCGAGCATAGACAAGCAGACCAAGTCACAGCTCTAATGAGAACGCCATGTTGAAAACGCATTTGAGATAAATTACAGGAGATAAATAGTTTAATTTCGAATTCGGCGGAGCTCAAGATGTACAATTCCTGATTCCGTTCTCTGTCTTGTCTAAAGCAGCAGAGCTGTTCCTGATTGCTCTTCACGTTATCCCGATTATCTTGCGTGTGATCTGCCCCTAAACCAAGAACGGAGAGGTCATGACGTTTCGGACGTTTTGTTCCACTGGCCTATCAGCATTCATTCTGTGGATCCACCAGAGGCTGAAACTCGAAGACCTCGGTTATAGGACCCCAAGGCTTTACGAGACTTCAACACATGTCTTGCAGATGCTGGAGTCTAGTTGGGATGAAATCGACATGCTACGTTATGGTTTTGACAATATACATATTTCGAAGTCAGTACTTGGAAGGATAGAAAATTTATGCTGCGATTATTCTATCTTGTTGCTCCTTTCCCCATGTATTTATGCCATCCAAGCTGGATCCTTACGGCGATTTATGGAGCGAGTTCCCCAACGTCATGGAGGCACATCCCAATTAAAATAATCCGGAACTTGATATAATAAATAAAAATCTGGAAATCCTATTTCTTCTATTTCTGTTATACTTGAGATGCAAAGATTAATTGCAGAAGCAGATCGCAAGGCAGTTCAGGGTAGGCGTGTGTACTGGCCATCGAGTCGGCCCGATACCTGAGAACCAATGACAGTGCGTTGCCCAAGGGAGATCCCGAGCGTTGATTGTGCCTACGATATCTTGACGGGATGACATTCGACCTGCCAACTTGATCTAGATCGATTGCCACGTGTTGGTGACGGTTTGCAGCTACAGTGATCGGCCGACGAACCGAACAGGAGCACAACCAATTGTTATCAGCAAACAGTAGCTAAGCTTCAATGAATAATTCATGACAGGCGTCCAGACGTCGCAACAATGTTTCAACAGACCTATCATTCGTCATTTTCGGCCCCGGCAGATGAATCGCGGGGAAATCTGAACCGTCTCTCTGGATCTAGACCATTCAACGGACTTCTCTACCACGGACTTCTCACCGTCAATCCCTCATCACGAGTCACTAAAACGCAAAGCCTAACTGAATTGAACGTTGGACCACGAAACGCAACGGGCGTTTTCGCGTCGAGCTATGCGGGAATTGGCCGAGCGAAAATCCCTGTTTTTGGAGATGGAGACGTTGAGATTGGCTGGTCTGTTCGAGAGCATTCCGATCCACTTTATTAGCATGAGAGATTGCCATAACCTTGTTTCTCGTTGGTCAATCATGTGCGAGAGTACCCCACCCCCAGATTGGACTCGCCGTTGCGGAGAAATTGGGCCTCGAGAAAATTACGTACTGGGACTGGGAGACATTTCTCCAAGATTCTGTGGTGCCATTTGGCGGTGAATCGGGCCATGAACTGAGAGAAAACTGGGAATGACCTTGGAGAAATACAGACAGAGAATATTCTACTCATTCAGGTAAGCAGACATAAAGAGTCTGCCGTCTCTTGGTGCCCAGACCTGAGCACCCAAGCCGACGATTGCCATCCTCCCCCCATCTTTCATGTGCAAGCTAGTACCATTCAGGCATCTGTCCCGCACTCTCAAGGCTAGGCAAACTTCTTAGCCCGTCTCTCCCTCCGGAAACCTGGCCGATCACCTCTCCATCTTTTCCCCCCAGCATTTAATAGAAATATTGGGGCGGTTGCCCATTCTCCATCTTTCCCCAGATCACACTTCCCCGCATCTCTCTCTCTCATATCACTTTTTTCTTGTTATTTTCGGTCCCGGCCTTTGTTGAATCATGTCGGACGAAAAGGTCTCGGCCGCCGCCCCAGAGGCTCATCTAGATATGTCTGATCCTAGCAAGACTCATCCCGATGTTATCGACCATGCGCGCTCTGCGGCGCAGAAGGAGCAGAAGATGACCCTCATGCAGGGCATCAAGCTGTATCCCAAGGCTGTCGCGTGGAGTATTCTCATCTCGACTTGCATTGTCATGGAAGGATTCGATATTGTCCTTGTCAACAACTTCTGTGAGTTGCGCCGCATACATGTACGCGACATGGACTGACAATTGCTGTTCAGATGCTTTCCCTCAGTGGAACAAGAAGTATGGTCAACTCCAACCTGATGGAACATACCAGGTGTCAGCAGCCTGGCAAGCCGGCTTGAGTAATGTATGAGCCATCAAAGGCCACTCAATTGACAAAGCTAACCATCTTAGGGTGCCAACGTCGGTTCCATCATCGGTCTCTTCCTCAACGGTTGGCTCTCAGAGCGCTTCGGTTATCGATACACCATCATCGGCTGCCTCATCTGGCTCTCAGCCTGCATCACCCTCTTCTTCACCGCCCAGAACGTCCAGATGCTCCTCGCCGCCGAGATCCTCTGTGGTCTGCCATGGGGTATCTTCCAGACCATCTGTGTCACCTACGCCTCCGAAGTCTGCCCCATCGCCCTCCGAGGTTATCTCACCACATACGTCAACTTCTGCTGGGGTCTCGGACAGGAAATCGGCATTGGAATCTTGCGATCTATGATCGGCCGAACTGATCAGTGGGCTTACAGAATCCCTTATGGTCTGCAGTGGATCTGGCCTCTGCCTTTGATCGTGGGCTTGTGGCTTGCTCCCGAGTCTCCTTGGTGGCTTGTCCGCAAGGGCCGTGTTGCTGATGCTAAGAAGAGTCTTCTCCGACTTACGAGCCTTAACCGTGAGACCGATTTCGATGCTGATGAGACTGTCGCTATGATGGTTCATACAACTGCTCTCGAGGAGAAGCTGACAGAAGGAAGCTCTTATATCGATTGTCTCAAGGGTGTCAACCGTCGCCGAACAGAAATCGTCTGTATGGTTTGGGCCATGCAGAATCTCAGCGGTAACTCCTTTTCTAACTACTCGACCTACTTCCTCGAGCAAGCCGGTATGTCTGCCGAGCACGCCTACTCCTTTGCTCTTGGCCAATATGCGATCAACATGATTGGTGTCTTCGGTGCATGGGGTCTGATGTCTATTGGAATTGGCCGCCGAACTCTTTATCTTTACGGATTGTGCGGTCTCTGCACTGTTTTGTGCATTCTTGGCTTCCTTGGACTTGTCCCTGAGGCTGATCGCCAGAAGGGTGCTCTCGCCACCGGCAGTCTGATGATCGGCTGGGCTGTTGTTTACCAGCTCACCGTCGGCTCCGTGGCCTACTCCCTTGTCTCTGAGCTTCCTTCTCGACGACTTCAGATCAAGACCGTCGCTCTTGGACGTATCTTCTAGTAAGTCTGACTCACAAACTACAAAAGTACGCGCAGCTAACCTATTGCAGCGGCATTGTTGGTATTGTCAACGCTGTTCTGGCTCCTTACATGCTCAACCCCACCGCTTGGAACTGGAGCAACTACACCGGTTTCTTCTGGGTAAGTCTTGAGCCATTCACTCACTGGATCCCCAAGCTAACAGGCTCAACATGGTGGCATCTGCTTCCTCTGCGTCATCTATACCTACTTCCGCCTGCCCGAGCCCAACGGCCGAACCTTTGCCGAGTTGGGCGTTCTGTTCGAGAAGGGTGTCAGCGCTCGAAAGTTTGCTACCACCAAGGTCGATGTCTTCCACGAGTCTGTCGATGATCACGTTCTCGACCAGTTGAGCAAAGCCGATCAGGCTACTGTCGAGACTGTTGAGCAAGCCCCAGCACACAAATAGATCTCGATCAAGCGATGAAACGCCTAGACCACACTCTACTAAACAGCCTTTGCTTGCAGATAAGCAGGTCAAGATCACTTATGTATATAATAATAACGCAGAAATAATGAGACATTGATTAATTATCATGATCGCGTGCCATCCTTGGCGAAGCCTAACCTCCTTCTGCTTATGTACATCCGTGCATGCAACCTTAAGCGGAGCTATGTCTCGATGCGTGGCCGTCTCTGTCGATCTCTGTTACTTTCTCGGCAAATCCGAAAACCCCCACTTCTGCTTAATGTTAGCGATTGTCATGTTTTCGAGTACTCTTCCACTGGTCGTCAATTTGCCCTTGACGAATGACGAAAATACCTTTTTTTTTCTTTTCTCGAGCGACCTGTGCTTCTTACTGTATTGGAATCTTTTAGCATGCTTCCCACATGTATATAACATCTACTCGCATCGGGCCATAGAAAAGTCTAAATGCGATGCTGTTGAAGTTCAGTACAATTAGTGTAGCCTTCCTTCAGGCACACAAGCCATTGATCGACCAGGCAAGAGAAGGAGAAGACGAGCGAAGCGAGATCTGATCGTATGTAACACCAAGATCATGATGATTGAAAGGATTGGCGGGGAAAGATCTTGTAGCCAGGGCACCAGGGTAGGCCGCCCGCCTCGGCATGATTATGCATTGCAAACGTTTAATGCTAGCCCTTCTCTCCCAAACAACGCCGTTGCACTTGACGCCCTCAACGGCTACGCACAACGTGGTGCCAAGAGCTCGAATGGTCAACAAGAACCAGGTTTGCCGGAACGATGGTTCACAGTACAACGAGTACATGCCATGAGGTGTCCAGGAACCGATGGTGATAGTGCGAACACCAGCAACGCTTTCCACCAACATACACTGGAAGAAAGCGATAGCATTATGAAGAACACTGTCCAACGGCAACTTCTAGCACCAAGTTCTATGTGCCGATTATAAGCTCTCAGTCACAGATTGTATTAGCTTAAGGTATTCTGTTTCTGCTTGGTAAAGCTGACCAAGCTGTCGAGCCACTCCTGATGACCATTCAACATGGGATTTGGCTTTGTAGCCGCAAGCTTAGCCGCGGGCTGTCCAATCTGAGACTCCTGCGTCAAGATTCTAACCACGCCATATTCCAAGTCCTCCACAATCCAAGCGTGATACACATCTAGCTTAGAGCTCTCGTCCCCATCTACCCATGCTCTCCATGCCAAGCGTCCCGGTGAGCCCGCGCTCGGCGGCAGAGACTCCATGACTTCTGCCGGAAAGGGGGGAAAACCGAAAGTCGAGAAGCTGAAGCTGTCGCCCTTCTTGAGGTTGTTGCCTCCGACTGGCGGCGTGATATGACTGCAGTTATTGTAGTACGACTCCCATTGAGTGATGTCGGCGAGGTAGGTCCAAATTTGGGCGGCTGTGATGTCGCGTACAATTACTTCATTGGAGACATAGTTGTCGGTGGTTCCGGGCAGGAACTTGGTAGGCCAAATGATTGCTGACTGCATTGCGACTGGATGGTGGAGTTGGAGTGTAACAAGACGATTGGTGCCTTTGGTTAGATAGCTGAGAAATCCAAGAATTCTAATCTTTTGTTATGTGGTACTTCGGAGACGAAACTCAAATGACACGTGACCTGACACAGGCTGCCGCTTTTATGGCACTTCATCAGCCCTCCCTCAGTCCCCCGTCAGCCCCACTCGGCTCTCCTCACCCTTTGTGTTAAGCACTGGGCCCAGTGCCAGCCACTCTTGTGCCCATTTCTAGGCCCAAACTTTAAATCTACGCCAGCTACTCTGACTAAATAAATATTATAGCAACCCCAACCGGGGTCAACCTCCGGTCCCTTTTTGGTATTAGGATCCTGATTTTTGATCCTTTAATAAAAGTCCTTAAATTTGTCTCCGATTAATTCCTTAGAAGCTGTGAATTCTGATGCTGGTCCCTTACTGCGGAGAACTAATTGCATTACTGTGATAAGTAATCCAGCACTTGGCCCGATTAAGTACCCTCTCTCTATTTGCATTCGAACCTCTGGCTGGTATTTAAACTCGAATCATTCTATCTATTTATTCTTAGACTTCGAAGTGGTATTTAGACTCGAATCTCTGAATCATACTATCCAGTATCAGTTAACCCCGATTAAGTCTTGCTCTTGTATTCCTACTAACCTTTAACTATCTAATAAGGAAAACTAAAAGTGCAGCTAATGCCCCGTATCTGGGCTCTAGAAGGAGCGCAGTAAAAGAGACTAATATCGTGAATAATAAGTTGGTCTATAAGGCGCTCTAACCTGTGGTATAGCAGTACTATAATAAGATAATAGAACTTTAGCTTTAGTAAGTATAATATTACTTCTATATTAAAATATTTTATTTACTTAATTAAATAGGTATATAAAGATAGAGATAAAGGCTTTAGTATATAACTTATAGTCTTTAAAAGACTTTATAAGGAAGGTGACTCATAGTGTTAATAGAATAGATGCTAAAACTAAAGACTTTAATATCCTAGGCTAGGAATACTATAGAAATACTAGAATATATTTACCGCAGCTTAGCAGCATTCTTACCTAAATAAGTTAATACCAGGTGGTTTAATTTAGCTAGTAATAGAGGTTAGTATTTTAATATTTATATATTATTAGATTATAAAAAATATTAACTTTATTAATAGATTATTAAGAGACCTCTAGCAGAAGAGATAGGTATATTAAAATATAAGACGTATTATAGATTTACTATTAAATATATAATACTTAACTTTATAAAACAGCTCTAGGCAGAAGATTAAACTAAGTAGAAATACCTAGTAATGCCTACTAATAACTAGGGCTTCTGGCTAAGAAATACTTACTCTTCTTCCTAAATTAGAAAATATATTAAGTCTAGCTATTATATTAGCACTAGCTGCAGCCTCTACTTTAAGGTAATAATATTACCTCTAATTTAATAGCCCAAGTATATACTTATCTCTATCTAAGGATTTTATATTTATAATATATATTAATAAGAAAGATATACTTAAATTTGCAATTTAGCTAACCTAAGATATTAAAAATATAATAAATATACCTAATAAAAGGTAAGAATTATCACTTAGTACTTAGATTCTTATTCTAACCCCTTTATACCCTAGACCATAGTATGCCTTATATAAAGAAATAAAACATAGGCTGCTTTATTTTAACCCTATGCTTTTATCCTTAGCTAGACTTCTAGCCTATAGAGCTTTCCAGGACTATAAAACTATTAACAATCTCCTTGCAATTATGCTGCCGGAAGGTAAGATATAGGTGATATACTGGCAGGACCATCTTTTTAAGATACTATTCTTTAGAAATCAGTCAAGACACCATAGTAAAACTGCTAAGGTATATATTACCCTTTTGCCTTATCTGGCAAGGTTCTAAGAAACTTCTTTATAGCTATAATAAGAAATATATAGTTTAGAATATTTTTAAATCTATTAGATTAGATTATAGCAATAATATCTTTTATAGCTTTTATATAACAGGCGTTTATCAGGTTTACCACTTTAAAATAATAAATCTTAGGTATATTATTAATTATAAGGGTAAGATAAAATTTATTAGGTATGCCAGAGAGAATAGGCTTAGTTTCGCTTTATAATAAAGATTAATAAATGTACACCACCAGACCATTTGTTTCTCATATATTATTTATCTATTGTTTTCATGACCTGTGATCTATATGATTTAGTCAATCATTTGGAAATTGTGTCATAAGCTACTCATTGCTTTTAAACGATTTATTTCACTTCCTGACAATAAGACACGACGGTAATGCCTCCAAGAGCTCGCCAATGTGAATAACAATCACCAGGACCCTATCCTCGACGAATATCGCGCCTGTCGGCTTATCCACCGATGCTCTTATGATATGATTGCTTCTGAAAGGACACCCAGGCTCGAACTTGCATCCTCTTGCGGTTCTCGTGGATTTTCAACATATTTTGGCTACAAATGTCTAGACTGTGGTGACCGTGTGCTGGATTTGAAATCGTCTTGCAAAATACCCCATTGTTGCTTATCTGAAGGGCATGGACTACCACACAAGTTTTTCTCTAAAACTAAGATTTGTAATACCCAATTGCACCGTCCGTTGATTTTACCTGGACATACTAACGAGATTTCAGGATCGAGTAGAAACGGCATCCTTCTGATAAGTTGGTGCTGAAGGCAGGATTCAATCAGAGAGGGATTCTGAAGGCTTGTTCTAGTTTTGGATTGCTGCTACTAGACTTGGAACTTGAATGATATTGGTTACTTCGCGTATGGCCACGTGTAGTTTGATTCTTGCTGGAAATGTACTGGATTTCAACATCTTGGTTAATTGTGTTCCTATTTGATCAAGGACCAATATCGAACCGCTAGGGCGGGAATCGGAGCCTCTCGGGACTATTCTAAGCGCCAAGGTACATGCTTGCCAAAGGATCGACCCGCAAGTTGGCTGTTAACTATCGTGCAGAAGTGCCAATGCGGCGCTTTTGTGACCTACCTGCTTAAGCAGGATATCTTCGAACATGCCGCTTGGTGCGCCTGGCCCGGAAGAAACTTTCTGCGGTAAGAAAGATTTTAAAAAATTCAATAGGACTTTTTAAATAAGACAAAATCGCATGACTACCTCGTATATGCACAAGCGGAGGGCCAGGATGCTTTCGGTAGCCGGGCCGAGCCAGGCGAAGATCACTTCGATAAGAAATACCCATGCCATAACCCAAAGAAGGCGATCGGTTCATAGTCGGAAATTAGACAGAAGATCTAACTCCAATAGCAGCGCAACTAAAATACATTATATTGCGACAAGAACTCTGCAAAATATTAAGCGGTGCGTCAAAACCTACTTGAGAAGGTCGTGACGGGTTTTCAAAGGATTTCCTGAGGATTGGCAGATCCTGGTTTATATCTTTCCTTGGCGCTGATGCCAAGGCGGAATATCCAAACGGAATTCCGTCTGACAATAGATGAGTTCATGTAATGGATATATAAAAGGATCTAGAAGGGTCGAAGGATCGTGCTTGCTTTGTCAATCATCAGATCAGTGGTGGCATCAGCCAGGACAGGGGCTGATGCTATCATTTATCTGGTACAAGGAAAAGTATATAAGAGCCAGAAGAAATATTCAAGACTTCTGCAACATACCACCCGAAACTCTCACCGGCTAAAAGACACCTACTTCGATATGTTGCGAAACACAGTTCTCGCTCTTCTCATCGCCGCCGAGGCAACTCATGGTCAGGCGGCCTTCACACTGAGAAAGACCTACGACTCCAGCAACTTCCTGGACTCGTTCAACTTCAGAGACGTAAGACGAGTTTCTGAAAAGCAATAAATCAAGCATTATTACTGACACAATGTAGCGTGCCTACTTTGATAGTATTGACCCTGGCTACGAGGGTGACCCGACCGGTGGCTCCGTCAACTACTTAAGCAGGAGCCAAGCAGTGGCCTCTGGCATCGTCAACACCAACAATGGCAAGGTTCATCTTGGTGTAAACTCCGTTGATAAAGCTGCGCTCCTTACGCCCGGTGGATCGAGGCATGGGCGTGGCAGCGTTCGTCTTGAGTCGAAGGAATCTTATAGCTCGGGCATTCTCATCGCTGATATTGAGCATATGCCCGGAACTGCATGTGGCGTCTGGCCTGCTTAGTAAGTAACTCTTCAATTGGAGGATGTGATGAAGCGTGCTGAATTTTTAGCTGGTCTTACAACTTTGACGAGGATCCGGTTGGCGAGATCGATATCATTGAGGGTATTAACGGTAACCAGAACGGCAACTATGTTTCTCTCCACACTTGTGGAGCATGTATCTTCAACCGTCCTGGAGGTGCTGACCCTCGAAATAATTGCAATATCGGCGGCTCTGACACCCGATACTGTACGGACGGTAACAACTAGTGAGTGAAACTCTTCATGTTACAAAACTGCAGCTAACCAGCATAGCTCCGGATGCGGAAACACCATGCCTTCAGGCTCCTACGGCAAGACCTTCAACGCTAATAAGGGAGGCGTTTACGCCACCTGGCTGACAACAGAGGCCGTCAAGGTCTGGTGGTTCCCTCGAAACAACATTCCCGCCGATATCAAGAACGGCAAGCCTGAGCCCAGTACCTGGGGTCAACCAGCTACATCTCAGTTTGTCAATGCGAATGGCAACTGCGATGTTGGAAGGTACTTCAAGAAGCAGACTATTGTAAGATTCCATACGCCTGGTTTGATGGATGAAACGTGCTGATAGTTGCAGATTTTTAACACGGCGTTTTGCGGAAGCAACATTGATCAGGGTATCTGGAACCAGGAGTGTAGAGCTTCTACTGGCTATGCCACCTGTGACGATTACGTTACCAACCAGCCTGGTGCTTTCAAGGAGGCGTATTGGACTATTAACTCTCTGAAGCTGTACCAGTGAGATACGGCCTAGCACTTAACGAAGATAAACAATGGATTCATGGTGGTGTTAGATTGGATCTTTCAAGTGTGGTGTCGTATATTACATAGAAAATTGGAGACTTCGGATTCACTTGCGATTGAATACCATAGACACTATCGCATGAAGCATAGATATCGTCCCTATCAGATGTATAAATGTTAAATGATAGAAGCTAAGCCTCAATCTCCAATCCAGCTTGACTCCGCAAACGTAAGTATCAAGACGCAGGTTTTCTTCCCCAAAGGAAATGAACAGGGAGATAAAGGTGAATCGAAGGATCCTTGATCTCATTCTTAACCTTCGCCATGAAAACCTGTATTTCCTCCTGCGACCATCCAAGAACGGCCGAGAAGATCTGCGGTGTGTATGATTCAATGGCTTGAGCCTCTTGGATGGACTGATATTTGCCAATTTCCTTGAGCTTCGGGTCTTTGGGCCATGACCCGAGTGGCATCTGTTGGGATGTTAGACATTGGTTGAATGGTAGTTGAGTCTCGTGCATACCTTGCGTATCTCTTCCCGTACGTTCTCAAAGCCAGCAGCTATCAGCTTATCCTTCCACAAAGGAGCACAATCAATTGGTTTGCCAAACTTGGCAGATCCCTCACACAGGGTCTTCAACCATAGCTGGGCATTGACAGCCTTCTCGTCCGTACCATCATCTGATAAAAACGGTGCCGCGACTGCCTGCATTTCGATGTAACCGCCAGGAGCTAGGTGTTGTAAGGCTTGCTGGAAGAACCGGTTGTCATCGCTAATGCAGCCTTCCAGCTCTCGTGCGTGGATGAAGTCAAAGGGCGTGTGATAAAGCCATTCAGCCTCGAAATCGTCTACTTCAAATCGACAATTTGGTGGCGTCCTACGGTTTAGTTAGTCAGCTTCTGACCATAGACACGAGGATAGTTGCCATACCACTGTGGTTGGATAGGGCTAAGGTCAGTCCCGAGGACCTCAGCTGAGGGAAAGTCACTGAAAAGCAAAGTTAGCAAGAATAAAACATGTGAAAGACTTTCTGCCACGTAATAATTGACTCACTCTGCGAAGTCCATCGCCCAGATACCAGTGCCAGTTCCCAGATCTAGAACACGCTGAGGATGGTCACCAATAGGCGCCAAGAATAAAGCACCGTCTAGCATCAGAGAGTAAATGTGATGTACCAGGTCCATTCGCGTTTGCTCTTCTTCATCGTTGGGCTGAGAGAAGTTACATCAGCATTTCAATCTCAATGATACTTAGTCGTCAAAGTTCTGCGTACCACGAAGTAGGCACCTTCACGAAAAGCATGATACCGGCGGCCGTTCTTGGTCGTCTATTAGTAAATCGGATGGTTGGGCCATCAGGTGAACACTACCACGTATCTGTAGTTGAGAATGCTGGAGTTGATTGACGACGTCTGGCTGGCTGACCCCTCCCTTTGCGAAATGACGTTAGTCAGAGCGAGAGCCATTAGTGTTGATAACTCACGACAGATTGTATGTGGAATCATTATCTTGAGTTTCCTCTTCCTAGACTTCGTTAGCACGGTGCTCAACAGAAGTAATCCATGGAAAACACACGTCAACTTCCAACGGATCTTCTCTTGGCGGAGACTGAGTTTCAGCTACAAGGCCCTGGTTCGGGCTCGGACTCTCGTCATCTGCCATGGTTACGATAAAGTTGAGAGAAATTGCAACGTTTGCGGGGTTTTTTCAACCGGGCTTTCGGTCTGCATTTATGGCCCGCCCCATTCATCACATATCACATTGCATGATAACATCCCTGCAAGCAGCAGCCAACCGAGATTGAAACCCAGCCCGCGCTACCGGGTTATTGAACAGATGGCGAATCGCATATGGATTTAATCAGAGTTCGATATTTAGCCCATGATCCTTTTGGTCCTTCTTGACCGCCAACGCTAACATCCTTGCTAAAAATGATCTTGGACCCATTGGAATGGTAACTTGAAGCTGACATCAAATCGGTTTCATTTTTCCTGAGCTACTGTGACCTCATTTGAATCTTCCGAATCATCATGTCTCGCCTTCCTGTCAAAAGAATCCTTCTTACCGGTGCAACAGGCTATGTCGGTGGTACCATTCTCGACCACCTCGTAAAAGCCCAAGATGAGGTTCTAAAAGGCCTCACCATCGATCTCCTCATCCGAAGTGATGACGCTGCCGCCAAACTTCGCTCGGCTTACGGCGACCGCGTGAATCCCATTCAATGGGCTGGTCTCCATGACGTCGACTCCATCAGAGACATCGCCTCCAATTACGAGCTTATCATCAACACTGGCTCAGGTTTTATTCCAGACGGAGCCGAAGCTTTTGTGAGGGGTCTCGCACGTCGCGTTGAACCAGGTGTTCCCCCGCCTTGGCTATTGCACATTTCAGGTTGTAGCAATTTAGCTGATCGGCCACTTACTCAAAAAGCGTATCCGGATAGAGAATGGAATGATGCGGACGGAAATGCTGTTTACGAATTTTTGAAGTCTGAAGACGTGCGAGAGCCTTATCCTCAGAGAACCACTGAGGTTCGTGTCTTGACAACAGCTGAAGAGACTGGTGTGCAAGCTGTCAGCCTCAATACGCCAGTGATCTTTGGGGCTGGTAAAGGACTTTTCAACCAGCAGGGCATCATTATACCAATTATAATGCGCTACGTTATTCAGCACGGACATGGGTTCAAGTTGAATGAGACTGCGAACTGGGACTGGGTTCATGTTGAGGATCTTGCTGACGCCTTTGTGCTTCTCACTCGAAATATTCTGGAGCGGGAAGACCGTGGAGTAGGCCATGTTCCAACTGGGAAGAATGGCATTCTTTTTCCAGCTGTTGGGAGGGCTTTCCAGACCGAGATCATGCAAAAGTGTCTTGATGCCGCGTTCGATGAAGGAATCTTACCTCGTGAAGATACGCCTCCGTCAAAGGAGATTCGGGATGTTACTTTACAAGAGCTGGCGGATGAGATCACAGCTGGCCTTATTGATATGGCAGAACGCGGATGGGCGGGTACAAAGTCGATGAAAGGTACTGAGTTGAAACGACTGGTTGGTTGGAATCCTAGTCGTTTGGAAGATGCTTGGAAACAGGATTTTAAGGATGAGCTTGAGGCATTGAAGACTGGGAAGAGGCCATGGACACTGGAAAGCTGTATTGGTAAGGCTGGATAGGTCAATGAAGTACTACATTGGCGTGCTTGAGATCAGCTACCCGGTTCTACTGGATATGACATGAGTTGGTTAGTATGATCCAGCTCGTCTTATTCCTATAACCTAACACAGCATCTTCTAACCCATAAGTCTCCTCGCGTACTAGTGAAATAACCTTTTCTTTCTCGAAAGAAATTACAAATGTTTCAGCCCCCCGGACGAGTGTTGCCCAGCTACTGAAAGCCAAGATTAGCCATGGAACCACAGGGACCATTGGCGAATACAGAATCAGCAGGGGTGTTGGAGTAACTACAGTATGAAGTCCATGACTTCTGGCCAGCAGGGCAGACATTCGAGGGCGAGCTGGCTATGTAGTTTTAACAGGTCATGCCTGTCCGCTTGGCTCAAAAGACAGCCGGGGTTTTTCATACATTCCACACACCAGTTGTAACCCCGAGGGTGTTCGCGTTGGTGTATGTGTTAGGTAGATACGCCACATTTCCGTTGATGGTTAGAATAACGCCATTGCCGCCTTTCGACATTGAAAGCAGGGCTTTAGGTCCGCAGGCTTCGTAGTAGGGGGCGACAGCGGGGATAATGGCCTCGACGGTCAATAGATTTTATCGATTAGTGGTCATTCTTCCAGGGCCGAATGATACCAACTCACCTAGCTCTGTAGTAACACTTCCTGATGTAATGGTAGACCAGACCGTAGTTGTCGGCGAGGTAGTCGTGGTGCTGTACTTTGTTACCTTGCCAGGGAACTTTGTTTCAACCATAGTCGTAGTTGATGTGATGACCTTGACTTTTGTCTGGGCTGGTAGTGTCTTGTGAGGGCCCTGAACAGTGGTACTAATTGCCTTGATAATCGTCGAGGGAACTCTCTTGGTACAGTCGACTCGCTGGACATATTTAAAGTCGGCTTTGGGATTGACAGGAGCAGCAGGAAGCTCTTTGGCAGCTCTCTAGGCAATATAATCGGGCGCGCCGAGAAGCAGGGTAAATCCACTGGGTGCTGAGACAGTGCTGGTGGTGTACTTGGTCATAATCGTGGATGATACTGATGTAGAGATCGTTGTCGTCACAGTGGTAGATCTAACAGTTTGCCAATCTATTAAAAGTCAGCACAACACGGCCTCACTCGTTAAGTCAACTTCTTGCCAGTGACTGTCTTGGTGACAGTCTTGACATCAGGAGGCGTAAGTCGAGAGTCTAACTAACAGGTGTATAGATCGCATCTGAAGCTCATCCATGATCTTTCTATCGATTGGCGGCGATGTCACGCCTGTAAAAAGCGATTCCTCCGCGAAGAGCTGGATGGGCATAGCCCATGTGAAAGAAAAGACCTAACAGATGATTATGAGGATGGATATGACTTGGACCAGGCTCAAGACCTGAAATCGGACAGAACAAGGCCCAGCAAGAACCCTCCTGAAAGTTGCTGGAAAGCAATATTCAGAGTGCTGTTTCCCGACCGGCCAGCGAACCTGGATACCCCAAATCCATGTGAGTCTACAGCCTGTCGCATAAGATTCGAATATTTGAAAGCGATTACTAACTTACAGGGCACCCCAGACCAAGCGAATGCTGTCTCGACGTATTGTGCAGATGCCATTCAACAACACCGCAACAGAGTGATGAACCGAAACACAATCTCTCAGCTCTATGCTTGCCAAAGCGAAGATCAGATCCGTCAAGTTCTAGGACTACTCATCGGGGACCTTGAAAGAAATTTTGGGCATACCCCGATAACGACTGACAATTTGCCTCCCAGACCCGTGTCCGCTATGTCTCCGCAGCCAGCAATCAGCACCCAGCGTCCGCAATATCAGCTTCTGCCAGTTTCTCAGCCGAATTTCATCTATAGTCATGGGCGTCGCTCACAATTCCATACCCCAGCTGTTTCAAGCTCCGATGCAAATTCCAGCCGTTTCTTACAGAGCCATGATCAGTCTGACACGTTCACAGAAGGCACAGCATTCTCGGACCAAAGGTCAACAGGGTTTGACTCCTTTGTGTCGCACCCGGGTATAAATATCAGCAGCACTGTGCCACAGTTTCAACCACAAACGACTTTACCAGTGGCTCAACAACCGACGAGCAACATAAGCGACCACCCCGGATCGAGTTTTGCGGTAGGGAACCAAGGAATGACACCGGATGATCCTTGGATTAACTTCTCGCACGACTCCCAACATGAGCCGCAGCCTGTGAGGGGGGATCTGGTACAAGGCGATCTCCAGCCAGGGGATTATGATGAGAACGAAATCCTGAGCATGGCGCATTTTTAGGCTAGTGAATGTGATAACAGCTTAGCATCGCAGGCTTGGATTGAACGTGTTGAATCCCGGCCAGTTTATGGGAACGAAAGACAAGCTGCAGGTTTACCAAGATGACAAAAACCAAAGTGGTGGGGAAGGTCAAAAGGTTGACAAGAGCTTGGCTGAGTTCGGATGTTTGAGCAGGGAGGTTTTGGATTATGAGAAGGCCAACTGTTACCATTCCTTTAGGTGTCGTCCTATGCCGTAAATTTATTTATCCTCTCTCTTCCTTGACGATATGAAGTTCCTACAAGTCAAATCGTTGCATCGGATCGATCGATTTCTGACCCTTCCACAGAGACTCATTCCTCTGGCTTCCGTCCCCAGACAACCCGTTGCTTGAAGTAAGCATGATGCTTGCCCGAGTTAATCTCCTTTCGAGCATGCGCAATGTAAACATGAATCTCTGCCTCCGACCAGCCCATGGTATTAGCCACAAAAAGGACAAGGCCTTCAGTATCCGAGAGAAAAACATGACGACCAAACTCTCCCAGTTCCTTCAACTCCGGGTCCTTGGGCCAGTCACCGAGAGGAGCCTGTCATACCATGTGAGCATTCCAACAACCATTGATGTTAAAATCATTCTCACCTTGTACTCGTATTGCTGAATGTCAACAAATCCTGCTGCCTCCATGGCTTTCCTCTGTAGCTCTTCTTCGTATACACTAAAGCTCATGCCGAATTTCTTGGCACCTTCAATGAATAGCTTGCCCCACTGGCCTAAAGCAGAAGTCTCCTTTACGGTATCATTATCGCTGGTGATAATAGCTGAGGGTTCAAAGCTTTCGACCCAACCACCTGGCTTGCAGGTCTTGTAGGCCTCTCTGAAGAACTGGTACCAATCAGGGATACTTCCGGCCAACCACCGGAGATGGACGTAATCTGCTGAGTTGGGAGCAAATGTCCATTCTTGAGTACAATCTTCGATTTCACTGAAAGATACGTGTCAGTAGACGAGGGGCAGGTCTCTGTTCTGGTGACTTACAATTTGAGATTGGGAGAAACCCAGGCGGGTTGAATTGGCGATATATCGGTGCCAATAACCTCCACATTGGGGTGTTCATCTGCAAAGTCCCTGGTGCCAAAGTCAGTTTATGTTATTAGGAGTTCAAGTCAAAAACATACAAAGCCCAGATTCCTATAGAAGAGGAAGTTCCAGTTAGTTTTATAATAGCAAAGCGACGTCCCAACAGCACAACTCACCAGTGCCAGTTCCAATGTCGATTGCTTTCTTGAAGAGAAGTGTTAGCCTCCCAACCAGTCCTCAAAGAGGCAAAAGGTATACTCACTGTAATCTTGTCCTTATCAATCGGAGCGAGATAGAGTTTTCCGCCAAGACCTAAAGTTAGACAATGATGGCTAGCGAGGTGGTTAATCATGTCCTAGTCTTTCTTAAACCTTCATTAACGTACTTCATATCCAGTGTTTCACTCTGTCGCTCATCGTTCGAAGCCCTTGTTCAGTAAGCCTCAATCCGGCACAAAACAAAGAGTCACCCTACCAATACTGGGCATTTCCAATTTCGCGATGGTATGTACGTCCGTGAAGCTTGCGATACTCAAAGATACTTGAAGTCATTGAGTCTGTAGAGGCCGAGAGGCTTCCGTCGCTGAGTGAGTTTCCATCGTCTTCGTTCAAGTCCTCATCCTTGACTAAGGTTAGCATCAACACTGTGCAATGTCCACCAAGCATGAACAAACGCACCTCAGCGAGTTGCTGCCAGTGTGCGGCTGAAAGAACGCCGTTATCTCCAACATTCGGCTCGGGAGTTCGAGAGGGACTTTTTGAGGGACTTTTGGCAGGGCTTTTGGTAGGGCTCTTGGAGCTTTTGGGGCTCGTCGTAGTTGCAGGTAGCGTTGACATTATGCGAGGCAGAAGCGAAAGCGCTCTAGTGGCGGTTTATTTCAAGAAAAGGAATATCGCGCAACATTTGCAAGAGAGACGAAGTTAAAAGGGCCAGAGACTTGAGAAGCGACGGCCACGTTATGATATGACAATGATGAGATATATCATATATCCCGGCTCCATAGCGGGGGAGAGTTTGGGGTTTGACGAATTGGAATGATAAGAAAAAGCCAGTTCGCATATAATCCTTGATTTTTGGCGAAACGAATGAACCAACCAACAAGATTACGGTTGTTCGTTGTGTTCATGCCAAGGGTTATTTGTTGGTGGGGGGCAGCACATGTCAGATAATACTACCCAGAAAGTTCAATACCTAATGGTACATACGGTCAAAGGAAAGTTGAGGTATAAGAGGATTTAAATCAATTCAATTCGAGCCAATAGCTAATATAAGCGCAATATGAGACTCTGAACTTGGACGATAGATAATGAAGCGGGAATAGGAAAAGCGTGACATCTCAACCCATGTCCGAAGCAAGGCAAGGATGTCAAGAGACTAACCTAATATGGTATGCATAGATATGTCCAATCAACATCAAAAATAAGGAAATAGCTAGGCAGTTAACTGGAGACAAAGGCTTCAATAGACACTAGCAGCCCGCCATTGTGATTACGCCGGCAGTTTTAAGTGGTATATTTAAGTAGTCGCTTCATCTTGACTTATATCTCCTCTTTCTCTATTCCTCCATTGTCTTTCAACTTTGCAGTCCTCAAAAACATGTCTCCCAACGCAATCTCAACTGGTACTCAGGCCAAGCAAGATTACTATCTTGTTGGCTTGAAGCAGTACGGCCTTCAACAACCCTCCGCCCAGCAGAAGCTCACGCCCCTTGATATGAACATGCCGAGACTTTATGGAATTCGTTTGGTCCTGTGCTTCCAATTGACCTCTGGTGCGGATATATTGCAGATGAATGTTTGATGTCTCAATAAGGCTAAGAGGCAAAATTGACTTACCTCTCTAGATACAAGAATCCGAAGAAGGGATTGGCGCATACCGTCACGTCTATTCCGTGGATTGCAGGAGTGATCGTGAGTTTTCACACTGAGAGCTTATATCGGCGGCTGTTAATCTAATCGTTATAGGATCCAGAGGAAGGACAGGATCCCAAGACCCGAAGGGTTCAGATTGTCGACTCACCAAGTGGATTCAAGTTCCCGTAAGCGATGTCTTCTTTATCCTGTCACTAAAGCCTAGCTAATCAAGTCGTTTATAGATATAAAGATCTCAGCGACACCTTACCATCATATGCAGCCTTGAAAGAGAAAAGCTTTCCTCTCTCCGAATTCTCAACCGCGCAACTCGGTCCCATCGGAGTCATGCCACAAGGTCCTGACTAACCCGTCTTTGCAGCTCAAGCAAGCTTTGTCTACGGCGGTCTCTTACTTGCAGTGGGAGTCTACCACTCCGTATGCGATGCTGCAGCTTTAGATGCCATCCTGAGCACTTGGTCTTATAATAATAGAAGTGGTAAAGATAATAGAAGAAGCATGAAGTTACAGGGGAAAGGTTAAGGTACTTAGACTTCTAAGGAGCCATCGTGTCTCAAGCACTACGCCATATCTCCTTCTCAGCCTCATTCACATTCTTAGATCATAACAAGGAACGTGATCAACGTTTACAGGATGAAAACAGAAAAGTGGATACTCAGTCTCGGAATACAGGTTTCTGTTAGTATAAGCCACCCTCTATGGCAGAAATGTAGTGAATATTAGGAAGCCACTGGGAATAGACGTTTTTACAGGCTGAGATTATGCAAGGCATGGGATAGTGCGGCCAAATCTGCCGTTTCAAGGGCAATAAAGCATTAGCTGCAATACCTAAGCGAGCGCGCTTGATGATTTAGCGACCATCTTTACAATGAAATCAGCATCGACGTCATTCCTTATAGAGAATCTTTGTCTCTCAATGTGGGTGCATTCCGGCCTTGACATGGTAGGTTTTGCATTGGTGATGGGATGGGCCCGGATTTGGTCCCCTGCTGGGGACCCTGGCCAGGCTCAGCATCGACTCAGCTTAGAGCGGCAAGAAATCAGCTCTAGGAATGAAATGGATTTTGGTGTGCTTGAGTTTTATCTCCGAGTTATGTGGTATTTGTAGAAACCTTGACCTGGTGAAGACTTATGAGCAGACTTGATTACAAATCTCATACATCTCCGCTACACCAAAACGGGCGATACCTTCCAGTATCCAAGTTCTTCGATTTACGCTGATCATGAATCATGGCGAATGACTCGTTATTAAGCTTTAATCTGTAGAAGCCGCGTCGCACCTTCAATTGCTATTTTATTAATCTTATAAAGGGTCTGGACAGGTAGCACACCTAAGCACAGCATTGCCTGATTCCCAATCATAATGGCTCCCAACCCTTCCGAGTATACATGATGAGTCCAACTGGAACAATTGCATCCTCCCGATACACAACAAACTCTGGGTATTGAAGCGACCCCCCGTTATTGATAGTAATGCCCTCGACCTTTGATGTCGTTAGTGACCAATCGTTCGCAGGTATCGGGAACTTACACAGTTGAAGCCACGAGAGGGCCTGGTGATGTCGTGGTCTGCTAGCAATTTGCGCTGAGGTTTGCTCGCCACGACGTAGCAAATAAGCATAGCGTGGAGGTTTGAGCTGACATAGTGGTTCTTCACGTAGACGTCTGCTTCTGTATCTCTGATGAACATCCTTGCAAAATAACTGGGGAATATGAGCGAGACTCACTTGAAGAATTCGGTGTAGAGTAAATGCCGGGACCAAACATTCCCTCGTCATCTTGGAATGTCAGTGTGCTTTTGTAAGTTCTCCTCAACGCTGAACTCACCGGCATATTTCAGTTTGAATGATTGCCTGAGAATGCCGCATGTGCCACAATCATCGTCGTGGCAGAGCTTCAGATCATTGCCCGACTCTCCAATGTGACATGCACGCGAGGTACCATGATACAACCTCTTATAACTCCCACCATTCCTGTAACTGAGATTAGTGGTCACATGGTTTCAGTAAACTCGAGTTCTGTCTTACAGATATGTGAAAAAGCGCTGTCCCCGATAAGACTTGTCGATGTCGTCTCGACTGGCTAGGTAGATTGACTTGACCTTGGCACTTTTCTCATCGTGGCACCATGAATGATAGAACTTGAACTCATCTGAACATTTGGATTAGTGCTGATAAGATAAATGCGAGATAGAGTAGACCTCACGATCCTTGTAGTTTGGATCACTTCGACTCAAGCGTTTCATGCGCTAAAAGACTGCTTAGTATCCGTCTCAAGTGGTTGAGCCAAGTACATACAATTGGCATTGTGGTTATAAGACAAGACTTGAGGCTGGCTACTTTGAGAGATAAAAGACGCAAGCTATTTCAACAAAGTCCTGTCGATTGAACAACGTTTGAATCTCAAAAATACTTCGATTTGTCTTATGCGAGTGCGGCTCTAGGTGCCATGATGACCTGATCTGAGGAGCCATATAAGTAGAACAGCTATCAAGGTGTATTGCCTATTCTGACAACAAGCAGTTAACGGATCAGAATGTCCGGAGCCTCTGAATGCTATAGGCGAGAAGGATTAGGCAGCTCTTTGCCAGTCAAACTGTCGCCTCACGTTTGCTGAGCAGCTCGGACGTTGATGCACATCAAAAGTCCTAGATATCCTTGACGTGGCACAATTCCCTTCCATTCTCCGGCCTTTTTACACTTTCAATCTGCAATCATCAATCATGAAACTCTTTTGGCGTAATCACATCAGCTCTGAGAGCTCTGCGGCTTATCAGATGGAAGTTGGGTATTCAATAATAGCCAATGGAATTTCGGGTGGTTGGAGGTTGGGTGACTTGACTCATATCATAACTCAGGCGAGTGCATGCAGCGTTGCAGGGAACATAAGCTTACTTACAAGGTGTTCTGGGCAACTAAGCTTCTAACGGACGGCCACGTAAGTAAGCAACTATTCTGAATCGGTCTACCGATTACCCAAAAGAGAAGTGCATTGTCTTATATGTTGCATTCGTTTATATTTATATTCCGTCTAATGTCCGGTGATTGTGATACTGTGTTTCAAACCCCCTGTGAGAGTGCGTAATCAACCATCATTTTAATAGAAACGTTCAATCAGCTGACCTGTTCCACCGTTGTGTGAACAGTTGACGCATTCATTCTCATGCACAAGCGTGGCGTTGCTGACTGGCCAGTTCACTGGATGGCTCCTTCAACCCCCCAGCAATCTTACTGCATATCGAATGACGTGGCGAGGCTGCGAATTCATTAGCCCTCTAGAGCAGGTTCCTAAATCAGTTTTCATCTGTGATAATCTAATTAAGCTATTAGCCCTAGCACGAAGTTATTAGATAGAGTCCTGAGAAGCCCTGATCCGTAATCTCATGAAGATAACACATCTCAAACTTTTACTCGAACATGAAGAGATCATCATTCTCCGACACTAGGCGACATGGGCAATCTTCTCGGCACTCAACCCCATACCGTCCCTATGATAGCAGCCAGAGAGTAGAGCTCAGAGCTACTGCACAAGAGACTCTAGACATCTCACGCAGTCTGCTCAAAGAATTAGGGACAAACGACTTGGCGAGACACTCCGTCAAGTACTCGTTCGGCTCTCTTACTCGTCTTCACCCTGGCCACTGTCCATCATACAGACAGCCAGCTACCATAAAGGTCATCAACGATGATACGCTCAACGCTGCCATCGAGCTTTGCCAAAGGGCACAAGCTGATACTGGTCCAAAGAGTCAGCCTCCCATTGTTGTTAATTTTGCGAATCGTCACTCTCCAGGCGGGGGATGGCTCAACGGGGCCATGGCCCAAGAGGAGGCACTCTGCTACCGCAGCACCCTCGCCTTGAGTCTCAACAAAAAGCACTACCCCCTCGAGAGAGACGAGGCTCTCTACAGCCCCTATGCACTCATCGTGCGTGATGACCTATCCTCAGGCCATGAGGTATCTTCACTCCCAGCAAGAGAACTCCCCGTGGTGAGCGCCCTGACTGTGGCTGCCTTACGAAGTCCACCAGTTCGCCTCTTCACCAACGAACCTCGCAAGGACAGAATGCGCAGGTCCAGTTCTGAAGTCTTCGAAAAGCGTGTCTTTGCAAACGATCGAGACCGCGATATCACAAAGGCTAAGATGAGACTTTGTTTGCGCATGGCGGCTAGACACAAACATGACATGCTTGTGCTTGGTGCTCTGGGCTGTGGAGTCTACGGTAACCCGCCAGAGGACATTGCTCATTGCTGGCTGGAGGTATTGAGGGAAGATGAGTTTTCGGGAAATTGGTGGCGGGAAGTCTGGTTTGCGGTCTTTGACCCAAAGAACGAAGGCAATTTTGAGATATTTCATCAGGTGCTTGACGGGAAGCAAGTTTAGACTCGACGGCTCTGATAATAGAGCCGGCATGTCTCTCATTGCCTAACAGAACGAGTAATTGAGGCTGCATGAGCTGAGCCATTTGACACCGCCCCACATAATAGCCCAGCACCTTCCCATGGCAGTATTCTTTACTCAGTTACTGTGTCTTGCGATCTCTCTTCATCCTCTTCCCCTTAGTACGTCCGGAAAGCTCAAGGATACTACGTACGCAGAAGTATTGAGCGTTGGGATTACCCGCACATTCCTTGCTGTTGAAGTCGGCTGGCTTGACCCAACCACTGTTTGTCCACCAGGGATAGTTTGCCGATACAGCAGGGAGGCAGACAACAAGGAGACTGAAGGGTTTCATTGTGGGTGCAAAAGAAAGTAGTATGTATTAGAGAGTTAAGTAACAAATAACAATAGTGATGTATACTGGGTGAATTGATCAGTTAAGGCACTGATTATTTATACCAGAAGACTTCATGTTGAGATACTCTACTGATCTGTTGACCGCTACTATAACCAGTAGTCCCAGTATCTCAGAATGGATCCAAACTTTACTAGACAAGGGATGGGGACCACATATAATCACTCAGGTATATTGCGGATTGTATCTCACCCCCATTTAATGACAACGGTCATAAAGCATAAAAGATTAGGAGAGAATCAGGTTCAAGAATGAATATTGGGAATTCAATAAACTACCAGAGTATAACACAACGAAGAGGCCTCCTTGTTGCTGCAGGTTACTGTGAGGTTGCAAGCAGTAACGTCCCTGGTAATACACTTGAATGTCAGTTTGATAATCAAGTGAGCAGCTAGGTCATATTGCGAAGGTAGAAATAGAGATAATTGCTACGAGTCAGTCCGCATGGGACTTATTAACCGTGCGTATTTAACTTTGATTTGTTGTCCACTTATACGAAATTGTATTACGAACTCATTGTGTGTAGATATCAGCTATCCGAAAAAACTCTGTCGGCTCCCAATTCTTTATAGCTGTTGCATTATACCGCCTTTTCATCTGGACTTTCTGCCAACTTAAGACGAGAATCACGCCACTGAAAACAGTTAGTTTTAATGTTTTTAATATGAACACTAAGTGCAATTTACCTTGCCGCACGAAATCGGCTCATAGAGTGGAGGGTGCTCCTCGTCAACACACGTCGGCACCACCTCGCAGACCGCATCCGGGTTAAATCCCAAGAAGAAGGGCATAGCATAGCGGGATGTCTTTTGCCTATTGTACACCCGATGAACCGTCGACTTGAAACGATTGTTCGAGAGCCTCTGCAGAAAGTCACCAATGTTGATGACAAGCGTCCCCTCAATCGGTCGAGCGTCGAGCCACTCATCATCTGCCGAGAGAACCTGCAGACCACCAGACATGTCTTGCCAGAGCAGAGTCACGCACTGGATGTCTGTGTGCGAGCCGATCCCGACGTCGGCATCCTCGGTGTTGCCGTCAGTACCGGGGTAGTGAATGTGCACTGCGTCAGCGCCGGGAGTAGTGATGATGGAGTCAAAGTAGTCCTCGGGTAGTTCGAGAGCGAGGGCGAACAAGCGGATGAGTTTGCGGGCTAGGGTTAGCCGCTTTTGGTAGAACTCGGTGAGTACAGGGCGGAATTTCGTGAGATGGCTTGTCCCGTCCCAGACATAATCTGTGGAAGCGAAGTTGGAGTTTATATCATCGACACAATCGTGTGATGGGTCGATGCGAGTATCATATCGCATAGAGAAAGTTTCCTTCTTGTCTGAAAGATACAATGAGTATGTGTAAGTAAATTGAGGCATGAGTCAGCCGTTTACCTACCTCTAGTCTCCTGATTGTTGATCTGCGTGCTTCCTACACCGTGATAACCACAGAACTTGCCCGCCTTCTCAAACGAAACACGATCCTTGTCTTGCTGCTCCTGGTTAAAGAAGGCCTTGACCTGTTCGAGAGCCTGCTCAATCGATTCCTGTGGAATACCATGATTGCATACGTAGAAGAACCCCGTGTTCTCTGCAGCCGCTTTGATCTTGGTTGCGATGGCCTTGCGCGCAGTCGCATCTCCATCGAGGGAGCTGAGGTCGATGACGGGCATTTCATCAATGGTTGGAGTGCGGGGAGCCCCACAGCGCACACGGCGGGAGACAGGTCCATTTGGTGTCATCAGCTGGACCGTTGTGAACGCCGAGACTGGGGCTGTGGTCTCAATTGCGGTGGTAGACATGACGGTTAACCTTGATCACGAACGCTGTGAAATGCAAGTCTTGAGACGACGAAGATGCCGCAGATGGAATGGTCTAAGGTGGGGAAAGACTAGTGATGGATGATAACCGAGAATTGGTTATCTGGATTACCGGTTTTCTCAGTTGTTAATGCTTAGAACTCTACCATAAGTAATAGATCCGGAACTGGCGATCTCATATAAGATAACAGACGCGCGTTTGATGTAGTTGATCTGTTGGAGTTGCGCAATATTCGGGCGACTCTAGGTTAGGCACAAGACGGAGACCGTCGGAGATGGGGACCCATAACTGCCGACGGGGCCATCCGTGGCGGAGTTCCCCGTTCCCCTATCGCTGAGAGCTCCAAGTTGAGCCCCACAGGATTGGCCCTTGTATTGGCTGAGCCGGTATACACACGACTCTAGTGCGACGCGCAATCTGATAGCCGTTGGCTATCTTCTGCGGGGATAGATAACAGCGTCACTAGTGTAACAACCCTGACCGGCGACCGTCGGACATGACATTGACACCAATGAGAATGAAGTTGTAAACACTGACCTTATCAATTCTAGATTTTGAATCTGGGGAGTCTTGATTATATGTTTCTGATTGGTCCAAACTTGATATGCTGCATTCTATAAACATCAATCCTGGTCCTGCACTTACAACGGTTTCCAATCTTACAGAGTCAAGCCCTCGTTTCCCGTTGTCATAACTCAACGTAGGAGAAATCATGGCTTCACTCCTCTCCAAAGCCCACGGCCGTCTCCTCGTAAAGAAACACTGCGCAGACGGAACAACCGAACCAGCCAACTTTCTCGACAATGACTCTATCCGCCCAACCCCCGTCAAGGACCGGACCTGGACATCCATCACATACTCTGCCTTTTGGTTCGCCGCCACAGCAAACGTGAGCAATCTTTACGCGGCTTCTACCGGTCAATCTGCCGGTCTTAGCATGTGGGAGGCTCTGGCCTGCTCGCTTGGTGGCCAGTTGCTCGCTGGTTGTCTCATGGCGCTGAATGGTCGTGCTGGTGCATTGTATAGAATTCCTTTCCCTGTTGCGTGTCGAGCGAGCTTTGGGACTTGGGGTGCGTTGTGGCCGACGTTTAATCGTGCGGTTATGTCGATTGTATGGAATGGTGTTAATGCTGTGCAGGGAGCCCAGTGTCTATAGTAAGTTGACTTCAACCAACAGTCGGACCAAGACAAGCTTTGGCCGACCAAAATATCTTTGGCTTGTAACTAATTATCTCACCCTATAGTGTTTTTCTCCATGCTATCTTTCCTTCCATCGCCAACATTCCCGACATTATGGGCTCCAAATCCGCCCTCAACTCGGCTCAAATGCTTTGCTTCTTCCTCTACTGGTATGATATTACTACCCACGTGAAAGTATTTACTAACATCACTGTATCTTGGCAGGCTTATTAACTGCGCCTTTCTCTTCGTCCCCGTCCCGCGCATGAGGAAGCTCGTCCACATCAAGGTTGCTGTCTACTTCGCCGCCACCATCGCCTTCGTGGCATGGACACTATCACTCTCCGGCAGCGTTCGCAAGACCTTGACTGAGCCATCAACCGTCAAAGGCTCCGAAAAGTCCTGGTTGATCCTCAAGTTCTTCTTCCTCGGACTTGCCAGTTGCGGCACTTTTATTTCCAATGCATCTGATCTGCAACGTTATGCCTCTAAGCCCAACGATGTCATTGCCGGTCAGGTTTTCAGCTTTCCCATGTCCAACTTCTTGGTCGGTGTGTTTGGCAACTTGATCGCGGCTGCCAGCAAGGGGATCTTTGGCGAGGTCATCTGGAATCCGCTTACGACACTGGACATGCTTATGCAGGGTGATCGCCATACATCTGCGAATCGCGCGGGCTGTGCATTGATCTCTTTCGCTTATGTCTACTCTACTGTCTTCTCAGCTATTTTTGAGAACTCTATTCCGTAAGTTCAGGATAAATCCCTTCCTTCCATGACCTATGTAACTACTTGCTGACCTTCCCATCCTCATAGCGCTGGAAACGACATCGCAGCTCTCATGCCCAAGTACATTACAGTGAAGCGTGGCTTCTTTATCTGTGCAGGTATGGTTACCTTATTTTCCCCAATGCCTGGAAACAAGTTGCATGGAACTCGCCGCTAATTAACAATTCCTCTTCCAGTTATCTCATACGCAATTTGTCCATGGTACCTGCTTTCATCTGCAGCCGTGTTCATCAACTTCCTCAGCTCGTACCAGATCTTCCTTAGCGCCATCACAGGTATTCTTATCTGCGACTACTACCTCCTCAGACGTGGCCTCTTCGATATACCCATGCTTTATTCAGGGCACAAGGACTCTACCTACCACTTCTTCCACGGCTTTAATCTCAGAGCGTTTGCCGTCTACTTAATTGCCGTTGCACCCAACTTCTATGGATTCCTCTACCAAATGGGTGTTAGCGCACCATTGGGTATTCAGCGGTTCTACTATGTTGCTTATCCTGTAGGACTCTTCTTGGCGTTTGGAAGCTTTTGGTTGATAAACACACTCTTCCCGAGTAAGAATATTCCAAAGGTCTTGGGGTGGCAGGAACCTAAGGACTTTGTGGAGACCCATGATGGTACCTTTGTCAATGTTGTGATTGACTCGTCTGATGCTGCCTCCGGGGATCAGGAGATGGGTAACGCTCAGAAGTCTGCCACGGAGAAGTATTGAGCCAGTATTAGTCCTTAATTAAAATGAATATCTCTTGTTTTCCAAAGTCATGAATGATCCCCATCTCATCATCTGAACCGGACAATGGTGTCCAGCCTTGAATCATTTATTGCCAAATAACTCTACTATTGATCCCGCTCGCTTACTTCTGTTGATGTATACTCCATCCTAGTACTCAAAGCTTCAAAAGGCGGCCACCAAACATTCAGACCAGGCAACATCTCTGTCTGCACGTCCATCTCTGGTCGTGCCGTATCGAGAAGCCTTTTTCTCATCATGTTCATAGCCCAGATAGAGACTGGTTCAACAACATAGGTGTCCTTTCGCAGATTCTGCACTTCCTCCATTAGACGAAACGTCTTATCAATGTCCTCGAGATGGTCTGAGAACTCAACCAGCGTGACGTGTGCATAAGCGCCCATGAGAAAGTCAAAGGTGTGAATGACCCTCTTCTGCCTCGTCATTTCCCTTGAGAGCCTTATAATCTGGTGGCTGTGTTTCAGAATAGGCTCAATGTGTTGATCATACACTGCATTTTCGCGGGCGTTGTTGATGTCTTCCTTGTGAAGTTGGGACAATGCCCATCTGTTGGCGAGTAAGCCGAATGTCGAGAGAGCAAACTTTAACTCTAGGCTATCATCGAGATCAAACACTGCGATTCGTTAGATGCATGCAAATGCCCGAGCAGTTGCAGTATTAACGTACGTTTTGCGTTAGTGGTATGCCATTGTGAGAGGTTGCTTTGAAGTTGCTTTGCTGAGATATGCTCCTCAACAATGCCTCGATATAGCAATATAAAAAGCTCAAGCTCGGCGACAACTTCTTTATCTAACTCGCTGAAACCCTCTGTGTGCTTGACTACGTCGATGTAATGTGCCGCCAGGTCCATTCGCACAGCCGACAGCTTCCCTACACCGATAGTAAATCTCGCACACCAGTTAGTAACTTTCTGTGCATGAGATGAGAACTTAGATGACATACTTGAGATGTTGGAGACATGCAGAATTCCACATCAGTATCCGGTTTCTATCGTCCTCGGTGTAGCGTAATGACAAGGGCATTTGCTGATGAACGGGGAAGTCCAACGAGAGCATAAGGTGAAGGATGAGCGAGCCGCTCAAGAGCCACGCGTCGATAAAACTATCAGAGTAGCCGAGATTCAGATTGAGAAGACATGTCAGAAGCATCGCGTAGAGGGACGGCATACTCAGAGGAGACTCGAGCGCGAGCTTTTCCAGCCCAGATTTAAGTATGCCGTAAAGCGAAGTGTGAAGGTCTTTGCCGATAATGGAAAAATTAGTTTGCATCCCTGCTAGCAAGCAGGTCACAGACAGAAGGTTATACTCTCCACTGAGGGCTTTTTCGATTGTTCCTTGGATAAAGTGCAGTCGTGGGATATTCTTCCTGGATCTAATATGTGCGCACGCATTAGCCAAGCTCAATGTTGCAAACTGCTGACATGAGATTGAGTGCGTTTGAAGACCAGTTCGTGGTACAGGCAAATATTATCTTACGTTTCAATCAGACGCAAGCCCAGGTCATTTGAAGCCAATTGAGCCCTGATCGATTCAGGTAGCTCGACGACGTCCTTTGGAGTTTCGGGGTTGCCGTTGATCCAGGTATACATCTTTCGAATGACACGAACTGGGGCAACTGGTGGATCAAGACAGGTTGCAACTGTTTGATCCTCAGTTCTCTCCTGAGAGACTTCAGCAATTACTGGTACTGATGTAGTGGTATCTTGATTACTTGATGTAGTTCGTAGTGCGCGAGAGCTCGCAGTTTGGCAAAGCTCGCGCACAGCCAAGCGCAACTCTGCCAGTTCAGATTCGAGGGCCATAAGCCTAGGGAACGAATTTCAATTCACAGTATATGACGCAGACTCTTGGACTGCATACCTTTCTTCGCAATTGCATGCCTGAACAAGCCGAGGTGAACTGCTGGTGACGGTATCCTCAAGCCGTATAGAGGTCTGGGTGACGCGATGCCCATCAAAGGGAAGCTCACAAGGTATTCTACACTGAATTTTAGCATTTGTTTTTCTTTGGTCCATGTGACTGCCAGATTGCTGTAAACGGCTGACCTCAAGGCTTTGCAACGACTACAGACAGCTGAGCCGCTTGGTACTTCGCATCGTGTCTTGAGCCGGCGACATGTCGGGCAAGATACTACTCTTCGGCGGTGCTGAGGCATTTCCGAGTAAAACGTGTCTTGGAGAGTAAGTAATTATATGTAAAAGGTCTCTGAATAATAAAAATGTAAAGCTGTACTTCGTAGTTGTGAATTAATGAGAGATAAGCGATTGAGGTTTAGAATACTTAAAAAGAGGTATATAACATGTGCCGAATTTCAGCCGCTATCTGTTAGCGCCTGCAACTAAACTACCAGCGCTAAATTCCGTGAGTTCACTGCTACGATCGAGCCAGGTGAATAGCTTTTGTTTGCGTAGGCTCGTGGAGCTTTAAATTCAGGCTCACACCAATTTTGATATGGATTGGAGTGTGTTGCAAATCGCGACTTACGGTCATGTTGGCTCCTGCTCTTCATCCTGAGAGCCCTAACTTGATCACCCTGGCTGATGCAATTATGTATGATAGGCCCGCCTTTTGCAAAGCATTGACATCGTGCGCTCGTGCATCGTAACAAGTCATGGATACTTACCATTGGCTGAGTGGCTGTCGAAAAGCAGGCAAGCTGAGCAGCCATCCAGACAGCACCCAGCTTGAATTTCGCTATCATGCGGACAACTTACAATGGTTACGACCTAGTAGGATCTTTTTAGTAAGGGCAACGCCTCGTTAGCTTTTCCCTGGATGTATCTAGTCTAGAACATTTAACTCCTAGAAAATCCATAATTCCTATAGGCGCAGTGGTTGCTCACTATTGACACTACCTGGCTCTAGCCAACGCAACTATTCGCACTATTGAGCACTAGCGATTAAGGTGTAAATTAAGATTGACATTTTGTCATAATAAAAACCCATGCAAGGCCAAAATAAAAATTAGAAATCTAACCCTTCAACCTACAGTCTTTACCTTGCGAACTTGATTACAATGAAGGCGACGCGTTTTTCTCTGACCTTCATTGCGCTTGCGTTTTGCGGCAGTGGGCACGCAGGTCCATGCAAGCCAAAGTCCTCATCGGCAACTCTCGTTGGAACCTCTTCCACTGAAGCAACGCTTTCAGCTTCCACTGAAGTCTCGACTGACACTTCTGTTGCGGAGCCATGGACAACCGACCTGTCTTCTGTCATTTCCGAATCTATTACTTCAACAGCCACGGCGACATCAGATTCCCAATTCTCCTCCTCGACTGAGCTTTCCACTTCGCTCATTACTACCGACACAGCCACTGCGACCACTTCAGCTGCTGAGATCTCCTCCTCGGCCGAGACTCTCACCACGTCCAATACTGCTGAGGCGACCACTTCGGATGCTCCGACAACAACCACCACCACCGAGGACTCCGCGCCCTCTAACCTCTTTCTGAACCCGTCCTTTGACGAGCCGAACGCCGACGGGGACCTTGACGGTTCTCCGTGGATTTTGGGAGACAGTGTCTCTCCCCGCTCAGTCAGCATCAACTCTGACCTTGCCCACTCCGGCTCCCAGTCAGCGTATGTCAAGCCTTTTATACTAGAACATTCTCTTTGCAGTAGACTAACACTATCCATTCAGATACTGGTCTGTCGAAAACACAGCGCAGAGGGGCTTTGTCAAGCAAACAGTCAACCTGGAAGCGATACAGTCTTACACGCTGTCTTACTGGTGGTACGTCGACGAAGACGAGCAGCCGCAGAACATCGATTGCTTCATAATCGTTGAGCAGAGGAGCACCGACGGGCAGAAGGCCACCTTTGTCGACTTCCCGGCCCTCACGACACCTTTACCCCTGAAGACCTGGACAAAGCAGGAAACTGCCTTTAATTCCATGTACATCGCCCCGGCAGTCATGTCGTTCTTTGTCACCTGTGGTGATAGTGCGGGCAGTGGGATCAAGGTTGCTATTGATGACATCTATGTGGCAAAGCAGACTTAGGAACGTGACTGTGCTGGAGTTGAGACCTGTGGCTGAGAGCTTGTAATCGCCACAGAAGTTGGAGACTATGTCGGAACGCTACCTTCTGATATGAAATAGTTTGCTAGTACATATTATCCTTCTCTAATAAGACCTTTATATTATACTAGCCAAACACTTACGCATAATCCAGGGCAAGCCTCGCATCTCCCTGCCGCTCCAGGATCTCTCTTACCAGCTTGTCATTAATCGGCGTCGGCACCCCAACCTCCCTGCCCCGTCGACACCAGTACCCATTAATAAACTGAATCTCTGTTCTCTGTCCGCGCCGCAGGTCCACCACCATTGAACACGTAGTCTCAGCCGTCTTCTGAATAATCCCGTCCACTGTCGCCTCGAGCCTCTCTACTGAAAACCGCTCCGGAACACCAGGTATATCGCGTAACTCAGGAAGGGCGCATACAACTTGGGATATCTCTGTAAGCAGAGCGCGTCTCGTCTCGGGAATGGTGAAGAGGAATTTGTTCTTAGCGTCATTCAAGGCGCAGAGAGGGTTGCAGAATGCGTTGACTGCGAGCTTCTCTAGCTGTATTTGGAAAACTTCGAGGAACGAGTATGAGGTTGCGTTGAATCTCGGTACTAGGGCAAGAGCTTCCAGAAGATAGGGCTTTGTTCTCGGGATGGCCTTGGAGATTTGTTCGCCCCGAGGCACCAGCCCCAAAGATGTTGCTGCGAATCCAGTATGGGTGATGTTGAAGGGCGAGTTGAGTGTTACCCCATGTGATATAACCCCGGTAATGAAGTTAGGTCGGGTTTCTTCCTTGGTAAAAACATGTTTCTTGACGTCTTCTATCATTCCGGTCCCGTTTTGCAAGAAGAGAATGTGTGAAGAAGCATTCAGGCGGTGTTTCAAGGGTTGTAATGCTGATGATGTTTGCGGGCCTTTGACCGAGACGACAAGATGGTCGATGATATTGTCCTGAACCGTCATGTTGCCATTTGGTGTCGGGTCATGACACGTTGAAGAGGCACTATGCCATTGGTCATCTTGCAGCACTTCGAGGTTGTAATTGCCGTGGTTTATAATTTCGCCTTCTCTTGTCTCCAAGGTGAGCTGGCTGCCGTTTCTCACGTATTGGTCAACTAGAGACGCTCGATGTAGTAGCAGAGTGACCGATGGGGTTAGAGGAGGCGGGACTTCAGCTAGCGAGTGAGCAGCAAACGTGCCGATGCTTCCCAGTCCTAAGACATGGACAAGTGGTTGGACGGCTTTGACAATCATATTTTTCCATCTGCTGAACAGCTATGGTATGAGAGCCCCAGGGGATTGTGTGTAGATATGACTGTATACTATTGTAAAGGCATATGCCATGCCCGGCCCCACTACGGAGCCGTCCGTCCCCAAGCCGTCATTCTTGGTCCACTATCTTCGGGGCGTGAGGCGTAGGGCGCGAAAAAGCAATTTCTTTCTTCTTTCTTTTCTTTTCTTCCCGAGGCAGGGGAGAACCGAAATCGGGGAGATTATCCCCAGCTTGCCGAATGGCGCATTATTAGCATGTCGGACTGACCAGGTGGAGTTTTTAATGGTCTGAGCCTATTCCTTCTTCCATGCGGTAGTGAAGCAGCCACGCTATAAAGATAAGTGGACACTCTCTAAACCCTATAAACATAGCACAAAGGAAACTATCCATACTTTTATTAACGTAGATGCAGAGTAGTCCTAGTTTAGAATGTATCTTCATTGTAGGGTCAGGTATCTGGACGTATTACGCCATCGCAAGTGGAAATGGGCCAAATGATAGATATTAGACAAATTCATAGATCCGTGCTATTCAATGTCAATGCAGTGTGATGCCAAGAACCGACGCAACCCAGACCTCATACCTAACTAGTTGAGACATCGACCATCAGAAATTGGAACATGGACCTCGGAGGGCGTCGGGCTCACCTCTAATATGGTATATCATGCCGCTTAATGCTAAGTCTCCGACGCCCTTACAGTCGTGGGCCCACGTAGGCTCCTCCAGGAAGACGACCCCAAATCTACTTGTACCACGCTTAGAACAAAAATAACACACACTTTAGCTGTCATTTGGAGGAATTCAGAGGCTATCGAACCACATCATAAGCTCTGAGAAGAGCTTTTACTTGTATATGTCTCAACCAAGAACGATTCGTTGGAAATCCTTGCGACAGGTGGTATCACAACAGCCTTGTGAGTTTAGCCCCATCCCATATTCCCCAGGCTCAGATTCTAATTTCCCTGCTCAATTCAATGGGTGAAATCTGTCTATTGACTCAAGCACGCGGTCTGTGACTGATATCCGTCACGAGCTCGTCTTCTTCGTCAAAGGACAAGACCGAAGAGCTTCTTGGCTACTGCGATGCTCCAACTTACGCCAAGGCATACGGCTCTTACGCCGAACTCGTCAAAGACCCAGATATAGAAGTTGTCTATATTGCCACGCCCCATTGCCGCCATTTCCATAACACCATGCTATGCTTGGAGGCGACAAGAATGTGTTTTGCGAAAAGGCTTTTACTGTCAGTCCAAAACAGGCTATCAAACTTGCCGAGACGGCCCGGCAGAAGAACTTATTACCAATAGAGGGTTTATAGACCCGGTACTTCCCTCTGTCTCTGTATGTGCAAGAGATCATCGAGTCAAGTCGCATCGGACCATTGGAGAGGGTACTTGCTGAGCACAGCCTGTCATATGCCGGTGGCTTTGTAGATGATAATCATATTATGATGAATCCTAAGCTTGCAGGTGGAATACTCCGCGGTGGAGGTATTTATAGCCTGACTTGGGTCTTCGAGGTACTTCGTATTGTCCAGCCAGAGTTATCCAGACAGCCGCCATTGATTAAAAGTACGGTTGCGAAATATGATTACACGGAAGTCGATGCTATGAGTACCATTCTCCTGGAATTCTCAAGATCAAAAGCAGATGGCGGGACCGATCATGCAGTCACATCCACTTCCTTGCGTCTTTCCAACGACAGCATCGCAAAGGAGGATGACGCTATGGTTCCTAACATCAGGATACAAGTGCAATACGGCGAGATCCAAATTTTCCCTCCTGCATACCGGCCAACTCGCACCAGACTTATACTCAAAAATGGGTTGGTAGTCGACAAGGGGTGGCCTCAGCCAGGTCCAGGGAAAGGGACTGGTTGGTATACCGGTTACAGACCAGCTCTCAACCCTGAAGGTGAGAGCCATGGCTTGTTCTGGGAAGCCGACGATGCGGGGAGGAGTATAATGGAAGGGCGAAAGGAGGGCAGTCGTCTGGGACTTGACGAGAGTATCCTTATCATGGAGTTCATGGATAAAGTCCGAAGTGAGGCTGATATTAGGTATCCGTACGAGGTTGACACTGCAGACTATCCATTGCAGCCGTAGTCGTAGCCGGTCACAGGGAATAGGGTATATTTCGAAATATATCTACAGAAGTCCGGATACGGTGTTTGCCTCTCTATGAGCTTTAGCTTTGATGAGATTAGACTCGCGGTGGAAATGATAATTAGAGTGGCCGTTACAGGCGCAGACGGGCGTGGGAGGTAGAAGTTAGTACAGCCTGGCAATAGGTAATGGGTTACAGTTATCGGAGCGATCATTGAATAAAGCTGGGCTATTTCGCCCTTAATCGTAGTTTAGGGTCAATATCACATTACCATCTGGTACCAACTCGGCAACCACCCTTTCGGTTGATAGGACAATAGCGAAAGACTCAATGGCTGGACTACTAACGACTCAGATTTCGAGCAGGCAACGCACATCAAAATCCTGGTCTACGGGCGACTATCGTGTTCTGAGTCTGGCTGGATATCCAAGCCATCACTTGGTAAACTTCGAGAGATATCACAAGGAAAGCTAAATTAACACTCTTTACGCACCGCCTCATTCGCCTCACCTTCTTAGCCTCCTAGGTAGTTTGTAATCTTGACGATTGAGTGAAGAATACAAGACCTCCACCACAGCCGCTGGCTCATCACTGGGTATAACGAGTTTATCGACATTTTCTTCAAGTGTCAAGTTGGCCTCGAGGCCACCTTTTATTGACGTATATCGAAGAGCAAACATGGTGAGGACCGCCCGAAGGAGAATTCAACAACAGCGGTTTCAATGCATAATAGAGATAATCAAAGATTCTTTCATAACGTGTCTAGTGAAATACAAATTGACAGGTTAACGAATCCGCAAACTCCGCACATGAGTGAAGTCCAGCCTGTTGGATTCGGAACAGCCCAATCACTGCATTTTTACCTGGTCAGTAGACCTTATGAGACGCTCATGTCCGAGGTTTCCCAATTGAATGTCCATAAACTCCGCATACTCTGATCCCAGCATTAGCAACTAACAGATAATACATTCTGCCTACGGCTTCTCGGGGACTATAAGGGCCCGAGTATATATCCATGATTTTACTGGCAGGGTGTAAAAGTTTAAGTATATTAAAAGGCTTTTATTATATATTTATATCGCAGTTTTTAATTTTAAATTACTGAGATTTTACTAGAACCTAAAGAAAGCAGGTGTAAGGCGTAGGGCGCAGGGCGTAAAACTGATCTTCCTCTGAACTAGACCTGAGCGGCTTGACTCATGTGGCTACAATACACACTCGCGTGTTTCAATCGTACTTTATTCGATCTCAGCAAAATAATTAAATATCATGTTCTCTAATTATTTTCATTTATCCCTTTGCCAGAAAACCTTCTTTTTCCACGCGATCTAGAAACATGCCCTGAATGCCTCCAGTGATCGGCCATGTTCAAGGTCGTGTGAGGTAGAAGTAAAAGGGCCCGTTTAGCTTTTTGCCCTCCATGATCCCGGCTACGGTTTTATCGTCCACCAATCGAAAGTAATCGATCACTGGTTGATCGTCATATATCATGGCAGAGGTCAATTGGCCTCGGAAGACGATTTCTTTCAACTGCATTGAAGTCAGCATGGGTGAGAGACATTGAGAAGCAGGTTGCACGTACGCTCGCAAGGCCCCATTTTCCCCAGCTCTGTCTTGTGCCGTCACGTTCTATGACCACAGGATCGACGTGATCGACCGAGAAGAAGTCTTTGCCAATCCAGGAAACGTCTTTCATGAAGTCTCCGTTCGGGTGGCCTGTGTCGAAGAACCCACCATTCCAACTACCGACCAAATGTGATAGCGGGATAGGGGGTAACTGGTCGAAAAACGAGTCGAGGGCAGCCGTATCAACTGGAGAGGCAGATTCTCTCAGCTTCGTGAATTGCTCAATGTTGCTACTGTCATCATTATGGTCAGACATGTCTACCAAGTATGAGAGACCGATATTCACCTCATTCTGTGTTTTGGCTTCTTGGTCAATCAAGGTTATGTTGTGTATGGGATCGAGGTCAGCAACTAAGACGTCGCAAATCCCAACCTATATCTCTGATTAAGTATAAGTAGTAAGGCGGCTGTGTCCCTATGGTGCAGATTTCTACCTCTGAAAAAACAGAAGACTATCCGATGATTTATAATCGACAGTTCAGTCGTCTTACAAATAGCCAGAGAACTAGAGTCTTTGGGAGATCGCTAACGTGACAAAGAGGCTTATCATAGTGCCTCTGGATTCGATGTCCGCGTCACACCGTGTGACAAGATGGCGATCCCACAGTAGTCGTTTGCCTGATGGAACTGACTGGAGCATCCACCGCGTCAGGCAGTGAGGTAAATATCGCATGCTCAGTTTCACGCACATAGACAATCCATGACAGAGACAAATGCTTCTCAATATCTATGACAGACTCGCAACACGTCGTCTAGTCGGTAAGTTATATAAAACACCAACTCCATAGGACAATTGATTGATAAGATCCCTTGACGACTACCAAGCTGTAACGTTAGCACTTGAGCTGCCTAGGTTCTATGGCGGATTGTAGATTTTAACGTTATGATGCTAGTTGTCATCCAAGGGCAAAGAAGGGCCGAAATCATTCTAGAACACCGTTGAACTAAAGTTTGCATGCACATCATTACTAGGGTGGGCAGCTCAACCTCGTGATTTTTACGTCGAGTTGCTGCGGCTCTGCCATAGACTGGTTGCGGCACATGCGGCACACCTTGCGGAGTAGATGTCTTCCAAAATACACTCATTACTTTGTCAGCAAGATGAATGGCAAATGTGTGGGGTATAAGTTTGAATCTACCGGTACTATTGCGTCACGACCAAACTCTCCCTTGCAGGTGTGTGCTTATGTCCACCGCTATCGGAGTAGGCCTTATTCTCACTTATAAATTCATACGCTTCAACTGCAAAATCCCCCGTCTAAAAAGTACACAGCCACGAGAGCTTCAACCTAGCATCTAAACTAAACATCAGAACATCGTCTCAAAGCTACCATCAAGGATTACCACCATGTCATCAGCCATTGTCACTGGTGCCACCGGTATGTTACACTTCGTTCTCACTGCCCTCCCATGCGAAAGGTAACCCACACTAACACAGTTGAACATAAGGCATCCTTGGCCAAGAGATTGTCAAGGAACTATGCAGCAGGCCGGAAGAATGGAGCACAATCTACACAGTGTCTCGCTCCAAGAAGGATGATTTCGGCCCTCGAGTCAAGCATACGCACCTCGATCTGACTGCCACAGCCGACAGCATGTTCGGTGACTTGAAGAATGTAGAAGCTGAGTACGTCTTCTTCGCCGCATACTTGCAGAAGGATACCGACGAAGAAAATACGCGTGTTAATGGTACTGTTGTCGAACTGCATTAGAATATTCAGGTGTCTGATAACACATACAGGAGACATGCTATCTGCGTTCTGCAAGGCCCTTGAATTGACGGGTGCGGCTTCAAAGATCAAGCGATTTGTTCTTGTCACTGGAGCAAAGAACTACGGTGTCCATCTCGGCCGAGTTAAGATTCCAATGCAAGAAACTGATCCACGGTGGGTTTTTGAGAGTCCTTGAAGTGCAATACTCATTTGTTTTCAGAATGCCCGAGCCGCCATATCCCCCCAACTTCTACTACCGCCAGCAAGACATCTTATATGATTTCTGTAAGAGGAACTCTGTTGAGTGGAATGTCGCGTTTGCCAGCGAAGTCATTGGATATGCGCAAGGCAATTTTATGAACCTTGCCAGCGCGACTGCGATCTACGCTGTGGTATCGAAGGAACTTGGAGACGAGTTGGTGTTCCCTGGATCTGAGGTGTTCTACAATAACGTCACTTGCTTTACCGATGCGGCCTTGCATGCTCAGTTCCTTCGATGGATGGCACTTGAGCCCCGCGCCGCTAACGAGGGCTTCAATGTCGCCAACGGCGACGCCGAGTCATGGATGAATTTGTGGCCTCGCGTTGCCAAGTACTTTGGCCTGAAAGTCCCTGCCGACCAATTTTCGCGCGACGCGCCCCTAGCTTCGGAGAAGGCTCTTGTATCGCAGCCTCCAATGTCAGTTGTGGCCAAGGACATTGGACTTGAGGGTCGTACTCCTCAGAGCTATATTCGTCAACGGGTGGATTTGGTTAAGTGGTCGCAGACCCAAGAGGTGAAGGATGCGTGGAAGCGCGTGGCCGTTCGCGAAGGCCTTGATTCTGAAGCGCTCAGCAAAGCCTCTTGGGCGTTTGCCGGTTTCGCATGGGGTCGAGATTATAACAATATTCTCAGCATGTCAAAGTCGCGAAAGCTAGGTTGGACAGGATATCTTGATACCTGGGAAAACTTCGAAAGCATCTTCAACACACTTGAGGATAAGAAGGTTATTCCCAAGTACTGAGCCATCGATCATTAAATCCATTGAACTGCCGTGGGCAGCAATTGTAACAGAGTAGATTAATCCACTGTCGCATGAAAGCCTGCACTCACGCACGGGATTGGTATGCTGATTATTAGTATAGAATTAGGACTTTGTTTGGAAATATCTTATAACCATATTAACCTAGTATTGTTTATTCAATTGGTGATTTAATTTGTGATGTTGTAATTCGGCTGTTTGGATGTAGGACTTACAAAACCCTGGATAGCATCTCAAAGCCTGATGATTGGCTGTAGGGAAGATTCCATCGACGCCAATGACGCTGTAGATATGGGGCCCTTGGCCGAGATGGGTTAACAGGATGGAGAAAGCCAAGTCCGACTTTTCAAAAGCTGACAAGGTGTTACTTGAGCTTTAATATAAGACCCCCTCCACCCCCAGTTTTCTCGCCTTCTCCAACTCTACAGTCTCATGAAATGCCACCATATCATTGCATCTTCAATAATAGAACAATCCATATAAGAGTCGGGATTTGTTTTGTCGTTCGAATACGATCTCTAATCTTTGTGCTTTTTGCCCACTGAGCCTAATGGCGCCTAATGAGAATGCTATAAGGGCAGGGCGACGCCCATCAGCGGACAATGTCGAGGGTGACAGTAAGACTTGCTCTCGAATGAAAGTCACTACAATCACATGCTCACATACCAGTTATGACATTCTCAGAACTCGATTTCGCTCGGCTCGGACTCGCACCGGAAGCCATTTCGAAGACAACACCCGTCACACAGAACGAAAGCCTGCCCAGGAACCATTTCCTTCCCCTTCAATGCCTTCACTACGGAGAGTCGACCCCCGAGTACTCAACAAATCAAGGACTATTTTCTGGTCCATTCCCCAGTTGCCTTGATGCAACAAGACAGAATATTGCCCTGTCCATGATAGATCCTAACCTTACCTATGATCCTTGCTGGCAAGCCCCCCCATTCCCACCTCAGCCAAGTTTAGCCCAGAATCCTCCGTCGCAGGCCATTCCGGGCACTCGAAACCAAGCCTCAGCGTTGCAGACGTCCAGTCAGGGCACTTCCCCGTCGGGAAGCTATCACTACTCCCCAGTGGCCGAAAACCAACAACCTGGCCTTCCAAGGCGACGAAGCCGGTACTTCCGCAGCCAACATCAACCAAACCTCTCACAGGCAATAGACATCCCAGGCTCAGCACCGATAGACGTTGCGCTAGATCCCATGCAGCGCTGGCGAAACTCACCACCAGAGACTGAACCAGCCTCCCTATCCGCCATCGCTGACGCGATGAGACAAACACCGCTTCGAACCCGCTCCTCAACCGGCAGTCTCACTAGCCAGCGCATAGGCAACCGAGCCGGTTCAACCGTCAGCTTCGGTAGCGGCACGAGCTGTTCCTCAACTTCCAATGCCTCAGCCATCTCAGCAACATTTCGAAGCACATCCGAGCACTCGCGCAGTCGCGTGGAGAAAAGGACTCGACCAAGAGTTACAGGAGGGAAAAACAAGCACAAGGACAGACGGAAGTTCCCGTGCACATTCTGCTGCGACTCTTTCAAGAGCAAGTATGATTGGGCGAGACATGAGAAATCGCTGCACCTGAATTTACAGGGTTGGCGATGTGCGCCCTTTGGTGGGATGGTGATATCTTCTGAAACGGGGAGAGCCCATTGTGCGTACTGTAGCTTGCTCGATCCTAATGCTGAGCATCTAGATTCTCATGATCACGATACTTGCCAAAACCAGGGACGTCCTATTTTCAGCCGCAAAGACCATCTTATTCAGCATCTACGACTCGTACATCACGTCGAGGCATTGCCCCTTATTGAATCGTGGAAAGACGAAGGGCCGCCAGTGTCGTCGAGGTGCGGGTTCTGTAATATCCAGATGCAGGCATGGCAAGAACGTGTTGATCATCTCGCCAAGCACTTTCGTAAAGGCGCGACTATGGATGATTGGAAAGGAGAGCATTGTTTCGAGTCATCAATTGCTGCCAAGGTCACACATGCAATGCCACCATATCTCATCGGTTCCGAGTCAAGAGCTCTGATTCCATTCTCGGCCAATAGCCACGGTACAAAGGACCACCTGTCGCAGATCCAACACGCGTCGGAACAAACTCGGCACACATGGAACGACGGACGCATGGCGACGCCAACAAGTGGCTCGGAGCTGTCGCCTGAATCGACCACACAGCCAAGATCTCTGGGTACCGTCAACGAGGATACCAGCAACATGACCTTCCCCGAGGTTTTGGCGCTGCATCTAGGGCGCTATGCACAGGAGCAGATGAGACTCGGTATCATCCCGACGGATAGGATGTTTCAAGATGAAGCTAGACGGATCATGTTTGACTCTGTTGATCCTTGGGACCAAACCATTGCTGATAACGAAGATTGGCTTTCGCTGTTTCGCAACCGATATATCAAGGATATATCGGGCAGTCAGGAGGATTCAATCTGATATTTTAGGTGCTAGTCTTGATATTATATATTATATGTTTACCCAAGGTCAGAGATTATAGTAATGTCCCTATAGATCCTTGGGCATAAAGGAAATCGGGACTAAGTCCACCTCCTAACACCTCCAAAAAGATTTACAGTACAATGCTACTCACGCCTAGAGGCCCGTTTCCCTGCATGTATATCGCCCTACGCCCCGCGCCCTACGCCCTACGCCCTACGCCTTGCGCCACTACTACATAGGCCGTTAGTATCCCTTCAGAGCCCGCCCCTTTCGACTTGCCCCCGACTAGTCTAGCGCATTGTCTACCAATGAGTAATCCAGTCATGTTAGGCCAACCACTCTTTCGACCACAGGAGTCCAAGGGTCCTTGGCGGGCCAATAGCGAAGCGAACGGAGTCGCGTATTATTACGAATGATCTACTGTAGTGACATGGCTTGGAATCTCCAATAGATTGCAGCATGCCATCTCCCAGTCCTCCAGCAACCTAAATGAGATAAAGCAAAGTCTGCCACAGCATGGCAACCTCGAAGCTCTTCATGTACGAATGGAGTGGAATTAACCAACCTGCCTCCCTTAATGTTTCCCCTGTTTCCTACTCGATCTAACAAAGAGAATGTAAAGCACCGGTGCAACTAGATACATTGGCGGAGACTTCCTCTACGAAGCCCATCATACTCGTCCCACATGGGAAATCTCGGCTCTGGCTAGAAGCGAAGTTGCGGTGTCGAGTTTGCAGAAGTATCCGAGAATCCGCATCGTCAGGGGCGATTTGGACTCGGCCGACTTGCTTCGCGATGAGGCCCAGCGGGCGGACATTGTGCTTCGTGAGTATCCTTCCCTCCCTATCTTTATTGATACATTCCGTCGCGGACGATGCACGTTGGGGTTTGCACTTGTCCGGTCTGTACCTTGTGTGGTGTTCAGCCTGACTGACCAGGATAAAAACTACTGATAGACTTTGCCAATTGCGACCACGAGGCATCAGCCAATGCTCTGCTGAAGGGCATGGCCGAACATACGGCCGACCGCCCGGGCTGGTATATTCACACCTCTGGGACTGGCATTCTATCCTTTGAGGACGGCCGACATCAGACCTGTGGCGTCCGACGCGATAAGGTCTTCAACGACTGGATCGGTGTTTTGGAGCTCATCAATCTCCCCTGTGACGCGTTTCACCGCGACTATCGAGGACGTACCGAAATACTTCAGGACTGCCATTGTTTGCCAATGCTGCATTTACGGCGATGGTCGCGGCCCAGGAAACAGGTCAAGCACCCAGGCCTACACAATGGTCACACACATCTTGGAACGTGGCAGAGGCTTCGTCGTCGGAGAGGGTAGAAACATCTGGCACTACGTACACATTCGCGATCTCTCTAAGCTTTTCGTGCTGCTCACAGACGCCGCGGCGGCAGGAGGGGAGGGAGCTTCCTGGGATAGCGAAGGTTATTACTTTGCAGAAAACGGCAATGCCACCTGGGGGGATATCTCCGAAGCAATCACCGAGGTGGCGTTTAGAAATGGCTACATCACGACCAAAGATCTCGACGTGCTGGATTGGGACGCGACGGCCGCTCTGGATCCCAAGGGCCCCTACCGGCGGGGGTCTAACTCTAGGGGCTATGCGCTTCGAGCAACCAAGCTGCTCGGGTGGCAGCCTGAACAACCGGGGTTGTTAGACAATATTGAGGACATTGTCACCCTCCAACAAGCTTGGCGTGCGTCCAAGAAGTAGGATTCGGGTTCAGCATGAACGACAAGAGGCCACTCTGGAAAGAGGAGGAAAGTGTTCAATCTTTTCGATTATCTGCCTTTATTACTACTATCAAGTATATAGTTAGTGTCGACCCTAAACAGGTCAAGGTAAGCTAAGTGAAGCTTCCCATGAGTTTAAGGTAACCCTCCGTATGTATCTCTTTATTGACCCTCGCCCATAAAAGGAACTACAAGAGGACTCTGAGTTGGTGGGGGGTCAAAAGCGCGTTGTACTTTAAGGGCCAATTCTTATGCCTAAATCTAATAGGACGTCAAGCAAGCTCCCGTACTCCATCTAATAAGAGCCCAGTACGTATAAGTTGTAAATTTTCGGCTTATTGTTAAATTAATGCCTTGGTTACATTCCCAAACGTGGCTTTGAGTTCCATATTTGCCACTTCGGGTATCACAGTGCGTTTGCTGAAAGAGATCAGCCAAAACTTTCTCGGTCTATGTGCGCCTTGGGCTTAGATCCCTTAGCATAATAAATGATTGGCCGCTTATGCCGCTCCGAGGCTATCTGAGTGTCTCTCTAACTTGATCGATCCGTGTCACTGACTAATCTGAATAAGTAAAACGATTTATTCCTTCACTAATGGAAAACCTTTACCTACAGTGCGCTTCTCGCTGCTTTCGGTGGCCTCTGCTCCAGAATTTTAAATCTTCTGGAGAGACTAATTATTCATACTGCTAGCAAGTTCCTCCGGGTTTACAAAGCATTGGTCTCAGCCCTGTCCTTCATGCCGATCAGTGGCTATAATAACCCTTGGCCAACTCATAATTAAAGAAAAGAAATAGAATCTTCTAAATCTCCAGAGCCTCCTACGCTGAGGAAAGACATCTTCCAACCCACTTTCATCTACCTTGAGTTTCTTTTGACAACACCTACCTTCAGCATGACTGCCTGAAACCTTCCTGTATCTCAGACTTCCAGGCTTTTTAAGCCCCTGAAATTGGGGCGGGTCTGGCTCTCCCACAGAATCGTCCTGGCTCCCTTGGCCCGGTACCGGAATGACGAAGGGCATGTTGCTAGGCCCTTTATGAAGCGCTACTATGCGGATCGCGCCTCTGTGCCCGGCACACTAATTATCTCAGAGGCTACTAATATCGCTGCTGGACAGGAAGGCCAGCGATACACCCCCAGCTTCGTCAGTGATGCTCAAGTGGCCGCTTGGGAGGAAATCATCGATGCTGTTCATACCAAAGGGTCCTTCTTCTTCCAACAACTTTGGGATCTCGGACGGGCCGCCGACCCTTTTTATATGAGAGAACGCGGTTCAAAGTACAGATCCAGCAGTGCTGTGCCGATAGAAGGCGTCAACGTAACCCCTGAGGCCATGACAGAGGAAGACATCCAACAAGTTATTCAGAACTACGTGGATACCGCTGAACGAGTCATGGCTGCTAGAAGAGACGGTGTCGAGATTCATGCCGCCCATGGATATCTTCTAGATCAATTCCTCTCTGACCAGGTCAACCACCGCACTGATAAATGGGGTGGTTCCATTGAGAACCGATCCCCGCTTGCGCTCGAGGTGGCAAATGCTGTTGTCGACGCCGTTGGCGCAGAGAATGTTGCCATTCGTCTGTCTCCTTATGCTTCTTTTCAGGGCGCTCAAAAGTCGGATGCCAAGAGTCAGTACCTTTATCTGGTTCAAGAACTGAAGAAGTTGGGATCTCTCGCATATCTCTCCCTTGTCGAAGCTAAGGGTGACCCCGCCATCTTCTTTGCCAATGCCTCAGCGGAAGACGAGAAGACACTACACTTCATTTTCGAGGCTTGGAATAATCAATCTCCAGTCATCGTCGCTGGTGGTTACACCCCGGAATCAGCAGTATCGGCTGTTGATGATCATTATAGGAAGTGGGATGTACTCGTCGCTTTTGGCCGTCATTTCCTCGCCAATCCTGACTTAGTCTTCAGAGTTCAGAAGGGCTTGGAGCTTAACAAATATAACCGAGTAACATTCTATATCAATATGTCGGAGGAGGGTTATAATGATTACCCTTTCCACGAGGAGTTCTCTGAATACGCAACAGCGGCCTAATTGATTAGAGCTGGGCAGAGACTTGGGAGTAGAGAACGAACTTATTGCTTGGTTTCGCAATAGTGTGGCCGAGGAAGTCAGTATTCAGGCAGACAATTATATAGATTTTAGATTTTGAAATGTCATAACGTCTGTTTTATCTTGCAAAATAAACTTTGAGATTAGCTAAACTTATAAAATTGTATCTTTGATATATATATTTACATCATGAAGCATGTTAATAATCATCATAAGACCCAAGTATGCCGTCACCTGTCAGCGGCTTGTAGAGTCCTAACCCATGAAAGTCCATCCTTCCTCACGAGCCACCAGCCTTCCTCTGACCAGAAGTTTCGTTTGTTTTCCATTTCCACGGAGACTAGTAGGATTGACGGATTAATGAAACTGATCAAATCTTTACCCTTAAGAATATCGTCTTCTCTGCACACAACGGTGGGAGCATTGCCTTATGATAATTAGTAAGTCTATCCTGTAGCTGTGAAACCTTCATTCAACTGTTGCCTCGAGACTTGTTTGGTGACAACAGGCATTGCTACGAAGTTCTCATGCAGAGACCATGTGTGATTATCTATCGACAGCAAGGAGATCCGGTAATCTCGACATAATCAGTTGCCTTCTCCTTCGGCCGCATCCAGGCCTGTGCTAGCGATCCTCTCTACGGAAACATTGACATCGTGGTCGCCATCCAACAAATCTAACCACGAACTTTTCACATTTTGATTCTCCAGTAGTGATACGATAGGGTCCACCACGGACGCTCGGCTAACATTGCCCCTTGAGGTCTTGGTCTTCCCAAGTTCGACTTTCCCAGCGGGCTCGTCCGATAGCATACCAGGACGAAGACTTATTCCTGAAAAGTCCGATCGGAGAGATGAATTTTGAAGAAAAACCTCATCAGCAGCCAGCTTAGCCTTGCAATAACCAGAAAGATCGCCGCTTTGCATTTCGAGGGCGTACGTCCAGGCATCGCTGTCCCACCAGCTAGGCGATTTACGGCGGCAGGCCAGATACGATATGAGAATGAACTTTTTGATAGAATTTGTCTGAACTGCTGCATTGGTAAAGTTGATCGCAGCATCTCGATCGATAGCAAAGGTATAAACAGAATGTTAATGGTAACCGACAGTTTGCTAGGCAGGTGTTGCTTACCCGATCGAGACCTCCTTTTCCACCTGCTCCAGCGCTCCAGACAACAGCGTCCGGTTTGACCTCCTCGAGAACGTTCTTGGCTTGGAAAAAGCTCTTGATGACTTCCAAGCTCCGGACGAGAACATGAAGGCGCTGTTGTCCAGAGGCGAGACTCTCAATCTGGTGAAATTGTTCTTGAGCTCGAATAACGCTGGTGACAGTCCATGAATTCTTCAATAGCTGCCGCGTCAGTATCTGCGCGACCTTTCCGTGACCGCCAAGGATAAGAACGTGTTGACCCATGGTTGCGAAAAAGCTGGTCAAACAAGATGTTTGGTGCCGGGTCCTAGGTAGCTACAGTCATGTAGAAGGGTCTGTACACTGATTCTTATCGATCATCACCTGTATCGACTAACCGATACTGAGTTCAACATCCAGTACTGCTCTGGGACTTGCAGTTCATTGACCGAGAGCGGAACTACGCCCTACGTCCTACGCCCTGTGCCCTATGCCCGGCGTGCCCGCACTCATCTGCATTCAATACCACCACAAGTCCAATTGGAGAGATACCAGAAGTATCGACACGTAGTTATATCGTCATGGGTAACTTTGTGACATCAACCCCGCAAAGCTTGTTTCGGAGGTCGTACTTTAGTAACACGTTCATCAAGATTAGGTGAATGATTTAAGAGCCTAGTAAGGAATCCAATTCACTTTTTTTTAAATCAATCGTCGAGATTTATACTCAACTAAGCAACATGGCAAGCAGTTCATCTCAAAACGTCAGCAAGGGCAAACGTGTCCTTCTCACCGGAGGCAATGGCTTTGTGGCGTCGCATATACTTAATGATTTGGTGAAAGTAAGTCACTATGGAAACTAACGGCATATCCCGGCTGCTATAAAATAGGCTAATAAAACCATCAAACAGCGTGGTTATTCGGTTACCGCCACGGTTCGGTCTGAAGACAAAGCGCAAGCTGTTTATAAAACTCACCCTAACTGGAAAGAGAATGTCGAGTTTGAATATGTCGCGGACTTGACTAAGAAGGGGGCCTTCGATCATCTCTTCGAGGGTGCGGGCCAACCATTTGATTACATCATTCATACAGCCTCTCCAGTTGCATTCAAGGTCAAGGACATTCAGAAAGATCTGATCGATCCTGCTATCCAAGGGCAAGTAGTAACCCTTATGAAGCTTTATCTAGGAGCGACTGACCTGTGTAGAACCATCGGCGTCTTCGAAAGCGCACACAAGCTAGCTGGGCCTACCTTGAAACGAATTGTACTCCTTGGTAGCGCAGTTGCTGTTCTGAACACCTTTGAAGACAAGACCAAGGCTGGGAAAGCTTATACAGAAGCTGACTGGAACCCGGTATGTCAGATTTTGAGGAACATTCTAAGGAGCAGTTAATAATAGACGACAGGTTACTTCGACTTATGCTATCCAGAACAACGACGTGGTCTCTGGATACAATGCCTCAAAAGTAGAAAGCGAAAGAGCAGCGTGGAAGATAATGAAGGAAAAGACCCCTTCATTTGATCTCGCTGTTATCAACCCGGATATCATCACTGGGCCCATGATCCACCCGATGTCAGGAGCAAAGTCGGTTAATGAGACAAACCGCTTTGCAATCTACAATTTCTTAGATGGAACGCATCAGCAAATCGAAGGTGTCGAATTCCCCTTCTATCACTTTGTAAGTCAATTTTGCATTACTCCCAGCTAGCCTCGTGCTGACTGATTGTTCTAGGTTGACGTTCGCGATGTAGCTCGGGCCCACGTGGACTCTTTGACAAACCCAGCCGCGTCGGGGAAACGAATTCTCATGGTGGCTGGCTTGATCACACCTCAATTGGTCGCCAACACCGTGCGCAAAGCTTTTCCTCAGTTGCAAAGCAAAATTCCCGAAGGAAACCCGGCACAAATCTTGCCGCCTAATAACGAACCGACGGGTTGGGACACCAGTGCTAGCATCAAGATTTTATCAGAGGGAACATCATCAGGGAAATGGGAGTTTATTGACTTGGAAAATAGTTTGACGGATGCTGTTCAAGGTATGCTAGATGCCGGGATTTTGTAATGAGACTATCCCACAAGGCTGGCCCCAACCCTCATCAACAGAGGGACGGCACATGACTATATCAGGGCTTTTGGTGATGATTAACCTCCGATCTTAATACATAAGTTTTCACATGCCAATTTAAATTGGTGTTATGTCAGTTGTGAGCTGCTTCTTATGTTACCTTAGCAAGGCCGGGATAGGAGAGCAGCACCGTGATGATTGTTAGCAAGTGATAGCTGCTAGAGGTACAGAGGAACGTCCTCCCCATGCTTTATTCTTGAATTTATTCCTTATACCTTGTTCTGTTCCCTCTGCTTATGAGTATTTACAACCCTTCCTATTATAAATAGGAATTGACAGTGTGCTAGATCTCCTTCAAACTCATCATTCTAACTCAAGTATGATACAACTAACATACTGGTATCTTCTATGGTGTAGCGACTGCTGCTTTTCCGTATCTTATTCAGCCCTTCTCGAAATCTGTTTGAAGCCTTTTCTTTGGTTTGCCATTGGAGTGTCTCGCATTTCCATGGCAACTTGTCCTTGAATCTTTTTTATACCGAAACCACTGGGCCCGCCGCTGTTGACAGCTTTTGGCAGAAGGGACTTCGTTTCCTCAGAGTTTCACCGTACCTAATGAACATGAAAGGAATGCACGCGAGTACCAAAGTAAAGAAAGCAAGCAGAGAACACGCCCACTGAATCCCCAAGCTCTCGTACATTAGGGGCGCAGCAAGTGGCAAGACTACAGCAGTTATCGACCGCATCGTACTCGATGCGGCCTGGGCCGATGCAGAGTACTGCCCGTAGGCATCGGTGATATAGTTCAGTAATGCCATAAATTCCACCAAGTAGCCAGCGCCAAAGAGAAGTCCCGATAGGGACGGTACGGCCGGATGAACTTCTGGGTATGACGTCCACCCAAGCCAGAATAGGGACGCGACGATTCTAGAGGCATGTGAGCTTATGAGATCATGAGGATTGATATACTGCCTACAATGGGCCGCCACCACAAGCCAGAGGTAGACGGCGATACTCGATTTTATTCGCCCAAACGACACCCGCTTTCATTGCTGAAGAATGGTAGGAGCTATACCCGAGGAAAAGCCCTAGAGCAACTATCGAGCCCGCTGTGACTACCTCTTGTCAGTCTAGAGGATAATATTGACATGTTGGGCAGCATAGACTTACTTGGTAGAAAGGTCAAGCCAACTTCACCGGATGATAGTTGGTACACCCCTACAAAGTATAAGTGACATGATAATCAGCTCAAGTAAAGCGCCTCAAACCTTGGAATATGATCGGGTATGCTTGGAAGAATAGGTACAAAGTCGCATACACAAGAGCCAGATAGAGGGATGTAAAAAGAACAGCTGGCTCACGTGCGGCCATGACAAACGGCCTTGAGAAGATAACCTTGAGCTCTTGTGCAAAGCTCGGCTGTTGCTTCTCTGCGGACTCGGGATCAACACGGTGCTTTTTCCTGATGATAGGAGCGTAGGTCTCCGGTAGACAACACACGAGCGGCAAGAAGACGCCTGAAATCCCCAGCCCGACCCAGAAGGTCAGGCGCCACGAATGTCTGGTGGCGTACCCAGAAATGATAGGCCCCAAGGGAGGTACCATGGCCGTAGCGCACATGTAATATGCTGTTGCTCTGCCTCTTGGTCCGGGATGGTCGAAGATGTCCGCGAAAACAGGCCCAACGACGGCGTTTGGCGCTGCGGCTGCGACACCACATAGAAGGCGGAATATCAATAACGCAGTAAAATTAGGGCTCACGGCACAGCATAGGGTGAATACCATGTAGCCGAGGTACGTGCCGACAAGTACAGGCCGGCGCCCGAGATGTTCGCTGAGGGGGCCGAATATCAGAGGGCCGATCGCAAATCCAAGCATATAAAGGGAGTTAATCAGGATCAGCTGCAGGCGATTGGTAACTGAGAATGCTTTAGCAATATCGCTCGCCGCTCCGGATGGTAACGAAGAGCCAAGGGCGCTGTTTGCGATGATGGCAATGCCTGCGGCTACGACTTGTGCTTGTTTGCGCTGTTACTGTTCAGTTTACCGCTAAACCGGTGATATCAAGTTTAATATAACTGAGTTTTGCTTACTCGAGAGAACTTGAGAGGGTTCTTATTATCTGGTAGTTCAAACGTGGCATCCAGCCATTCATTCCCTGTTGGTGACGGGGCCATAGTGAGAGTGACTGTTTGATAGATGGTCGAGTCAACAGAGGCCTTGATAAGACGGCCGTCAAACATCCGAACTATTTTTCATCTTTTCGGAGCTTCTCAACTTTGATCCCATGTCGAGATAGTGGACTCTCGGCGTGCCACTCCACTCCGAAACCGAGCTGGGCTCGGGGCTGTTAGTTCAACACCTTACGCCCTACGCCCTACGCAGGCGCCTTGCCGACGTCCTACCTAAGCTTATGAAGGTGGGCGTCATAATGGATTGGCCTCCCTTCGTATCTACCTCGAGTTTTCGGTACAGAGTAATACACCAGGCAGATATCAAGCTTCAGGTCTCTTTAGCAGGCAATTCTACCAGGTTGGCTTCCAGCAGAACTGAGAATTGGCCCAGCAGGTGGGGTTATTGTCGCGGAGCTGGGGGTTGAAAGACGGTTCAGTACGCCCTACTCCCTACGCCCTGCAGAATACACCCTGTGTCCTTGGGTTTGCATGACTGGTTAGAAGAGTTGAACATCACCCTTGGGCAGAAAGGGTTTAGAAACATTTAAGAGTTCATAATAAGTATTATGTTTTTACAATAATATAAAATATTAGAGTAATTATATTCTAGCTATCTTCTCTAACCATCATGGTGACACTCTGTACAGTAGTCAATGTGAATCTTGCACGAGTTGGACAGGTCAATGTTACCACAACGTGTCAAGCCCTCTTGCTGTCGGCGCCTGCAATAGAGTTAGCATATATATCTCACACAGGAAAATCGGGCCAACTTACAGATCCTTAATGTCCTTGCCCTTCATTCCAATGCCATAGTCATCACAAGAGAACTGAACCGTGCAACCCGCCTTTCCAAAAGTGAGTACCTTGAGAATACTTCCCATGCGCTCATATCGAGAAACATAGTCGGTGTACAAAGTGTCATCCTCAAACTTGTTCAGCGCAGCCTCGCAAGCACCAGCAACAGCGTTGCGAACGTTCTTGTCACCGCTGCTGCAGATACTCGATCCATCGCCGTTCCAGTTCGTGGCGGTAGGCAGAGGAGTTGATACTGTGGATGCTTCGCCGAGACCCACGGTGGCGGTGACCTTGATGGTGTTGACGGCGAAGTAGCTGAGGGAGTAGGACTCGTAAACGAGAACAGTACCGGCGTCGGTGCGGGTGAAGGGCTCCTTGAAGACAGTGGGCTCGGGGGCAGGAGGGGGGGTGGTGTACATGCTCATAGGGAACTCGGTGTAGTCTGCGCATTGGCCTGAGATCATGGGCGCTGTGACGACGTATTGTTTACCCTCGCTGGTTGTCTCACAGTTACAGTAGGGGGTTTCAACACGAGGGCCACCGTGGGGAATGCAGGGGTAGTAAGTGCGCATGGTGGTTGTGGCAGTGGTGGAGGTGATCATATCAGAAGAGCTGAGCTGGGTTGTAGTACCATCGGAAGTTGTACCAGAAGACTCGTTGGAGGATTCGGTGTTGCGGGTAGTCGTGATGAGAGTGCTGGGGATGGTAGTGGTTCGCTCAGTGGTAGCTTCTGAAGAAGTAGTCTCCTCAGTCTTGTCACTGGTAGTCTCAGCTTCAGTGGAAGTAGCCTCGCCAGTGGTCTCAGTACCAGTAGACGAAGCAGTAGGCTCCTCGGTGGTAGTCGCATCAACACCAAGTCCCTCATCTAAAGCATCCTCAAGAGCCTCGACGGTCTCCTCATCAGGCTCAGAGTCAAAGTCATCGGGAATATCGCTCTCCAGCTCTTCGATGTCGAGCTCCTCACCTTCCTCGGCCTCGGCAGACACAGTCTCGGTAGAAGTGGCTTGGGTACCAGTTGCGCAGCTGGCGACGGTAGGGCAGTCACCAAACTCGGTGTGAGTGACGGTTCCATCGGTGGTGTAGTACGAGATGGTTCTGGTGCAGTCCTCGATCTCAACGGCGGAGCAAGCCTCGGTAGTAGTGGTAGCCTCAGTTGTCTTGGCGGTCGTCTCAGCAGTGGAGGGCTCAGCGGTAGACTTCTCCTCTTCCTTGGTGGACTGCTCTTCATCCTCCTTCTTGGTCTCGTTCTTGTCATCCTCGCCATCTCCCTCGCCCTCGCCACCGCCACCAGGAGTACCACCGCCAGCTCCAGCGGGGTTAGTACCAGGAGGAGGGGGCAGAATACCAGCAGGGAGATTGCCAGAGGGCTTCCAGAACCAACCACCGGGGAAGATGACGATAGCAGCACCACCATCATCAGTAGTAGTGGTGGTACCAGTGAAGTCGGAGAAGTCCTTGTCCTGCTCAGGGACATAAGTCACAACAGCGCCGTTAGAACCAGTGACGATACCATCCTCAGTGGTGGTAGGCTTGGGAGGGGCAGTAGTCTTCTCGGGCTCGTCGGGAGCACCGGTCTGACCAGGCTCGTTCTTCGTTGTTGGCTCGTTTGAGCCAGCGTCCTCAGTTGTGGGCTTGGGACCAGGAGCCTGAGTGGTGGGCTTCTCAGCCTCCTTGGACTCAGTGGTGGGCTCTGGTTCCGGCTTCTCCTCGGTCGTAGGCTCAGCCTTGTCAGTGGTGGACTCGACAGGGATCTGAGCCTCCTCAGAAGTGGAAACCTCAGGAGCCTTCACTTCGGTAGTAGATTCGACACTGGGAGCAGGAACAGATTCAGTCGAGACCTCGGGTGCCTTGTCGGTGGTAGGCTGAGCAGCCACGGAGGTCTCAGTGGTGACCTCGGGGGCTGGGACCTGAGTGGCAGGCTCGGCAGCCTCAGTTGACTCGGTAGAGACAACAGGAGGTTGGATGTCAGTGACAGCGTCAGTAGCGGCGCCGGTAATAGCCTCAGAAGGAGTAGCAGCAAGCTCAGTTGAGGTCTGGTCCAGAGGAGCAGCGTCAGTGGACTGGGTACCAGGCTCAGTCTCTTGAGAGTTTGGGTTGGGAAACACGGGATGGCCAGTAGCAGTGTTAACGGGGTTGTTGTTGTCGGTGGTGGCAGTATCAGGCAACTGCTCCGGCTGAGAAGCTGTCTCAACACCAGCACCAGCAGACTCTGTTGTTCCAGCTGGTGGAGCAACGTTTGTTGTAGGCTCTAGAACCTGGCTAGTCTCTTCAGTTGAAGCAGGAGCAACATTGATCTGAGTTGTCTCCTCATCGGCAGAAGTAGTAGGAATCTCCACTTGCGCTTCAGAGGCAGCAGAAGAGGGAGCCTGATCGATGAAAGGCTCTGAAGAGGTCGTCTCAGGAAGAGCAACCTGAGTTGAAGGCGCAACGAAACCCAGGTCCGTCGAAGTCTCAGTACCCGTTGTTGTAGAAAACTCCTGCCCAGAAACGCCCGACAACGACGTTGCAAGACATAGCGCAAGAGCGCGCAACTTCCAAGGCTGCTGCATTATGTAACGAACGTGAAAATAAAAGAGTGAACGACTATACTAGCATAAATGAATGAATGAGTACAGTCCAAGACAAACGAATGAAAGAGTGTCCGTAAAACAAAGGACCAATGTTGGAGGAGAGGCGCTGGGTTGCCTTTTCATGGAACAAACATACCGTGAGAATATACCCGTCATGGCTGCAAAAGATGGCAGTGGAGCTTAATCTATTGACCCTTGAAACATGTCAGCTTAATTAACTTACGTGAAACGTTGTGGAGCTGCTGATGCTCAGCCTTGTTGGGAGATTTGCACCGTGCATGATGAGAATGTAACGGGAAGGACTCGGTGAAATTGAGTTGGATTTGAAACCTGGTAAGGCAGAGCTGATCGTCGATATTACTGTTGCATTGAGTATTTCATCTCGGAGTTATGTTATGCTTATTGGGCGTTGTACGGCTTTGCTATTATGGAGATGGTGAGATGGAGCGCTAATGTCAATCCCTCGGAGAGCGCAATCCTTTGCCTATCACTTCCTACCCAGTCAATCTCTTTTATTCAAGTAATTCGTCTATCATGAATGGCGACGCGTATAACCCCCTTTGTCTTGCGCAATCTTGTAGACTCTCTTCACAATCGGACTGATTTCTGTCATTTTCTAGCTATCTAGATGGTGTCAGATAACCGTAAATCCTTCGTTCACAGTGGCGTAGTCTAAAAACACGATGAATTTCTCCCATCTCTCAACATGCGAAAATATCTGCCGACAATTGCCTTGTGAGGCACAGCCCAAGGATCGGCAATAAGCGAAATGCACAACGGCACGGAATGTGGGGAGTCTTATTCTCCGTCCCTCGATAGTTGGTTCATCAACAAAACTGCTGTGGAGTTTCATATCAAATTCAAGGAGACAATCGAGGCTGAGGCTGCATCAACTCATTATCCGGTCTGGCCGATACTCAATGGTCTGTTCTTTTTTAGTAATGGCTTTGAGACTCGTCAATCAGCGTAGGATCAAAGGATGAAACCCCTAGGGCTGATTTGTGGGGGTGTCATCTTGGATAGTGGATGCTCAGCTTATGCCAATTTACTGCAGGGGCTACATGGATCGGGATAAACATTCAAGGATGAGACACTCTCTACCATTTCATTGAAATGTAATATACATACATTATCAAGCTCCATTCGTCTTTGCTTGTCTGTCCCCCAGTCATTCGCTCCTTTTCGCGTTCTACCCGAACGCAGCCGCTCGTTTGAACAGTCACTCTTTACAGTACCGTGATTATTTTTGCCCATAATGCGTTTGTCCAGCTTTTTGCTGGCCGCTGGTCTTTCCAGCTCTGCACTCGCTGTCGATGCATCGCTGGATCCTTGGGAGATTGACCCTAGCTGCAATGGCTTTGAGAACGACATCAAGGATGCTCTGACGCAGTCAATTGATCTTGCTGAAGCTGCTAGAATCAGTCTTGAGTTTCTTCTTGCAAAGATGCCGGACCGAAACTCTGATCCCGACGGTGCTGTCAAGTGGGCGAGAATTTCGTCGGCTGCTAATAGCATCTTTGGGCTCATGCCCAATTACAAGGGCCATAATGCTGAGACGCAGAAGTACATTGAGGATTTGAGAGGTTTGTTGAACTCTTCTCAAATAATGCAATTTGCTGACATTGAGAAGACATCTACGCCAAGACGGCCAACACTCTGCCCTCATCTCAGAACAACCCCGCCAAAGGCTTCAGCCCAATTCTCTCCCAGAAACCCAACGCCAAGCCCATGATTGTCTGCGGCGACGCTGTCTTTAAGTGGTACGACGTCGATGACGAGCCCGAGCCTGGTGTAGGCAAGGTCAGAGACCAGCCAGCTGTAAGCGGCTACATCCAGAACGGCGGTACAATCGCAGGTGCCTTTTATCACGCCAACCGTTGGGACTTTAGGAAGACCAAGGCAGCTTCCGTTGGACACTGCATTGGCAACCGAGAGGCTCTTATCTCGTCGAGAGATGATCTCTTGATTATCTGTCCCAAGATGACGTCTGATGCTGGAAAGGCGCGCATTACGCCTCGACAGTATAAGACTTCTGCTGCGCAGGGTGATCATATCATGACAAACTGGGTGTCTAACCCCACTCAGCTTTACCACGAGCTTATGCATTGGTTCGGTGGTGTTCAGGGCAACAACCTGAAACACAGTGAGTTACGCGACATATCCTATCTTCTGCCTAGCCTAACTTTGTGTAGTCATCCAGGATCAGGTCGCCGTTAACGAGAAGGGTTACTTGAGATACAAGGACAAGAACAACCAGGTCGAATATTACACTCGTCCTCCTTCGGACCAAGAACTTGCTCAGAAGCAGCAAAGAAAGCAGGGAGCTTGTAAGTTAACCGAAGATGACTGGGAGAAACATGCTAATTATTTCTAGATGGCCTTCGTTGGATCATGAACTTGGCGCGCACTTATAAGGACAAGAATGGCAACACAAGCCAGTGGTCTGGTCCCAAGCTGGCCACCAAGAACGCTGACTCGTTGGCACTCTTTTCCTTCATGATGTAAGTCAATCGCCCAACGTTATGGTCATTCCCGTTTCTAATAGAAATTCACTAGGTACCTGGATCAATTCGACTGGTCTAAGAACGGTGTTGCTGAAGACTTTACCCGCCTCAAAAACAAGTTGGGGCTGAAGCCTTAATCATTGCCACGTGTTGAGACAAGTTGGAGAATATGATGTATCGCGTAAATAGTAATGCAAGAGAACATGCACTCTTGGAAGTTCAACATTGTCACTTTTTGAATGTATTTATCTTGTAGAACCTGTTGAGTAATTCGCAGGGCACGACAGTGAGGATAAACATCAACCCGATTGCGTTGCGCTAGCTGTTTGAGGTGCATACCCTACCTTGGGGTAGATTAGATCGCCAACAGAAAACATAAGAAATCAGCATAACAGAATAAAGTTGTCTTATGCAAATTAATTAATTCAACTCTTCGCACGATAATCAGGCGGATTCTCCCTCTTGTTGTGATGGAATCTGAAAGAATGATCGTTGTCCTTCACGTGACCGCAAGCCAATTAATCTCATTCGCATACCTGAGGCTCTACCTCAGCCTCTAACATCTCACCTAAACATGGCGCCTTCAAGCCCAATACCGTCACCTGTCGATTTCCCATCACCAGACTTTTCTTTCGGTGGAGGCTACTCACCAGGCTCACAATGTATTCCCCCTATTACTTGGGTATTTGCGGCGTATGCTAATATTTGAGCAGCTCCAGGTCCAGCTCATTCACCAGACTTTGGACCTGATCGCGACTGGCGAGACTGTAGACATTTGATCCCAAAGCTACCGTCTACACGGCCTCGTGCACTTACACCGCCGGGCTTCAGTGATGATGATGACGATATGAGTCTGCAGCGACCGGCTGCAGCCTTTCAACAATCTCTCTGGTTCAAGGTCCCCGCTAATCTGAGACGGGATATCCTTCGGCTGGCGTTTGGAGATAGACGTCTTCATATGCATCTCGCTTTTGATCCTTCTGTTCGTAACCCAGACGATCCATATTCCCTTGAACTGGATGAACCAGACGATCCTGGCCTAGGGGATCCACAGAGAAAACTCTGGTCATGGAATGGATGCATCTGCGCTCGAAAGTATGATCCAGAGCTGGGGCCCATGACGCGCGGTGGCCTCAACCCAGGTCCCTGGATTGATCGCTGCTGTGATCCGATCAATGTTCCGAAGCCACCGCCTGAAAGTATCGGCATCATGGGCTGGCTGCAGTCGTGTCGGCAAAAGTATGTCAGCATTCTCTATCTATCAATGAGCTTCACTAACAGTGTGACAGCTACGCCGAGACTATTGATGTTCTATACTCTACAAGCACCATCATTCTCTCCAGCGAAGCAACAATCACTGAACTCCCATCGCTCATAACCCACCACCATCTCACCAAGATCACCTCCCTCGAGATCAAAGCCCCCATTACCAAAGACAATGTCCTCGAGGATATCACCAACCTCATTCTTCCCGACCCCCATTCTCCCCGGTTCCCAAACCTCAAGCGCCTCTACATCTCAATGGAATGGAGCGGCGTGGATACCCGCGATCCGGATCCAGATGAACTGATCGCGTCATTCGACGCCTTGGCGGGAACAATCAAAGAGTGCGCTTTCGCCATCCCCATGGAGTGGTTTTCGCGCATCTCCTGGGGTCAGATGCGAAGCGCAACTACAGGCAAACAGATCACCTACAGCCAGTTATGGCGTACGCTCGGCAATGCTGAGGACGACAAAGATGCGCATGAGGGCGGGTTTGATGTCATACAGCTACCTTATGTAGACAGCTATCCGAAGCCTCCGTATCACTTGCAGAGTCCCGGTGCTGGGTATTGGATCCTGGAGGCGAGTGAGATGTCGTTGAGTATGGATTATGATTTTCTGACTGGGCAATACAATGATGACTACAGCGACTTCAGATAAAGCCTCTTTGTGCATGGAGAAGGGGTCTACAGTCATCTGGCGCTCAAACAACAGACACTACTATTAAAGCCGTCCTCTGAAAGTGATGTATCAACATTCTGTAATCCCGGTCGTGGATCCTGGAGGCGAGTGAACAGTCGTTGAGTGAGGTTTACAATGATCTGCATCGGCGGTATGCTTCCGACTAGAAGCAGTCACTTGATGTACAAGAAGTGTGGCTGGGCGTCAGCTGACATCAAAACAACGCACATTATTATCAAAGCCATTCTATTCATCCTATGAAAGTGATGTATCAATATTCTGTATTTCCGGTACACCCTCAAACTTGAGCGTCTCTATATCCGGCGTCTCCACTTGCAACCATAAAGTTCCCTTGGTTCCGTCTGACTGATCGAATGGTAAGCATAGATTACGTAGATCGTGGATCCCAAATTCCCACTATTTCCTGGCTTTGAACCTAACACTAGCCTCGGGCCAACTGCCGCCGATGGGGTAGCCAAGGAGCGGGGTGAATGCACCTTATCAAGTGATTTATATAAAAACAAGCTCAACCGTTTCCCGCCATTCCCGGATCTTGCTTCACTTTTCTTAGTATCTCTTCATCATGGCGCCATCAGAGGATTATCAAAACATCTTTCACTGGGCTGAGACCCAGAAGGATGGAAGTATTCCCTCCTTTGCGCTTCGAAAGAATGATCCGTATACGTACCTCTCTGGTTTCAATAACCATCATGAATCAGAGGCTATTCCTGGAACTATTCCGCAGGGACAGAATAGTCCGAGATGTGTTAGGTTCGGGCTGTATGCTGAACAGATGACGACGTCGTTTGGGGCTTCTCGGCAGGCTAATAAGAATTCGTGGCTGTACCGAGCGAGACCTGCTGTTGCTCACCAGGGATTTGTAAGTGTCGACGCCTTTGGGGAACTACTATTGCTGACTTGGGTAGACGGATATGCCCAAGGTTGAAGGGACAGAGAGCTGCTTTCTGCCTCTTAACCCTGCAGTCAGAATCTCACCAACACAGTTAGCCTGGGTATGTAAACTGACATCTCAACTCTTCATCACCATCGACTAATCCCCCAAGCTCCCCTTCGACATTTCCGAAGGCACCGACTTCATCTCTGGCCTCCGCACCATCGCTGGCTCAGGTACTCCCCCCACCCCTCCCCCTCACCCACCACCTCTGACAAACTCCAGGCGACCCTACCCTCCGCGAAGGTCTCGCAACACACATCTTCTCCGCCACAAAGAGCATGGAGAAGCGCGCGTTTGTGAACTCAGACGGAGACTTTCTCATCATCGCGCAACAAGGCAATCTCGACATCCAAACTGAATTCGGCAATCTATACGTGCAGCCCGGTGAGATCTGCGTCATCCAGCGCGGTCAACGCTTCAAGGTCGCTGTTGAGGGTCCGACTAGGGGTTATATCCTTGAGGTCTGGGGCTCGCACTTTGAACTTCCTGAGCTGGGACCTCTTGGATCAAATGGTCTTGCTAACGCGAGAGACTTTTTGTATCCCAAGGCGAACTACACTGTTACGCGTGATGATCCGTGGGAGATCGTGTATAAGCTTGGCGGGCGCTTTTTTAAGAGCACGCAGAACCACTGCCCCTTTGACGTTGTCGCTTGGCATGGTAACTATGCGCCGTACAAGTATGATCTCACCAAGTTTGTCAATGTTGGGTCTATCTCTGTTGATCATATTGATCCGTCGATCTTTTGCGTTTTGACGGCGGCTTCGCGAGATGCGAATGCTCCGTTGGCGGACTTTCTCATCTTTTCGCCCCGTTGGGATGTCGCGTCGCATACGTACCGACCACCTTATTATCATCGCAATGCAGCTTCTGAGCTGATGGGGCTTATCTATGGAGAGTATGCGGGACGATCTGATGAGTTTCAGCCAGGTGGTGTTTCGTTTGAGTGCGGCTGGGTTCCTCACGGTGTAGCCTACGAAGTAAGTCCCTGGTCATCACCCATTATCACGATCATGTGCTAACAGAACGTAGGAATTCAAGGCAGCGTCAGCTCAACCCCCGCCGCAGATGCAAATCTCCAAAGGCGCAGTGGCATTCATGTTTGAGAGCTGCAGACAACTGACCATCACCGACTGGGCGTGGAACAGCGATAAGAAGCACGAGCACGAGCCCAAGATGTGGGATAACTTGGTTGATAACTTTTCCGAGCACCTTGATGAGATTAATGAGATCTTGGGGAAGAAGACCCTGTAAAGTCGTGGGGGAGCAAATGGTACGGTAGAAAGTCAATTGCAAATGGAATGTTTTGATTGGGTTCGGCAATTTTTTCAGGCATGAAAGTGATCCACTGTTTTTTGGGGGTATTTTTAGCGGCTAAAATGCTCAAAGGCTTCCTCGGCTTCCGAGGTTGACAATATTATCAGATTGTTAGTGTAGCTTTATAGTGAGATGTGTCCATGTTATTTTGATGTTTGTGTCGGGTCCGTATTCGTATGGGAAGACTAACTGTGCTCCACTAAGCAACTTCATCATCCAATCATAGGTGACTTGTTTCGGGTATCTTTAATCGCTGTGGGCCGGGTTGAGCTCTTCCGTTGACTTGAGAATGGGTCGATATCAATTGATGACATTTCTAGATCAATAAAAGCAACAACATCGTCACTCTCGCTCATTCATCACGAACTCCAAGCCAACACTCTCACTAAACCCACTCACTCATTACGCCCGGCTGGCCCTCAACCTTCACCTCTCAAGATGAAGGCCCCAAAAACACCAGAATACGAATTTGGCGGCCCGTAAGCAAGCACCCTCCCTCACCCTCCCCCTTATCACTAACTCTCAACAGCATCGGCGCCACAGGCATCGTCTTTGGTCTTCCAATTCTCATGCAACTCCTCTATCTCGGCTGCAACGATGTTTCAGGATGTCCCGCGCCAGCGCTTCTTGAGCCTAAAACATTGACGTGGCAAAAGTTCAAGGAGCAAACGCCTTGGCCGAAGGAGGGCATCTGGGGATTCATGAGCTGGGAGGTCACGGGGTGGCTTCTTGCTTATTATTTTCTGAGTCTGGTGCTTTATCGTGTTTTGCCGGCGCAGGAGGTTTATGGGACGAAATTGAGGGAGTCGGGCAAGGCTCTGAAGTATCGCTTCAATTGTACGTGTTCCCTTTGATCTCACTCTTGGGTAGTGAAACTGACAGAATTACAGCCTTTTCCTCAAGCGTTGTGCAGTTAGTCGCCTGCGCCGTTGGAACTTACATCTACGGCGCTGAATTTCCTGTCTGGACCTTCATGACCACCAACTACCTCCAACTTCTCACCACAAGCACCGTCCTAACTTTCATCGTCTCACTTTACGTCTACATCGGCAGTTTCTCCGTCAAGAAGGGCAATCCCGAGCTGCGCGAGTTAGCAAGAGGTGGACACACCGGCCGCATTATCTACGACTTCTTCATCGGTCGTGAGCTCAACCCTCGCGTCACGCTTCCCATTTTCGGTGAGATTGACATCAAGTCTTGGTTGGAGATGCGCACTGCTCTTACAGGCTGGATCTTGTTCAACTGTGCATTTATTGCGCAGCAGTATCGGAACTACGGCTATGTTTCTGATAGTATCTTGGTCATCGCTACGGTTCAAGCTTACTACGTGCTTGAGGGTCAGTACTCAGAGCTTGGACTCCTGGGTATGATGGACATCACCCAAGATGGTCTTGGATTCATGCTTACCTGGGGTAACATGGTCTGGGTTCCTTTCCTTTACTCGACTCAGTGCCGCTACCTCTCTGTCTACCCCGTTCATCTGGGACCTGTCGGTGTTTCCGCTATCGCCACTGTCTTTGCCATCGGGCTGTACATCTTCCGATCCTCCAACAACCAGAAAGCTCTCTTCCGCAAGGATCCCAATCACCCTGCCTTTGCGAACATGACCTTTATCCAGACCAAGCGCGGAACCAAGCTTTTAACCGGCGGATGGTGGGGAATGGCCCGTCACATCAACTACTTTGGCGACTGGCTTCAGTCTCTTCCTTTCTCGCTGCCGACCAAATTCGCTGGCTACGTGATTCTGCCAGCTGGTAGTGCTGTAGCTGGCAATGAGGTCGTCAAGATGCTTGATGGCCGCTTGGTGACTCCGGATGGTGCTGCGCCTTGGGGTATGCTGTTTACGTACTTTTACTCAGCTTGGTTCGGGTTCCTGCTTATTCATCGGGAGAGAAGAGATGATGCTGCTTGCATTGAGAAGTATGGCAAGGATTGGGATGAGTATAAGAACAAGGTTAGATACAGGATCTTGCCTGGTGTATACTAAAGGGTATAACTATAACGGCAATGAGAGGGAGTAGCTTCGACTAGCTGTATTAATACGAAATACCTAAGTCGTCTGGTGCATACACATTTGAGAGTATCTGACATTTAGTAAACCTTGCTGAGATCTCATAGGCTTTACCCGTGAACCAAGAAGAGAGGGAATTGGAAATGTAATAGAATAGATAAAAAGTCGGCGGAAGCTTAAAAAAAGAAACATTTTAAATATAAATTATTAGTAAAAGTAAAATTCAAATTCCTATCCCAGTTAATAAGCCTGATATTGACATTGCAAGTTACAAGTAGGATGAATTAGTCACAATTACATCTTCTATCAGGTCTCGTCCAGGGTATTCAAACGCGTCAGTTTCGAATTCGCGTGTCAAGAGGAAAAATACCCCGCATGACGACACGCGTCGTTGATCAAGTGCCGAAAGACGTGTTAGTCAGCGATGTTTTCTTATCTTATCAGTGATTTATCTTATCTTATCAACTTCTCAGGAGCTGAAACCCGACAACGTTGCTCAATGCGTATAAGACGTTGTCGTATGATCGACGACTTGAGGAATTTGATCCTATGGAGATGATGGAGCGAGGCAGGGCTTTGGTAAGTATTTCACCGCCTCAACTTGACCGAGACTAACGGAATTAGGCTTCAAGGAGTCTTTCCAAGCTGGAGATCTCGAGCCAGGGTACAACGCCAAATACAACCTTCTCCAAGAAATACTCCGCGCTATGCTCAAGACCCCTCATGTCGGTTCGACAGATTAGATCTTTTTCGTAGCCGAGATTCTCGAGTGGCTTGACCTTCGTGGCGATTACGACGACTACGTCCAAGATCCGCGATATCCCTGGCCACACAGCTTCATCGTCCAAGACATTGTTCAAGCATTCGCTATGATAGCCATGTTCATCCCAGACTCAAATGTCACAAAGCTAGTCACCATGTTTGTCAACTCAAGCCAGTGCGACGAGTTCTGAAAATCAGGAGTCTTTGATCCCAAGGAACGAAGCAAGGTGCGCCCTGATCGCCGAACCAGAACGAGTTATAAATTCCGCGATAAGGAGTTTTGGAAGGAGTGGAAGGAGTTTTACACAAGGGTTACAGACTATATCTGCTTAGCTGTAACGCTGGTGAAAACTCAATTATCCATAGAGCCAACTAGTGAGAGTTTTAAATCAAGGTATTTAAAAGATCTGTCTTCTCTCTTTATAGTATATCTTGTCAAGGATTCATTTCACTCTGCCCTCACCTTAAAATGAAGTTCACTTATTACACCTTTCTTCCCATTGTCCTCCTCGCCACTTCCTCTCACGTAGGAGGGTGTGGCTCAAGGGCGAGGGTGTATAAAGTTCAGACTGATGCGCACTATAATGAAGGTTTACTCGATTGCCCCAACGGCTACGGCAACGTGGAATGTCCCTTTGGCACTGCAGCTCACGACGTACAAAAACATCCCCCTCTCAATGATGGCGACCAGTGCGTGACTACAGTAAGATATATCTGAAGAATTATTAAGTTTCTGAACTGCCTAATAATATGTGTTCATAGTGCACGTGTTGCCGTTAGGAATTGAGGCCTGTTCGAAGACTCTTTTGGGTTATTTGAGTCGCCATCGGCGTTGATGGAGGCCAACCTCAGCTCAAGGTTGGGGAATCAGCCCTCACTCAGCAGCAGTTCTGCCTAGAGTATCAAGGACTCAGCTGCAGAAATAGAAATGGAATTTATTGCCACAAAGTTTCGTCTCCGAGTTAGATGGTAGCCAAAGAATATATTGAACCGATTACCAGCATTACCTAAGTTACAATTTGGATCCGCCCGCGTCCACCTTCATCATAACACTCTTGACCTCCAAGAAGTTATCCATACTATAAAGGTAACCTTCTCGACCTTGCCCCGAAGACTTATATCCTCCAAAAGGAAGATCCCTGGCAGTCGTGGGACTGGTGCAGTTGATACCGACGTAGCCCGAGTTGAGCTGTTGAGTAACCCTCATCGCCCGATCAATATTCTTGGTGTACACCGCAGCATAAAGGCCATACTCTGTATCGTTCGCCTTCTGGATAGCCTCTTCTTCCGTTTTGATGACGTTGATGTTCACGACAGGCCCAAAGATCTCCTCCTTCATGATCTTGGCATTTTCAGCCGTGTCCAGGAAGATCGTCGGTTCAATGAAAAAGCCTCCTGTCTTGTCATAGCTTCCCTTCCCACCTTGAACAAGTTTTCCTGACTTCTTTCCCTCATCTATATAAGAGAGAACCGTCTCGTACTGAGTCTTGTCTGCTTGCGGACCATGATCGACGCCCTTTTGCGTTGGATCACCTGCCTTAGCAGCTGAAAGTGCCTTCTTACTAGCTTCAATGAACTTCTCAGCGATGGTATCTTGCACGTAAACACGAGAATTAGCCATGCAGACCTGTCCACTGTTCCACTGAATACTGTGCATAGTGTCCTTAGCAGCCTGTTCGATGTCTGCATCATCGAAAATAATAACAGGCGATTTACCACCGAGTTCAAGGATCACCTTCTTTAGGTTGGACTTAGCAGCTGCTTCCTGAATCGCCCGTCCAGTGCGTCCCGAGCCAGTAAACGAGATTGCGCGTACATCCATGTGTGATGAGAGGGCGGCTCCAGAGGGGTTGCCGTGGCCTGATATGACGTTGAAGACGCCAGGTGGAAAGCCCGCCTTGTGGATCAGCTCAGCGAACTTGGCTGCACCGAGAGGCGCTTTCTCGCTTGACTTGAGCACGACTGTATTTCCAGTGATGAGCGCAGGTGCAGTCTTCCCGGCAAAGAAGAGGAGAGCAGCGTTCCAGGGGATGATAGCACCGACAACGCCAAATGGCTGACGTAGAGTCATGGTGACATAGCCTGGCGTGTTGAGACTTGCCTGGCCTTGGATGTGAGGCCAAGCTTCAGCGTAGTACTCATAGCTCCCAGCAGCGGCATATCCTTCAAAGAACTCGGGCAACGGACGACCCATTGACTTTGCCTCGAGTACAGCCAGTTCGTCATTATGCTGTCTGATGAGACCCGCGAGTTTCTTCATGTAGCCGCCGCGCTTGGCAGGATCTAAGGCAGACCATGCAGGAAAGGCGCGCTGTGCAGCTGCGACGGCGTTGTTGACATCGTCTCTTGTGGCTTCGGGGACTTGACAAAGACAGTTTTAGCTGAGAACCAAAGCGGGTATTGCGTGTGGTTTACCATTTGCGACTTTATCGCCTGTCGCTGGGTTGAAGAGAGGAAAAGTGCTACCATCAGAGGCGCCGACCAACTGATACAGTTAGTCAACAGTGAATGAGCGGGGAGTTGGGCTTAATACTTGACCGTCAATTAGCATCAGAGGCTTGATTGCCTCGTTTCCATTCGTCGAGCCCATTTCTGCAAGTTGAATGATGCGTATTTTGTATTTGTGTGGATTTGACTACCGAGAAATGTCTCAATTTATCAATGACGAGGTTGTTTCACATGACATCAACCACAAGCTTGATAGGCAAAACATCCGAAAGGGTTTATGCGCCACCCCCGCAATATTTCAGGAGGGGGAAAACACCCGTGAAATATTGCAGCCGAGACGCGGCGCTATGAACGGCCCGAGAAGATCATCGTGGTGGAGTGGATCTGAGACACGGCGGCAGAGTTCATGAACTGATTTCTATCTACGATTGTGTTTATTATGTATAAAATTAAGTCTATGATCTCGATCTGAAGCCGTTGAACCTGTAGTTGTGGCAACTCTTATGCTTGTCGCCACTTAAAGTTACTCCATAGGAAGCCATTGACAAGCCAGTTCTTTTATCTGAGCAGGGAAATGGTTTTCCGGAACCTGGACACTTTCTCTTCCACTGAACCAAGTGTAAAATGCTCGAAGACTGACCAACTCGGGATCTGCCAAAAGGTCTAGAGAGTAGAGTTCTTTGGCAAAGTGCAGAGTTGAGTATAAAACGCAATCAGCAATAGTGACTTGTCCATCTCCACCATTAAAGCGGGTATCCTCCTCATAGTATTTCTCCAGCAGTTTGAGATTCTTGGTGCAGTACTCAAGAGCAAGTTTCGCCGTGACCGGATGCGTCTCCTCAAGCATGTTGAACAGCGCCGTACCCTTGTGGCACGCAAAGCCAAACTGACTGGTGACTTCATCAGCAAGACCCAGAACCTCTCTGACCCGTGCTTTTTCCTCCGCTGTCCGTCCAAGCATACTGCCACCGGCGCCTTTCGCGAGTTCAATTTGCCATGGCTGCTGTGGATGATCGCAGATGTCTTCAAAATACTCGAGAATGGCGATTGACTGCTTGATGAACTTTCCATCTGGAAGACGCAAGATTGGCGCTGTTCCTTTGGGTTTTCCGGGCGCCGTTAAGCTATTGCTATTAGGGGAGACTGTTACTTCTGTAACTTTTATGAGTGGTGATTTGTGTAGGTTTTTCTCGGCGAGATAGATGAGGACGCGGCGGGGGTACATTCCCCATGAGAGGGAGAAGAGTTCAAGAGGGATTGACATATTGAGGGTAATTGATTGGGATCTTGTTGATGGAATGAGATGTGGCAATAAAGTTGATCATTGTTGACTCAAAAGGGACTTTTATACGTGTTTGGTGAGGAGACTTTGCGGATTGTTTAGTTGATGTGAAGTCTCCGATAGGTCGGCGAGTTTCTTATCGGGATCTTTAAAGTGACCGGTGGCTACTGACATGAATTTAGAGCCAGGTTACGGCCGATACAGGGGCCAGTGAGGGAAATGAGGTGCTTGGAGAGCCAGGAGAAAGGCGTCGAGGAAGGGCTTTTGCCATTGATGGGAGATGTATCGACGAGGCGATAAGATTGTCAACGTGTTGAACCAAAAGCAGCCCAAAATATCAACAGACTCATCAATAATCACCTTGCTTTCAGTTCCACTTTCGTACAGAGTCTGATGAAAACATCTCGGGCAGATCTGGCCTCAGTCTCGTGGTCTCCAGGTTTTAGAGTCCTCTGTTGGGTTAATGCAAGATACCTCTCCCGAGAGACGCTTCCTTCGGAAATATCGGTGATGCTTCCATTGAGGCTTCTGAATTGTACGATTATCAGAGTCTACTGAGAGGTATCACCTGAATGGTGATGTCAACGTTTCCGATTTGTTGAGTGTGGAGTTAACGTTTCGTGTCTCCAGCCCCAGCACTGTAAACAAAGCAACTCAACATTTAGAGCAGGCAACGTAATTGAGCAGCCCATATGCCACGTTGAGAATAAGAAGAATTACACGTGCTTCTATCTCGAGTTTTTGTCTATAAATGCATCACTTCTTCCCTCATCTAGACACCTTTCGAAACACATCCCATCCTCCTCCCGTACCAGAGGGGGCATTCTACCCTTGCACAATCTCCATCCTCTCTCCCTATCATCTTCCAAAATGGCCTCTACATGCCTCTCCCGACTCCTCCTCATCTTCATGGTGGTGGGACTCGTCCAAGTCTTGGCCCAGCCTATCAATGTCGTTGAGAGATCACCATGCTATAAGTGGAAGACCCAAGAGCACAAGACCGAGCGCAAGCACATACAGTACGGCAGCAAGGAGCCTACAGTCGTCCACAATAACATCACAGTAAATTTTGAAGATGAGGAGGGACCAAAGGACAAGAGTCACTCGAAAGGAAGTGAAAGCGAGACCACTAGAACCGAATATCCCAAGGAAGGCTCATCAAAGCATTACAAGCACCTTTTTAAAACCGACAAGTACAAGGATCCGGAAGACTACCAAGACAAGCACTCCAAACTCGACGACAAGCATTACAGCATAAAGCCCGCCGAAGAGAAAGAAGCAAAGAAAAAGAAAAAGCCTTCGATCTGGCCATATTATGCAGAATTACTGCTAGACAAGACTGAAAACAAGAAACCGAAATCGGAGGCGCAAATGCGCAAGGACTCGGAAGACTCCACAGATAAGCACTCTAAACTCGATGGCAAGTATTATAGCAGAAAGCCCGCCGAAGAGAAAGCTGCCCACGCAGATGAGAAATCCAACACCATGTCCGTGCCATCCCATCCTCGGGAAGTTCCATCGAAGCATGTCGAGTCCTCGAACCATATGGATTACAAGCAAAATGCCTCTGACAGCAAGAAGAGGATATTGACCCCTGGAATGAAGAAAATGTCGGGCCGTTTGCGCATGATTAAACAAGCTCAAAAAAAAGATCTAGATGGCTGAATGTAGGGAACTGACACAAAACACCACCACCTTGAAGCATCACGGGAACGGCACGTGGAGGACTTAAGGATTAAAGACAATAAGGGAGCTACAAGGCCTACGAGTTCCTCATCTTCATACCTCGCACAAGCTCTCGAACCGACAAGGCTCTCAGTGGTGGGAATTATTCAGGTCTAGATGCCCCTCGACTCTAGCCTCGGTTGGTACTTGATCTTCAATAGCTGGCGCCACAGCATACCAATACAATCGGCTGTCTTTTAAAAATTATTCTTTTCGGATATAAACTCTAGTGGCTTCATGGCCGGAAGCGTATTAGTGCCAATCGTGAATTTGTGATATGTAATAATACTTTAGCAATTTGTGAAGCTGAAAACAGTGACTTTTATTAAGTTCGTTAGAGTATGAGTTATAACAGACCATCCGAAAATGAATGAAAGTGTTAGTCCTGCTGAGAGGATGTGCCATACTGGGTGATAGGCAGTGCCCTTGTAACCCGCTCTGATATGCCATTCATCGATTTGCGTACTCTACTCGTCAGATGCCTCCCTTGCACGAGTACGAACCCGAGCCAATTCAATCTCAAAAGCCTTGTTCTTGGCATCCTCATGTGAATCTGAAGAGCCAGCGCAAGACTCCAAGTCAAAATCTCGTGATGAATGTGATGAGCGTCCAATTGGTCGTCTAGGTGAAATGCCCGATTGATCCTGCGTGAGTCTCGCTGCTTCTGGCTTCTGGATGGAGTCGGTGGTGTAGCGACTACTTTGGCTCGTTCCCTTTCCTCGAATGCTGTTGAATGCGCGTGAGTTGGCAGCGAGGTTAAAGTACGGCCGTAATGAAGGGAGACATGCGATGACCAGACCGAGATATAGGTCAAGAGTATTCCAAAAGTCTACAGATATGTTGGTCTACTTTCGCGTGAGTTTGGGTGAGAGACTTACGGGCTTCCACAATGGAGACCTTGCGGTTGGCTCCGGCGATGAATAGTTCATGAAAGCGTACAACACTGATGACCATGTTGATGATGCCGAGTAGGAAGGTCAAATAAACACCAACTCGCAGCCATCCTTTGACCATGAGATCAGGTACGATCAGCCAGGGAAGAATAAAGACTGCCATAGTTAGTATTGATCATATCATGAGCAGAAATTGCTTACTGAATACATCGCCAGCAAAATGCAGAGCCCAAGAGGTCTTCAAGAACATACTTGCGGCATTACGCGGGCATTTATTGTCAGGTTCCAATGACCTAATGACGTTAGCAACTCGCATGCCATTCCCTGTAGATAGTGACTAACCAAAACCGAGTGACCGGGATACAGACACAAAATGGAAGGACCATAGTGACGATATAAGAGAGTGCAACGTAAAGAGCAGTGGCCCAAAGAAACATTCTTCTCTTGTGCATATGAACAGGAATGACTTGGCGATAGACAGCAAGCAGTGCCGCTTTGCAGAGATAAAACGCCGTGAAGAAAGGCAGAGCACAGATCCAAAGCAACTACGAAAATGTTAGTCCATGTCATAAACCATATAATCATGCCATACCTTGAGAATGAACTCTTTATCCTCGCGAGTTCCATCATAGTCCTTCAAAGTGCCGTCCACCGATGGCTCCATGACGCCCATGTGAACATACGTGACGCAGAACGATGCCACGGTAATACCAGCTGCCCATGCCAAAATCATCCATATGTCGCTGTCCATGAGTCTTCGTTTTTGGATGACGAGACGGAGATAGATTCGGGCGATGATGACGACTGTCGATAAGGCTATGAGTGTCCACTCTGTGATCTGTACCCTGTTAGCTGACGGACGAGACTGTAATGATGATACTGACCAGGAGGGTTGACGGTCCTATCGCCATGGCTGCGGTGTGATTATTTCCACGATCTTCTTGTATGAGAGCGTCGTGTTAGAATGTTGCTTGATACTGTACGCACGTACAAGTGACGTTATATGTAAGGCATGGAGGAAATAACCAGCAAACCCATCCCTCTACGAATGTGATCACAACCTCTCTAAATAACATTCTCGCTCTTTCGTTCTTTAAACCCGAAAAATAAAGTTTGCCTTCCGTTTTCATAAGCTATCCGGAATCTCTTAGCGGACGGGACGTGGCGCATTCCATATGCAGGGGCTGGAAGGGGATCTGAGCAACCACAAAACTGAAATAAATGGGTAGTGAGACCATAAGAGTCGAGCCTGTTGTTGGTGATGAGCAGTTGCTGGCATGTTGTGCAAAAGTCAGTTGGGTGTAGCGATTTGGTATTTGCGTAAATATGCTCGCTTATTTGGTGAGGTAGGTTGAGGTCAACACGTGGCAAAGCCATCATTGGGAAACGTATTTTTTAGAGTGATGATGAGGTAACTTGGCGAAGTGTTTGCCAAGTTGATCAAACTAGAACGATATCGGAGCCTCGACTGAGATGGCTGCAATTTTGAAGGTTAACGGTCTCTATTATAGACCTCCCTCACTGGAAGCAGTAAGTTTCTGAGGACACCACTAAGCTTAGCATCCATTCAAGCACTCGAATATATGATTAGTCAATATTTCATTGTGCTTATGTAGATCCAACGTCAAAGTCAGCTACTAGGGTGAGTGCACTCGCGATGCCAGCATCGTACAAAACCATCATCTTGTACACTATATCCAGCACCTGGAGCTTTCATCTGATCACAATCCCTTAATAAACCACCAAATATCCGCATAATTCACCCAACAATCAGAAAACCTCGCTATGGAAGCCAACAGCTACCAGCCTCCGGGAGTAAAGACCGTTGGTCCGAGGCATGCAGCAAGAACAAAGACGTTATTGTATGACCATAGTATGCGTCATCTTGGAGCTTTGTTAACCAAGAACTCAACGGATCTACAGCAGCAGCGTTATAGACAATGGCGCTTTTGTCGAAGCCCAATGTAAGTGGCGCCGACGAGAATGTCGCTGATCTGCATGATGTCAAGCGACTCACTGATCGACCAACTCTATTCAAAAGAGCTGCATTTCGCCAAAACCCCGAGCGTGAAACGTCGCCAATATTTGGTCGTTTCATCATGACGAGAGAAGCTCAATTGCACAACGGTGTCGCTTGACAGTTTCTTGAGGTGAGCATCACGGGTGGCCTCATAAGATCGACCATCAAGGGCACGCTACTATGTAACGTTCAACCAGAGCCTTTTGAAATTTTATAAAGGAGCATTATGGAGTCGCATTGGCAATTCACGCGGTGAGCAGGCATACCTAAGATCTTCTATTGCTAGTTAAATTTATGGAGTAGCTTGGAAAGTGATACAACGTCGCGTAGAGGCCCCAGTGAATCCTCTGCGGAGAATATCATGCAAGCGAACGTATATTATACGACATATAGAATTGCATCATGTCTAGTGGTAGTAGATTAACCCAAAACATCACCAAAATGTTTCATGTAATGTTTTGGATCTGTGAAACCAAGAAATGTTTCAGTGGGGTACCCTCAGATGATCTGAGTCGCTATGACCCTCTATCAGGGTATGTCTGGGCCAAATCCGAGTCACGAGAGGGCCAAAGCGCTGCCTTGATCAAATACCTGTTAGCGTGAATAATCGTTTTCCAAGCTAATTGGATTATTTACTACGTCAATGCCAAATGTCACGATCGCGTACCCGCTCACCGAGACGGACTGACATCTCAGTGCCATATTGACGGGCCCAAATCATTAATGGACCAGGGTTCCCCAGTCAGGCCAAGATCACATGCTCACTCTGTGCAGCGGGATCATCGTTCGTCACCGGCCAGGTTACAGATCTACTTGAAACCAAAGACACGCCACGGAATTGCGGATATCACGACATTCGATGTCGCTCGATTGTCAGGCAGGAATTAGTCAAAGCGGTGAGTCCAAAGCAAAAAAGCAAAATGAGATCTGATATGCAGGTCATTTCAACAAGGGTTAGACCACGGTATGGCTTGGCTTTCCAACCTGTTGGGCCTGTTGGCTGAGGGCAGGATGAACAGAGCAATATTACCAGTGGAGATTTCGACGATTGATCGACGAAACAAAAGACCGCACAGAGGTTTTCATCGTCACAAATCCCTCACAAACCTCCGTTTCTTAACCTCGGGATCTTCGGTAAGCCTGTCACTGTCAACCATTGAACCCCTGTTCCTATCAAAAAAAACCTTAGCTCTCCCCACTCCAACCACATGGCATATTGGGATCGGCAGTTATTTCAACCCAGCAAATCCAAGCCGCACTGACGCTCACGTCGCCCGCAAGCACAAAATCTCAGGTTGCGGCAGTTGACGCCTCGATCTGATTGGTGCAGGTCCGCGCAGTAAAACAACGATCAGCGGTAATCTTCAGGTCCAGGGTATCATTGCTCCGTAGATCAGGTCGGAGAAATTACAGCATTGGGAATCAGATGCACGATTAGATCATCGTTCTGCAGGGGACAGGCAAGACAAGTTCCGCTGAGACATATTGATGATTGGATATGCAATATAAGCTCAAGCTCGTCGATCTCTTACAGTAGTGAGACGGAATCTGTGAGAGCTGAACTATGAGCCCCTCTCTCTGATTAATATACATAACTAGACCTTGGGGTCCCCCCGCGCGAGAAGCAAATGTGTTTCTGATGACTCCAAACATATGCTGAAATTTGTTTTCGTCGTGAGTGCACAATGTACCTCCGTTGGGCTGACGAGAGTCATCTAGCAATGGATACTCGCTCGATGCCGGCGGATAGTTCATCCCGCTCGGTCGAGATTCGTGCCATTCTCATTACCTTCTCCATTCTTTCGACCATCACCGTCGCATTGCGACTCTATGTGCGATATAAGGTTCTTCATTCTCTCGGCTGGGATGATAGAGTTATGGCTGCTGCCCAGGTCCTTACGATTGGAGCTGCGGTGGCCATCGGCCTAGGTAAGCTTCGATTAACGTTGTTGTGAAGGTTGAGTGCTGACGTGGATGTAGAGAATAATTATGGGCTTGGACATCATACTTGGGAGCAGTCGAAAGAGAACTACGTTGCCTACATGAAGGTCAGCTTTACTCTTGCATGCCCTGAACTCATGCTGATATTTACTAGGCATTCTATGCTTCTGTCATTGTGTATAATGTCGCAATGTGTCTTGTCAAAATCGGAATCCTTCTTCAATACCGACGAGTCTTTGCTATACCGATCCTACAGGCACTGACGTTCTACGGACTTGTCATCATGATCGCCTGGACTATTACAATCGCTTTCCTTAATACTCTCATTTGTGTACCGGTCGCAAAGTTCTGGAACTCGACTTTAGATGGACATTGCACTGACCCTTTGACGGTCTGGTACGTCATGGCTGGATTCAACCTCGTCACGGATATTACTGTCTTCTGTATGCCGTTGCCCGTCATTGGAAGCCTGAACCTTCCGAGGAAACAGAAGATTATGCTGTTGGCCATCTTCAGCATCGGGTTCTTGTAAGTCTGCAGTTTCTGTTGGTGGGAAATAGCTAACAGATCCAGGACATGCGCCATCTCGATCTATCGTATCCGAACACTAAAAACTGCCGCTTCAACAAAAGATCCCAATTGGGACAATGTCGACGCCGCGATATGGTCATTCCTCGAAGTCACCCTCGCCATCATCTCATCATGCCTACCAACCCTCCGGCCACTTTTCTCCAAGCTCATGCCCAAGCTCTTTGCGTCCTCATTCGGCCGAAGCAACCGTGCATCCCACTACGGCTACTCTCGAACACGCAGCAGTCAAAATCTGCGTAGTATGTCTCGAAGGCGAACTCAAGACATCACCCATGACTCAATGGACGACACAAGTACCTTGAGAAAAGATGAAGTACCTCTTCCATCAATTACTCAGAAACACTACCGAACATACCCCGGTGTCAGTGTTAGCATCAAAGCCGAACAGGGACAGAATCATAGCGATGAGGCAGCGTCGCAGAGTCCTATGGAGCCAAGCTCGCCGAGTCGAGGCATCAAAGCCACGACTGTTGTTACGCAGGAGATCGTGGTAGAGAGACGTGCAGATGATGAATGGAGCCACGGCAGACCAAGTGACAGCGATGCAACTCTGAGAGAATGAGATCTGTATATTATCCGCAACGCAGAAATGCCATTCTGCCGCTTCTTTATGAGACATGCATATTATTACCTAGCCCTTTAATGTAATCTTAATACACTTCTTTTATTTTTAGCCATTGTCACCTTTCCTTTTTCTCACCGTATGTTCTAGACCAGCACAAGCTTTCAGCTGTAACTCTCCGGATTGGGAAGTTACCTTGATAGTGCTAGTGCGGAAGCCTCGGCACGTTAGCCCAGGTCGACGCTTTCGGGATAGCTACGCGATCTAGCTCTGGTCTATTCTCGTCACAAGATGATTCGATACGAACGGATAATCACCCGTATAGCCATTAGTAGAACGCCACAAGTCTATGCCGGCTCGTATTCAACTTAAATCGCCTTTCACCGCAAAGTCCAACGTTTGCCATTTTGTATAAATAGTGGCTGTTATTCAGCATATTTTCTGGCATCATTCTACATCACTTTCTCTCTCATCTACAAGACTCTCGCATCTCAAAAGACATCTTCCCGCTCATCAAAATGAAGTTCAGCATCCTCACTGCCCTTACCGCCATTGTCGGCAGCGCTGCCGCCGCTAACCAGGCTGTTGTCACCAACGACTGCTCTGGTACTATCTATGTTCAGTCTTGGCCTTATAATGGCGGTGCTCCTGGACCTCTGGTGACCCTCAAGCCCGGACAGAAGTTCTCTGAGAACCTTCGCTCCACTGGATCGGTTCGTTGAATCCATGTCTACTTTCATCAGGACTGAACTTGTTGTACTAACAATTGTCGTAGACCGTCAAGATTGCTACTACCAAGACTCTCACCAACCCTCTCTTCTTCGGTTACTCCTCTACCTCCAAGCCCAACTACGTTTACTGTAAGTCAATCCCCCATAAGCTTCAGCATCTACATTATCTAACAAAATTCTACAGACGAGTTCAGCACGTAAGTTCAAGTACCTGCTCGCTGTCCTAATGTTATACTGACATATTTAGTCAATGGGGTAACCCCTTCGCCAACAAGCACAACATCCTCACCACTGGTAAGGGATGCAAGCAGTTTGACTGCAAGGCCGGTGATGCTTCTTGCTACAGCACTCCCAGCATGAAGAAGGTATATGGTTGCCCTAGCCCTGCCACTATCTCTGCCACCATCTGTGCCAAATAGAGGAGACGTCCAGTGTATGACTAGTGGACCCTTTGAACGAAGGAATGAAGCATTTGAGAGAAGGAGAATAGAGAGAGAAATGTATAGATCGTATCGGTCGAGGTAGTAACATATATTCAATAATGTAAACGTTTAGCCTAGAGTGAAGGTCTTTATTACTGCAACCTGAACGATGATATGATTAACCTTATGTAGTAAGTCCTTAATAAGTTTATATTTTCTGACCTATACTCCTGTGAAGATGACTTCCTGATTTCAAAATTATTAACTGATTAATTAATGTTATCTCGGAATTCACTATATTGGCCCGTACTACGATGCCGATGCAGAGAAGCTGGGGCACTTTCACCATTCGGTATTGGTCAAATAAAGACTACTAACCATAATCCAACAGTCCGTATCGGCAGTCTAGTATATACAGGAAATCACTAAGGAATATGCGTCAGTTTCTGCGAGTCTATGATGTGCTTGTTGCATTTGCTTGCCGATTAGACTGAAAATTGTTGGCGTAGTCTTAAGATAAGCAATTAATGTTAGATATATCCTTGATATACAACTGAACTGGCTCCAACTCAGACGAGGGTTTGCAAACCTTCTGATGACCCTATAAATTAATCCTTTCCGTGTGAGGGGCCCCATGGGGTAGAGCGCACTATCGCGATCATTTGCGACATCAGAGGTTTCTCCACATCGGACGACAAAACGCCGACAATCAAGTAACTACGGGGTAAACAAGGTTTTGATAGATTAGCGGCATTGTATTTCTGCTTATACAACAGATTCTGTCCCCACTCGATTTTATCATGGTAAGCTGTGATTCGCAGGACAAAAGGGTCGGAGAACACACGTCCGGTATGGCAAGCTTTCGGATGACCGTCGGCCGAAGATAGATCCTACCAGCATTTTGAACTCACTTAGGAGGCGCCGAGAAGGCAGAGGGAAGTGTAAGATTAGAGTCACACGGAAATGTTATCTACTAGAGTAGTACTGATGTGCCACGCAGATCGGTAACTCGTTTGCTTCTCTCGCAGGGGAGAAAGAGACCCTCCTGCCTGAGAGATACCTGGATCTTAAGCGGTAAGTTAAGCTACGCCCAAGACCAAGTTTACTGACCCAAATGCGTTAGTGAAATCATCGGCGATAAGTCCAATCAAGACGCTCTCACTGCAGCTTGGGCACGATTGACTGCTCGTCTTGCCGAGCTGTCTGATGAAATTGAAGAGAAGCAGCAACGCGTACGCTTAATCTTGAGCTAGCCCGTGGTTTCATAACTACTTGCTGATTGTCACGTCTAGACCATCCCGGAAGCAAACTACCACGAGCTCGTCGAGAATCCCTCATTTGAGCTTGTCCAACGAATCAGGCAGTGCGGGTCTGTAGTGATTCGCAAGACTGTTTCCCAAGAACAGGTCAGCAACCCGGACTTCCATCCTAAGACTACTCGCTGACCCTCGCAGGCATTGAGATGGCTTGAAGATGTGTGAGAGTACATCGAATTAAATCCCCAATAAAAGGCTTCCCGGAGGATGATAAGCAGGTTTACGAGATCTAGTAAGTCCATTTCGCCTTTTGCCCTAGAAAGTGTCGTTGACAAAAGAACAGCTGGTCCAAAGCTCAACAGCAGGCGCGTTCGCACTCACAAATGTTAAAAACCCAAGCAGCGCTCCTATCCATCTTTACCGCTGCGCCAGACTGCAAAGTCTCACTTACAAGCCCGCTTGTCTACTCGGACCGCCTTCGGATTAGGAACCCAGGCGACGCCAAATTCGCTCTGGGTCCTCATATGGATGGAGGTAGTATCGAAAGATGGGAAGATCCTACTTATCGACAAGTCTATGAGAAAATCCTCACCGGTAACTGGGAGGAGTTCGATGCCTGGGAGATGGGTGAGTGATGACAAAAACCTGTGATGGGACCAAGAAATGAACCGCGACTAACTGTGACAGATAAGCGTGCCGATACAGTCCATGACTTATACCCCGGCCCCGGAAGTGTAAGTTCATGAATGTATATCTTGACCTGCTTGCCCATTGTTGCTAACTCCAGATGCAGACGGGTTTGTTCCGTTCATGGCAGGGTTGGACGTCTCTCTCTGACAGGTCCCACAGAGGGAACTCTACTTTTATACCCTTTTATCTGTGAACGCACATCATATATGCTCATGCGTCCTTTGTTCAAGCCCAAGAAGCCTAAGCCAGAATTCCAAGATCGAAAGGCCTACCTGTCACCCGACAATTGGGAGCTTGACTTCGACACCACCAACTTCCCTGGTTCTCCTCATCATCGCAACCAAGAACTAAACGACGAAACTCATCCTCATCTTGAGCTACCGCGAACCATGGTGTGCATGCCCAAAGTATATCCCGGAGATTCAGTATGGTGGCACAGCGATGTAATCCACGCCGTGGAATCTCGGCACAACGGTAAGAATGCGGCGGCGGTATTCTACGCACCAGCTGTAGCTCTTACTCCTAAGAACATGGAATACATTCGGGACCAGAAGGCGACGCTCCTCTCGGGACGGCCACCTCCAGATTTTCCTGGTGGGACTGGCGAGAGCGAGTTCAAGAGCCGAGGTACAGGGGATGACCTTTTGACTGTGGAAGGAAAGGAAGGGCAAGTTCTCGTTACAGAGGCTTCTAGCGTGAAAAAGAGTGCTGACAGCGGGAGAATTGGCCTTGTTCCTTTCAAACACACGGATACAATGTCGGAGACCGAGAGATTGACCAGACAGGCAGCGTGAGTACTCTTTTTTTTTTTTTTGTGAAAGTGGAAATAATACCTATCTAACAATCTCGTAGCAATGCTATACTTGGCTTCTAGGTTATCGATCAGGCAGTAATGGCTTCGCTAGGAGAATGACCAAAAGCTGAATATTGGAGAAAACAGCTGCCAGGCATATAAGTTATCAATTAATCTGAATTCAAGATTAGAATCACTAAATTGAGCCTTAGATTCGGGATTAATTATCAGGTTCATCGACATAAAGTGACTAATTTACCAGGAAGCAGACAGTAAGGCGCGCGATGTAAGCATCAGCTACCAGGTCTATCAGCTTGAAATAACCCTCTTCAAAATACACTGCAAGAAGCCCAAAACTGCTTCCTTATTAGTTCACGTCACCTCGCTGCCCAGTTCGCTATTCACAATGATCACATGACAAGTATAATTTTGCGTAGCGTAAGTCGTAAATGCACCAGGGAAGACTTATTTATTGCAGTACTAAACAAATCTGTTGACCTCACACCCCAGCTATTATTCTATAAGTCTATAGTCTGGACCCCGAAGGAGCCCCGCTGAACGAGCTGCCAGGCATCTAAGCGTTAACACGGTCGAAGCCCTGCTGCATAGCCTTGAGGTGGCTCCAGTCATGGCTGTCAAGAGCAAGAGCCCAGGCCATGACACTCTTGACACCGCGGGTCTTGGCAAGAAGGCTGATCTTCTCAGCGATGAGCTCGGGAGTGTCCCAGGACCAGAAGATGCGGTTGGGGGCATCCCAGTACCACTGTCCTCCGTTGGCCTTGTCAGTCTTGCCCTTGTCGAGAGCCTCGTGGAATGAGGCGGACAGATCAATGCCGTCACAGTGGCCGTAGGCGGACTGGCAGCCAGTACCGCAGTGAGCAGCGGTATCACCACTGTTACATGTTAGCTAATATCTTGTAACGATTCAGAAGACACTTACCACCAGCCGGAAGCGGCACAGCAACCTCCAGTAGCGCACTTGAAGAAAGTACCAGCACCGCAGGTAGCATCGGGAGTAGTAGTCAAGTTGGTAGGGGCAGAGACAAAGTTGGCAGCCTCAAAGGTCATGGAGCCGGACTTGCCAGTGTCGCTACCATCCTTGGGGTTCTCGAGGAGCTCAGTAGGGCAGCCGATGGGGTTGGTGCACTTGTAGCCCTGCTTGGTGGTGAACCATTTGGCGTAGAAGGGAATGCCGAGGACGAGCTTGTGAGCGGGGAAGCCGAGGGAGAGATACTTGTCGATGGCACGGGCAGCACCCTTGACGGAGACGTGGTGGGTGGTGTAGGAATCACGGCGGTTCATGAGATCGTAGGTCATGACCTGAAGAAGTTAGTGGGGTAATTTCGTAAGGCTGAGGAGGGGTGTTTACGTTGACAAAGTCGACGGACTTCTCGATGAGAGGGGTCTCGCTGGGGACGTAGGCGATCATGTCACGCTCAAGACCAGGGACAGCGATGGAGAGCTCCTTTGAGCCGATGAACTTCTTGATCTCCTTGAGGAGCTTGGGGAAGGCCTGGATCTCGTAGGTCTTCTTGGAGTTGACGACCTGCTTGTAGTCGGCGCCGTTACCACCGGGATACTCCATGTCGATGTCTACATCCGTTAGCCAATCCGCCTGACAAGCTATCATATACAGTGCACATACCAACACAGTCGTAACCGAGTCTATCAAGAGTAGAAGCAACGTTGCGAGCGAACCTCTCCCGGCTGCGATCGGTCTTGAGACCCGCGTCGAAACCAGCATTGTCGCCCCAACCACCAATAGCAAGACAGACCTTGATGTCGTGGTCGAAAAGAGCGCGAACCTGCTTGAGAGGCTGGAAAGGCTCGTACTTGCCAGAAGGCTCAGTAGTGAAGAGCGAAGAGTTGGCAAAGGACATCATGACGTGGGTGACGCTGTGCGTGACGTCCTTTGGGGGGAGGTCGTCGGTGTGCCACTGGTCATAGTAAATGATGTTGCGCGAACAGCTCGCCTCAGCGACGGCGTAGGCGCTCAGGCCCAAGAGGGTAGAAACACGCATGATTAGAGAAGTAGAAATGAGTGACTTTGTTTAAATGAGTGTAGTTAAGCAAAAAAAGAATGAATGAGGACCGTTGGAGGTTGAGCTAACTACAAAAAATAGTGCGGTGATTCAGCGCTTTAAATGCACCCGACCCGAGAGGCTTAGCCATTAACGCAGTGCCGCTGTCCCTTTTTTGCCAATTAAGTTTAATTGGAAGCTAAACGTACATTATTCTAGAAAAAGTGAGCGCGTCAGCGTTTCACCGCGTATTATAGAGTTTGATTACCATTTGACGCCCCCAGGTTTCAAATTTCCACCACTGAGAGTGCATGAGTCCGGGTTACATAGCCTTAAAGTTAAAAACGCACAGATCACGGCAATTCTGTAGCGTTGTTTTTGTTGTGGTGAGATGATGTTCGGCATTTGTTCAGTGGCTGGCGCTGACTCGGCGAGCATCCGATCGTTCCGGTGTTTCGGGTCTCGGTGGGATGGGATATTGGGCTGGGGAATAAACCTTATGGCTGTGCTCTCTGCTGACGCTACTTGTCTCGACTCATGATGGTTTATTTTAATAGATGAGCATTACGGATAAAAAGGCCACTCTTGTTGCTCTATCTCTTGTTTATGCGAATGACGAGCCTTTGAGAGCCTTTGCTATTTTAAGCACCTGTTACTATTTGTCTAAAGCTGAATCAAATTGGTTCAAGACCTGACAATCTAGGGTAGTAGTGGAAGACCCGATCCGATGTTCCGATTGAAACCCCTTCCAATAAGAATGTCATGCCATGTCACATCTGGCACATTGAACTGTAGGGTACGGAGTACAGAATTAAGTTTGGGTTGAATACGAGTTCAAGATGAGATGCTACTCTGGAATGTTTAATTGATGGTCATACGACGTCGAGATATCCGATGGAGTAAAGTGGATTGGCCGCTCATTACAGTGGTATATACTTCTAGCTGCCAATATATCATTAGGCTATATGAATCCGCTACATACGTATATCTTTCATTGATCATGAATGCAAAAGCTCAGATGGCTCTAGAGCCTGCTCGAAATGCCATTCTCCCTCTGAATAAACCAGTCAACCGTCGAAGCTACTCCCTCTTCCAACGACACCTTAGGCTTCCAACCCAAAACCCTCTCAGCAAGACTCGTATCCGGCTTCCGCCTAACAGGATCATCTTCCCTCCTGGGCAACAAATGAACAGCAACGGGGTCTTCATATCCTGTTTTCTCAGCCACGACTCGAGATATTATATCTGCAATCTCACTAATCTCCATCTCTAGATCACTGCCGATATTGACCGGTCCATGATAATCGCTGTTCATCAAGGCTTCTAAACCACGAACACAGTCATTGGCGTGTTGGAAGCATCGCGTTGCGTGTCCATCGCCGAATATCGTGATTGGTTCTCTCTTCAGAGCTGCCATGATAAAGTTGGGGACAGCTCGACCGTCTTCTGGCTCCATGAATGGGCCGTAGGCGTTGAAGATTCGTGCGATGCGGACTTCGAGACCGTGTTCGGCTTGATAAGCATATCCGAGCGCCTCCATGACTCTCTTGCCTTCGTCATAACAAGCGCGCGGGCCGAAGCAGTTGACATTGCCTCGATAATCTTCGCGTTGGCAGGCAATTTGGGAGTCGCCATAAACCTCTGCAATGGGACTGTTAGTACAAGGCCAGTGAGTAAGATATATAGTTTGTACCTGAAGTGCTAGCAAGCAGCACTCGAGCGTTGTGTTTCAATGCATAGTCCAGAATATTCGATGCACCATTAAAGCAAGTTTGCAAGATGTCAATCGGCTGAGTCTCGAAATGCACCGGACTTGCAGGGCACGCGAGATGGTAGATTTGCTCGACGTTGTCTATCCACGGCAACGGATCTCGAACATCAGCTCTATAGAGTGTCAACACTGAAACGGGTTGTCGGGATCAATTAAGCGCACTGAATATATCGCACTCGCTTGTCCGATCGAAAATTATCAAGGGTGCTTTGAGATCCAGTCCATAGTGAATCAATCACGACGACTTGGTGGTTCTTCTCGAGAAGAAGCTGGATTAAATTGCAGCCGAGGAACCCGGCGCCCTGTCGATAAGATTAGCTTCATTTCTGCGTCGCTGTCATAGCCTCGCTTACACCGGTGACGACGATAACCATATTGCAGTATTTACGATATGAAGAATCAGATAATTGCGCAGGTAGTTTCTGTTATGAGTGAGCGCAAAAGGACCCGAGTTTGAGATTGGAGAATTAATTCGGAAGGCAGTCGCTTGTGGTAAAGTATTATCTGTTTTCAAGTCAGACGGGCATCATCGATCTGCCAAAGGTGAGACATCAGCTCTCAGCTAGCAAGGCGTAAGCGAAAATCTTGCCCTTGTAAGTCGCCAAAATCATTTTAGCTCGGTATCTGCCGAGCTGATCCGGCACTATCTACGTCATGTCTACCCTCCTGTGTTCTTCATTGGGGAATGTCTTGTCGCATCCCGTGTTGCACAGAGGATCTGACGTATGCGGCGTTGCTCTGCGGGCCAAAAGCAGTCGGGTTGTGACGAAAGAGATCATGACAGCTGGCGAGGTCTGGTGGGTATATAAAAAGAAAGCATAGGCTAACATGTCAGTGAAACGGATGTCTGGGTTCGTATGAATGCTACAATGCATGCGCGAGACCAAAGTGGTGCTGCTTCTTATCGTTCATTCTCTTCTTATCAATCGTTCTCTTCTTATCAATCCGGGACTCGGACAAGATATTACTTCACGTAGCACAAAGTCCGAGGCCATATGGCTGACCCAATTGAGAGTAGAAATCGACTCAATTATCTGATTATGTATCACAAGTCCTCTCAGGGAAGAATGCCTAACAACAAAGGTACCATCTATATCTGTCCTCTACAAAGCCAGAGCGAGAACAAGGAGGCCAAGAACGCCAGAGACAAATGTCTTGGTACCAGCGCTGGTAGGAGTAGCAACCGGGGCCTTGGTACCGCTGGCGCCTCCAGACGAAGAAGAGTTTCCAGAGCCAGAAGCAGTGCACTTCGAAGCACTCTCCTTCAAGACAGTAAGCTCATCGCCAATAACACCACCGTCACCGTGGACAAAGTTCCAAGAAAGAGCAGTTTCGTTATGAACAGTCAACTTGGCGAAACCAAAGTGTGTCTGGTCAAGGAACATGGTCATGTTGAGACGAGGCTCGCCATCAAGAACGCTGTGGCTCTCAAGGTTACCGGCAGCTCCGTTGACGAGATGAACCATGGACTTTCCGGGGTTGGTCTTGTAGGTGTTGTTGTTGATGATGGAGCCAGAGTCGATGGTGCCGTTGTGGCCCATGGGCTGAAGACGCTCATACCAGTGGATGTGACTGTCGAGCATTAGTACACAGGTTTTGATGGGTGTTGGCTAAGATATGACTTACCCGGCAATGTAGACATCGACATTGTTCTTCAACATCAGATCCTCAAAAGCAGCACGGATGTTAACCTGGTACTTAGCCACCTCGGAGCTGTACATAGGACGATGACCCATGACGATTACCCAAGGGGTCTTGCATCGATCAACGCTCTCAAGATCCTTAGCCAACCACTGATACTGCTCGTAGTTCTTGGTATCATTATAAGAACCATGCACAGCGCCAAAGGGACCAGAATCAGTGACATAAGTCTCATTCGCCTTGGGATGCGTCTCATCACCCTTGAGATCCGCAGCAAACGGCTTCTCAGGGCTGTTGGCGTAATCGGTCTCTGTGTTGATGGACACAAAGTGAGCTAGACCGTAGTCGAACGAGTACCAGAAGTTGCCAACACCGCCGGACTTGTCGCCAGCCATGTGGAAGCGGTTCTGGAAAGCTGTGAAGTTGCGCTGCGAGGGAGGGCAGGAGTAGTAGTTGAGCGTGGTGTTGGGCTGTGTTCCGTTGCTCTTGTCGTTGTCGAGATAGGCAGATAGAGTGTTGTTGCCGCCGTCGAATTCGGCGCAGGTGGCTTCGTGGTTACCGGGGACAACCATGTAGGGAATCTTGAGGGTGATACTGTTGAGCCACTGCTGCCAGAGATCCCAGTTTGACTCGTACAGAACGCTCATGTCACCACCACGGGGACTGCCCTGGTTAGCGACCTCGCCCTTGGGAAGAGGAGTCTTGTAGTCATCAGGAATAGGGCCACCGCCGGGAAGACTGGTTGAAGTTCCGTTGTAACAAACAGGCCAGTCATCCTCGCAAGGCAGAATGCCCGAGAACCAATCATCAGCATAGCTCAGGTCACCACCGTGCCAGGCAAAAGCAGCGCCATCAGAAACAGCCTTGTTGAGATACTTGTAAGTACCAGCTGCGTTAGTGTATCCCATATCGTTGAGAACTGCGATGGTGAACTCTGACTTGTCACCTGCTTCACGAGCAGTGGTGAAGCTGAGGACATCAGACTTGGTAGTTCCGTTAGCAGCAGGAATCTGGTAATAGTAAGTCTTGCCAGGCTTGAGGTCGCTGATCTGAACATCGTGGAAGAACTGATTGCACTGCGTAACAGCCTTGACGGCGGAACAAGGAGGAGTGCGGTCGTAGCTAGATACCTGGTCAGCCAATGACGATTCAACGCGCAGACAAATCGGGTAATCCCATGCGCCAAGCCCAGGAACTTACGTGGTAGTCGAACCAGTAGCCTTATTCTTCAACTCAGACGCACTCGTTCCCCAATGAACCGCAGGCGCAGCACCAAGCCCGAAGGGAGTCTGGTAGTGAATGTTGATACCGCCAGGACTATACGACAGCGAAATAACGTTGACGTTGTTGCTGGGGTTTGAAGAGCCAGGCTTCACGGCCGGAGGTTCAACGAGACGAGGGAATCCTTTTCCATTGCCGTTGACGGTGGGATCGACCCAATCGCCGACAGGAACTGCAGGGCCCTTGTAGGGATACTTCTCATCGACGACTGGCTTTGAGAGAGCGGGTGTAGTGAGAAGAGCAGCCAGGAGGCTGGGGGCAGCGATTGACTTCATGATGAACCAAGGTTACCTAGCGAGTCGGCAATGAGAGACTTGGACGGCAAAGAATCTACACCTGCCATATCGTCTTGATACAAATGCAACCTTAGTATATATAATCCCTTCATTATCATCGCGGAACTCCCCATCTGATCGGAACTCAGCTGCCGGATCGTCATCCCAAGTCCAACATCACCCCCAAACCGTTAACAACAACGGATCTGACGGCTCTCGCCGGTGGCAGTAACAAGTTTAGCTTGGCCATTACCCCTGTAAATCTGCGCCTTGATCCAATCAAGGTTGGTTACGATGAAACGTGATAAGCAGACTAAGATAAGCTTCTAGCAAAAAGACTCGGCCGAAGATAACGGATTCAGCTTAAAGCCTTGATTGAAGATGCGTTGATGCGATAAAGCCAATGTGTTGGAGGGTCGCTTCCACGTGGTAAGGAGCATTGTTGAGCTTTTTATTTGTTGATGGGTTGGACTCCATAAATCACGGCTTTTCGGCAGCTGCGAGATGAAGAGATGTTGGTAATTTCTGGGTGGCTATTGGTTGGTGGTAGAAATGTCCCCCGCAATTTTGTTTAGATCCCTGCTTGGTATGTTCAAAAGTGCCAACCAGGTTCATTGTTGGACAAAAGAAAACACTAACTCGCTTGTGCCAAGATTCCCGCGGCTTAGGTTTAGCCTTTTCTGTCACCTCTTGTATGGCCCGCTGCATGTTCTTCACGACCTGCCAGATGGGTGCTAACAGAGAAGCTCAAATATATACCATATCAGTTTCATGGGAACAAGGAGGATTACTCAGTATCCAACAATCGAACCAAACGTCCTCTATAAAATTGCAGATAGTCGCCCGGCACATATATAAAGGGACGGTTTCACAACAGCTTGCGAGACAGCCAGCTACCCTGCACCAAGCAACTTTGATGGCGTTGGCTAACATACCGATTTAATGTGCCACCATATCTCAGTATTCAACTCACAGTTTTACAATGATATTCAACTCTACTACAAGAAAGAAGATTTGCTTTCCAAATGCTGCATGTCGTTGTTGTCAGCTGAAACGACTGATTTAGATTTATTCAATAAGAGTTACAGCCCCGTAGATTCTCAGATTTAACAGATTCATATAAAACGACTAAACTCAGAGGCAATGCGGCATCGAAGCTGGAAACCTTCTGGCAGATATCATAACCGTTCTTCCTTCTATGGGCCTCTATACTATGTCATGGAGACTGATGAGCTAAGCGATATCAAGACCGGAACGACGGGAACGCACAGATCTGTCCACGGAAAATATTATTCCGTGCCAATAACAGCCACGGGCTGGGAGCTTTCATGCACAATATAATTAACTGGTTATGATCTGCATGCCGCAATCATGGCATTTCCTGCGATTGCGTAGTCCAAATATGTTATACCCCGCCTCGGAACAGCTCCGTCTATCCCTTTCCAGACATCATGCTTAAACCAGATCTTCCGTTGACATTCCTTGGCCATAAGATCGGCTCATGATTTGTGGGATGAGGAAACAAGGTTGGGTCTAGGATTTGAAACGCAGGACCTGTGTAGATATAAGTAGTCCATTAGTCGCTATATGAAACTTGCAAGCTTGAATAAATTGTCTTGGCAGACGATTCAAACTATAGTGCTTTCCCGTCGAGCCTCCTATCATGCTGTCCAAACTTCTTTTTGCTGCCATGGGTAGCATCTTGGCTCAGAGCGCCGCAGTCCACGCAGCTGGAAGCATCGGCTACCTCTTCACTTTGTGAGTCAGTAAACACTACATCTGTGAGATGAAAATTGACGTCTTTTAGTGGCGACTCATACTCCCAGACAGGCTTCGACCCCAACGGTGCAAAGCCCTCCGCTGCAAACCCACTCGGCAACCCGCCCTTCCCCGGATGGACAGCAGCTGGTGGTGCGAATTGGGTTGGAGACATTGTCAAAGAGCAAAACAACTCTCTCGTGCTGTCGTATAACTTTGCGTATGGAGGTGCTACTGTCGATGCCAACATCGTCAAGCCCTATGCAAGCACTGTCTTGAGCTTCGTAGACCAGGTCAACCAGTTCTCTAACTCTGTTGGCAAGCATCCAGCTGGTACCTCTTGGACAGCGCAGAATACCATTGCAGGAGTGTGGATCGGCGTTAATGACGTCGGAAACTCTTTCTATTTGCAGGATGCTGACGCGGTGGTTGAGAAGGCGACTACGAGATACTTTGAGTTACTACAGGTTCTGTACAAGGCTGGCTTGCGCAAGTTTGTCCTGCTCAGCGTCCCACGTGAGTCCTTGAAACCCCATTGAGTCTCGAGGTGTTCATGCTAACAGCATCTAGCAACCGAGTTGACACCATTGATGATCCAACAAGGCGCTGACTCAAACGCTCTTCTCGTCAAGGCCATCAAGCTCTACAACAGCAAGTTGGCCTCAAAGCTCAGCGCTTTCAAGAAAGCCAACTCTGGTGTCAAAACTCTTCTCGTCGACACGTCTGTTTCTTTCAAGAAAGCTATCAACAACCCCAAGGCCTATGGTGCTCCTGACGCAACTTGCTACAACAGCGATGGGAAGTCATGCGTAAGTAAATTCGCTTGAGTGAGGACTCTGTATGCTGACATGGAGATAGCTGTGGTTCAATGACTATCACCCTGGAATTGCTATTAACCAGCTTGTGGCTGAACAGGTGGCGAATGAACTTGAGGCCAATGGCTTTGGATGGTAAAGTCATTAACGCTTAGACCGCTTCCTGTGAAGCGCACGCCACTGCCAGGCTTGTCGAAGCAAGAACCTTTTTTCGTTCAAGCGAACCTTGGCCTAGTTGGCTTAGCGTATTTTCACGAAAGACATAAAATAAATATTACTTGCTTGAGCTTCAGCCTTCAACCTCCACGTAAATCAACCTCCGTTTTGTTTAGATGAGGTCTGACCACCGTTGCAGTTGTATGACTGTTAATGCTACGCTCGAGTCTACCAATTATATGCGAGTGACTTGCCGTCATGGGATTGCCCTTCAGTTATCCAGCAAATAGGATTTATCTTACAGTTGACTCTCAGAGTCCACATCACATCATTTCACCCCACCAAAAGCGACAAGACTGTATGATCCTGAGGCATTGTGGGATCGGGACCCATTACCAAATCAGTCGCTGAGCCAACTAGGTACTTTGGTCGAATAGCATCCATTGGCGAACCGTCTTTATCTTGTGGAGCTACACCTGTCATATCGTCAGCCCTAATCCACATTGGCATTGAAGATGCAACACATCTGACATGATGCTTATTCCAACAACATGGGTACGGGCTCGCGAGAAGCAATTATTGGCTAAGACTACAACATCCGATCCGTGCCGGAGTTAAGTATACTCTGCCATTGCAATGAATGCCCAGAAGGAAGATGATTGTCTGACTGGGCGTTTGTGCGATAAATACCCAGCATGGTCGCTCGCTTAGTATCGCACCGCTTCTCCTCATCACTTACCTCGCATTGATCCCAACTTGTGACCATGAGTGTCTCCATTGAGCAGAAAGTTGACTTCCAAGTACGTACATATCCCTCTCAGTAAAGCTATAACTGTCTTACTCTAAAGACAGACTTTCTGGAACGTCATAAACAACGAGTTGAGCTCCACTTCGGAAACCCGACGTGGTATCTGTCCTAGCACTGAGGAGACTCTCTGGGAGTCACCCGTATCGACCCAAGAAGATGTAGATCAAGCTGTAAGCGCTGCGAAAGCGGCATACCCTGCGTGGCGAAAGCTATCATGGGATGAGCGTGCCAACTACCTCGTCAAATTCGCAGATGCTATCGAGGCACATAAGCAAGAGTTTATTAAACTTCTAGGCCGTGAAGCTGGCAAACCGCCCCAGGCCGGTGGTTTTGAGTTGATGCTTGTCATGGAGCATATTCGAAAGACTCCAAAGCTGAGGATCAAGGAGGACAAGCCTGAGGAGAATGAAGATGTACGTGCCACGTCCGTTATTGCTGTGACAAGAAAGGGTCTAATAATATGCAAAGAGAACAGCCGTTGTGCGCTACGTTCCCCTCGGCGTCGGCGTCGGCATCGTTCCATGGAACTTCCCCATGTTGCTGGGCATTGGAAAAGCGTACCCTGCCATGCTGGCTGGTAACGCATTCATATGGAAGCCCTCACCATATTCTCCGTACTCTGCCCTTAAGCTTGCAGAGATTGGAGCTAAAGTCCTTCCTCCTGGCGTGTTCCAAGCTTTGAGCGGTGGTGATGACCTTGGACCTATGCTGACTGCCCATCCCGGTGTAGCTAAGGTGAGTTTCACTGGCTCTACTGAGACGGGTAAGAAGATCATGGCGGCTTGTGCAGCTACGTTGAAGCGTGTCACTCTTGAATTGGGCGGTAACGATGCTGCGATCGTCTGTGAAGATGTTGACATTCCTGCAGTGGCTGGAAAGGTAAGTTTCTCTATACTTTATCTGATGAAGGGAAGGTTCATTGAAGAGCTGATAGGTCGCGTTTCTCGCCTATGTTCACGGCGGACAAATCTGCATGAACATCAAGCGCGTCTATGTCCATGCGAGCATCTACGACAAGTTTGTATCTGAGGTGGTGAAGTTCTTGGAAGGTCTCAAGACCGGCGAATTCTCTGACCCTGAAGCCTTCTTTGGACCTATCCAGAATAAGATGCAGTATGACAAACTCCAACGCCTCTATGAAGAGATCGACAAGCAAGGATGGCAACGTGCATTCGGCAGCGTATCAGCTGCGAAATCGGATAAAGGCTACTTCATCCCACCAGTTCTCATCGACAACCCACCCGAGGATTCAAAAATAGTGCAAACTGAACCCTTTGGTCCAATCGTTCCTGTCATGAAGTGGCAGTCCGAAGACGATGTCATATCCAGGGTCAATGCATCAGACTATGGTCTTGGAGCGTCTGTCTGGAGTAAAGATGTTGCTCGTGCTCGACGAATAGCTGAACAATTGGAAGCGGGAAGTGTTTGGGTTAACACGCATTTCGAGGTTGCGCCGAATGTCCCGTTTGGGGGACATAAGCAGAGCGGTATTGGTATGGATTGGGGGGAGGTCGGTCTAAAGGGCTGGTGTAATCCTCAGGCTTACTGGGTAAAACATTCTGGGTGATGGAAATAGATATTATGAGATGAGATCTATAACTAAGTAAACGATTAAATACGATACCGATGCCCGAAACGAATGTTTGAACCTTCCACTACTCGTCCTTCATCACCATCACGACGACCTTTCCCTTAGTTCGACCCGACTCAACCTTCTCCCAAGCCTCCTCAAAGTCATCCAGACCAACCACGCTATCAATGTGCGGCTTAATATCACCAGCCTCCAGAAGCTTTGTAATGTGATCCAGATCCTTGCCGACCGGGTCAATGACGAAGAAGACAGTGTTGGCCTCCTTCTTGACATCCTCCGGACGATTCTGCTCGGGCACGGCGCATACACTGACAAGTGTTCCTCCTTCCCGGACTGCATACCACGTCTGAGCCAGAGAAGGCATGCCGATACAGTCAAAAACAAGGTCGAACTGTCGAGATGCCGGATCTTGGGCAACCCACTCCCCGATGCTTTGCTTCTTATAATCAATGGATTCAGTCGCGCCAAGTTGTCGAACGAAATCGATATTTTGTGTTCCAACCACCGCCGTGATAGTCTTCACTCCAGCGATGCGAGCGAGCTGTACAGCCCAGCTTCCCACTCCTCCAGCAGCACCGTTGATAAGAAGTCGGACCTTGGAATTCTTCTCCCGTGCAGCCTCATCACCCCTCAGAGCCTCTGGATCCAAACCACCTCTTGTGAATAGTCCCTGGTATGCAGTAAGTGCACTAATAGGACTCGCCGCCGTTTCAGCCCAAGTCAAGTTCTTAGGTTTAATAGCAAGCTCAGAGGCCCGCGCGAGAACATATTCTGCGCCTGCACCAGGACGGTTCGCTTCAATACGGGCGTAGACTTCATCGCCGGGTTTGAAGCCGCTGTTGTCGGGGGCTGAGACGACGGTCCCTGCGAGGTCTTGGCCTGGGATAGGGATCTTGTCGCCGATGAACTCAGGTGCCCAGAGGGCCCAGTCGAGTTCGCCCTTGCAGGGACAGGTAGCGTGAACTTTGACGAGGACGTCTTGAGGATGGGTTGGGGTAGGGACGGGTTGTTGAGATGAGAGAATGAGCTTATGAGAGTGCTTGTCTGGCTGGAGGATAGCCTTCATTGACGCTGGGAGCTTAGATGGATCCATTTTATAATAGTAGTAGGGTGTTTGTAAGATATATTGCAATGTTATTGAATACTGGAGATGATGCCTGATGAGATGTTTGAGAATAGCGACAGCGACGCAGCAGCATATAAATACTATAGTGGCTTATAAGAATTCATACTCAACATTGCATTATCTCCGTCTGGTTCCGGAAACTGTATCTCTGCAACTGTCATACTCGAAGTTAGTCAGCGAATAACGCCACTAAACGGTTTCCCGTGTATCGATTACCCGGATACCCGATGTCAGCCTGCATGACGAGCAACAGCAAAAACCTGGTCATAGCGGCATCTGCGGCACCCTGGCCAATTACATGTCTTGAAATTCTCCTCGGAGAAGCACCATCGCGTGTTGGTCAGCTCGCGCTCGGCTTGGTAATAACTTAAAACACGAGGTTAATAACCGAATCTCTGATGCTATAGGATTGACTTGGCAGTGCAGTGGCGCAAAGAGGCTTGCAACTGGGCTCAATGCTTCAACTATTCATGACATCACCTTTGACAATTCCTCAAGTTAATATTGCGATAAATGAAGAATCGGTGATGGGGCTGGATTATGTAGACGACCAGATATTACCAGAATGCAATGAACTTGGTCTCAATGCTCTCCCTCACTTCTTCATCCTCAGTGCCCGGCAGATGAAACGAACAATGGTGAACCCCTCCCGCGACATCACTCCCGTCCTTCTCACTCTCGGTATCCATGATCTTCATAAGAAGAACCTCATCTGGAGTCTGGTCACTAATCCAGTACCACTTGTGCTTGGGATTAGCCTTGGTCAGCAGTACATCTGACTCAAACGTCCCATGAACACCTGGTGGGTTACGCCAGAAGCTGACGCCGTCTTGTTCATCAGCTGTCCAGTAGTCGACATAGGCCATTGGATCCCGCTTGACAGGTTTCAATGGACGCCATGTAGTGTACAGGGCCCATCGTCTGCCTTGGTAGTTCTTTGCTCTACCTCCTGGCAGCTCAGCAGCCACATCGCCTGCCTTGATGATATCACCAGCCTCGTCAATGAGCTCTTGGCTCCAGTTCCGAAGAGTGTTCCATGCGCCAGATGGACCCCAGTCCTTATGAGGTTTGCGCACTGGACCTTCCTCTTCGCCTTTCTGGAAACCCTTTGCCCTCGTGGTAGGAAGCTCATGCTGGGGTCGAACAGCTGGGCCAGTTTCCCCTCCATTGCAGCCATTACTTGACTTTGAAGGCATGGGGTATGGTGGAGCGAGCTCCGGCTCCTTAAACGGGACATTTCGTGAAGAAGCAAGGAGGATCATGACCTTCTTCGCTCCGGTGACAGACTTTGCCAACTCGATGATCTCAGGATCGTACACTTCCTTGCGAACGACGGGGTCTGTCCACGACGAGTGATCGTACGGCGGAGAGCTGACCGCCGAGATATGTTTGACCACCTGGAACCCATTGCCATCAAGGGTGAAGGAAGAGACAGAAGGACGGATGTCATTCACTGCTACGAGCTGCTGAGTGCAGTCTTCGAGCGTAGTGACACCGGCGATTGGGGAGGTTGGAGGAACTGGTCCACTGTGGTAGGCGATAGTAGCAGTAACATTCTTGCCAACTGGTGATTCATGATGAGTGTCCTGCTGAGACATCGTGACGAGGGTGATAAAAGTGATAGGCGAGTTTGATTTGGGTAATGATTGACAGATAACGGTGTAGGCAGAAGGGAAATTGTTCCAAAGAATGAAATCCTCGTATCTTAGAAATGTGTCGATGACTAGTAAACGTATCATATTGTACTGAAGCTATCAATACATGGTACCTACTACGCCGTTCGCATCACGACCTTGATCAGCTGACAACATACTTTCCTGGCTAATACCATCCGCTTGTTCGGCACGAAACTCTATCATGTCTCACTTCCACTTATCATTTAGAAACATCAAATGTGATGATATCGTCTACCGACAGATCTGAGATGTTTAACGTGTCCCTTGGGTGGTTGTAGAAGCGCTTGGTTGACAGCCAGGCGTGTGGCTGCAATTCCGACCCCCGGGTGTACCCATGGCATATGCATGTAACCTTCCAGATTGTGACGCAAGACCTCCTCTTTTCAAGCTCCCTTACGGGGACGGGCCGGTCCAGATCGCCAGAGTACTTATGAATGCCAAGCCTGTGAGTCTTCGAAATCGGGAATGCCCAAAGTGGCAGTTGGATATTCTACGTCCACCTCCACATATTAGCAATGCTACGTATCCAGACGCCTCGAACTTTTATTGTCCGTAGAAAGGTGAGGGGTTAAGCTGAAATGGTGATCCATGAGTATGGCTTCACCGAATATTGCAAGGGTGCGTTGCTTGACGTTCCGCGACGTTTTGTTGACTTCGGAGTCACGATTCAGGGTCAACCGTGCCCCCCGACTTACATTGTCTCGACCTTTTCCTTCATTCTTTCATTTCAATTTCCGCTACCGAGGCCCCAAAAAATATTTCCCAGAGCTATCAAGCAAAGAACCTACGAGACTGAGGTTGACTCAAGTTTGACCTTGCGAAGAGACTTAGTTAGGAGGTATAGTAATGGACTGCAAGTTGGCAGACATGACCCCGGACTACTCGAGCCTCATTGTGAAGCATTCTGGATTAATTTTTGGATAATAAATGTCAATTTGAAACGGAAAGCTATCTCAGTCGTATGTATGATACTGCTCATTATTCTTCTCTCAGTGACCGCTTCCTGACGCACAGCCTCGCTCTCGGATCAGGTATCATGTCACTATCAATAGTGATATTCCGCGGTCTCCCTTTCCCATCTGGCAACTTGAACTCAAAATTCGAGAGTAAAATCGCCAAAGTCAGCTTCATCTCATTGGATGCATAGAACCGCCCCGGGCAAGCATATTTCCCATACCCAAACGCCATGTTACTAGAATCAGTCATGGAGAAGAGGTATCTCTGTGCATAGTTTGAGTCTGAGCGGATCTTTGAGTATCTAAGTCCATCAAACTCGCTTGGTGGCGTCGGGCCCGGGACATGCGCTGAGTCTTGAAGCATTGCGTGGGAGGGAACCGCGATGCGAGTCCCTGAGGGAAGATTGGTGCCGTCTGATAGTGTCATAGGTTGGTGATAGATGCGATTGAATGTTACTGGAGGTTTGAGTCAGGAACTGGAAGAGCGCAAGCTGAAAAAAGGCTTACAGAGAAACACGGGGTTGAACCGTTGCGACTCTTTGAGAAAGCTGTCGAGTTTGTGAAGTCGATTCAACGCCGTCTTGTCCCACCCACTAGCACCAACAACGCCTTTGATCTCCTCTACGACCAGATGCGACGTTGCGAAGTAGTGTTCTGTAAGAGGGTAGCAAAGGAGCTACGAATGGTCTCAAGATATGGGGAACAACGCGGAGAATAAAGCCAGTTATAAAGAGGCTCTCGCTATACTCGGCTGTTGTCGTCAACCATTCTTGGTTGCGACAATGTTCTGGACCGAGAAACACCCTGGCCGAGATGCGCGATATGAGTCGGACCATGATGGAAGCAATGTCAACTTCAACCCATTCGTCATCTAAGAATCATTAGCATTTGTTGAACCAGTTGAAGGAGCTGAGAGAGTCTCGCCTTTTATATCAGGCATCTCTTTGGTCAATGCATAGTCCAGTTCCTCCTTCATCACCTTTGTCAACGACACGAGTTTTGGCGTCAGCCGCTGCTGAATCACACGGTTCTGCAGGTCGCTTTGCAGAAACACCATACCGCGCGTGTACTGGCCAGCAAAGTCATTGATGAAGGGCTCTACCGAGCGAGTCTTGTCCTGAGACAGCTTTCGGACTTCATCGATGTGATTCGGTGGGATGATGACGATATCGGTACCAAGCTTTCGCACCTGAAAGATAGAGTCTTTAAACTATAAAATGGATGAGATATTGGAAAGGATGGTTGAGCAGCTGTAGGAGAGACTGCTCACCTTGTTGTAGCCTTGACTGATGATAGATCCCCCTTCCCAGACGAAGCGTAAACGGAGAAGCCATGTAGGCTCAAAGACGCTTCGGTATCCTACAAAGGGGACTTTGACTGTAGACGAGGACAATAGGACATGAATGACACAAGAGCATAGCCAAGCGCCAAAGGCCACGTAGATCAACCAGTGAACGTCCATTAGCGGTATTCCGTCAAGACTCGAGACGAGCTGCTGGAACAGCGTTTCATGGCTAGTAGTGTTCATGCTATTGAATGTGTTCATTGTGCTCTGTTGAGGATAGATGAGATGCAATAGGTAGTTGACTGAAGTCAATGGGAAAGGTTGTGGGCTATGAGCTTACTGAGCTGCTATGGGTTGGACTCACTGACTCTCGAACAAGTCTTGTTTATCCTCTCCTGTCCATCACGGATAGTCTTTCTCAGGTTAATTTACTTTAAGCATTAATCAATTGGATGGAAAAGGTCTTCACGCATGCAGCCATAACCAGCAATCGTCAACATCCACTCCATCGATGTGCATCGGTCGCAATATCTCCTTTGAACACGCGTTGCATTTCAGACCTTCCCAACCACCAGAAACTCTCCCACTTCTCACGCAAATCATCTTTCTCCACAGGCCCCCAAAAGTTCCCAAGAATACTCCACCCCCTTCTCAAGAGGTGAGTTGTAATCAAGGTCCGCATACGCCCCTGAAGAGCGTTGCTTCGTGTTCGTATATCCTCACTGTTGACGGCATGCTGGGCTGAGACATCAGCCCTCAGTCACTCATGATAGTAGATTTGATAGTTACAGGAGGTGCCGCACGGAGGTGTATGCATGAGGGTCACGGTGGCTGCAAACGCACCTCTGCCGCCTGTGAGAGTCTGACGCTGTAGCGATAACCCTTGCCAACGCTAAGACACGGCAATTGACAAGGACCTAGGTTGTGGAGTTAATGATTGAGATAAACGGAGTATCTCGTATCATTTGGGAATGTTGTTCCAGCATGCGACACACGGGCTTATGCTTTGTTCTGGAGGATATGGTCCCAAAGCGAAATGTGACCGAATCCCCCTCTCCCGGCTCTATCGACATGCAACTTATAGGCTCCATAGAGTAGTCCTTCGAGATATCAGTAATAACTTTCTACACTACTGAAGCATACATTTATCTCCAGTCTTGACATATTTTGCATTGGATCATTGTCACAAAATGACGAACAATTCTTATTACTACTACGAGTTTTACAAGAGTCATTCTCATGCTGTTATGGAATTCATGAGTGAGAACACTCTCACATCATCATGTCTCATCTTAGCGGCGTCTGCCGTTCTCCTATGTATTCAATGGTTTAAACCTCAGCCGTTGATCATGGTGAATGGCAGAAAGTTTGGCGAACTCTCCAACGTCCGCGCCAAGAGGGACTTTACGTTTGGGGCCCGCCAGCTCATCGAGAAGGGTCTTCAGATGAGCCCTGACAAGCCATTTCGTATCATGGGCGATGTTGGCGAGCTACACATCTTGCCGCCAAAGTATGCCTACGAGGTTCGCAACCATGACAAGCTTAGCTTTACCATGGCAGCATTCAAGGTGAAGAGCACAAAAGACAGGAATGAATAATATAGCTGACAGCCGGGAATAGTGGTTTTATGCTCACCTTCCGGGTTTTGAGGGTTTCAGAGAGGGTACTAACGAGAGTCACATCATGAAGCTTGTTGCGCGACATCAACTGACTCATCAGTTAACTCTGGTGACGGGGGCGGTCTCTGAAGAGTGCGCCTTGGTGTTGGAAGACGTTTACACAGATGATTCAGGTATGATCCATGCGTTGCTTGTAAGCGAGTCAAGAACTAAATTAGTCTCGCAGAATGGCACGACATCACCGCTAAAGACGCAAACATGAAACTCATGGCCCGCATCACCTCTCGAGTATTCCTCGGCAAGGAGATGTGTCGAAATCCCCAGTGGCTTCGAATCACATCTACCTACGCGGTCATTGCCTTCCGAGCAGTAGAGGAACTGCGCTTCTGGCCAGCGTGGCTTCGGCCCGCAGTCCAGTGGTTCATGCCGCACTGCACAGAGTCCCGTGCGCTAGTCCAAGAAGCAAGGGATCTGATCAACCCACTTCTTGAGCGGAGACGCGCAGAGAAAGCTGAGGCTGAGAGAACTGGAGAGAAAGTCACTTACAATGATGCTGTTGAGTGGCTGGATGGCCTTGCGCGTGAGAAGGGTGTTGGGTACGACCCGGCTTGTGCACAGCTCTCGCTTTCTGTAGCCGCTTTGCATAGTACTACGGATTTCTTTACGCAGGTCATGTTTGACATTGCTCAGAACCCGGAGCTTGTTGAGCCCTTGCGCGAGGAGATCATTTCCGTTCTGGGCAAGCAGGGATGGTCAAAGAACTCCCTTTACAACCTCAAGCTCATGGACAGTGTTTTGAAGGAGAGTCAGCGACTGAAGCCCATATCCATTGGTACGTGCCCCCCTGTCCTAGTCTAGAGCACCAAACAATTGCTAACAAAGTGTAATAGCAAGCATGCGTCGCTTCACAACTCACGACGTCAAATTATCCGATGGCGTCATCCTCCCCAAGAACAAGCTCACGCTCGTGTCAGCCCACCAGCACTGGGATCCCGAGCACTATAAGGATCCCTTAAAGTTTGATGGATACCGCTTTTACAACATGCGCCGCGAGCCGGGCAAAGAGAGCAAGGCACAGCTCGTGAGCGCCACTCCGGATCACATGGGCTTTGGGTACGGGCTTCTTGCCTGTCCTGGAAGGTTCTTTGCGTCTGAGGAGATCAAGATTGCCCTGTCTCACAATCTGCTCACGTATGACTTCAAGCCTGTTGAGGGGTCGAGTATGGAGCCGAGGAAGTATGGCCTCAACATGAACGCCAACCCAACTGCAAAGCTATCTGTTCGTCGAAGAGAGGAGGAGATTACAATTTGATTGCTGGATCTGGAATGACTGGGGTTCAGATTTTAGTCAGCTATGGAATGAATGCTTTGGGTCCATAGTCAAGATATAATGGCTGCGACGGCTGGTCTTGTCCCATGAAACCTACCTAGCGTGTAATAAATATGCAGCCGAAACTTTGGCTAATTAGGCTACCTTACCCCTTCTAGATCATCCCAAGCAACGAAACTTGCTGATCATCCTGTGACAAGTGTCTATGTGACCCTGGGACGGGCCGGCAGCATAGCGCTTCGAGAGTCTGTTGATCCATTGCTGGCCAAACGGAATAGACCATTGGTTTTTCTCTAGTGGGGAAGTTTTGGACCGTGATCGAGTCACTGCAGGCATCTTGTGGTAAGTGTTGTAGTTAGATGAGAAACTGTAATCTTGTTGATAATAAGGTTGAAGATCTGATGCACGGGAACAGGAACGTGATCTCTGTTATGAATGAACCAGAAAGTCGGATTAACGTTCAACCGCAGATAAGGAGCTGGGCCTGAGGATGGATTAAGAGCTGGAGGCGGGAAAGGATATTATCGTCAGTCATCCTGATTTAGAAATGCATTACTTAATCGCAAAATGGCAAGAAACGAGGTCAATGGGGGATAAACTAAATATAACCAGGCGAAAATTAGTGTTATTAAACCATCTGATCCGCCGTATTGTATCAGGATCTGATACAGGGGGTAATGGGTACAGTAGGTCTAGGATACCTGACAGCTCATATGACTGAACGGTCGTGAAAACAGGAAACTGCATTAAGCTAGAAATTGATCAAAGGCCTCAACTGCGACCTGACGCAGTAGATGACGTGGACTAAGCATGTAAATTGTTAATATGTTGAAAGAAGGAACTTGATACGATGCTCCCAAGATGGTCTGACCTCATAAGCACTTGGTCGACCAATGCAGAGCCCAAGATTGGTGGTGGTGTTAAGGGACCCTCGGAGCCTGATTGTCGACAAGCGGGGTTGATATCACCCAGTATAACTCTCAATCTTGGTCGTAATCAGACTCTAACTTTCAATAACTTCTATCTCTTGTAATTATTCAGTCCACCCCATAAATTCTGATACGTTCTCAGTTGGGTTATATCTGTTCATTGACCTTCAGAACAGTCGCGATGAACCCTGATAGAATGGAGTCTCAGCCTTTTGTACCAAAAAGTGGGCAAGAAACTAAGTTCCCATATGATCGCACACCAACATATCTCTTTCGACTCTATGAACCTGGGTCACCCGGGTCATCTGGCATGCGAGAGGTCACGACACCAGTCCGTACCACGTCCTCTGGCGAAAATTGTTCCGACAGAATGAATCTACTAGAGCTTCCGCCAGACGAAGCTACCAAGAAACTATATTATCATCTCTTGTGGGTATATGGACATGAGCATCGATGCAATCTCATGTCCTGGTCCAGCTCTCTGTTATTCGTCCTCCAATACGGCTTATTCAGAAACACCAAAGTCAACAAGACGCCCTTCTCGGAAATACAACTGATCATGATTGATACTCGAGAGTTTCCAAAACAAACATTTGTTAGGGACCTTGATGTGTTAGAACACTTCCATCCATACGTCTCTGATCTGGTCAGTAAGTACGCGTTGCCTGAAGCCTTTCCTTTTCCTTTTATTTTTCCCCCATCTCTTTTAACAAGCTTTGGCTTTGCAGGCAGGATACCAGAAAACAAAACGTTTCCCCCAACACGTTCTCATGTGTTGGAGCTCCAGAGCAAGCGAGAGGGCTCCATGTACTTTGGAGAGTACCTCTCGCAAGGTCGTCTGGACATTCAAGGCCGGTGCAGCCAAGTCTCGATGCAGCGACTCATCGATACGGGACTTTTCACGCTGTGTCCTCTTTTACTTAAAGATTGGACACGATGGGCGATCCCTGTCTGCAATATCAGGAAAACTTTCCTATCGACTCAAACTACAGACCTAAAGAAGGTTCGAACTGCCATAGCGATGGCTCAAGTAGGTATTGGGGACCGATTTGCCTTCCCCTTTGCTGTCATGTTACTCGCATTGCAGTGCCGAGAAGCAACCGATCCAAGCATTCTAAATGCATTTCATTCCATGTTTACCAGTAAGCTAACCACCGATGTTTGTGTCACCCTTCGCTAAAATGCTCATGTAGACCAGGAACTCAACGTTGTTGACCTCAAATACGATCTTGAGTCTGAACGATTGCCGGAGCTTAAGCAGTTTAAAGAGTCAATGGAAGCTATAAGGAAAGAAAGAGAGGGACAAGAGCCAGAGTCAGATGGACCAGAGAGAGGAGAGCCAGACCCCTTGGTTGCTCAGATTGAGGGCCCGTTCAAAACCCTGTGTGTTAATACAAAGTCGTCGTTCCCTCATCGTGGACCGGGTGGACGAAAGCATGTGGGATTCGCTGAGGAATGAACATTTATAAGGCTAATTTGTCTCATTTGTACGGGAGTACATCAGTATGAAGCCAAGCAGAGCAGCGAAGCATAGTAAACTCTTTGTCACCACTTTAAAAGGCAAACAATACCGGATACCCACGAGTCAAAACTTTAACTAAACGCCAGCCTCATTTAGCATCAATAGTGAGGTTGGCAAATAGAGGATTGGCTTTTTAGGGATAACCTGTGAAACACTGATTTGGAATAAGAGGCAGATGAGCTGTTCCCTTTCTATCAGATAGACTCTTAGCACAGGTCCTCGTTCTAGTAATGATATTGTTGTCTATTAACAAATTGCGGCATTAGCACACCATCCTAGCAAAAGCCGATAATCACATTACTTCTTAGCCGGAACTCACCACTTATCGGGATTAGGTACTGAGGCAAAAGGACAACAGACGCTTGTCTTCTTGCCTGTAATACGATCACAGTCGGACTTATCAACTTTAATCTGTCGAGATTTACAGCCAGTTGTGCCGAAATGGTTGACAGTGTAATGGCCCTCTCTAAGCTCTACCCACTAGTTCTTGATTAAGTAATCTTTATATACGCTTATGCCTTTGGGATGTAGAACCGTTGTAAGCGTGTCAAGTCGCGTATTATCAAAGTTGATAGCCCAGATAAGACCTCTTAAGCCTAGTGAGTTAGGGTTAGGGTTAGGGTGCGCGGGCGCTGGCTTGCGCAGCCTTCTTGGATTTTTTTTGAAATTTGGATTATAGTGAAAAAAGGTGTGAAAAATAAAGTATTCAAAATCTGAAGAAATTCTTGCGAATTGAGAAAGATGTAATATGTAGAGGTTGGATTACGTGGTTACGGCTTCGACCAGTCACGAGGTTATGTCACCACCTCTTTAGAGGTGGGGAAAATAGCATTATTGGAACCCGCCGGGTAAATATTAATTGATGCATTGCCTCAACACATTTTTCTTGACTTTTTACGACGTTGACTTTAATCCGTGGACGGGCAATGGATTCAGGTCCCTGTTTTCATTAGCGTGGTTTTTATTTTGTATGGGTTTTCCATTGGATTTAGACCTTGTTATGACATTAATGCCTAAGTAGGATAGGCTAGCTGCGAAGATCTTGTCAGGTCCTTGCTTTGTGATGAGGTCGTCGAGTCGAGATGCCTTACGACCAGTTGTGACGACAATATCGCCTGACTCGAGGACCTTTTCGACCAGAACGCGGCCAACTCCTGGCGCAGTCCTGTTTTTTAGTGCACACAAATCGAACCTTCATTGCTCCTCGTGCTAAATAACTCCCTCGGAATTGTTTGATTGCAATCGCGGTAAGTAAAAATAAATCTCATCAAGTAATCGATATCACTAGCTACTGAAACTGACCACTTGAAAAATCAAAGTGCTTTATTTTGCGATAGCGCGAGGGAGTTACTGGTAAAAACCCTGCAACTAATAACAGATTGGCGATATGGCTGACTTTGGCTAAGCTGGGAGTGCTAGCCGTATTAGGAAATATAACGCTTCACTTGTACAGTATACTATTCTATAATAGGAAATGTAACACTTGATTGCGAGTTACTCTATTGCAATATACCATGATACTGCAAAAGCAATATTAATCCAAAAAAATAAAAAAATAAAGACTTGGGTTTTTATAGTCTCTAGACCAGGAAACTACATATAAGAGCCAAATTTAACTAAAATTTTGGGGGCGATGTTGAAAGCCTAAGTTGTAATTGCCCACTGGATTTTTCACTTAATCAGGAGCTAGAATGATGATGTAGCATGTCGATGATGGCCTCGTATCTTCGCTTGATGGCCTCGTGTCCTCGCTTGATGGCCTCGTGTCTTCGCTTGATGGCCACACCGAGTGGCGTCTGGCCAAAAATGTTATCTCTAGCCGCCACGTTGACCTTTCCAGTATTGAGAAGCAGATGGACGATGGCCTCATGTCCTTCTTCAGCAGCCAGCGATAGCGGAGTTCGACCAGTCGAATCTTGAGCATCAGGTTCAGCTCCTCCAAGACTTAGAAGAAGTTCTACAATAGCCTTGTGTCCATACATGGCGGCCCACGAGAGCGGCGTGCGGCTAAAGTGAATATCTCTAGTATCAACGTCGACTTTTCCCGTACGAAGCAGCATCTGAACAACGAACTCACGTCCACGCATGGCGGCCCACGAGAATATTGTCTGATCACTATCAACGTCTCTTGCATTAACGTCAACATTTCCTGTATCGAGAAGCATCCTGACAATAGCATTGTGTCCTTTCTCGACAGCCAAGCGCAGTGGTGTTCGGCCAAATTCATCTTTAGAATCGACGTCTACACCGCTCGAATTGAGGAGCAGCTTGACCCTGGCTTCCTGGCCTCTTTTGGCGGCCCAGGAGAGTGCTGTTTGGCCAAATTCATCTTGAACATTCAGATCGCATTTTCCCTCATTGTGAAGTAACTTGATTATAGCTTCATAACCATGCTCAACGGCGCATCGGAGCGGTGACCGACCTTCTCGATCTTGAGCATCAACATCGACTTTTCCCGTATTTATAAGGAGCTTGACGATTGCCTCATGCCCTCGCGTGGCGGCCCACCACAGCGGTGTTCGATCATACTTGTCGCTAGAATCAATATCGAGGTCAACTTTGTCGAGACATAGTTTGACAACTGTATCGTGCCCTTTCTCTGCTGCATAGGACAGCGCAGTCCTACCATCACTGTCCCTCATGTTAAAGGTATAGCAGCTAGACCCAAAAACTTGTACACCGTCCTCGAGCCCGAAAAAAGCCGTCAAATGCAGCCCAGACAGTTGTCTTGGAAACTTTTGACTATACCCCGGTCTCCATAGCGTCCATGCAAGATTTGAATTTATCAGGGCTTGGACCGATGCCTCTACTCTTGCAGTGGATTCGAGAAAATCAATGGCTGCTCCACTCAAAGTTTTGATGTCATAAGCATGGCTGCCCCAGTAACATGCCGAATAGTGATAGAACGGGTTCAACCTCATCCGCTCTTCAAATTCTTCATCCGTCCGACAGAAACCGCTCTCAAAGGCATCAAGTGACAAGTACGTCAAGCAGGTTGTCATAATATTAAACTCCGTGTTAGGTAATAATTCGTTCCTTTTATCAAAAAGATATTGTTGCGCAGTATAGTGATTAAGCCGAATGCTGTCGCGTTTGAGGTCCACTGTGATCAATCCAGCACATACTGAGACTATATCCTCAATAGGTACTATGTCTCCAGCATCTAGCGTTCGGTTGCCTTGTTTAGTAGCTAGGGCATGCTGAAGTTCTATTATCGTAAGCTGTCGCTTGACGCAAGTAATCCACGAGAGAACCTGTATCGCGAGCTCTCGCAAGCCCAGTTTTTGTCTACTGATTCTCTCCATTATATGATCATAGGCACCCGATAGTAACTTGTGCTTATTACCTCCATATGCCTGCTTTTGCTTCTGAATCTCTTTCAAGGCGCTTCTAACATCGTTCTCTGTTACCTTATCCATGAAGAAGTGAAGGTAAATATGGGCCAGGAGAAACCTATGCGTTTGTCAGCAAGCATTTACGTATCGCTTTTCACCGGGTTCCTACATTCCGTCGACTGCATCTGATATGCCTATCTTGATCTGTTCTTGAAGCCGCGAGTTAGTTTTGATGACTGGCCGAAGCGTTCCTATGTGTTTCTCGAGATACAGGGTGACATCATCCTTAGTCGCGCGAATTTCAAGGCAAAGAGTCTGCTGAAAAAACTTGGTGATGTCGGGAATAGGCCTTGATGTTGCGAAAAAGTTCACCGCAGTCCTGTCCTGGTATCTCAAGATTTCAGACAAAAGTTTGCCCCGACAATCATCAAGAGCTTGGCATTCGTCAAGAGCGTCGACAATAATGAACACCTTTGTATATAACTCAATCACATATTGTAAGGTTGCCGATAATTCCTCAACTAATGGACGTGTCGCATTCTTCTTATGCTTGCCATAAAGAGAGTTAACACTTTCTGGCAGGGAATGCCAGCCCCGGCTAAGTTGTTTAACCAGACTTGCCAAAAGATCATTAATTTTCTGCTCTTGCTCTTGGCGAAAGTTGCAGTAGATGTAGGCAATCCCAATGCTGGGGTTTTCGGACAATCGCGTGTGGAGATTGTTAATTACAATCGACGACAGTATCGTCTTCCCGGCCCCTGGGATGCCCGGACAGAACAGTGTCTTGCCGTCCGCATCAAGCCACTCTTGATACTCTGCGGATTCCAGAAACCATTGGCCAGTTCCTTGTTGTCTGTTCCCGAAGTAGTCGCTTTGTTGCCGGCCGTAGTCAACTGGCGTGAGCCAATCAAGAATCTCAGCATCTTCTTTTTTGTTCAGTTGGGCCCGGGTATGCATGGCGTTCTCTCGAATTGTAGATACAACATCGCAAACTAAACTCAACGTTAGGAGTCGTTGCCAATTTCATTTAAAAACTACTAACCCTGGCTAATTATGTCTCTCACTGGGTGCTCCCCGTTAATATCACCTGGCTGGATATATTGAAGAAATTCCTTCGCAAACGCTGCAGCTACTGCTGCAGCATGTTCCTGCCAGTCTTTATTCTTGTGCGAGTCTGCATAGTCGCAAATTCCTCGGATGACGATACACGGGAAGTTGTAGGCCAGTCCCGCCGCTTCCATTTCAACGCAAAGAACATGACCACCAAGATCCTTGGTAAGTCTGTCCCGGATGGTAGCGTCCTTAATGACCTGGTTACCAGATGCAATCAGGCCATAATGCACACGCATATCTCTGGGCTTCCTCCTGACAATTTGGGTCCTATCGCAGAATCGACAGCTCCCTTCTCCCTCCTCTTCGTCTCCACGGCCGGAGATGGCGCCGCCATCCGTGCTTTCGGTAACATGGCCGTAACTCGCTTTAAACAGAACATCCTTAAGTGAATCAGACCTTAGATACTTTGGCTCTAGTTTTGGCCATTTCTGTTTCAGTTCGTCTAGATACTCCTGTATCCTGGACCCCTTCATTTCATGCTCCGTCTCCAGTTTTGTCAAAGCCGTAAGCAACGAAATTGGTGGATTGTTCAGCGAGCCAGTCCGTTTGAAGCTGCCGCCTTCTTCCGCCTTGCCGAAGTCCTATTGGACTACCCCGGAAAACTGGCCTACTGGTGTGCTAACGACCACATCGCCGAGTCGTACCTTGGGCGGAATACCGCCGCTGACGCCAACCATCAGTCCGAACTTAATAGACGGAAAGGTGGAGACCATAAAAGCGGCAATAGTCGCTGCTGTATTATTGCCGATCTGTCCTTTGGGTAGGCAAGCTATGATAACATTATGACTACTAAAAGATCCAAGGGTATAAGTGTTGGGGTTGTTTGACGGCTTTGGGAGATCTGCATGTCTCTGGTCTAGCATAGCTGTGGCTGCTGTCTGCTCTTTGGGCAGAGCGCAAACCTATCCTACAGTGTATTCATTATGATTTCTGGTTTCGGTAGTTACTTGTGTAGCCATTGCGAAGGAACCGGCTGGGTCTTCGGGAAGACGAATGCGAACTCGGGAGTCAATCGGCTGCGGTCGGTTCTGTTCGATGCAGGTTCCTCGTGGCGCCTCGATAGCTACGAATTGAAAAAAGGCATCAATCGCCCTGGGTCTTCCAAAGGGAAAGTGCTAACTCGCCGGAGGAACAGTGGTTGATGCGACGATGCCGGAGAAGCGTTCTGAGCAGAAGTCGAAGATTCAGCCTTAGGCGGAGAGTGTTTGGGAAAGCCACACAGCCGCAGCCCAACGTTTATGCCAACCAACCACGTATTGCTTCCAATCCAGGATGCAGCCACGTGCGCATCCAAAGCTAATCGTTCCACCTTTTGTTTGGCTCCAACTTCAGCTGCCGCGGTGTATTTCAGACGCAAAAATAATAGACCAATGGCAAAAAGAAGGAAACTGACGAAATGCCCCTAGGACCGTCCTGTTGTGAGGGCAAGTCGGTCATTGGGGTCTTGGGGATGATCCCGTTGGGCATTCGAACGATTCAAATAGCGCGCAGGGGAAAGTATTGTACCAATCGCAAGAATGAAATGAATTGTCGATTAGATGGCATGAGACACAGTGAATAATTATCGACAACATAAATCAGCAAAGTACTGGCAGGGCGGAGCCAACTCGCCCGACTTCTCCACAGACCTCGCAGACCAGGGACGCAGGACAGCTGGCCCGCATTCCCGGTGGCCAATCGAGTGCAAATAAAAGACGGCGCAGGTGGTCATGCTTGAGCAGCTGAAGGGCGAGAACCATTAATTCATGTATCCGGACCTTATGCGGGGGGTTATTGGTACAGTAGCCTTGACAATGCAAGGTATCTCGGTCGTAGGTGGCTTAAAGTCGTACCTAACCAAAAGTCCACTATCTTTTACCAACTCCGAGATCACTAAAGTCCTACGAGGCCCACTATTTTACTCAATTAAGGCCCACTAGCCTACTTTTTAGCTCTTGTAGAGCTATAGCCGCCTTTGGTCACGAAGATACCTCTAAGGACGCTCATAGTAGGTAAATTGCAAGGAATGACGCTACAACAAGAACCTTTTTTAAGCCTCTTAAATAACCACCTTAGATCAATAAATGTAGCATAACTGGTTTGGCGCTATTACAGGTTTGCGTTTCAGGCAGCAATGGTTAAATGATAGCTAGGTAATGTGAGTTGAGAAAATGCCGCATCTGGTTAGGACTAAGCGATCTCTGCGGAGCGGGCCGGTCTGCCTAAAGACGACTTAATGCTGACATGGCGACAGCGTTGATTCGTCTATGAACGAATTCATTTCTTTGCTTCAGCTCGTTCTGGGTCCAGCTCCTTTTTCGGAGTTGTACATGTCCCTCAAATTTGCAGCCACTAGAAATATGCCACTGATGTGTCGAAAACTCGAGATTCTAGGTTATGTACTATCTGTCGGCATTATGCCCTTGTTGCATAAGTCCAAGTGATGTCTCCACCCCACTCAACATTTCTCCGTATCTTTATTCCTAGCAAGTTCTATCAGCCATGCTTGGTTAACCGTGTTTGGCACACCAGGGGCTAGTACACTCCAGCTTGCATGGCCGATTGGTGACCTAGACCTTCTTCTTGAAACTTGGCTGCAGAAATCCGTTGATGGTTTCTTGATCGAACTTGGTAACAGCCCGGCTTTCCGCACTTGTCTCTGCCACCACTACCTGATACGTGGCACATTCAGTTTTGCTCGTGACCTATTTGTATCTATAGAGGGGCACTTAGTGAAGCTGAATGCATGGCATCCGTGTCTTTCCAAAGTCCGAATCATGCTTCCAAAGCACATAGAGAAGGTGATGGCGTCTCGGAAGCGATATTGCCGATATGCTATATGTAGCTCCATGCGCGGTGACTGATTTCCCTCGTCAACGTTCCCTCGTGAGGTTTCCCTTGATGCCCATCTAGTTATCCAAGTCTTTTGCTGAGATTACAACCTCTTCTCACAGAGTATCAGACTTAGCCCATTGTCTTGAACGCCATCTTCAACTAGTCAACATTATACAAACGATATAAGCCTCCTCAATATGATCACCAGCTATGCTGGTAGCTGATTGTCCCAGCTTTACTTTCCATGCTTGAGAAAGAACTCGGCGTGTCATCATTTGAGTTCTCTTGCAGGGATATCTTGGACAGGATGCATGAAGAGAAGCTCGGCCACTTTGACTTGGAGAAAGTGTACGGCAAGCCGTCTTCAGTACTTCACTCTCTTGAAGCCTTTCTTGGAAAGATTGACTTTGATCGTCTTCCCCACTATCTTTACCGTGGCTCTATGATGGCTTCACCGTCTTCCACAGCAGCCTACCTGATTGATGCAACCAGGTGGGACGACGAGGCCGAAGATTATCTGAGACATGTTATGAGGAATGGTGCTGGTCATGGAGATGGTGGTATCTGGGGGAACTTTCCAACAACACATTTTGAGTGCAGCTGGGTGAGTGATGTGGTTCAACTTACCATTTGTTGACTATCCGCTAATCTTGTATGTAGATCCTAGCAACACTCCTGAAGGGTGGCTTCACTGTGAAACAAATCGATTGTGATGGCTTGCGCGGCTTGTCAACCATATTTGCCGATGCATTGAGGGACGAGAATGGAGTAATTGGCTTTGGTTAGAAATTCTTCAATTCTATTAGCATACCACAGAGGCTGACTATGATATAGCACCGCATTCAGCTGATGTCGATGACACGGCAAAAGTTTTTCTGGCGCTCAGCCTCATCAATCAACATTCCAGCCCAGATATCATGGTCAAGGTCTTTGAAGGCAAACATCACTCCACCACGTTTGGATCAGAACGTGATCTCAGCTTGTCTTCCAACCTTCATGTGATACTCAGTCTTCTGAACCAACCAGACCTGTCTCAATATCACCCCCAGATCTTGAATACAACCTTTTTCATCTGCCTATGGTGGTGGGATAGCGACTATTGCGTCAAAGATAAATGGGTAAGGTCTGCCTCACCCGTCGTAGAAGCAATCATTAACACTTCTAGAACTTGAGTCATCTGTATCCTACTATACTATACTTCTGGGAGAAGCTTTTCATCAGTCGGGAAGTGCCGAGTATATCTGTTCAACCATTGAAACACACTCGGTTCTCTTTGGCCGAAGAGGGCACTAATACTCGGAAATATTTACTGGTGGTGCTGGACGGATTTCTGTGGGATCTGAACAGCCAGTATAATGATGCTCTTGGAAAGACGGTGCTTCAAGGCCTACAGTACGATATTCTTCGAAAAGTGGGAGTTAGAGCTTTCTGAGAATCTTCATACGACAATAAAGCTGTTTACTCCTCTAAGGATATTACTCTGGGTGCATCCAGTCTTAGTCGTTCTTGATAAGGCGGCATCTATAAAGGATCTTCGCCTTCAGATCAACAGTCTTCCAACTAACTTAACCATGTTGAAGTAAAAGGGTTGATTGTGTTGTCGTTAGTTCTAAGTTACATGTATCCGAGAGGAGCACAGCTCCTTGCATAGTATCCACATCCCAGCCACCATCAGATCGGACCACCTTCGCCGCACTGTCTTAACAAAAAGTGCGTTCAGGCCACTGCTGAAGACAAGATCGCTGGAGATCAGTGGGAGGACGCCTGCAGGAGGATCGCTGAGGAAGGATATGACTGTGCTGATGGAGAGAGGAAGTGTTATGCCAATCCTGACAAGGTCCATGGCAGGTGCTAAGTATTTATAAATACTTCGAATATAGTATTAAGCGAGAAGTGCAGTATTGATTGTCGCTAAAGCCACCACAGTAAGACCTGAATCTCTATAGACTGGAATTTTCGAAATCCTTTTGGCTCTACTACTTAGTTTAAATACATTTCTTGCATATCCACTGGCTCTTTGCCATGGTATTCCACATACCCTGTTCCTGCGTACTTAGCTTGTTCATATCGAACTTATCGTTACCCAGTCTGTAACCAAACCTCTTATCAACACATCCGCACATAGCACATCCCAATCCAAGTGCATATGTTATCTTTGGTAGATCTCTTCTCCAGTCAACGATCTCTTCGCATATGCCATTGAAAGCCATCATCCCAGTAGTATATAACGGCCACATCGATTCGAGTGAGGCGGGTGACATTTTATGGGCCAGGAAGCCACCAAGTACGTATAAAGCGGCAGTATAAATAGCCAAAAACGAATTTAACAGTGTGAGGTGAGTAATAACTACTATACCTCGAATGGAGAGATGTCGTCGGAGGAAGTTGCGACTAAGAAATCGGAATAACCTCGTAGTGAGACGCTCCCATGTTGGAGAGAAGATAGTTACAAGAGTCTCTGAAAATAAAGACACCGCTATAAAGGTCGAGAAGTCCAAAACCCCTGGGCTACCTTTTGGATCCTTTTGCGTGTAGCTAGCTGCATTGTTTGGCTTTGGCGCCCGGAGACTTGAGCATATTGATACTATGAAAACAAAAAGCTGCAGATGTCGAGTCTTCCGAGTCCAAAAAAATGGCTTCTCATCCTTTTTGTCTTGTATCAGTGGTTCCTGAAGTGTGTTATGAGGAGTGTTGTTTTGAGTTGAATCTGGATAAGAGCTGACGGAAATTGTGCGTCTCACCGCTCCTTGTACCAGGTATATTCCAGCTGTTAATTGACCGCAAATGTGCATTTCAAGCAATTCCCAGAAGAGAAACTTGCGAAAGAAATATCGATGTCTTGATAAATGGCGGACAATAAGATAAGAACAAATAACGGAAAGTTGAAGCAAGTTTTTGTACGACTCATACTTGCTAGCTGAACAGGCGCCTGGGAATGCAAAATCGTGATCGAGCTGATCGTGGGAGTGGACCAGTGATTCTATCAGGAAATAGTGGTCTGGCGGGTTATCTTCATGATAAGGCCCAAGATCGTGGTCTGCTTGGGCACTAAGGTCGAGGAAACTTCTGCGGGACATGGCTTGCGCAAAGCCAGGAGGAGCAGGTATTGTGATATTTGTCGAGTTGGGGCAAGCCGGACTTAACATGTGTGTGGACTGGAACTAGCCGTTAACCCTGCAAGAGAATTTCATAGATTATTTCACATTACCTCATCCATGCAAAGAATCGCGAAGTCCTTATGAGCAGTCCACTTTGCGTACTGGCTAGCCAAAAGACTGCTCCAAAACGAGATGGCAGCAAGAAGAAGTGACAGAGTTCCAATAATCGTAGCCCACAGCTGCCAATTAATCGATAGCGATGATTTGCTGAACCGACTGAAAGCTTTCGACGGAAGATTGGAAAAGTAAAAGGCCGCCTGTAACAACCAGAGCCATGACACAACTGCTGAATTCCGGATCCAGTTGCTTGCATGAGCCCAAGCCAATCCCATCGTTAACATCGCAAATTGTCCTGGGTGATTCTCAGGGCTTTTGAGATCGCTTGTAGGTTATATAAATGAACTTCGTAAAGCAGTGCACTCTCACTCATCGATTGTAAGCACAGCGATAGAGGCGGCGTCGAAAGATTTTCAACCTTCTCTCTCTCTGTTGGGTATAGTGCTTACTTGACTCTGGCCAGTGATAGTAACTTGACTCCTTTTTGCACGGAGAGAAGAGGTAACTTTACGGTAATGAGTTTAATTGGCCAAATTTCCAGACGCCAGCTCTTCACTACCACTCCCGAACATTAATAATACCAACTCAGATTAAAGAAATGTTTCTATCCTATAAAGAACCTTCACATTGATTGAATTTTGACCTCATCACCGAAGCCTGCCATACGTGTCCCGATTAAGTATATCCTCCGTAGCTTTCATGGATGTCCTTCGTTTGATTGACAAAGGTGAGCTCGCAGGTCTCTTTGATGAGAACCTCAAGTGCAAGATTGGCCTATCTTTCTTCCAAGCCGTCTTCCGTATCGTCCTCAAACAAGGTGACAACGGAGCTTGGGGAGGCTTTCGTGAGCAAACATGCTACGCCATTCTGGCTCTTGCCCAGGCACGCCATGTTTGCTTCTTCACACACATGATGGACAGGCTTCAGAGCTGCATCGACCGTGGTGTTGCTTGGCTCAAGTCCTGCAGCATTCGTTCTCAGGACCTAACCTGGACGCCAAAGACGACATATGAAGTTGCATTTGTTGCTGAAACATACAAACTAGCGGCCCTGCAGTCGGCTAGCATAGAGGTCACCACTGCTACTGCTGGTCATAGCCTCACCTCGGCAGTTCCATCATCTAACTTGGAGCAATACATGCGGCTTGTGCGTAAGACTGCATTGTTCTCACCGCTGGATGAGTGGGAACTCAGAGCGTCGATTATTGAGTCGTCGTTTTTCGTGCCCCTTCTACAAGCCCAGCGTGTTGAGATTCACTCAAGAGACAATGTCAAGATCGAGGAGGACAGGTATCTGAGCATCATTCCTTTTACTTGGATCGGATGCAACAACAGAACCCGCACCTTTGCATCTAATAGGTGGCTCTACGACATGATGTACCTGTCTCTCCTGGGCTATCAGACCGATGAGTATTTGGAGGCTGTTGCTGGGCCGGTATTCGGTGATATCTCTCTGCTTCACCATACCATCGACAAGATTATAAACAACACCAGGGTGAACTCAGCCGGGACTAATGGTACTGTGCACAATGGAAATGGCCATCAGCACGAGTCACCCAACATTGGACAAGTTGAGGATACTCTCAGTCGCTTCACCAATAGCGTCCTCAGCCACAAAGATGTTCTGAGTTCGAGCTCTTGCGATCAAGACACTCTTCGCCAAGAGTTCAGAACGTCCATGCACGCCCATGCCACACCGCTGGAGGACAACAGCCGTTTCTCCAATCAGGACTCTAGCGACGTTTCTGCTTCCCCAGAGCAATCGGGCTTCCAATTGGTGAATAGCACAAGAGGTAGCCACGTCGCTTGCGCATACTGATTCGCTTTCCCCAACTGTCTGATTTCAGGGAATCTGCTTCAAGGCAATGACGCGTTCCCCTCTGTTCCTCAGAAGTATCTCATTTCCTCCGTCATGCGTCACGCTACAAACATGTGTCGTATGTACAACGACTTTGGTTCCATAGCTCGCGATAACGCTGAGCGTAATGTGAACTCGATCCACTTCCCCGAGTTCGCGCTATCCAGTGGAACGTCACAGAGTCTCGACGACAGGAAGAAGAGACTTTCACAGATAACTACGTATGAGCAAGCTTGTCTTGATCGTGCTATGGATCTGCAAGCAGTTATTCGATGAAGGAGCCTTGCCTTATCCTGTGGTAGGCGATACTCACGCTCAACTTTGGAAGAGAACCTCGTCCAGGGAATGCAAAAGGTAAGCCATATGACTTTCAGCTTCAGTCGTCTCTAAATCGCGCAGTATCGCGACTCGCCCTTCGTCCTGGCTGAATCACGCCCACCACTGCTCATCCTACCACTGTCTGTCTTTCATGAATGCCACAATATGCCAAATGAATGCATTTCCATCATTGCAGAGCATGAAGACAAGTTCCAGGGCAAGTACACCCATATCACTACTATGAGGCCTGAGATTCCCACCACAATTCGTCAGGACGTAACCCGCAATATGCCCAATATTATACTGGACTTCCAGGATGAGTTGACGTACGCCTCCGAGCAGTGACCGAGAACAAGCAATTGGACGTCTGCACCCTTGTACGAGATGATGCTAAGGACCGTGGCGCTTTTGAGTGGCAGAGCATTTGTTTGTTTGCCCTTGTGTCGTGACCAAGACTGGCTACAAGCCTCCGTAGGCTATACTGTTGACTGCATCTCAATTCGTGATCAGCTGTATACCTGGAGTCCTATACTCAGACTGCTCGTTGGTCCGTTTCTCCCAAGTGTTCGTTCTGTGCGAAGACATCTACGGTTCGCAGCGGACATAATGGCTCCTTTGATCTCACAAGCCTTACAGGAAGATGGAAAAGAACGTCGAACAGATGCATTTCCGACGGTTCAGACTGAAGGCCGAGATAACTTCATTTCATGGCTTCTTCGGCATGTGCCTGAGGAGTTTAGAACCCCAGAGCAAGTTGGACTGGATCAAATGCTGGTTTCATTCGCTGTGATTCAGACGACGACTATGTTTGATGCACCGCCACGTTCTTTTTCTGCTTCTAACCTAGTCGCCTAAAACATTATATTAGATTTCTAAGATAAGTTAATATATACCTTTAAGTAATAGCCTAAAATAAATAATTAAATATTTATGTCTTTATATAAGATAATTATTACAACCCAAAGGGAAGAGTGCTTCTATTATATAAACCCTATAAACCTTTTATTAATTACAATAGGACTTGTGCCTTCTTCCCTATTACATACTATAAGCCTTATTGATAGCTTACGAAGAGCTTATAATCTGACTTTTAATTTACAGGAAGCTAGACTTACTTAGCTATAAGCCACTTAAGTATATATATATATATTTATTTAGCATTAGATAAAACTTAGCTTAATAGCTATTAATAAGAATTTTTTATATTAATAAGGCTAATATATATTACTTAATTATTAAGAGATCTTATACTTTGCCATACTTCCTTTAATACCTTATATAATCTGTAAATGTAAACTTAGTATAAACTTGTTTTCCTGTTTAAAACCGTAACTAATATACTTTATGGATCTTAAAGTACTAGCTATTATTAAAACCTCTCTATATTAATAAGCCTAATATATATTACTTAAGTAAGAGTTATAATAATTTATTAGTTGTTAATAGAAATGCCTTATAATTCTCTAATATAAACTTAATATAAACTAATTTACCTGCTCAGAACCTAACCTGTTGTAAAACAGATAAGCTTATTGCAATGCTATTAGACAGAATGTGGCAAGACGATATGGCGGATAAGTGATCAGCTGAGCTGTTATCCTGCATCTAAGCGTATTGAAGAGTCAATACCACAGCTTTACTCCCAATACAACATTTCTGTGATGCGCTATGGCGCTTTGGTTTCACTTTACTGCAACCAATCACGTCCTCCACAGAGGCTCCAATCGGCAATGTTTGCCGATTAATTGCCCGCCGAATATTGTATCTCCTTAGTGACCAATCACCTCGCCCCAGTGTTTTGAGTTTGACTATTGCGCCTAATTTAGGGGGTTCCGGGAGCATGGTTAATAAGGTCTTGTTATGAGTCTCTTTATTCCTCAGCAGAAGGTAGGCTAAAGAAAAGTATCGCCATAAACAAAGAGCTTAAATTAGCTAGATCCCCTCATTGTAATTGCCTTAAATGTAATAAATGACGAAGATAACAGCAAGCTTAACAGCAGCGCGACCCTCGGCAGACAACAACATCCAGCCACATAAATTCTCGCACTGCGTCTCAAGGGCATGCTGGCTAGAGATGGTCGACTCTCAAAACAGGGGCGGAGTAGGATTATCGCACAATCGAGTATTTCGCCCATCGTACTCCGTGTTATCCCTGAGGCTGGCCCTCGCTCAAGCTAACGAGTCAGCTAGCAGTCTCCTCCATTCTCCATTCGACTCCTAAAGCACAATAACGGCCGAGACGCAGGAGCATCTCAACCCGACGACCACCAGCTCATGCTGCTCTTGCCCGCGACCTATCGCACCCCGTCTGATGACTTGGCTGCATCCAAACTTTATGTCATCGACTGTATAAATACAGAACTGGCCTTGCGGAGGTTGAACAGGATTTACGGCTGGCTGTGGATCGCGGGTCGGCTCGCGCCGCCTCGTGCGCTGCACTACCAGCTCCTGCTTAGTCGGGAGATCTTCATCACGGAGCAAATGGACATGCATCTCGTCTGGACGACAGGCCGCGTCTTCATCAAACCCATCCCGCGCTTCCTACTCGAGCCATGCTTCTGGACCAAATATCTTTCTTGTGGACAAGGATGCGATTGCTCTGTTGGCGAAGCTCATTCCCGAGGTAGCATCCAAGAATGCGAGGGTCGAAAGCTTTGGAAATGCGCGCTCGGGTTCCTATTCTCTTATGCCGCGCTCATCCCCCACGAGAGCGACTTCCTATTAGCGAAAGAGAAGAACTTGCTCGCGGAAGAGATCACGTGGCCAGGCTGGATATCTTTCGTCGAGCAACTTGACACGGAGCATATCTACCCAGATATCGACCCGCGATTCTATCATGGAGAGCTTCGTTTGAGTCGGTTAAACATGATATACCACCTGCTTCAGACACCTTTGCACGGCTACATGGCTTACTGGAATCAGTACGCCACCTTCTTTCGAGATAATCTTGCCTGGCTAGGCGGGACGACAGTCTACATCGCAGTTGTCCTGACCGCGATGCAAGTGGGACTCGCCACCGATACGCTCGCTCATAACGACGCCTTCCAGTTTGCATCATATGGTTTCACCGTCTTATCCATTCTGGGACCTCTGATATGCGCCGGGCTTATCGTCCTGACGTTCTGCTTCATTTTTATTTACAACTGGATAGTGACTGTGACCAAAAAAACAGAGCGGCTTCGTCGCATCCAGCGTGGTTAATCACGAATTCGTCATTTTACATCGTGTGGCTGACGCCAAAACGCAGGGGGGGTAGCCCCGTACACAATGGATTGCTCAACATCGTCGCGGCAGATGACTGGGAGCTGCCTTTTGGGCAAACTTTTTACCTGATGGGCTGCGACGGTAAGGGGCATTGCCTGCGCTATAGTTTGGGTTATTTTGATGACTGGATGATTTCTGAGCTTAACCTGCATAGTCACAGAACCATGACCTCAAATATCCCTGGTGTCATGAATTGACCACTTGGCACTTAGGGATACAAGAAGTTTAAGTCTTCAAGTCGCTTGTCACCACATAGCGGCCGCTTAATCAAAGCAGCTATTTAATTAGGTTTAGGCCAATACCGTCTGAAAACTTGATACGCCTGTGGTGGCTGCTCGTCGATGCATCTATTCACAGTGCTTGGTCACATGGCTGCGCCTGTTAGAGGCTTATGTACAGCCACATCAATGTTGTGGACAGCTGAAAGTCTCAGGAAGTTGGTAAAAGTGCAAAAGAGCAATTACGGTTTGTCTATTGGCCGGGATTATAGAGACATTGCCTTACTCGAGCTATCGGAGATGCATCTGGGGACTCCGGTGATGGTAACCCCGCCGTCAACCCTTAGCTCCCTACGGGTGAAGTTCCGATGCCGAGAATTTGGTGCGGAGCCTCGTCTCCGTGGTGAAGATCGACACAAGTGTGCCAGTACCTTTCATGCTTGCATTTTATTTAGGCATCCCCTTGTTAGGTACTAGCGAAGTCCGAGCGCAGGGCAAGGCCACTCTCGTGCATAGGAGAAGAGCAAGCCCACCGCGCACTTGCGGAGCACTCTCTCCGCACACACTTGCCATCGCCCAGGATATGGACTTGCTCGATTGTCACTTTCGGTGCGTAAGACGTGGGAAGAAGGTGTAGCAGCACAACGTCGGACAGGGATACATCTGGAACCTGTCCGCTTCCTTTGGGGATCAAAATTGAAACGGAGGCTGTACAGTGTAGTGTAGCCTTATTGCATTCAAACGATTATAGGCTTGAGGGCGAGTACCCGGATCTTGACCGTTCATGTCGTTCACTTTCGGCGTGCCAACGCCATGCAATATACATATTTGCCAGTCTTTCAACCGTAACGGGGCTGAGACCGCGTTCCGGGTCTGTTGACTCTGTCCGCCCAGCTGTGGTGGCCTATACAGGGCGGGGCATATTGATTGGTTCAGTAGCACCAAGAGCCAAACCCTACATCGGCTAATGGGGCGGCACGATTTAATGCGTCAGCCGCTATTCTTATTGTAGCCCGTGCTAGAGCGGGGGCTACCCACGGGATCTCCTTCAAGACACTAGACTAAGGAACCGGGGCTTCGACAACTGTGATTTTATCACTCTCCTTCTCTGCTTACTCTCTAAATAATTAACAAGAGCCAAGAGCTACACAGCTGAACCTCCCTGTGCGGATATTTCTCGGGCATCCACTCCGTTGTCTCGGTTCTGTCTCGGTTCTCTCTCCGGTCGTGTTCCATAAGAGCTCCTATCTTCAATGCTCCATTCCCTTCTTTTACTGGACGTACGCCTATAGCAGCCAAGAAAATAAGCCTCTCGTCAAGCTCCCAAGTTGGAGATGAAAATTTCCGACGTCGCTGTGCGAGGATAGTGAACCCATGGAAAAAGGACTTTCCTATATCCCTCGGACCTTTCTTTGACGGCGCTAATTTTGGCCCGACATCTGTTTGATCTTGGAGCTTTCGATCGTTTTGCTAGTTCGATCCTGTCTCCAGAAGCTCCCGCTATCGAATATTGTCCTGGCCAAAGCGCGCCCCTCCATCTACTATGGTCGAGTCTGGTAGCTCCACCATGAACAGCAACGACCCTCTCAGTCGCAAGGCAAATGGCAAGCCTCTCGTGAACCGCAAAAGTGCTAGTAGGCAGAAGCGAGGCGTCCTAACATTGACCTTCGGGGCCGTTGCAAGGTACATCTATCTCGGTGTGTCTTCGCTTTAATGAGCTCTGAGCTTCGTGTTCCGGCCGTTTACTCACATGAACAAGTCACGACGCCGCCATTTCACTCTGATAGCAAGATCATAGCTAATTGCCAACTCCCTAGGCTGGCAACATGGGTTGTCATCTTCTCCATCCTCTTCCGATGCCCCTCATCGCTTGAGGCGTGCGATGAAACCGCCCCGCGAGTCTGTAAACCTTACTTCCGTATTAAGGGCGCCGTATTATCCCATATCCTGCCCTACTGCCTTGGATACCTACCGACTCGGACAGCAAAGGATGTGTACCTTTTCAATATCTCGCAGCTTGTCTTTTTAACGGCCGCGATTATTTTTGCCCACCTCTGGCTACGGCGCCGACCCTCGACTACACGGACGTCACATCAACATGATCATGCCTCTGAGAGGCCACCGCCGGCTACGGAGGAGGTGAGTGATGAATTGAGCGACGAAAAGACGAATAAGATTGTTTATACCGATTCAGAGCCCTCGAAATCGAGCACCGTTCGAAGTTCTCTACCCTGATCCAGACAAAGACACTACGCCGGCCGAGGTAGAGTAGGTTCCCCGTTCTCCTGCAACCGTTCTTCGGCGCGAGGTTGCTGAAGACAGATTGTAGCATCATCGCTGTGCACGGTTTCGGCTCGAGTGTCGACTGGTCATGGAACTGGCGAGATAAGACCTCGCCTGGAACGTTGGTGAATTGGCTGAAAGACCCATGCATGCTCCCAGAAGTAGTACCCAAATCAAGGATCATGGTCTATAACTACCAGTCAAGATGGGGCGCCAATGGTCTAAGGATCAAGCTCCAACTTTCTGGGGAGGATCTCGTCCGCAGTTTGCACGCTTTTCGCAAAGGGCTGCAGAACCGTCCAGTAGTCTTTGTTGGACATAGCCTCGGCGGCCTCGTGATCCAGCATGTAAGTTCGGAGACATTCTCACCAGAACATTTGCTGATAACTGCCGTCTTTACTACGCATAGGCTCTCTTATACGCAGAACGTGAAGATCAATTTCGGTATCTTCCTAGATGCACCGATGGGTTTATAGCGCTTGGATCGCCCTTTCAAGGCATCAGGATGCCAGGAGTACGTAATTTCGTGTCGAGGCTGATGTTGCTAGTTGACTCTCTTCGCGGCCTGCTGGATACCTTGGGTTACGATGACCAAATTTTAAAAAATAAACTGAAAGAGTTCTGCGAGCTGCAGAAATCTAGGTCGATTCCGATATGTTGCTTCTTTGAAGCTCACGATACGGACTATGGATCGCGGCTGGGGCTGCCGGGACTCCTTCACGGAATGGTATATATCCACGATGTGGGCTTTGAATCAGTATCTGACTGACAGCCAGGTTGTCACGAAAGAATCCGCCTGTGTCCCCGGCTGGAAGTGTACGCAGGTTGAGACAGATCATCTAAACCTCATCAAATTTTCCGGCCCGTGTGACCAGTCTTTCTTGCGTGTTTCTAAGCAGATCTTGAAGATGTGCAGCGCATCGACGAGCGGGACTGACGATCGGACGAAGAGTAAGTCGACTGCCGCCCCTATTCCAATAATTAAATTTAAAAGTTCCAGTCGCGCCAAATTCTGTCAAGCCCCTCTCTCAGAGGGGAATTTTGCCATCCAGATTCAGAATAAGCCACATGTCAGACTGGACAAGAGGTTTTACCAACCATCTCGACTTTCTTCCGTCGTCCTATTTACTGAGTCCAGAAATATACGAGACTCAAATAGATGAGAGCTCGCTGGATCTTGTTGAAGGTCATTCTCGTGTTTTTCCGGACCCTGAGGCACCTTCAACGCAACAAAACCCGCCTAGGGATGAGAGCGTCCCACGGCCTGCTGGAAAGCCAATCCAGATTTTGCATGATGATAGTAATGCAAATATTGAGTATGTCTTTGTCATAGAATGGCCGCGATATTTCTAACTGTCGTTTTAGCATTGTAGCCGTGCATGGGCTTGCTGCAAACCCGGATTATGCTTGGGTTTGGCAACCAAAGAATAACCCTCCAGGTTGCCCCGGGTATCCAACGAAGCATTTTAACTGGTTGGGGGAGTTGCTGCCCCTTGAGTTGTCGTCGAAACAAGTATCCTGCCGGGTTATGACCTTCAACTACGATTCGAAATGGTTCATGAACGCCCCACAGCAAAGGCTGTCTAATATCTCGGACAAATTGCTAGCCAGTCTCCGGAACATGCGCGATAAGGTATGTATGTGCGACTCCGCATCCCTGCCTTCCTTGCAACAGTATTGTTAAGTGACCGCCTACACTAGCAGGTTACTGGCAGACCGTTGATCTTCATCGGTCACAGCTTTGGGGGCAATATTATTGAACAGGTTCGTAGCTGTCCATTATCTAACTTCCTCGGCTAGTATCAACTTTTGATAGGCGATCGTCTCCGCTTCCCGACATTCCGACTTCGCTGAGATCGGCGAATCTACTGTCGGCGTAGTATTCTTGGGTACACCTCATCGAGGGTGCGCCGCCGCATCCTGGGGTGCGATGATTACATCGCTCGCACCGCCTCAGTTTGATTGTGAAGATAGGATCTTGAAAGACCTAGAAGAGAACTCGAGTGCATTAGCAGATCGTCTGCATGACTTTTCTCGCTGGCTTTTTGTCGAGTCGGTGCCTGTTGTCTGCTTTTTCGAACAGCTCGTGACAGACTTGGCGTCCAGGTTAGGACCTGTAAGAAGGTTAATGTCGTGGCGTGAACTCGTACGTGTTTATGTACCCTTCCATGAGTACTTTTAACGAGCTTTCTAGATCGTACCGGAGAAAACCGCCTGCATCGATGGCCATCACAAGATATCTCTAGAAGCAGACCATTTCAAGATTAACAAATTCTACGGCCCCAACGACCCCTCCTTTAAGCTTGTCTACCCTGAGATCGAACGAATGGCTCGAGGTGCTCAAGGCATGCTTAAACACCGCCGGCATCCGAAAGCTATTCCAAAAGATGAAGGCGCTACGTCTGGTGATCTCCGAGCATGCCTGCAGGAGATGAGAGTGACGAATCCATTAGACATTCTGTCGGACATACGGAGTCAGAAAGGGACAAGAATAGGGCATACCTGCGAGTGGATACTGAAACGAGAAGAATTCTCCGCATGGGGAGCCAACGATAACTCGCGGCTTCTTTGCCTTATTGGCTCCCCTGGCATTGGAAAGACGATGATGTCCACCTTTCTCATAGAGACCCTCCAGGGGAAAATCGAGAAATCTCCTGGTAAAACAATTGCATACTTCCTCTTTGACGACAAGAACCAAGAGCGGAGAACGCCCACGGCAATGCTTCGAAGCCTTATCTGGCAGCTGCTACTGCAAAGGAACGAGCTCTTCCAACATATCCAACCAGACTTTAAGAAACATAAGAACAGTCATCTATATGAGTGCCTCTTTGAGAACCTTTCTGCTCTGTGGCGAATATTCAAAGAAATGCTACAGGATAAGGATACTGGTGAGATATTTATCCTCATAGATGGCTTGGACCAGTGCGACAGATCCGGTCGCCAGGTGCTCCTTCGTCGTATAGCGGAACTCTTCCAAGAATCACCAAAATCAGCAGGCAACTTGAAGTTTCTTGTAACCTGCCGACCTGAAGTAGGCGATACTAAGTACATGCTAGGCGGAATCGGTGTGTCTTTGAGGATGGGTTCTACCGAAGTCAGGGAAGATCTTACCGACTTCATAAATTTCAAAGTCGAGGAGCTCAGCAGGAGAAATAAGTACGGCTCAAGTCTGCGAACAGAGGTCAGAGAGGCTCTGTTAAATCAAGCTGAAGGTACCTTCCTCTGGGTGTCTTTGGTAATCGATGAGCTCGAAAGTACACCAAAGTATGAGGTCGCGAGTAAGCTTTATGATCTTCCCAAGGGACTCGATGGCATATATACGAGGATGTTGGGCAACATTCCGGAAGAAAGGCAAAACGATGTGAAATTTCTGCTATCAAGCATGGTCGCTGCGCGGCGGCCTCTGACAAAAAAAGAACTGGCGGCCTCGTTCGCATTTTGGAAGACCAGTTTAGTAGTGGGCGATCAGGATCTCCATGATTTCATGGATATATTTTCTTTATGCAGCTCTATTATTTGTTTTGACGTTATGGGCAACAACAACGAGTCTGCAACTAACTTCTGCCACCAATCTGCCAGAGATTTCCTACTGAACGACCAAGGTGGTTCTAGCAGAACATGGTATCATATGTCCCTGGATTCCGCGAATCTTCTCATGTTCCAGATATGCTGGCGATATCTTAGTGACTTATTCCCCAATGACAGTTTGGTCACACGCTGCTGGAATGAGATTCCTACCGAAGAAAGGAGGCAGGAGCTGCTATCTCACCTTCGCCGGCACTGCTTCTTCTCATATGCATTTAGCGAGTGGGAAGATCATGCGATAGCAAGTTATCCTGCCATACAAAATGAATTGCCTGTAGACATAGTCAGGGCGCCGATATTACGCGATATTTGGTTACTACGGATGGCTAGAGAAGGACACGGGCACGACGTGGTTATCAAGATGCTGCTCACTAGTGACGGTGTCTATGTGAATCCGAAAGACAAGGATGGTCGGACGCCCCTGTCGTGGGCGGCAGGGAATGGGCACGAGTCAATCGTCAAGATGCTGCTCACCACCAACGAGGTAAATATAAATTCGAAAGATAGCGATGGTCATACGCCGCTGTGGTGGGCTGCTGTGAACGGGCACGAGGCCATTGCCAAGCTGCTGCGCGTGGCAGAAACTGGGTGTTTGGACTTGATAAATGAGGAGCATGGTCGGACCCCAGCAGCGTCGCCTGAGGAATACTGGGGTTCGCTTGTTACACCTGAAAAGACCCCATCGTCTACCTTTGCCAACCTCATTTGCGCCATCTTTAATCATTTCAGCCATACAACTGCCGACATGCTCCAACCTCACGAGCTCTGCGAATTCATGCATGCGGCAGGCTGGTCACCACAAGAATTCCCACCAATTCAAGTGCTTCTGAGTGGGCATCCTGCCCCATGGAATGCTCTACACCAATGCGACGCCTTTATCACGAGTTGTTACAGGTTTTTTCCATTGGATCACCAGATGGGGACGCGTGATCTTGGCGTATCACCTACTATTTAGCGCCACGAGGGCCGCATTCGTCGGCGGGACCAATTTATGCTCGGAGTAGTGCGATCGCTAGTACCAGTAGTACCAGGTGGGATGCCGCTGCTGACACGGCGAGGATTTGAGCAGTACTTTATCTTTATGGCATTAGGGGGTCCCAATGATCTATTTTTCCGCCTTAACCACCTCCTGGGTGCCTTGGCTCCTCATCTCCAAGATCCCAGGACAGGTCGCCCGTTTGAGTCACATATCCCGCGCTCGTGTTTTCCTCCGGCTCCGTGTCCCGGAGAGCAGCAGTGGAGGGTAATGATGGAGACACAGGCGAGGCTGTGGCAAGAACAAAGCCCTGATAGATAGGCTGAATAGCCTCGACAGCATACGGAAGCCGACTATGTGCCATTCAAATCCGGAAACCGTTTTGATAATTCCGATAAGGCCGGTGTTAGATGTTGCTTGAGGTAATCGAGGTCCGTGGTCTGTCGGTAAGGAAGGCAATACCATAGCCGTATATGCCCTTGGTGCTATTTGGTCCCAGATAGTCAGTGTTCGGCGTTCCATTGTTACCTCATATACGTAAACCACGAGATTAAAGTAGAATAATGGCGACAAGGAATTTGGCTGTCCGTGCTGTATGGATTTTCAAGGTCGAAGTTGCCTTCTCTCTGTCAGATTGACTGCTCTGTAGATGCATTGGGAAATGGCTTTAAGGCGGTTATGTAAGCATCGATGTCTGGTAATAAGCAACCAGAGGTCATTCCCGACAATAATTGTTAGTGACACAGGGTGGCTCGTAGGGCTTGAACTGGTACATACCACAATTCTCTAGTGCTGATCTTACGCGATGGGACTCAGTAGTGCGCTCGATAGAAATAGATAAGAATGTTAAACTCCTAAAACGACGCCTCTTGTTACTTGAATTGTAAGTCTTCCCATTTTCCATCTGCCGTACCTAAGAGTTCCCCATCCATGATTCCATGCACATAAGCCTCCCCAACGATCGAATAACACTCTGGTCTATCCACATTCCCTCTCTTAACCACGAAAGGTACACGCCCGCCAGAAAGAAGTGCCACTTCGTCACCTGGTTGGGTAGATGGATGTGCGAGACCCAAGTAACCCCCATTTGTAAGAAACATTCTTCTATGCCAAGAAACATGGTGCATGGTACTTTCATAGAGACCACCATCTTGATCCAAGCCCTCCTTGCCGTGGTGACGATCCTGCAATAAGCGAACGACTGAGTCAATGCCAGGTGTCAAACTCGGGCTCTCCACGGCTGCGCTCTGAGTATCGGCCGAACTCGAAAAATGCTGCTGGAGTTCCTCCCGGGCCTGCAAAGCAAACGCAGCAAACTTGTAAACCCAATCTTCACTGACTGGGTAATGGCTTGTTCCGAGGCCGATATTCCCGATTAGCGTGCGCCAAAAGGCGTCAATCATAGAACCGGACTTTCCATTGATGATCGGGTACACCGCACTGAAATCAACCATGCTCGCCCACTTCTCTAAGGTGTCGTAGACCGACTGCTCTGCTATGGGACATGTCTTGGATATCTTGTCAATTTTGTATGCTGACAATGTCAGGGTATCTGGATCCGATGGCGAATGCTGAACACTGACATCTCGTCCTGCTGCAGCGGCATACAAGGTCAGGGATCCAGGTCGTGGTGGCATGCAGAGAATAGAGGCAACTTGATGTACGCTGTAGTCTGGAACCCAACTTGGAAGTTGATGAATCTGCCGAAACTTCACATCTTCGACACCCGAAAGAATGTCAAGGGAGCCTTGGCGGATGAGGTGAAGAGTGACATCTCGAAAGACTTCGACAACAGACTTTCCATAATCTGGCCTAAGTGCCGGTGGTAGCGCTTCTTTTCTCCCGCTCTCTGCTAGATTTATCAGTGCGAATATCTTGTCCACTGGTTCGGTAGCTTTGAAACGCCGAGTCGATGCAAGCAAAAGATCTAAGCTCTGATGCTCTCCTTCCTGATGTCGCGCACGACAGTTCATCATACCCGTAATAAAGCCTGCTGCACCAGAGACCTTGTAAATCTGGTGGAAGAGCTTGATCCAAGAACTCTCAACGAGGAACGTTGCAGCCCTTCCAACAACGTGAAATGGTAGCATCAACAGTCCGCAGAATATGGCTGGTTTCCGTGATACTGCAACTTCCTGGATGATCCAAGCTCGATGAAACGCGGATCGCGATATGAACTTCATGAGAGACGCCCATATTGGTGCATCATGCTCTGGTAGGCCGACACTCCTCATAAAGATAGGGTTGAGCAGAGCGCTGATCCCAGGGTGAGAATCTCCAGATTCAAGGAGATGAGTCTCCAGACGATCTAGAGATGACAGCAGATCTAAGACTGCCTCTGTATCCTCGTCCGGCTCGCCAACCCAAAAGAGATCCATAGAAGCACGCTGATAGATCTTACACATTTGCCCTATTTGCTGAACGCACTCATCCTTGTCCTCTTGGTTGATGCATATCTGATCAATCCAGATGATGCGCTCGCCGGCTGTTTCACGATAATTCTGGAGGAAATTCCAGAGATTTAGGCTAACGTTGAGGTATTTGTCGTTAATCAGCACAGGCCGGAAAGTCTTGGGCAGAGTCTCCTCGTGCCATGTATAGGATAAGGCAATATATCGGGGAGTTTCTTGCGCAGCAAGATCAGCATCAAACATCCTGCAGCGCAGGATATCTTGCCCCCCATTTGATAGGATCTGTAGTAGGCGGAAGCTGGTGGAGCTGGTGAGACTCTGATATGTTAATGTTGGTGCACCTTGAGGTATGTTAAGAGCTTGAGAGTCCACGCTTGGGAAGATCTCTGATGCGCTTATAGGTTCCCTCCTAGATGTAGACTGAGATGACATAGTGATAGACCTGCTTAAAGACTCTTCTGATTAGTTCTTCCACATGACTATATGATATGTTTATGAAGTTTCAGGTGGGTTCAATGGGTCAACAAGAGCTCTTTCCTTACCGCTGTATAAAGTTAGACATGTTATTAGAAATATAGATTTTCAAGGACATAAACAATAATGCAGAACACTTCCTCTGACAAGGCATAACTTTTCCGCGCATATCTGTAATATGAAGGAGTGAGATGATGCTTTACCCCGCTTTGCGGTGTTGAACTATTTGCTACTCAGCCTTGTGGCTGCAGGCTTATCGGTATCTTTATGAGCTCTTTCTGGCTATTGTATATAAAATAATAAAGTACGTATCTTAGATATTAGTTCTCTTTCTCTAAGTATTACTTTTAACCATTAGCCTTGCATAGAAATATCAGTAATCTCGGGTCGATTTTCGTTTTTCTAGAATAGTAACTATTTAAAGGCGCTATTTTGCCATCTAATCACCTTCTCTACTCCAAAGACACCACCAACTTGCAAAATTTACAGCAAATTCAGTTTATACAATGACTACCAAAGAAGCGACATTCCGGAACTATACCCAAGCACAGGGTGAATCCTACGCCACCGGGCGCCCTGGCTATTCTCCAGAGCTCTTCGAAATCATCCTCAACCATCACACCTCTACTGGCGGCCGCCTTGATACCGTACTAGACGTCGGCTGCGGGACTGATCAAGCTACAAGGGACCTAGCTCCCTTTTTCAGAAATGCCATCGGCATAGATCCATCGGAGGGCATGATCACCTCTGCGCGCGAGACCATCAAGCCATCGGCTTTGTCTATACGTTTCGAAGTATCAGCTGCTGAAGCCCTGCGCATTGATCTGGAACCGCCCATCGCCAATGACAGCGTTGACCTTCTGACTGCTGCCACGGCGGCTCGATGGTTCGATATGACGCAATTCTGGCGTAGCGCTGCGCGAGTTGTGAAGGCTGGAGGTACTGTTGCTCTCTGGGCGAGAACTGGCATGTCTGTGGACCCAGCCAAGACACTCAATGGCGCTGCTATCAAAGCTGCGGTAGAGGAAATACTCAACAGCGAACTACATCAGTATTACAAGCAAGGGAACACACTGACGCGCGATCTCTACGTCGATTTACCACTACCTTGGACGATCGAAACTCCTGTGACAGGGTTTGACAAAAGCGGTTTCATCCGAAAGGAGTGGAGCCATAACACAGAAAGCTCGGAAACCGAGGATCTCTGCACTGGGAAAACTCTGACACCTGAGGAGTTTGAGAAGCTGAGAGGCACAAGCAGTCCGGTGGCAAGGTGGAGGGAAGCGAACCCCAACAAGGCTGGGACAGAAGAGGATGTAGCTCGCAAGGTACGAAGGCGAATCGAGAGTCTTTTGCATGAAGTAGGCGTCGAGTCTGGTGAGGAGTTGTTGAGAGGTCGGACGGAGCTTGTGCTTCTCATGGTTAAGAAGAAGGGAGAAGAAAGAACTTAGTCACCCGAGGTATTCTATGACGCCCAAAGAGATGCATTGCATATATAGGTTTCATTACGTGATTTTCATGTTATCGGGGATTAGATACATAGTTATCTACTGATTGACCGTTCAATGTATCGGCTTAGCTATGCGGAGACACCTGAGCCGTTGCCTTTTTATCATCCGCTGCCCGTCTCCATTTCGCGCCAAACTTCCATTGAATAGCCAAATTCGTCATTGCAACACCCTGCACCGCAACACAGACAGTAAACGCCAATCCGACACCGATAGAGTTGATCATTGGCATAACAAAGCTCGTGCCTCCGGCGGCGAACAGGCATCTGGCGAGGTTTAGGCTGGCGCTGGCGGCGGCGCTACGGTCGTGAAACACATCGACAAGATATGTCATGACTACAGACTGCATGGAAACGGCAGACCAACCCGTGATGAATGTCGACACGATTGGCACAGCGATGTGAACTCGATGCGGATATTGTATGGTCCAGCCAAAGAGCAAGATGGACGCGCATTGAAGCAGGGAAAACAGGGGGACGAGACGGAGGCGTGCTGTCTCCAGAGGGAAGTCATTTTCCTGGGCCTTTCGCGTATTGACAGGTTCAACGTCATCCTCTGTGTTACTGCTCGCAATGCGTGCATCATGCCGAGCCTTGAAACGGCGGTAGTCGAGATTGAGTATCTTGCCGGTAATTAGTGTTCCTACCATGGAGCCTACGCCGTTGGCGATAAATGTCAGGCCGATCTGAGTTTCTGTGAGACCATATTTATCTTCGAAAAGAGTAGACATAGCCGTGATGCTCATCTGCCAAACAGCATAATAGACTGCGAGGAACACGATGATGGGAGCGGCCTGCTTGCTGATAAGGATTCGGAAGGGTCCAGTAACATCGATGTGCTTCTTCGCCGCAGGCAATGTAGAGACTGCGTCGTGATTCCATTTGACTTTGGTCGTCTTCTGATAAACACGTAGAGGGTATCTGGCTATGGCATGCGTAGGTTCTCGGCTCCCATTACCAACGATAGACCTCAGCGTCTCAGGCAAGAGCAAAACCAAGAAAATCAAGAAAACACCGCTGTAGATGGTTAACAGCCAAAAGATGGATCTCCAACCAAGAGATCCAGCCAGCGCACCGCCGATGATAGGTCCCACTGCCACGGGCACCAGCAGCCCTGCCTGAAATATACCCATGAGACCACCACGATTATCTCGGGTTGTAATATCACCGATAACGCCTGAGCCTATAGCAATTGTACTAGCACTACCAGTGCTCTGAACACATCTCAGCACAACCATGGTCGCGTAGTTCTTAGCTTCTGCCAGGCCGATACATGCTCCCAGGAAGACAATGAAGGTGAGTGAGTATGCGAGTCGGCGCCCCTTGACATCTGATACTGGGCCCCAGAGACTGGGAGCTAGCCCTTGGAAGATAAGGTATGAAGTCACAGTGAGATTGATCAATTCAATCGAGACATCGAGGTCGTGGGCGATAGTTGGGAGGGCGGGGAAATAAATGTTTGACGCGAAACCCGAGACTATAATTTTATTAACAAGAGAGGTTCAAGTTGAGGATCATATGGGAACAGACATGTTGCCGCGATGGAGACAATTGTTACGATCAAGGCAGTTTGACGTTCGTCGAAGATGCTGTACGGCTCCGGGGCCGCTACAGGCTCAGGTGTCGCTGGTGATTCTGTGCTACTCATTATTTAAGATGCTCAATACAATAATATAGCGATGGTATTCATCTGCAATTGGGAGCTCGATGTAAGTGAAGTCGGAGACATTGGTTTTATAGCGTTGACTACTCGAGCTCATGACGCAAGTACAAGGGCTCCTGAGTTCGGAGTTGATGTTTTACAATAGTGGGGACGTGGTGTACACAGCTCCGAAGTACGACGCCGGTGAAGTAGGACACATAACTCATACTGCGTGAAAGTAGCGGATTTGAGACCTGGCTCCTAAATCGTTTCTATTAGTAAGTAATCCGCTTGTCCAATTTATATTGACCAGACTTCTATTACTACGCTTTTGACCTTGGTCCTTAATCCAGCTCTAAACTTAATAGGTAAGACGCGTGACTGGATATCTTGAACATAATACTGCAACTTGCCTACCCTGAACTTAACAGTCCTTACAAATTGCAGATAGCTAGAATCTGCTTCTTGCCTTACATAGTTGGTACTAGTCTGATTTGGGCTCATACTTGGTACTTGCCTTACACAGAAAGGAGCCAGTGTAAGAAAATAAAAGTACAATAACTGCCAGACGGTTGGTGGGCCAAGTTTCTTGTAGCATTAGCTAAGACGAGTTATTCCCTTATTTATCTAGTTTATGTTGAACTTTATGCACGTCTCATAAGAGAGTCCAGATGCAACCCCATATTAATAGAGGCTTGGTGGCGATGTCTATAACCCTACACTTTGATAGGGTAGAGAATTTGTATATACCCCGCAGCACAAGGTAGGGCATGCAATAAGCAGCCATGCCCATCTGTGAGATAACACGGTGGGTAGCTATACTCAAGTTAGTAGTGTAGATATACAAGGCAAAGCGTGCAGTCTACGTAAGCTCGTATACGCTAATGAAGCTACCAAATTAGCATCTAACGTTTACACCCTGAGCAAGCAGTCATTGTGTAGATAATCCACAAAACGGGCTCATCAATTTCCCGGTTATATCTCTGGAATGGTCATGGTTCAGCTCTCACTTTGATATCCAATGCTTGTGACCAGACAGCCTAATCTAGGTATCTACGTAGTTCTCAACCCCTCACGCACGAATAAAGCGGCTGATCGGCTGGCGGAAGGAATGCCGGGCTGCCGTGGCTAGCTCCCCGGAGAGACTTTCAGCCAGCCATATCCCCACACATAAATGTGTAGGCTGGCTGAGACAAAGTTCAGCTCATCTGTGTGTTTTATTCGTGCAACACCGCTCTGACCCTTTTGTGCGCAAGTCTAGACCGCAATGGTGGTTGGCGTTCTCAATCTTGCTCCTTATATATAGCCCTATCGTCGCTCTGCTCGTATTTCCTTCCGTAAATTATACAATCCGATCCTAAGACATTTCTCTCCTAACTCTTAGGCTGCTTTAAATCCATTGAACTTCCAGAACAATCACACACAATCATTTAGTCTTGACAAGATGTCTTCCGAAACATCAGTCAGTCCCCTTATATTCCGCTGGTTAGAACTGAACGCTTACGCATCAGCAGACAAAACCTACTATTTACATGATCCGACATGGAGAGAAGCCCGATGAAGTCCATGGAAAGGAACCAGATGGATTATCTGCTCAAGGCCTAAAGCGCGCAAATGATCTCCCTACCGTGTTTGGACAGAATTCGTCCTATAATATTGGATACATCATGGCAGAGCATCCTCACCACGGTTAGTGCCTCCGATTATATCTTCCCTTGGCAACGTTCTAATTGAAGTAGGCGGCGGTCGTCAGCGCCCCTATGATACTGTGAAGCCATTGGCAGATGCGCTCGGGTTAAAGGTCCACAAAAAGATTGAAAGGGATGATTACGCCGGAGCTGCAAGCGAAGCTTTGTCCTTTGAGGGTCCAGGAAATGTACTGCTTTGCTGGGAGCATCACTCTCTTGAAGGTATTGCCAAGGCGATTGGTATCCAGGGCTACGCAGCAGCGACTGGGTGGACTGGCGAGGTGAAGTATCCCGGCGATAGGTTTGATCTGATTTGGGTTGTACCACCGCCGTATACAGAGATCACCGTGGTAGGAAGTGAGCAGGTTCCTGACTTGGATGATGGAGTCCACGTCAACGCCAATGGAGATGTTTCCCCTCCTTTGGCTAACTGAGTTAATTATAGCACTATTAAAGGTTCCCTCTAAAGCGAGCTATTTCTAATTTGACTTTTATATAAGGCTCCCAGCATAATTTACTGGCTCAAGTAAAGACAGACACATCACGGTCACTTGCCAACCCAGCCTTGGTATATCTGCTACTTCATCCGCAGCAGTCATAGAATTAGCCAACTCATTTGAATACGGCCAACTCGTTCCGGACCATGATGTATCTCAGTACCTCGGCATCACCAGCTCTACAACCCGACCTCTTATGTGATGCCAGTCTTTAAACACCACCATGGCTTGCTTCGCCATCATCTCCACTTAGGTCTCATGATTATGAAGGTCAGCTACAGCTTTGAAAGTCCACGGTTGAACAAAGATATTGTATTATGCTTTCCGCCCAGGCACTTCCGTAACTCGCCCCTGCGTATCTAGCAACCTGTCGAGCAGCGGAATTCTTGTAATGCATACTACGGATCTGCGAAACAGTCGGTATAAACTCTACCTGTGAGCATGTAATGTGGGTGCGGCCTGACTTTGTGGCAGCCTAATTGAGGCGACACCGCAATCGGTGCCAGCGTCTTCCCAGGCGTTGCTGGACGATAGCTATCTCTATTTCATAGCTGATCTCACCAGCTTGGAAGGTTTGAGAGGCGAGACTCCTCTGTGGCCTGGCGTTCAAAACGCATAAATCAAATCAGGTATCAGAGAATGAGCCGAGGTTTGGAATCGTCATCTATGAGCTGTACGCATTCGTAGTCTCCCTGGTAACTAGTGAAGCGTAGCTAATCATCATTTGCTTGAGTCAAAGAGTACCGGCATAGCCACTGCTTGCCCAAGTCCCCTAAATAGCAGGCGATTAAGGCTAGCTAAAAGTAAGGCTTAATAGCAGGCGATTAAGGCTAGCTAAAAGTAAGGCTTTTTAGCTAGTATATATATAGCTAGGTTTAGGCTATAATTAAGGCAGCTAATTATAATACTATTAACTTAATAAAGCTTTACCTCCTAAGAGGTAATAAATATTTAAACTATATTAGATTTTAGAGATACTTAGATATACCTTTTAAGGCTAACTTGTAAACTTAAAAAAAAAAAAATACTATTATTAAAATATTAATCTACCTAAATATATAGCTAGCTCTTAACTAGAATTTTAAGGTAACCCCTAGTTAAAGTTAAATCTATTCTATACTAATCGATTTTTTAAAATTATTAATTAATTTTAGACTACAGGACTAGCACGGGTACCCGTCCGCCTATTAACCGCCAGGATAACCCAGCAATGTCCACGGGCCAGATTTATTATATTTATTCGAATTACCACCATGACTGCGCACAGTAGTAGTAGTGGGCCACTCGCTTATCCGGGTCGCTCGCTCATCATGTATGTTACAATTGATGTTGTTATAAAGTGCTAGGGAACTCGATATTTAAAGTAATATAAACTCATCGGGGTCCTCTTCCCACCATCTAACCTTGACTTCAGGATACTGCCTCGGATCTTTACCAAAAATATCCCGTGGCGAGTTTCCATACATCCACCCATGTAGATAGCACTGAGAGATTCGCTTATACTCATTCCCATTCTCCTCCACTTTATGTAAGATATACGGGACCTACGATCCATGTAAGATAACCACCAAATCACCGAGCATACGTACATCCGCTGCCATTCCCGATTTGGAAATGGTCGGTCGTAAAGATGCATTTGTGTTCTGCCACAAGAACCAAGTCTTCGAGCATATCATAACACTCAACAAGACGTTGCTCGTCAGTGCTAAGGGTTCTTCCGCGCTTTCTCAAGTCGCGAGGCTTCTCCTGCGCCCTAACAGCATCGAGATACTTGTCGATTGCGCGGAGTGGTTGCTCCGCTCCTAAGGCACCATCCGCCAGAAAGGTTGTCATAAGATCCGGGACTATGAGTCTCGCCTTGATGGGACGGTAGTCTCCAAATAGCCGGTCGAATCGAGAAAAGACCATAGATGTTTGCACCTTCTGTACCGTCCAGTCAAACGCCAGGAAATGTGACACGATGTGTTTCCACCGCATAAAATGGCCGAAATAAGCATGGATCTGCTCGACGGTGTTTATAATCTTTCCACATGGACGGCAGTTTCCAGCCGAAGCAATTGGAGGAGGCTCAAAGCGCCAGTGGGTCTGCTGGAAACAGGGTTTACACAAGAAGCACAACGTGACAAGCGTATGTATCAGCATGACAGCACATACCTTAACATGAACCCCAAGCTCCCAATTGTGAGAGTATTATAACTTAGGCTTCTCCGTTTCTGTAAGCCCCTTTTTATCTCTTCTTTTTTTCCTAGCGATATAGTTAGTTAGAAGAAAACCCCTAGGCAAAGTAGCTTTAGATGGTTGATATTACCTAACCATTACCCCAAGTGCGGTAACATGCTTTGCTCGGCTTGTAAATTTATCGTTTGACCGTCGTGTCATCATTTGTAATGATAGCCTTTGAGGCTTCAACTTGATTTGGACAGTCTTTTAAACTGCGAGCTTGAACTGCTGTTCAGTCTCTCAAGGTTCAGACCGTAGTTTGTGGGTATCCAATTGGTGGGTGGATGGCCTGAGGTTGGGTAGTTCTACATATGCCGCGTGTTTCAGAAATATAAGATATGCAACTGTGAGGCTATTATCGTGTTACGCAGCTAAGGTATGAGACTTCTCGCTCACACCCATTCACATGCATTTGGAGAGAAAGTTAGTTATTCCATGGGGAACGAAGGGCCCCAGTCTCAGCCACAGCCACAGACCAACCTCAACCAGCCCAAAGGTCCAATCGTAGCTCAGCCCGCTGAGTAGAGTCGCAGCCTTATCCGAGTCCCAGCGGAGCACCAAGATCTGGCAGAGTCTCTCACCAACTATACCCTACATGAGGTCACCTGAAAGTCACTAGGTCACAGAAGTATACATCCACTGTATTGTTCCTGCGGTTCCTTCGGTAGGTCGAGAGCACCGCGAATAAAAATTCCAAAGCATAACCAAAGTAGGCGACTGCGCAATGAAGCGTCTTAGTTAGTTGATCCCGAATACAACAAAAAGGTCCGCTGCTTTGCAATCGGTGTCTGACGTGTATGTTTATAAATGGCCTCCTGTCTAAGATAGAGTGACATATCCTGACCATCTAAGCTGTGCCTTAAGGGATAAACTGACAAGAGGTCTTATGCCTTGAGGAACGAAAGGACTTTTGCGCCACCCGCTTACCCTGAGAGGATTAATCAGGGTATCCTGCGTTATTAAGGCAAGCGCATACATATTCTCATGAGGTATTCTAGGCTGGTTACCTCGTATTAATTGTCAAAAATGAGGCAGGGTGGTGTTAATATATTAAGCTCGGGAGCAAAAGGCCTAGGCTCGCAATGGACCATTTAGCTACTGAAGGCCTCAACCTGAGCCATCGCCATAATTAGTAAGTCGCTGACGTTCTTCACTCCTGATGGCAAGGCAGCGTCACTAAATTCTATTCTAACACACTTTCATGCTGTGCTGTTGGCTATTGGTAAACTCGCGATAAAGAGCACATAACAGTGTCTCCACTATCCTATCTCTTTCGGTGGCAAAGCCCAAGAATTCCGTACCGACAAGGGCGTAGGACCAATCAAAATAAAGGGAGTTGAAGGCACTTCCACACACACCTATTTTGGCATGTACTAGAAGTACCAGCAGCTCGGATCATTACAAATAGCTACATCACAGACTTGGCAGCCGTATTCGGTCTGTTTACCCCTTCCATGATGACTGGTGCGGCCTGCATTCCTCGAGACCTCATCGAGATAGCTTCCTTTTTCTGACCTTTAATGGCCTGCATTCCCCCTGCCTGAAGCCCTGACAAGCTAGGCAATCGGATTTGATGCCTCTCCAGGCCCAGTTGATCTCTCTTTATATGTATTTTTGGTATGTTTCTGGATCCTCGATGTCCTCTTCTTCCCTGACCTATTCCTCTTCCTTGCCCAACTTTCTTCAGCGTAGGCAATAAAAATCGTATTATAAATGCATTTCTTCCAGTCTTTGAGCGTTATATAGGGCTTCTAGTTAGGGGAAGTCGTCTTAAGCTGTAAGATAAATCTATTTATAAGTATAATATCAAGGGCTCTAATAGGGTCAGTTGTAGGGACTCAATCCAATCATAAATGCCATCCCCTAGGCGAGAAACAAGCTTTCTTAACCCAGTTACCAAGGTTTCATTAGAGGATGAAATTTCTTTCCTTTCTTTTCTCGACTTTGGGGAGCAGAAACCTGGGCAGTGTCAGCATAACTGAAAGTTAAAATTGTCGATACTCGATCAATTTAGGTGCCAGCATTTCCTAAAAGTTTTTGTCAACGGCCTTATCTCTGCTTCCATGAATCGGGACAACCAACGATGTTGAATTTCTTGTCGTAGAGGATGATAGAGGCGCAGTGTTGCTGCCGTGAATATGGTCGTTCCGTGTCGCTACGGAGCCGAGATATGTTTATAAAGTGGATAGCGTAGTCAATGGCGCGAGGCTCGTATTGAGGATCAAAGAGGCTGATCTTCCGGCCCGCTAGGCATGTGATTATTGCAGACAGTGGGGTCTAATAGCAGCCACGGTGTGGTGGAGGGACGAGATAATTTACGAAATAGACATGTGGGGGATTCTATCTCGTTGATTCCTAGTGGTCACTCCTACGGGGGCCCATCAAGTAGGAAAGGGGGTTTTTGACTTGGAAAGAAAAATACTTAATAGCCCTTGCATTTTGTAGGAGGATAAGGTACCTTTCTGGCAATTCTTTTGAAAATTGGAGACGTGATACGGGGAAGAAAGATATCTCAGCCAACGCAGTATTCCTGTGGAGACATAGGTTTTATCTTCCCAGTTAAGGGCCCTACTTAATAGGCTCCCGTGGTCGCTGCGCTCCCATCGGGAATAAACGAGATAAATCCTACACAAGTGCTTAACCCAGCCAGATAAAGCGCGAGAGCCTGACCCGTCTCCTTCTTGTTTTTCTAGAGGGGCCAATGGGCGCCTAAAAATATCACTGTATTACCGCGGTCACCAAATCACGCTCTGGCAAGCTAACAGGTTCATCGACCTTCGCAGCATACCAGCAACACCATGAGTTCCAACGGTGCTACAAATGCTCCTGCTGGGGTCAGCAATACTGAGCTCATCATCGCATGCGTCGCTCTGGTTGTGTCAGGCTTTGCTCTCGTCATAGCATTGCTTCAGGCACTTCAGCAATACTATGCTTCCGCAACCGGTTACGCCTCGTGTAAGGAATTAGTGATGGGTAAATGGTCCAAATTTACCCACCGCCGATTGCGGCTGTTTGAATTTCGTTTTGAAGTCGAGTTCCAGACTCCAGTAATTTTCGTTTCAGCTCCAAGCAACAAAAGGGGCCCCCTAGGTCCTCATAGGGAGAAACAAAAGCAAAGTATTCTGAGATGTTTGAAACGCTTTGTATGGTCCAGGTTTCAGCTCCAGGATGAACCTCAGGAAGTCAGTCGCCACGAGATCACATACATGGTCGGGACATGGGAGAGCTATCAGAAGACTTATACGTGGAGTCAAGATATGTATGACGAACGAATTAGGAGCCTCAAGGCTGGGGAGACTCGTCAGGCCATTCGTACAGCCGATAACGAGCTTGCAACATGGCTCGCGCTGCTCATGGCGTTGCAGCGAATGGAGAAGGAATCTAGACAATGGCAGGCAGAAGAGTTTTTCGGCTATAATGTCTCCAATAACGAGTGGTGCAACAGGGCTTCCCATACCCCACTCCTGGACAACTTTGACAGAAACGACGCGAATAACCTACATACTCTCACCGTGGGTATGCAGAAGAAGAAGAAATCGTGGGACACCATGCCAGAGCACATGAAGAAGCCTTACGCCACTTCAACCATTTGCCATATAGTTGAGATCATCGCTATGCTTGGCATTCACTGGAGGGTCTTCAACCGAAATGAAAACCGGTATCGTGCACAGGGCAATGGCTTTCTCGTTACTGGTGCTAATGTTGACGACCTCGGTATAGTTTTTTCTTCCCATAAAATGGGCGAAACTTGGTTCAAGGAGAACCGTATCATCCCAAACGAGAACGTTAAGGAACTGTGCTTTGGATACTGCCCTACTATTTTCCGCCTGAGAAATTTCAAAATGTACGCCGATGAGCCGAAAGACCTCGGAACTCTTCAACTCGCAAGTCTCGCTGCAATGGCAGAAACTTTAAAGACTATTGGCTGCAATACTAGGACAGTCAAATACTTTTCGAAACCATCCGTGAACACCCGGTATAGCCATCTTTTCCCAGGTACGTCAATAAGCTTCTTAGTCTTACACAAATGCTTCAGGCTCACTTACCCTCAGTGGCTTTTGAGATGCTCGGGATGGTTGGTATCGTGCTACAAATAAAGAACACTGCTTTCCGCATGCTACCCAACCCTACGATCCATCACTGGGATCGAAAATTTTTCTCCGTCCGGACCCTGTTGGTCACCTACAAGTCTGTTCTAGAGGAGGCTGCCAATTATCAAATGCAAGAAGCTCCAGTCGAGACCCAGAGCCACGCAATGTTCAACAACAATGATCAGATCAGCATGATCATAAGCGAAGCTGGTAAGGTTGAGCAGAGTTTTTGTGCGTCCGAGAAGGCGATCAGAGTTTCCCAACAGCAGCATAACCAGGAACAGGAGCAAGATCAGTTTACGACATACTTCCTACCTGGACAAAGAACGGAAGAGCCAAAATTATACTGCAGGGCTGTCATAACGTCACTACACGCCGCAATCGAGAAATGCGACATGTTTCTCAGAGTACCTAGAGAAAGACGTCTAGTTCAGTTCGTCTTGCGAATACACCTTCAGGAGGTCTTGGGCATGTTCAATTCACAAAATACCGATCAAGAGTCCGCTGAAGGCTGTTCTGAAACTGAAGTTGAGAAGGAGGAATTGCTCAGATCCTCCGACCAGCCACCGAAAGTCCATCGAATCAACAAACAGCAAATGGCCCATAAGTATCGCAAAGTGATGTTTCATAAACTTCAACGACTTGACCCAGCATCCTATGGAGAAAGGCATGCTGTTTTGATAGATATGTACATTTCTTGGGTACGTGAGAACGTCATTTGGAAGATATGCAGCGAGCTTGATCGACAACGGAAGCGTCAAAATCACCAGAACGAGCCACAAAGAATCCAGCGCACTGGGACCTTATTTGGAGCTCGTCTGGCTGGCGATGGGGACGAACTGGACGATGATGGAGTGGACACTGAGGGTTGCTGGGAGTCCAAGGCGAAGCAGGAGATTAGTGATGTCTGGTGTGTACTTATCTTTCGCATGATATGCTGGTTACTCCTCCACGATTTCCATAAGCTTGATGTTCAGATCGACAAGGATGGGCTTTTTGGAAGTCGCTTACCAGTGTATATTGCTTAAATTGGGAACCAATCGCTTCTTCATCCTGCTTACCCGCAATGTTCCAGTTATATGAGATTCGTCAGTAATAAAACGTTTGACGAAAACTACAAAATGTCCAGTTAGCCATAGGAGATGGCAGACTGGAGGACACTATCATTGCGCTAAGGGCATGGAAGCCAATCTTGGATCTGCACATCATCTTAACTTTAACTCACCTGACTTCGGGGAATTCCATCCACACTGTCAACTTCTCGTATTCTATTGCCGCATCACATGCATGGATAAACATCTAAGGTTAAATGTTGACAAGGTTCGTCCAGACAGTCATGCGAATGAATTTTCCCCAAGAGTCGAAGCAAGAGGATTTGAAACATGTGGAAGACTCTTGTGTATCCTTCGAGCTCCTACGGGCCAATAGTTGTCATCGATGGCGGCTTGTGTATCGCGGCGATCCTCACTAATGACTACGTGGAATAGTAATGGGTTGCATTGGTGCTGTTCTAGATTGGTCCTACAGTCTCATTGGACTGAACCTACCTAACTAGTCGACTTGCGGAGACTCCCCAAGTCGCCATGGTATGCTGTACGACGACTTTGCAGATTCCTCGACGAACAGCCATTGGAGCCAAGATAGGGTAACACGTCACGCTGAGGTGGAAGCCTGCTCTTGGAAGAAAGCCACCACGATAGTGCGTGCCATCGCAGCCATTGCAAGTTGATGAGCGACATAAAAGCATGGGACATCGGCTGAGAACTTACGTGATGGCACGGCAGCCGTCTACGTTGCCTTGTGTTGCAGCTGAATCCTCATACGGGAGGTTTCGTCTGCCCATCCCCACCTGTTGTCCGGCCATAGTTCCGTATCGATCAATCGATTCTGATGGAACGCTATATCGCCATCGCTATCGACCTGCACCTTAGTCTATTATCATTATTAAGGAGCGCCTATGTTTCCAGTAGCTCCTCTGTCACGTCATTAAACACCACACTTCTTTTTGTTGGAACTCTTGTGATACAGAATACGCTATACAACTGTAGTTCATATACTGGATGTATATATAAGGTTTACCCCGCCTATAGTCCCAAATCAAGTCGTCAACCTCCATCTCAAAAGTGCAACACGTTCCCGCGTATCGTCCTTTCTGAGAACCTGTTCGTCTATCATTCCTCCATTAGATTTTTCGGTTCTTAACACCTGCATACCCCTTGGGAAAGGTCAGGGTGCGTGATAACTACCTACCTACCTCAGTACAATACAATACAATACAATACCATTTATTACGCCCGGCGGCCTATCTCAGTACAGTATAATACTATACTGTAGTTCTTGCTGAAGCGGTGATCGCAACAACGCAAGGTCCCATGAAAAGCTCCCGCCGCTGTTAGCACCGTAATCGAAAGCGAAATCAAAATCAGAAGTAATCCGATCATGTTCGGTTGGGCTTTCGCCATCCTGAGGCGCATAAAGATAGAAGAAAAACTAGACTGGCTTTTTCTTAGCATCCGTAACAGCTTGGGCTTTGGTAGGTATAGCTCTTGTCCAGCCAATCCACCAGACAGCGTGAGATCTGACCGCATATCCTTTAGCTCCGGGACGCAAGCGAGTAGACCAAGGCTCGCCTTCTACACCTGAAAGGGAAATTCAAAATCCAGCCGTAAGCGCCAAGGGTCAAGAAAGTCAAAATCTCGCCCAAGATGCCGAAAATCAAGTAGTGGCAGGGATAGCTAAAGGTATTAACCTTGCTTTCCCAGAAACACATGGAAATGATCCCTCCAAAGATGAAAGCAAGCTGCTAGATCGCGAAGAAACTCACAAGCTTCGCGAACATATGATTAAAGGCGTTGAAGCGCTAGCGAATCGTATAGCTCCAGCCTCGAAACGAGCCGAAATACATCGGCCTAGTACCGCAACTGTTGCAGCTGTTGAAGACTATGATGTCTCTGTGCCGGAATATATTATATCCTCACTGAAGGTTGCGCTGCCGAACCACGATATGAGTTTCTTAAACTCAAACCAGGAAGGTTTGGGAATGGGCGACGAGGTGGTCGGTCGCGCGCAGTCGGACAAGCTCAGTGATCACAAGAACCCCCAATCTGACGAACATGGCGGTCATCAAACGGTTGAGACGTCGTCTTTTCCTTCAGTACTACCTACCCCGATGCAAGACAATCTGAACCATATGCTCAGCAATTACAGAACTTGGAACCAACAAATCTATCCAGAGCTCCCACTTGACCAGAAGTCAATCCGTCTGGTGGAAATACTTCCTGGAACTTCGAACGAAATTGAGCTCAACCTTATCAAGGTCTCTTTGGATGAAATCCGGGATGCATATGAAGCACTGTCATATGTGTGGGGCTTGCCAGATCCAGCAAAAACTGTCCGACTTAATGGCCTGAATGTGACAGTCAACCCCAATCTCTTTGATGCCCTTCTATCTTTGCGCCAAACGGATGTTAAAAGACGAATATGGATTGATGCCATTTGCATCAATCAAAAAAACTTGAGAGAACGCTCAATAGAGGTTAGAAAAATGGGCGAGATCTATCGTCTAGCGAAAGCCGTTGTCGTCTTCCTCGGAACCTCGGGATCGGCTGCACGAGGCTCTCCAGTCAACGATGTTTTCAGCTTTCTTCGCAGACGCGCTCGTGAGACAACAGCATACGTATCAAATCGCCAGGATGATGAGGTTACGGATTGCTTGGAGGAGTTATGCCGAGAGTATGGTCTAGACAAGTGGAGAGTTTGCAGAGGCTTCCTCGAGATGTGTGCCCAACGATGGTGGAGCCGCGTTTGGACAAGGCAAGAGTTTTATCTCGCATCAGACGAGCCCATATGGTACTGGGGCAGTGATTCGATTAGCAATGCGGTACTCAAACAAGAGTTCAAGCTACTAGTCAACTTATTATTGCCTCTCCTAGCCAAGCTTGATGCTCCAGAAGGCTTCCAGTCTGAAGTCGCCAAGGTCATGGGTAAACCACACGCTGCCTTCAAGAAGGACGTCGAACACATCTTCGACTTGATTTCTCGTCGACTCAAGACCAACGGCTACGATGCACCACGCCGTTTGTATGGTGAGCTTTCCGCTCATGCTACGGATTCACGAGATCTGGTCTATGGCCTACGTGAGATCTTTGATCCCGTCTTTCGTAGGGTATTCGTACCTGACTACTTCATGCGCCCTGAGCTCCTGTTTGCTTGTCTGGCCGTTTTCCTGATACAATATGAGTGCTGGGCAGATGTTCTTTGGTGGTATCCCTACCGATACGCAAGTGTGGAGGATCATCTGCCAACCTGGCTGCCAGATTTCTCGAGGCGGGCTGATTTGAGTTACCTGGAACCTGTTCCCATGAAACTCCAGGTCGACGAAACGCCATACCCGAAGATGATAATCCTAAACCATCGCTTGCATGCAGAAGGCTATGTTTTGGATACCATGTATGGTCACCGTCACTTAGACAAGAGCGATGGCCATAAGATACTAAAAGAGCTTTGGCAGTTTGATCACATCTTAAATGCCAACCTTCTGTGCCATCGTTATATCCTTATGGATGAGGATAAAGACGATGCATCATTGAGTATCTTCCTGCGAATGTGCAAAGACTCCCTTATCGACCGTGATCGTGCTCTGGTCTCCGCTTCCAAAGGCGCTATACTTCGTTCGACCACGAAGTCAGAAGAGGAAAAGAATCTCCCACTTGATGTTGCTGAATGTCTACCATATTTTGATATTCTCATGTGGCATTGTCTCGGACATGACGAGTTAGGAATCTCTAAAGTACTTGCTGGCGATGATACTCGTTCATCTAAGCTGTTCCGAAACCTGTTCCGCCCAAAGATGAGTAACACGTTCTGCAAGACAATGGCCAGCTTTTTCATTGGCGCTTGCATTTTTGATTGGGATCATCTTAGTAGCTTGCTTGATCGCTTCCCAGGCGCGCCAATGTGGTCGCAGACTAACAACGACTACTGGTTCAACACAGTGGGCGCCGATGATGCACACCGCGCAGCAGTTACTGCTAGTGCTGTCGGATCTTACATCACTCACATTCTCCATGTCATCATACAAACGAACTGGGGAGCTTCTTGGCACTACCAGACATTTTGCACGCTCATCCTTCTCGACTGTGACAGTCACGCAAGTATAGCGCCCTTGGTGACGAAGTTGCGAGATGCAGCCGTGAAACTGAGAGAGATAGCTTTTAGGCCGCAAATGGAGCGGCAATTGCAGGAGTTGGCAAGCAAGAACGAAAGTGTCGAAACCAGGTTACGCAATTACGATGCAGTTGTCGAAAGATTCAAAGGAAGATTCCTCATTTGGACGGATGACGGGTTTCGCGGTGTGACGGCACCTGGTGTTGAGTATTGTTGCAACACTAAACCTATTGTTTTGATGTTGGATGGTCTGTCATTTCCAGTGATTGTGCGCGATTTCCATGCGAAAACGGGTGAAGGTCGGCTAGTTGGCTGTGCGATCATTCAAGGAGTGGATATGTTATGCAAAGAAGTTAAGCAGGTAAGGCTGCCCGAAGATTTCGTCCTTGGGAAAAAGGAGATATTTAAATTTAGATAATGCACATGATAAGCGAGTGGCACAGACAAGCCGGTGGCACAAAATACTATATAGCTAAAAGTGACTTACCCTATAGCACTTCTTTCCTTAGGTAAAATAGCTAAAAAATATTTAATAAATATTTTCCATAATAATATAATTAATTCTATGTATTTTTTAATCCGACGGGATGTCTGGCATCTGGAGTTCCAGTGTCTCAACCTCGATCCTGTTGGAGGAAATATAACCTTCTAACCTAGGTCTCGGGCCCATCAAGCTACGAAGTTGGATCGATCAGTCTATATAAAGTCCGAGGCTAGTGTCGACAAGAAGATGCCTTTCAATGTTAAGAAACATAGGCTAATTAATCTTGAAAGATAACCGCATTCTCAGAAACTCCAAATTACACTATTGCTCCTTTTCGTGTCATCATGACTTCTCCCCTGCCCCCTCTCCGCCGCATTGTCACAGGCCATAACGATGCAGGCCCGGCGACTGTCAAGTATGACGACAAAGCCACTGCCAAAATCGTGCCCCACGACGCTGCTTTGAGGAGCTTGTGGATCACTGACTCCTCTCCTGCCGATCTCTCATCTCCAGGCGACAATGCCGATGCCGAGGTTGGAATCATCAACAATGGTTCTATCTTTCGAATTGTGGATTTCCCACCCAGGAGCTCTGGACATATGCACCGCACGATTTCTATAGACTACGTCATCGTCCAGAAAGGCGCAGTCGTTCTTGCCCTCGACGATGGAAGCAAAACACTGGTGGGCGGGGGAGACGTCGTTGTGCAGCAAGGAACTATGCATGGATGGGATAATCCTACCGATGAATGGGCTCGCTTACTGGTGATTTTGCTGCCGGCAAAAGCGCCCGTGGTTGCTGGAAAGGCACTGCAGAGAGATGTTTCGTCCCTGGGCGTGTAGGTAGCCTAACATGCACGGCGTCATAAAGACCTTCCTCGTTGTGACCCTATCAGGGTTGCAGGTCCCCTTCGGGCCCTGGAATGGAATACAGCAGGGATCGGTATAGCTAGTATTCAGACCACTGTTTTTAGATGGGCACATAGGACTATGACCTGTTCTGATAAGGGACCGTCAGGTATATCTGGTTTAATGACATCCCATATTTCCTGATTCCCGAAAGGCCCTTAGCTCCCCTCCCATTGGCATCGGATGAACATATTACAGCCATGATATATCTAGGAAAGATCTGAGAGCGACACGGTACACGGCGCCCAGTAACACTGCGGACTACGCTCCGACCAGTAAGTCCCGGCTAGACACGGACTCGCGGACTCACGGACTGGTATAACCCCGCGCCTTTTAATATAAGGTAGCTTTGCTTGATCTAGATTCGCTGCGTGAAGGGGGGAAGGTAAGCATATTCGAAAGCTCGGCGCAGACGTTCTAACCGAATGAGGAGACATGTCGCGATCGGTGACGAGCCTTAGACCTTGCCTTTTCCAGTAAGCACACGTGAAGCTCCTGGATATCATTATCGAACTATAAGTAGGACACTTCCTTTCATTAAGGAGAAGCAAATAACAGAATCCACAAAGATAGTCGCCAACAGCCTACACATCGTCCCCTCCAAGCTATATATCTACTAAAACAAATATCAGTCGCAGCCAGTCCAGCAACCATGCCAATCAAATCAATCAACATCTCGGTTGGAAGCTATGAAACTAAAGAGACCATGGTCTCTCTTATCCAGCGCGATATTAACTTCTTTTCCTACACCAACCCTGAAGAACGCCTCGCCGCTATCAAAGAGATATTCGCTCCGGACATCGTCTGGTTCGACTTTGACGGCTCTACACACCACGGCCATGATGGCTTGCTTATCCGATCATCTATTCTACTGGATCAGTTGAAGGGGTACTCGCATCGAGCTAATGGAGGAGCCAGTGTATGCCAGAATATGGCCACTGCACGTTGGGAGGTTGTCCCGGAGGGTAGTGAGGCAGATTATGAGCAGATACCGGCCATTCAGGGTGGTGACGTGCTTGTCGTGGAGGATGGGAAAATCAAGATCTTGTGGTCGTATGTCGATAGATATGATGAGGTTCTGTTCCCTTTTTTGGGACAGTGAGTTTGACTGAGTCTAGGATGTTGCTCTAATATAGTTAAGACGTGATAATTCTTTAGAGGGAGATCTCAACACAACCGTCAAACTGCGCCATTTGGTCACTGACAAAGCTTCAATATACCCTCGGTCCATCTCCAGACTATTTCAGGTGCCTGCTTCTCCTGCAGTTCGCTAAGCACCTTATCGTTCCCATATGGGCTCCAGCCTTTCGTCGATGGAAAACAGTGAACCACAGGTCGTCCTGTTTGACTTCAAAGCACGTTCCTGACCATCTTTCAACGGGACTCCCCTCCCGCCGTATTCTGCACCCGTGCTTAGGTACAAACATCTTTCACTAGCTTGTTGCACAGTGGTGGATAGAAGTTTCATCAGCCTTGCGATGATACTCATTACCGTGTTGCCAATCCAGTTATACAGCCAGCTGCCGGCCCGGGATTCTCGATTCCTCATCATATCCGTCCCAACAGTGCCTGGGAAGTGATGTGGCAGGAGCTGCTAAAGTATTAGCAAGTCTTTATGTAACTACAAGGATAAGCCCTCTTCCAGATAACTATTGTTTCGCAAGGAAAGCCATCTCAATACAAGAATAACATAAATACACCAGAAAGCCAGCAAAGGATGCCCATCCAAAGTAGATAAGATGATATAAACTTTCTTTCAGTCCGCCAAAACTTGGACATATGCGTTTTACTAGTTGCGGGGACAGTCTTTCTTGTTGTCCGGGTGTCCCGAAATACCGGCGGCTTGGTCTTGGAAACATCCCCAGTCAGGGCTTCCATAGTCCACGTTGCCAACAGGTTCGATGTTAGGCTTGCGAATCCTTTCTCAACGGCCTGCATTATAACCATGCCAGCGTGAAATCCAATGGCGTCCTGGGTAGACGCCGCAGGAGCCCAGATTGTTTCTCTTGCAAGGTCCTGGGCTGCTGGAATGCCATTGTCTATATTCAGTATGGCCTGCCCCATCTCGTGAGTCTGCTCTGTGACACCGTGAGCTACCCCACTGATTACGCCACTCGCGTTCGTAGACAATGCATCAGTGAGAGAAGACCCTGGGGGTAGACTCGCTTCCATGGGGATGGTGTTGGTTGCAACAGCGGCTGCCTCGTCTATGCCGACACCGACGCCCATTCCGACAATAGATGCTCCAACAGGGATGAAGATATCTCGCTTCTGTATTTCGTGTAGAGCTATGCCGCGTTTTGTAAGCTCTGCTTGTATAAGCTCAAGTTTTGAATGCGCTACGGACAGTCGGCGAGCCCCATAGGCACTCAGCAGGAGGGTACCTCCGCCGGATAGCAGTGCGCCTGCTGCTCCTGTGGTAATACTGCACATGGCAGCAGTATGTTGGCGTATTTTGACCACTTCCTGCTTTCGCAAGCGATTAACGTCGTAAAATGATATGCGACGTGCATATTCGGCCTTATTGAAATCAAAGAAATCTCCGATGGTCATCTTTTCAAGGCAGTTAGCAAGATGTTCATACAGGTAAGTGACGAGAATCAAGAAAATGGAACAATTGACCTAGAGGATTTAAGACCCAGGAGACCTGGTTTATAGGCGTCGATCAAAATGCCTAGCAAGGGGTGCCGTCAATTGATCCGAACAAATGCGGAGGTGCTGAGCTAAAGTGCTACTACGCTTGTCAGATTAGTCGTAGCGGCAGCGTCATCTGACACTTCAAGTAACGCCACCGAGTTGGGCTATGTCCGCACAAGGTATGCCCAGCCAACAACCCCAGGTATCGAAGACTGCAGAATCCCGAGCGTGTCTGTCTAAGAGTTTCCCTTTTTGAACTGATGAGTTATTGCATTCCTTTCTTTTGGCCCTCGCTGACATTGTCGATAGAAGACTGCGGCCCAGTTGGTTAGTTAGGTCACCCTGCCTGCAGTTGAAATGGGGTATAGGTCGAGGCGCCAGGTCACTGGAATTTGACATGATCTCCCCCAAACCAACAAGCAGAGATATCCTTGTCTCTTCATATAGCCACATACATATTCGACGACGAAATACATTCTTATTTTATGATAACACAGATATCTAACCTCACAGCCTGATTCAAAACATTGTAGCTTTCCGGTCCAGTATTGAGATAATGGATTCCGTTGTTGACTTGGTGGGAAGTCAACAGTTCGGTGTTCTTAGATAACTTTTGGAGAGACCCCTGCATCATGCAGTCGCGCTTCACCTTATTGGATGGCTTGGAGAAAAACGGGAGCCATCAAATGCCTGGAGCTTCGGAGCTAAGCTGAGGAACCTCCGTTGATTCAAGGAGGATGGCACCTGAGATAAGCCACGCCGCCGCGTGAGGCCGCTCGGTTGATAGTGACCTGGGCGGGCTGGGGTCATGAATCAATAATTGCCAAATTCCGGAAAGCCGTTGAGAAGTCGTCCCGCCTCTTCATCTTCACCCTAGAGGAACGTTCTGAACAATGCGGAAAGGCTCTCCGGCTGTATGCCACTCCTCAGTCTTGACCCAGTAAGGTGAATCTCCCGTCATTACTTGTGAGCGGGGATATAAGTCGTTGTATATCGTGGCTATGCAAGGTGATGACCCAAACCAATTCCGTTGAACTGAGATGGGCGGAGAGATAAATCATGACTGAATTCGATAGGGTGAAGATTATATGCTATTATAATTTAATTAGATTATTAATAAGTTAATATATATATATTTATTATTCTCAAGAGGTCGTAATACCCAAGATAATTATAGATCTGGTCTTACATATTAAGGCATGGAGGTAGCTAATATTGACTGGCCTAGCCTATAAGTATGGGGAAACTTACCTCTTTCTTAAATAGTCTTAGAACTTACACGCGTAGTTGTGGGAAGGGTCTGCGGCTGCGGCTGCGGCGGAGAGGAGAGGTAGAAGATGGGTTATGATGAACAGGCGACTGTAGTACCCCATGGCGGAAGCCTTTTCAATACCTTCGCTTGTTTCTTCCAGCATGTAAGTCATGATATAAACGCGTACCAGTAAATTCCGCGATCTAACGCACCTTGGCGTGGCCCCATGGGAAGGTAAGCCGTTGACAGAAGGAGAAGGTCGATTTTCTCTTCATGGGCCTTGATTTCGTTGCAGAGACGGCTCGTTTCGCTTAGGAGGGACAATTGTCCTTTGAGCCAAATAACTTCTGCTTGAGGATTAGACTAACGAAGCTGCTCGATAAACGACTTTTGCGTAGCCCCATTGCGACCGAGGACGTAGACTTTAATGGGAAAGCCTAGATAAACGAGCTGAATGAGTGTGATTTTGCCGATCCCTGCTGTTCCGCCATAGATGTCGTGATAGCAGCGAGAGTACCGATGGTCTATCTTATAAGAACACTCATCAGCGTGATTGACTGGGTTGCTCGTCCACTGAGCATGAGCCGTCGCCAAGTCTCTGATTTCTTGTCCTCAAACCAGAGCCACGTTAAGAAGACGACGGCTTCTATCAAGACGACATGATGAAGTAGCTTAACAAGAAGTGGGTTACAGCACTGTAATTCTAATGAAGGGATAAAATATTCAGGAAATGGAATTTCAATACATGACTATATTAAAGACCAACCCTTGAGAAACCCGAGTCCAGAGGCTTAGCTGTACCACTGTTACACAATTACATGTATACGAGAACACATGTTGCGAATGCATTGGTTACGAGGGGATGTGAGTTACTCAAAGTCAGCAATGTTTTGAATTGGTCATCGTACAAGGCGTATTACAGCCCGTAATCATATACGCAGTCTCTGAACTGAAATCCGCAAATACGCCTCGGGGCATTATCAACCGAAGGTGAGTCACACCATGATTTTCTGATTCATTGACCAAGTTTACCCCGAATGATCGGAGGTATTTTGCTTGAAGAACAGCCTATTTGGGTCTAGTCTCATGATTCCTGCTGTGGGTGAGATCGCGAGAGCCTATTCGGGACTAGCTTCCTTAGCCGTTACAACCTCATCAAGTATAAAATGCTGATCTATTATCCTCGAGTTCTGCTATTCTACCAAAGAATAATCTGTCAAGTATTCCATCAGTTCCCTATCCTTCTCAGTAAGAAGGATAACTCCCAAAACTCATCACGATGGAGTTCGCCATGCCCCTCGAGAAGCGTCTGTCGCTCCGTCAAGAACTCATAGACTCGGACGACAAGTTCATCCTTGACCTTCCAAAAGTTGAACTCCACGTCCATATCGAAGGGACCTTGACTCCCGAGCTTCGCTGGAAACTCGCTAAGCGCAACAATCAGACCCTTAAGCTCGAGCGCACTGGCACTGTATACACCAATCTTGAGCAGCTCAGAGCCTCGTACTATATCATGGAGGCCCGTCCAGGTCATCAGATCGATAACGCGGAAGAGAGCTTCACCTTCTTTGAGGCTTACTATGGAGGGTTTGAAGTTCTTGTTACTGAAGAGGACTTTTATGACCTTGCGATGAATTATTTTGAGCATGTTGCTGGTATGAATGTGAGGTACTGTGAGCCGTTCTTTGATCCGCAGGGCCATACCCGCCGTGGAGTTGCGTTTAAGACTGCGATGGATGGCTTCCGTCGGGCGCAGGAAGAGGCCGAACAGCGATTGAACGTAAGTCAGCACGATCTTGGATATGATTGTTGCTAACAAATCACAGGTCAAGTCGAAGTGGATCATGTGCTTCCTGCGCGACATGTCACCAGAATCAGCCATGGAGACCTACGATGCTGTTCTGCCCTACCGCGATATGGTCGTCGGAATCGGTCTTGACTCGGATGAGAACGATCGCCCTCCTCTGATGTTCGAAGAAGTATACAAGAAAGCCAGAAACGACGGCTTCCGCATTACTGCGCACTGCGATGTCGGCAACAAAGACGCGCATAAACATATCCGTCAAGTCGTCAATGACCTTGGTGAAACTGGCGCAGATCGTCTCGACCACGGCATCAACGCCGCACAGGATCCGGAAATCATGCGTCGCATCAAGGAAAGGGGCATTGGGATGACGCTCACGCCTTGGGGATATCTTCGCCACGAGCCTGTTGATGAAATCTTTCCCAGAATTCGTATCTTGTTCGACGCTGGTATTCCGATTGCTATCGGGAGTGATGATCCAGCCTATATGGAAGATACGTGGATCTTGCATGATTGGCTTCTGGTCAAGAAGATGTGCGAGTTTAGTAATGATGATATGGCGACCTTGGCGAAGAGTGCTATTGATATGTGCTGGGCTTCGGATGAGGTGAAGGAGGAGATGAGAAGGGAGCTTGAGGAAGTTGTGGCGAAGCACTCAATATGAGTATCTGCTTTGTCAAGCGAGGTACGATGCAACTTGATGAAACTCGGTGGTACTGTAAGCAGAATAATTGCCAGTGAATTGACCACCTTCGTCGCTTTGCTCTCCACTGTTGGTATCATTTCATCTGATTGAATTCCCGATATGGGGATTGCGCATCACCCAGGGGGTCCAATACAGAGCCAAAGCAGTACGAGGGCGAGTCAGAACAGAATCAGCAAATGAAAATATAGTTAGACTGATGAATGGTCTTGCAATACAATACTCACTAGTTTCGAGTCAAACCTTGACAGAACTTTATAGGTGATTGATCTTCTAACACAATTACTTTACACAGAGAAGAATATAAAATTGGTAACAGATTCAGGTCTTATAGGAGTGAACCGCCTTGGCGGAGAAGTTTCTCCACCTGGCTTTAAAACTACCGTTGCACCTAACATATTGAGAAGTATATTATACCAATAAGTGATTGTGTATAGACGTTTCGTGGTTCCGCCAATTAAAGGTGTCCTGGTCCCGCAGTGTTCGTGAAACACGCAAAGTCAGTCTTGTTTATGCTTTCCAGTAATTTTACATGTACCAGTTTTCTCGGGCGCATCAAAGCATGTCAACCAATTATACTTCTTCTATTTGGTTTGCTTTTGGTACTTCGATACCTGTACAAAGCAGCCTTTTCTAAACAGCATGAAATGTTTCAAGTACGAATAAGTAATCTCTGAACCTTGCCAAATTCTCATCACAAATTTGTCTTTATATCCGCTTGATCCTCTTCCTCAACTCAATACCACTTACCACTCTCCTCATCTTCCACTCAGACTTCTTCACTCTCCCATAATCCCAAAACCTACTTCACATCAAAATGTGCTGTGGCGGAGATCCCACGGCCCCGAGGCCTACCACCCGTACACACTCGCTTACGCCAAGTATCAGCTCATGCACGTCAGATCAGAAGCTACGACAAGACAACGTTATCCGCAACATGGGTTGGGACAAGAAGGGCTTCTCGGAAAAGAGACAGAGATCTATGGCGCAAATCTTCCTCAATGAGATCCAAAAGGCCAAGGATCGCGGCGAGTGGTAGACCAACACTACGTACAAGACAGTTGTTGTTTATTTGAAGATTCTAACAAGCTTAGGCAATCGCAGCCCGATACTCAATCCTTGTGTCTGAGCTGGCTACTATCTTTGGAGAGATGGATGACTTCGTCTGGCGTGAAGATAGTCTTTTTATGATGAGGGCTCATGTGAGTTTTGTCTCACAAACTGAGCTCTCGAGAAGACAACTGTACTGAACATGTTCATCCTGATCACTTCAAATTCAGCATTAGAGGCCTCTGTCTCCGATGCGATATCGAGATCGAAGTCGCTTCCTAGAATTTGGGTGGTTATACTTCGAGAGCCCAGATCCGCCTTGACATCAGGGTTACCTCGTTCAACAAAGCACCTGGGACTTCGGTGGAATATTAAGATTCTGGTTTATGGAGAAATCGTAAGACGATGGTTTAGAAAGTCATAAGAAAACTTAAAAATAAATGCAAGAAAACTATTTATAATACATTTTCCCTCCTTGGTGAGTGTGCGGCTCGAAGTATGTTTTCTAAGGTACCTAAGCTCTTCGAGAGGTGATGTTCATCGGGCGCTTTACCCCGGTTTCATTTTCGGCCAATGTTTGAGACAATTGACTTGAGCTTTTATCTTGCTCTTGACCATGACTGATCCAGTTCTCACAATAGTTGCTGAACTGGCGGTGATTGGTCTGATCAAATTCGCATGCAGGATAAAACCAGGTGACGTTGAGTGCAACCCTCACAAGTGATGCTCAATCATGCCATCCACGTCCAGCCACATTTCCTTACGCATCTGCGACATATTATACAATTCGTGTCGCAGAGTACTGTATAACTTAGTATGACTACTTACACATTTCATGGTTCATGACAAAGATCAATGAATGCCGCGCGCGCGGGATCAAGATTAGGCTTATTCATACTCGGGTCTAACCAGAATAAGCAAATGGTACCCCTGCTTATGGCTCGACGATTACCTGAGCATCGCTGACCAATATCATCATATGCAATGAAACACCAAGAAATGCACTTACTAAAAGTCGAGATGCAGTATTGGTAATGTGTGAGGGTATAGATAAATAGCACCTTTTCTCGCTTGACCATCAATATCGTCACACAATTTCCAAGCATCACATCATTCAGTATCACACTAACAGCTCATCAACAACATGTCTTCTCCCATCGTCCTCATCTTCGGCGCCGGTGCCAAGGTCGGCAAAAGTGTCGCCCAAGCCTTTAGCGCAAAAGGCTACAGGCTCGCTCTGGCTTCCCGATCGCAAGACCCAGCAACCTCAACCGACAAGGAGCTACATATCCCTACAGATCTTAGCGACACAGACTCTGTCATCCAGGCCTTTACCAAGGTCAGGAGCGAGTTCGGTCATCCCCACGTCGTCATTTACAACGGTCAGTAAACCCGACTCGTTACTAAAACTCTGTCTAATTGATTAATAGCTTATCATGGCGGCCCCAACGACCCCAACGACATTTTCGAAGTTCCCTTGGACAGCTTCAAGACAAGTGGAACAGTCAACATTTTTAGCGCTTACGCCGCAGCTCAAGAAGCTGTAAAAGGTTGGAAAGACTTTCCCGCCAACAGCAGCCCGACGTACATCTACACTGGAAACATTGAGAATGAGATGCGTATTCCATCAATCATGTCGCTAGGTGTTGGAAAGGCTGCGGCTGCTTGGTTCATTGAGGTCGCTGCTACTTCATACAAGGACAAAGGCTTCAAGTGAATTGATCTATGAGACTGCTACGAGAAAGAATGCTAATAGAAAATAGGTTCTACTATGCTGATGAGAGAAAGGAGGATGGCACGCCTATGTATAGTGGAGCAACTGCGGAAGGTCATGCTCAGTTCTATGTTGAGCTCGCTGAGGGTAAGGAGCAGCAGGTTTGGCAGCAGACATTTGTCTCTGGGCAAGGCTACAAGAAGTTCTAATTGGCCATGTATCGTAAATAGAGAACTTGGCCTATAGTTTCAGTTAAACACTCCTACTGCTACACGTTCAATTAATAAAAAGGCTCATAGTTTCTCGTTCAACGAAGTGTATTTATAGTAAAGAGATATATACGTTGAAAGTACAGAACTGGTAGCTTTCCCAACCTCAACAAGAGGTGCTTCAAGCACCTTATTAACCCCTTATCCAACATCCATCCATCCTCCACAGTATTACTGCCTGACTGTAAACAGCGAGGCCACAATCGTAAAGCGCTTAGCAAGACTTGACGGAAGAGTACTTGCAGGCCTTGCTGGGACCAGAGCCGAGCTTCTTGGGCTCCTTGCCGGGAACGGTACCCTCGTACTCAACGCAGATCTCCTTGACGGAAGAAGCGCAAGTTCCAGTGATGGTGGAGACGTCACCCTTGTTGGAGTTGATGCCAGTGAGGACCTTTCCGTTGAAGGCCTTGACGTTCTTGACGACAACGTTGCGGGTACCCATCTTCTTGCAGTTACCGCAAGATCGGTAGAGCTTACCGAAGTCGACAACGGTGAAGCCATCAATGGTGACCGTTCCGAGACCGTTGTGCTGGATAACCTTGTCATCAGCACCGGTGGCACCACCACCCTTGATGAGAGCGTTGCCATCGCCCTTGAGGGAGAGAGCATCCTCGCAGACCTTCTTCCACCAGACGTTCTCGATGGTGCAAGAGCCCTCGCAGTGAACACCCTCGATCTGATCAGCGCCAATGATGACGTTCTTGAGGGTAGCGCCGTTCTTGAGGAGGAAGACGGCATCAGCGTCACCGCCCTCGGCCTGGCCAGTGCACTTGACGCCGCGGCCGTAGGTCTTCATGCCGCCGTCAAAGACACCGGAGATGGTCTGGACCTTCTTGTAGGTGACGGAGCCCTTGGAGGCGGGGATGGGGAAGGAGGCGCGTCGCTCGAGGGCGCCCATGGTGTTGGGGGTGATGTTGCCCTGGGGGGAGGCCATGGTGGCGGAGGCGAAGAGGCCGGCGAAGACGATGGAGAACTTCATTTTGATGGATTGGTTTGTTGTTGGTTGAAAAGAGGGTTTGGTATATCTTGTGAGATTGTAAAAGAGAGGATAACCACCAGGGTCAAAGAGTGTAGAAAGTTAGATTGTAAAGAGAGACTATTGAACTGCAGAACAGAAACGATAAACTTGAAGGGAGAATCTGAAGTCTTTATAGCAGAACGTCATGAGCATTCCTCTCGTGATGGCCCTTGTAAGGGCTTCATGTTTCAGATCTCATCCAAGGGTGTCGTTGGGAGAGGAAGCGCTCTGATTGGAGGAATATTATTCGCACAATGAGAGCAAGTCACCCATCGACCTAATCTAGAACGTGTCACCATGTACTCCGCCTACCTGTTTCTCGGATGGAGCCGCAGGGAGAGGAAAACATACTAGCCAGGATCATATATGGTAAATCCCCAGTTCTTTGTATCAGTCGACGCGTATTCGGTGCGAGGACGGTGGTTGTTTTGCATCGCGCAAAGACCTCCATACGAGAACCAACCCACTAACTACCAGCATACTAAATCGAGACATCACGATAAGAAAAAACTTAATCGCAGTAAACCCAAACAGTGACATCGTCCGATGAACAGGGCTGAAAAGGAACAGAAGCTAACCCCAGTTCTCATTCTCCGGAAATTAGAGTGGAATTATGACAGGTGGATATTCTTTTTTTTTTCGGACGTGGTTAGCCCGGGAGTGGTCAAGATACGATGCACCAATTTTACGCTGCCCCTGTAACTTAAGTTTAGATTCACCCTTTTTTTAATGCTTAAAAACAAGCTTCATTGGCAGTGACAGACAATTGTGGCTCTTGTTTATGGAGCGGGCTAGCTTTTTAGGTAGATACACCATAACTGAAACGCAGACATCGTATTCAGCTAGCAGTCTGTGCACTTTCACGGCGCGTTACAAATTAAGGGGTCTGCCAGAAGAAGACACACGGTGAACTTGCTCCAGAGGCTTGAATAGGGAAACCTGGAGCACTCGGGTTGTTTGTTCATCCCGACTTCCGATATCCCTGGGTATATTAGACAGTTGTTTGGTAATGACTCCATATTCCACTGTGGGTTTTGTGGTGAGAGCCCGTTTTTCGGCCCTTCAATTTACGATGGCATGTCACTGTTTTATCTCCACACAATGGGACGAAATTCCAAGCTCTTCCATTGCCGGCGGGATTAAGAAAAGTGGTGCTGCGTGGGTCGGTTGGCAATGGTTGTTAAGATCTGAGCTTTTCACAGTCTGGTCGAGGATAGCCGTTACCCTAGAGCAAGCCACGATTGAAGAAGAGATAGAATTCTACACGCTGCGCCTAAGAAATCTTATAAAAAATAACAAATATAAAAACTTAATGTAATTCTTTGGTTAGTTTGTGTTTTTTATGGATTGTTTAGTGTTGAGAGAAAGTCAAGTTACTAAGGTCTTTTCTAAATGTTGCTTCCCCAGGCCATGAAACAAACACATGGCATTTCTCTGTATCATCTCACTTCACACCTTAGATCGCAACTGCTCCAGTACCCGCCCTCACTGGGATTGGCTACATTAATCGAAACCGATAACAATATCCATACTGCTGAGCTGCTGACGCAGGCGAAATACAAGTAGACAAGCTTTACAGCACAGCGACTGAGAGCAGTGATCAGAACCCCAGGACGCAGGGTATCCATTGCTGTGCCTCACCTATACGACCTCTCATCTAATCAATCTGCGCCACTCGTCGAAATTGGAGGCCCGTTCCTGTCTTGTCGGCGCGACGTGGTGGGCCCCTACAATAAAGAATAATGGGCAAATTAGCCCAAGCTTGAAACACGCCATAACTTCAGCCCTTGTTCACGCTGACTGGGAGCAGATAAAATCGGGCTAGCCATCCGCATCCGTACGGAACTTACCGCCTTATCTACTCGGACGTGTTGTTCAATCGATCGATGGTTACGGGTGTAACCTTGCCCTGAGACATGGATCTACAGGGGAGTTGGGTGTTTGCCTCGCTGTTCTCGGCGTAGATCGAGGCGAGGACGGAGGAGTAGTGGAGGTTAGGCGAAGTTGCTGATGTTTGAACGCCTCACTTGGTTGCCATTCTCAAGATCGATATGACGAGCTTTACAAATGCGTAACAAGCCATTGAAGTTGGAGAAAAGAGCTATCCTGTCTCATCGCCTGCTTTACTTTCCTTCTGGTCGTCCGGGCTGCTGAGAGTTCGATCCGAAGCTGTGATGTAACGTGTTTGTCGTATTGCGGGATGTCCGCAAAGGAGGATGGCAGAGCCCCCAAAGACAGCATATTGATCCAGGGGACCATACATCCTTATTCGTGGACTATGGGACTACCGTAATGTCAGACAGACTAAACATTACAGATTAGTCACGCGAGAAAAAGATTCTCAAGGACACGGTCGGTCGGACTTGATCAATAATCACCACTTCGGAAGTCAGGGGATTTCTAAACTGACAATTAATCTCTCCCAAGAGTCTCCCGATAAGCCGGAGGAAGTATACCCTCCAAAGCAGCCTTGATCTGCAAAGCCAACGTCCGCGAGTGCCACCGATGTTGTTGCGTATAACCCCCCATGACCCAATAATTCACCAGCCTCAGGTGCCTCTTCCACATTCCTCGTATTTCGCCCTCAGAGTCAACGCCCCATGTTGCGTCGAGACGATCTGCAATCTCCCGAGGTCCTAGAATCCTTTCATCGCTGGCAGTGTGCTTTTCGCCTCCCAAGATGTCCGCGGCTACCGAGCGAACGTCACGATCTGCGAAACCGGTACACCAAATCACGGCATCCGCGGCGGCCGAGCTGCCATCTGAGAATCGAAGACCACTTTGAGTAAACGCAATTGGCTCGACTCCTGCTTTGACGCTGGCTTTGCCTCGGGCTATAATGTCAGTTGCGCCGACGTCGACGTAGTGCCCACCTGCTTTCTCGATCAGATTAGAGAAGAGTGCTTGATTAGGGTCTGCACTGTCGAGTACAGGAAATCCGGCTTCTTTGACAGTAGTATAGCGATCAGGTTCTTTGGAAGCAAGAACTCTGAAGAGATTTCGCGCAAGTTGACCTTCTACCGCGGATGGAAGCATGAGAAACATTCTGTCGCCACGCGCGACGTCAAAGTTGTACGCGCCGAGACTGACGTCGTTACAGATATACTCGAATGGGCAGATGTATGTTGGCGATCGCACGACCATTGTCGGCTCTAGACCAGCTGTGTAGCAGTCGGCGAGGATATCGAAAGCCGTGTTTGCTGATCCTATGATGAGAACCGACTGGGCATATTAGAACGTGTGACTATTAAGAACATGGTTCACGTACTTTGACGCCTTGCCCGACCAATATTCTTCCATTTTTGTAACCCGACGAGTGGATGTTGATCCCTTTGTAGATCTCCGCATTTGCAATAGTAGGAACATGAGGCTTCTGCGAGGAAACACCCGTTGCTTGAACAAGTTGCTTAGCAGTCACTGTAACCGCTCCAGCAGGAGTTTGTAGTTCAATCGTCCATTTCGCACTTGACTTATCGTGAACTGTTGACTGAACCGTTGCCGAAGTAATGACGTTGAGGTTGAATGACGCGACATATTGTGCGAGGTGATTCGCCAGTTCATCCTTGCCCAGACGGTGAAGGCCCCGGAGTTCTTCTGGGTAGCCTGCGATAAACACGCGTTAGTTGGATCCCCGTCTCCAGAGAGGCTCGGTTTAGCTCACCCATGTAAGGCATGTCGCAGAAAGAAGTTGGCACATGAAACTTCATGCAATCGTAGCGCTTGGCCCAGTTATCGCCGATACGGGCATTCCGTTCAGCCATGATACTCTCGACTCCAAAGGTCTTGAGCCGAGCGGCGAGAGCTGCAGCACTAGAAGTTGGTAAGCCAATGAGGAAGAAAGCAATCAGACGATGGACTAACGCGTTGCCGCCACCAATGATGAATACTTCGGTATCAATCTCTGTCATGCCACTCAAGTTGCGACCAGGTAAGTGAAGAAGAGATTCATTCTCTGGATGAACATCAAGGTTTTCAAGCTTGGTGCTCAGGATCCAGATCTTCCACTCCAGGCTGCCCTCGCTGCTCTCAACTGGGAGGAGCAAGATCCTTGCACTGCCTGAAGCTGCGGGCGATGCCGTTTTAAACGACAACGCAACGTCAATGAACTGCTAAAGTATTAGGAAGCCAATATTAGTTTGTTCGACTTGTTGATGATGGGAAGCGAACTTACCAGTACAGGTGTTGCAGCGACAAAAATTGCGCTCTCCATATTCCATCTCATAGTGGGACCTCTCGATTTATTAGTTTCCAACAAATTGGCACTTATCACTGAAGGAGTATAGAACGTTCGCAAATGATAGGTAAATACCAATGCATCTTTCCAGTAGGATTGATCAGCAAAGAAGCAGTCTTGAAGAGCTTGGATATCGCTTTCTCTCAAGGCATCGTGGAATGTCTTGACAACGGCCGTGGCTTGGCCTGATGGATCGACGTCTTCAAATGATATCTTTTCGACAATCTTTAGTGGAAGAACAGGGATAGGCCATTCATCGAAGAGCTGAAGCAGACTTGCGGCCGGGGGATAGGTATCAGAAATCCCATTGCCTTCCACGTTAGTGTTGGAGGGAGAGCAACTCTATTTGGATGACATACTTACTAGCTTCCATGTTGAGATGATACTATGGATTGCAGTTTGGTAAGTTGCGAAATACGAATATGAAATGCGGGGATGAGTGATCTATCAATAATGATAAACAGGCCAAGCCGAGAGTATAAAAGTGGACGATTATACGATATAACCAGAGACGATGTAACAATAAGTAGCCTTTTATGTAGTGGTATCCATTCCAATGCATATTTGCTCTCGGTTCTCACCAACCATCGTCTCTATCACATTCCTGCAGCAAATCGGTGACGCGTCTGCTTCTCCGGCGTCCGAACCCCGGAACCATCACCAGAAGCTGTCGAATCGCGATAGGGCTGCCGATGTCCATGCTGTAGGCTACCAACGGCTGGCGTAACATTGGCGTAAATGCCACCAACAATAGTCACGCGGGCTGTCAATTAGCTATTTTGAGGCCGGTTCTAGAACTGCTATTCTCGCAACTGGCAGAGAGATCGGCGTGAGCCTTCGAGGTTGGTTGGTAGGACAGTTGAGAGACCGAACATTGCTGAAGTACAAACCTCCCAAATTGCTAAGGTTTACCTTCAGCAGGGCTGAGGAATATGTGAGCTGGATGGATGGGTTTGAAGGGTACCAAATGTCATATTTGATTGGGGTGAGTTGATGCGCTGTTGCATTTAATCACTTTGTCAACTGGGCAACGATCAGTTGATAGACAGCCATGGTATCACCAACATAAGGCTTATGAACAGTGAAACTGACATCGGTTTTCAATCTGAATGGCAGTCCTGTTTAATTGTGCTAGTTATATGTCTCATGTCTTTGTAGCTGCGAGAGCAACCACACTTTCGCACCAGATCTCTGGGCTGTACTGGCTGCCCAACTTTGATTCGTAGCTTATTGCATAACGCCTTATCTACACAACAAGATCAATATTACTCGTGCCGTCACACCTTGCGTTGATACCACTCCTATTTGCCATGGCCCGCAGAATCGCGAACGATATGGCTTGCAAAAAGAGTTTCCATTGGAGAAGGTGATGAGCATATTGGAACCCGACATACCCTGCATGATCGCCCGGGGAAGCATATTGCAGCACCGGATGTTGGTGCATATATATGCGTGTTCGGCTATTTTATCGGAGAGTCTGATCATACGAGCCCACGAACTTATTGAGGTACTGCATATGGAGTTTGCAGTTTGATGTGCGCCGGTCGGTAACGGTTAGAGATATTGTCTGGCCTCTTTATATGAGTTCTACGGGCGTCGGCTCATTATCGACCATACAATTTGATATCGGTGACTGCTGTAAAGCAGAGAGCAGCTCTTGCTCTGCTACGTAATCTCATATCAAAACTACCTTCTGGTATGACGAATCTCCCCGTTTTGGGTGTGGAGATAAGGGACTACCCGTTCATCCCTGGTGCTTCGCAATGATGATGGTCGTCTTGCAATACTTGGGATTTAATAAGTGCTTTAGAAATTACGGTGCTTCCCTCATAACTCATCAAACTTGACTCTTTAACAGGCTTTCGCCTCTGGAGGGAGACACGAACGACCACGGCCTTGATGATGGCTACAAGAATACGAGAATAATCTATCTATCGTGTCAGGATAGCCATGGGAATTCTAAGACCTCTGTGATTTCCTTTTGCAGTAACTATATGTGAAATCTAATTGAACCGATACTAATATGCTTGCAGCCAACTAGGGACATCCGGATCTGTATCGGGCATCCCATATGAGCTCTCATCAACCATGTCTGATATCTTGGCTTCCAACTCCTTATACCTTTCTTCCATATCCTCTCTCTCACGAGCCAAAGCAACAAAGTCCATGATACTCTCGCAATCCTCCCAGATCCTTGCCCTGTTTCTCAATAGTTAATCTTATAGAACTAGAAATGCTTTCACTTAGAAAAGTCCCTATAGAATTATCTATTTTAAATAATAGATAAATATTTATCTACTTAGTCTAGGCTACCATCCCTGAGAACTAATATAATAAAACTTCTTAGCTCTTTTAGTAAATATATTAGGTCTCTCTGGCATTTATTAAGTTCCTCTCTAGGTGTTACGATCCCCGCGGCTACGTCACGTGTGCCCCATATTTGTATTTTTATCCTGCTAACCAGGTCAGGACCGATACCATTAGACCGACAACGCTCTAGGACCGCGTTGCTCTAGGATCAACGACGACCTCGAGTTACATCACTCCCAGTTAATATATTATAAGTATATAGAATATATTTGTTAGCACTTTTATAGATTCTAGCTTACTAGCTATTAATAAAACTTCTTAATATTAATTAAGCCTAATACGTATTAAATCTACCATTAAGAGATATAACGCTTAAATAATGCTTAGCATTACGCCTTATATAAAAAAAACGTAAATTAACTTATAATATAGTAGCACTATGCTAAACTCTTATATTAAAAAAAAGGTATATTAGCTAATTCACTATTATAATAAGTGGTAGGGATATGCAGACTTGTCTGGCCGAGTCAATGAAGCGTGCAAATTTCAATGGCGTCGATGAAGACAGAAACTATATTCGGAACTTGTTCATTGTCTCCGAGCCAGAGGGAGCAGCTGCGCACGTGCTTAGCACATCGCCTTAGGTAAAGTCTCGCAATTGCTTTGTTCTTTTAGACGCTAGCGGCGGAACCATTGATGCAAACACCTACCGAGTCAGCAGAGAGGAATCGCTGAGGTTGGAGACTGAGATAGTGAAGGCTAGAGGTATGGTTCGAGAGAGAAACACAGGGATGACATTGTTCACCCTCAACTAGCAAGCAGCCTTCATGAGTCTGGGTATCTCAATGAAGACTTTAAGGTGCACCTCAGAGAGCGCCTCAAACATGAAACGTACCTCGAAAGAGGGACCAACACCATCGATGGAATCATTGAGAGACTCACATACGAGTACTTCGAGAAGACGATTAAAAGAACATTCGACTACACTCAATGCAATCCTAAGGAGCCAGAAGTTTGGTACCTAGGCGTAACAGGACCTATTAAAGACGATGGCAAAGATTTTGGCTCAGAATTCGTAATCGTTAACTCGTAGGTTTATTTGACGGACTATCTATTTTGTCTCAGACTAAGCAGACTACAGAAACGACGTCACTGGCATCTTCATGAAGCGGTTGGATGCTATAACTGAAATCGTGAAAGAGCAGCTTGATCAAGCGATGGACATAGGCTATGCAGTGGAGGTAAGTCACTAAGAGACAGGCAAGGTTTTAGCTCTAACTCAAAGCTTTACAGAATGTTGTTATCGGGGGATTTGGAAACTCACCATCTCTCATAGCGAAACTCAAGGAGTTCTTGGAAGGCTATCATCGGGAGAACAATTGTCACGTCAAATTGATGACTTCCCAAGAAGGGTATGTCTCATGTGTGCAGCCATTTCTCCGCTGTTTTCTAAGTTCCGATTTACAGGACCACCATCACCAATGCGGTTTCTGAAGGAGCGGTCCTTTGTACCTTGGAAAAAGAGAATGGACCACGGAGAATAGCACGCTCAAGCTATTGTATTCTAACAAATGAACCTGAAGGATCATACCCTTAACATCATGGGCAGAAGGGGTCCAAGGATATTCATGATGGGTAGTATTACATCATGAGGACCATAGACTGGGTCATGAAGCTGATCTGCCTCTATTACTTACCCGTGCCCACTCATGCCAAAGCTGACAGAGTCTCTAGGGAAACACAGTTCCGCCTCAGTGGGAGAGTAATCGTATCCCCCTCTCTCACACTTTCGATGTTGAAGCCACTAGTATCATCTGCGAAGTGGAATTTTACGTATCAGACACCGCCAAGCAGTAACACTACAAGCTAAGTCATCCCAAGAACAAAGGTAAGTCTCAACATGACGCCAGAGAACGTCTCTAACGATGGATGAAAGACGCCGAGGTAGTCGGCACAGTCGAGGTTGACTTCACCAAGCATCGAAATCAACTAGAAGTTGTTCAGCCTGGGTACAAAGACCGTAGACAGAAAGGGAAGAAACATCTAAGGGTTGACTGGGAGTTGGTTATCAAGGTCGTAGGCCGCGACTTGGAATGTAAGTCCTAAGTATTTCGGTGGTATGGACCTTTGAGCTGGCGGGTCATAGTACTGCTTTTTGGAACGATATTCAGGTGGAAAAATGCCGTGTGTGTATCGCATCGAACTTCCAACCTGGAACCAAATAGGGGATACTTGGTGTGGGATGTTACTTGTGTCGTTTGCTGGGTCGGATTACAATGAGAGGGTGTTTTACGGAACGTGAACTTGACAAACCTGCCGAACATACTTTACCAGTAAGAGTAGCACTCGTCATTATACAAAAATGTAGTTGCTACCGCCTGTTCCATAAAAAGCCAAGATTCTTAATTATGCTTTGATGTACTTCCCTGCCATAGGTGCCATCCTCTCTGTCAAGGCAGTGAGAGGCTCCGCTGAGGGGTCCATGAGATTTAAGTCCAGTGATAATGGACAGCCGAGAGACTAAAAATTAAAACCTAGGGTGGGAAATTATACATAATATCAGGGAAGGGATATCAGCCAATGATATGTCGAAACATAGCGCAGGGACTCTTCTGACTTGGGATAAAGTTGTTATTTACAATCTGCCTGTAGTAATTAAATTATGCTCAGTAGCGAAGTTCTATATGTTAAAGCAGATATCTGCGTTAATTATATCAATTCCAAGCCAAGGACCCCAAATACACAACGTCCTTACATGCTTGGAGGATACCTCGCTATATGCTAATTTTAAGATCTCTTCAACCTATGGTTGTGTTTGACCTTCTGATTCTGGAGAATATCACGCTGTTGGTAGCTAAAATACCTTGAAAACTTTGCAATATCAAGTCTCTTCTGGGCCAGATGACTGATTTCGAAATTGCAGCCTTGGTCACTTGAAGGCGAGACGGTGTCTAGATGAATCTTCCCGTACCTTATTATTCATTTGAGGATCATCACTAGTTATGGTAATTGTAGATATAGGGCTGGGCTCCTTATTCTTCCGGAAATTGATGTGTCTCCAGTAAGCAATAAACTCTTCTCTATACAGATAGTTTTCTGAAACATTGCCGCAAACATTCCTTTGCTTCCTTTGTAAAACAAATAGGAAGAATGGCCGAAGTACCAATAAGAATGATGTGATCATGTCCTACAATCACCCGTTCAGAACGATGCGCTGCAGGTAGCCATAATAGCGGCTTGCTATCCAATGTTATCCAAGTGCCGTCAATGCTGCGTCCGTATGACTCAAAGGTTTGACGGATTGCATCCCTTTCTGGAATTCTCCGTCTCTCGTGTGGCCATTGATCTCCAATTAGTGTTGTCACCCGTCTTTCATCAGCACGTATCGTGTCTAAATGACGGATCCCTCTACTCGTGGAGAGGGTCGAGTCGTCAAGGAAGAAGAAGTGCCCTGCGTCCATGTGAAAGGGAAAAGCGAAAGGTTCTGTTCTCCAACTGCAGATGATTGAGGGGTCGTAGGTACAAGACTCGAATATAGCCCACTTTCCACTGAGTGACAATCGGAACCGTGCATTCCATAGAGAAGGGCAGCCAGCCAACGCATAGACCTTTCGCCTAGTTCTGATTTGGTACAATATTAATATAGCGCCGTGACTTTGAACCCCTTTTCCCCATACAACTCCAAGGTGATCGCTGGAAAACGCCAATGAAGCAACACTCTGTTCAGTATCAGGAGTCTCAATAGATATCTTGGGGTTGCTTTTCGTAAGGTTCCATACAGCCACGACGCTCGGGGACTCAGAAACAGCCACCCAAGGACCTTCATTACCGATCTTGTCAGATATGGCAAGCTGCTTGCCAGTTGAATTGTGTATCGAAAGCTTTTGCAGTTCATTGTTGACGAGATTCCATGTAGATACTGATGATGAATCAACGAATGCCAGGTGCTGGCCCCCCGGCGAGATTGCCATATCCCATGAGGCTCCATGCACGACATTACTTTTGGCCAACGATGATAGGATGCTTCTTGTCGTCACATCCCAGACTTCGATCCTGTCACCCAATTCATAGACTATCCTTCGTCCATTATCAGAAACTCGAAGTTTCCCATACTCCCCTCGCATCGAAGAAGTCTGGCTAACAAAAAGAGCAGGAACATCCACGATCCAGATCTCCGACTCAGCACATAGTGCAATTTTCTGGTCATCAAAAGAAACAGAGATTCTGCACAAGGACTGCTGGGTCGGTAGACTCAAGCTTTGAAGTAGAGTTAGTTGGTCTCTATCGTACAGGAAAGCCTCTGAATAGTTTCCTATAACCATCCACGACTCAGAATACGAGAAGGCTAGAAACCTGGTTTCATGGTCAAAGCGACTCCATTCTTCGTATTTATCCTCGAAATAATCCCATTTGTAGATTGCCTTTTCATAAGTGCAAACTAAAAGCGAGTGCGTACCAGGGATGAACTTGGCGTCGTATATTTGGTCACAGTGCTCATTATAAGCCTTCTCGTACTGCGTTCCCGTTTCGAGATCGAGGATCCAAATGGTCTCCGTGTCCTCATAAAGATGGAATTGGAAGGCAACCAAGGCATAGTCTGATGAGAAGGATACCGAATATGCGATATAATTATGCTCCAGCTCCACGGGCCACTTTCGAGACACACCAGTTTTGAGGTCATAGAGTACCAATTTTTCGTTAGAACACACTGCAAGTCGGCGACTGTCAGGCGAAAAGTCCATACCTAGGACTTCGCAATGGCCAATCTTCCAAGTCCAAATAATACTTTTCAAACTCAAGTGATATAATTGGATTGTCTTTTGATGGTCATACGTCGCAACTTCGATAACAGCCAGACACTTCCCATCTGGCGACGGCGTGGGCCATATCATATCCTTATGCTCTATGAATCTAGGGATAGGCTCGTCCATGACTCGCCACACAACCGACCTTGAATCATGGGTAGCTATTACTAGCATCTGGCTTGTAAGCGAGAAGTTCATGATACGAACCTCGGTGTCGGCCTTATGCTCCAGATCTGGGATTTTGAAAGTACTAGATATTGGGCTCCAATTCGCATCAAATTCGGGGATCGCGGAAAAGATCGCTGGTGTAAGATGTTCAAATCGATGACGTACGAGGCTTCCTTTTGGGCTGAAAAGCAGACCAGATGTGTAAGCCTGGAGCGGATAGTCGTTGATTATGGGGCCGAAAGAATAAAAGAATCTAAGACCATCCTCAGTGAAGGCGAGATGGTTTGACTGAGAGCTGGCCTGCTGACAAGTAGTTATTAGGTTAGTGTTGAAATGTATGTCGGAACTCTCAACATACAGTTGGTAGGCTTTTGAGAAACAGCAATGCGTCCGCTGCCGCCCGTAGATTTCCACAGAGACTGAGTGCTTCTAACCAGAACAGGAACTTGACGGCAATGAAGTCAAACGCAGCCTCAGTACAGAAGACCTCACACTGTCTCCCATCTTCTGTATGGAGCCGGTGTGCCTCTTTCAGATGATCATTCCAGAAAGAACAGGCGTACTTTAGGTGGTCCAGAGGATCTGGATCAGGACGGTTCTTAAAAGCTTCCTGTAGCGACACGCCAGGGTAAACCAGGCGGTACATATCCTTATGTAGACATTGCAGGGCCGTAACACAGCTTTCAAAGAGGTCGCGATGATGTTTGTTAAGACCAGACGGGAAAAGCAAAATGCTTGACTCTTTGATAAGAAAGTCTTTAGCAGACTGATGAATGAATAGAATTGTCTTCTTTTTTGTTGTCAGGAAAGAACCGCACTCTGCTATGGCAATAGGAAGCAATTCCTCTTCCAAGTTCAAGTCCTCTATTGCCATTATTTCAGAAAAGGTGATAGGGCGAAAAACGGTCGAAGCGATGGCAAGAAGTCTGATATAGAGCTCGTAGCTATCAGACATGCTGATTTGATTCATCATTCGCGCATAAAGCTCGTTAAGACCCTTAGGAAATCGCCGCAGGGTAGTGCCGATCTCCCAAGGTCGGCACCGTTCTAATTGCTGACATACTAGGGCTACCCATAGAAAGGTACCCTCGGCGTTCTCACTGAGATGATCATGAATCTGTCGTTCCACCTGGGGTTTAAGCTTTTTCCTATCGACTAATATGCCGGTTCGATAGCTTATATAACTCTCTACAGCTTTGGAAACAGAGCTCTCATTAAGCTCCAGAGAGACTGAGATTCTTGATGGCGACGGTTCCAAGAACTCTTTAATCTCGTGACGGTTCCGACTACTGACAATCCACTTGGCATGGGAACATGTGCTCGATATCAACATGAGGAGGGAGGGAAGGTCCTCGAGGCATTCGTCAAGTGCGTCCACGAGTAAATATATCTCTCGGATCGCTGCATCAGCCAGGATACTGCGAAATACCTTTTCCAAAGTGATTCTAGAGTTCCAATGGTTTGTATTCGGGCCGTGCCTGTCTTTAAGATGGGAGACAAGACTTGGTTGTTGAGTGACCAATAGATAGACTAAGCCCTGTAGTATCGATGTATAGTTGTCTAAACCAGAGTTGGTGGCTTGGCAAAAGAAGTAGGATAACGAAATGCAGTTCTCTGGACTCTCCAATCTTGTGGTAGGTTGTAACTCATTGATGATGCCGGACATCAACATTGTCTTTCCTTTGCCAGGGTCTCCTCTGATCCACAAAAGCCGGGTATTCTGGTCATCGCGCCAAGAGACGAAGTCGGGATTCTTAACGATCCATGCGTAAGAATCCTTCAACAGACCACCATTAGTCTGCTCAATCCGTTCTTTGTCCTCGCGAGGGTCAGTGGAACGCAATGCATCCAGGTATTTATTGATTTCGTCTTGGCCGAAGTAGTTGGTTATACTGTAGTTGTTACCAACATGCACTCTGGAGGACTCAGCTGCTGTCAAAGACTGCACTGAGATAGAGGACTTGTTCTCCATTGAGTGTACGAATATCCGGTTATTATGACTATGTAGGTAAGATGGAGAAGTTGGGAGGGGGATGTGAGAGAAACCTGGGGCAAGTTGAGAAAGAGGGGGAGAGAAGAGGAAACAACTGCAGGCTTAATCATATGAGAGTTCCTTTTCAACCTACATGGTTATTATTGGTTGGTTGGTTGGTGTGGCCGATGCTGCTGCCCCGCTGCTTTGAACCAACACTCCTTGAGCCAACACCAACAACACTCAAATTCTAGGAAAGCCTAACACATACCAGAAAATCGCGCATTTGGCGGTATTTCGCAACGAAAACTATGGCCGAAATCTTTGGCGTTGCCGCTGGTGCTTTGAGTACTGCAGGACTCTTCAATAACTGTGTTGATTGTTTCAACTATATCCAAATTGCTCGACAATTTCGCCAAGACTTTTCCCGATACCGACTCCGGCTTGATGTTGCCAAATGCCGACTGGCGAGATGGGGAGCAGCCATTGATATCAATAACGACCCACGATTCTCTCACAGCGAGTCGACGGATCGAACAGTAGCCATAGCCCAGAGTATCCTCCAAGAGATAGTGGCTCGGTTCGAGACAGTACAGAAGATTTCCAGTCGTTATGCAAGGGACATTGAACAATCAAGCATGGAGGTTTATACAGAAGCAGACCTTGGTCCAGTGCCACGGCGCTTACACAATAACTTTCGGGCGCTCACCATTAAACGATATACTAGTGTTGGCTTATTGAAAAAGACAAGCTGGGCACTTTATCATAAGAAGCGTATGGAGAGCTTAATCGACGACATCATTGCATCAATTGAAGACTTGGAAACGACTCTACCTGCTTCTCCCGGGGCTGTAAGCCGACTAGTCGAGATAGAAATTGAGGAAGTCAATGACGAGCAGGAACTTCGAATGGTCCAAGACGTCGCTGAAGGCTTGGATCCTATCTTATATGATCTCTCAAAGGAGAAACTCCAAGAAATTACTGGTAAGAACTCAGCTGGGCGCATTTCTGGGTCAGGAGCTGTCAATATTGGCAACACTTTTGTGAAAGAATCGTTCCTACAATCGAAGGGGTTCAAAGACCACACGACCAACTATGTCAATGAAGTAGACACCGCAGAGACAGGAAGGGTTAATATTGGTAATACTTATGGTGGAAAAGGATTTTGGGACTAATACATATATTTAAAGTGTTAATGCCCTGAGGAGTTTAAACAGCCTGTTTTACTATTACAAAGCTCTATCAGACTCGTGGTAAGGCTATCGAGAAGTCTTTTGTCTTGGGCGGGTATCCAAAGGTGTCACTTCGGCAAAGGTTCACGCTGTCTTTAAATAAATATTAGTACAACATACGTATAGGAACTTTCCAGGGTCAGTAAAGAAAAGTTCCATCTAACTAAGCGTGTAGTAAGACTTTAAAAAAACGGCATGAATTCAAAATATCACCTTCTCTCCCAAACCATTTGTATTCTTCTCGAGTTGAATGGTATATTGAATTATTACCCTATAGGCCCTCTTTGAAGTGACTATTTGGGTTGCGGTTTGAGAAACTGTATAATTTAGTTTATATGCAAATCTCATGGGCTATATTTTATTAGCAACCGGCAAAAAAAGAGAGTAAAGGAAAGAGAGTTAGAAAGAGGTATTTTAGCCTAATTCACATAGGGTCTTGAGAACTTTTGCCGCCTACAAGCGCAATTTGCGCCCTGTGTGTGCAGGCTCCGACCAGCATCAAATGCATGAATACGAGGCACGGCCATTGTGAATCAGGCATAAGAGAGTGGTGGGACCGTTGAAAATCTGATTGTGTCTTCTTACATACTTTGTATTTCTTGCCGTTGCAGGGCCTTGTTGTAATCTCTTGGCATCGAGAAATTTCTTCCCTCATAAAATGTCAAAATCTGGGAAATCGGATGGGAGTTGCCTATCGGCTTTAACATATGGGTTATTAAAAAGTAAGGGAAAATACCCCCGGATAACTCCTAGGCTTTATAACAGGTAAATACCTCAGGCTCGCCAACTGCCATAGTCAACTATGCAACGAACTCGGAGTCAGATCTGCTATCAACTCTGTCCCTAAATCCGGCTCCTTATAAAACCGCCGCTGACAATAATTTTGTAGTTGTCGTGGTCGGCGCAATCAGAGGCTTTGGAGCTGAGTAAACAATAACTCCTGTCCGCGTCCCATTTGGGAAGCTTACGCAATTCGATCATCTCCCAGTCACCTCACTCGCAGTGAGAGGAGTGATGGTCTCGGGAGATGGCCTTCCAGTTCCTGACATCAGCAAAGCCAGATGCCGCCGGTACAAGGACCAGTATGGTCTCCAGCTCGGCAGCGTTGAGTTCAAGAAGGGGAAGAACGCGGACATTTCTACTAATGATGTTGACTTTGCTTGGGTTTTGTGTCGTGTTGAAGAGTAATGTTAGGTGTTGTGGAGGGAATGTGCAGCAAGTGCCTGGATTTCAAACTTGAATCTGAGTGGGCTGCCGAGGTGAGGTTTGATGAATGGGATCACGGAAGTCTGGACACAGATAAAGATATCCCTCTTATTTATATATGTAATATCTGGGATTTATTTACACTCTATTAGGATCAAGTCACAACATTACACTCCTTAAGACTATTATATTATTTCATCACCTTTTTATTACTTATAATACTCCGGAGAGAGAGGGTCGTAGCTAGAAGTAAATCACTTAAAGCGCGGGATATAATACGTGTTTACAAGCTTTCCTTCTTATCTCTATCGACACGTTATCTATGTAGAAGCTGAGTAAGTGGTTGGCTTATTAGTTAAACGGGCATAAGAAATACTCCCCCTTAATAACTAAGCTAGGGCCTGTGTACACCTCATTGCGCCTAGACAAGGTGCCCATGTTTGTCTGCTGCCTGTAAAGGCCTGTGATCCATGGTCCTAGGGCTATCATGCATGATGATACAAATGCCGAACAAGTATTCCAACATTATTTCTTCCTAGCTGTAAGAAGCATCTGAAGCTCAGGGGCATCCAGAGTGAAATGGTCTTCAAGCCATTTGAGGAACGCCAATTTTGATGAAGCTCCCTCGCCAGCAAGGCAGATATCGAAGCGATGCAAGATAATACACGTAGCGTAACCCACTTCCATGAGACCCAGTTGCTTACCCATGCATGCATAGCGTCCTGGACAATGTGATTAACCATAAGAATGCAACAAATGATATTGCAGACACGCTTAAGACTTACCAAATGAGAATGGAGCAAATACCGAACCGTCCTTTACCATCTCTGGGTTTGTCGTCCAGCGCTCTGGGACGAAGTCATCAGGAGCGGTGAAGTACCGTTCATCTATTAGCCAGGTTAACTTAAAACTGTACATCGAAAGGTAATTTACTCATCATATTGTGTTGCATACCTCGATATAGCGTGTAGGATGGAACAGTCACTATGGTATCTCCAGGGATGAAGATGTCACCGACTCGTAGCCCTTCTGGAGGTGTCATACGCTGCAACCCAGAGGGCACTGGAGGAAAAAGTCGGAGTGTCTCATCAATACATGCTTGTAGGTATGTCAACTCGGAAAGTTTCGAGTGATTAGGTAGTGAAGAGCTGGAAAATAAGTTGTCGATCTCCTCCTGAAGCCTGATGCACGCATCATTGTTCGTAGCCAACAGGTAAAAACAGGCAAGTCAGTGTTACAGATGTAGTGTCACTAACACAGGTTAGACTAAAGACATGACCACGCATGCACTGTCGTCTCACCTTCCAGCAACAGCTATAAGCTGCATATCAGCTTGGAGGTTCAGCCAATCCTGTTCTTTTGGATTCATCTTGGATTTATAATCTTCAAGGAGCCACGAGAAGATATTAGGAAGATCAGGCTTATTCTATCCCGTCGAATCAGTTTTTGTTCGGAGGGTTATACATTGTCATGACGTACCAGTTCTTGATGTTGAACTTGATCGCCAAGCCATTTCTGGAAGATAGCATCTTCCCGACCAAGAAACGGCAGCGCTCTGAATAAGGGAAACATCCAGATCAATTGACTAAAGGTACCGGCTATTTCCATATGCGACTCAACCAATGCCATGAATGGATGCTTAACGCCGCCTGTTAGCATGTTGAAGCTCTGACCAAAAGCCAGGTCACCCATGGTGTCGAAGCTGTAAAACTTGAACCACTTCGCAATGTCAATAGTTGTGGCTTGGCTCTGTTCTAGTCGATTGAGTAATTGGCTGGTATATTTGACAACGCGGGGCTCGTAATCTCGGAGGGCTATGCGAACTAGTTAGTCCTGATGTTTGTCAAAGCTTGATAGAGGCTTTTCGGAACTTACCCTTTGAGCTAAACGCCCTGTCCCAAGCTCGTCGTCTACGAGAATGATCGTTCTTATCGCGCGACATGTGGAGAGAGATGGCCGGCTCTTCGATATTGTACCAAGGTCCCTTGCGGCAGGGCGAATTGTTGGCGTGTATGGCATGGAAGGCCTTTGCATCAAGGATCGATAGTGCTGAAGGCCCTACTCAAGATTAGAATAGCTCTGGAGGTATAAGTTGAGGTTATTGTCACTTACCTACTCGCACAATATCCCCATATATTCTATGGAGGTTCTGGATCTCTTTGTAGAGCTGGAATCGGGCGACGGAACGCCTGGTGAGATATAAATTGGAGACTTTGGCCATGAGAGGACCCGGAAACTGGTACAAGCGATGAAAGAAGCAGATGCGATAAAGGAATATGCTGCAAAAGGTCCCTAAAACCATCAAAGACACCATGTATATGGATGCTATGGTAGATTCGAAGACGCTGTACGGCGACCCAGCCTCTGTAGTTCCCAGCCTCTTGAAGCTCAGTGCCAGGAGAACAATGACTATGAGAAGTCCTTGTAGTATCTTGATGGTGTAAAGATCCCACTCCCACTTGCTGAATATTAGAATATGGGCAAGTATTCCGGATGAAAGCCCGGTTCCGATGGCCAGTGAAGTCGGATGCATTGTCGAAGCAGCATTAGATTAGACGCAGCGTCAGAAGGACTCGGGGCAATACCGACGGGTAGGTTATAAAAGACTTGGTGATATTCGGGATGATAGGATTCCGGTCAACAAAAATACTAACAAGGCAACCAAAGACTCCTTTCCGTTGGGCTTGTTAAATACATCGAAAAATACAGAAAGGTAGAGCTTCGCATTGCCAGATATTGCAGACATGGAGAATAGACGACAGACCCAAGCACACTGGTCTCACCTCCAAGGTATTACTACTCAAACCAGCTGATTCGCCCCTCTTAGGGACAAATCGGGAGCTAATTTGATGTGATGGTATGGATTGGGCTAGATCTGCCTTGTGTAAGCGAGGAGCAAGCTGGTGAAACAATAGCCGCAGGGATGAAATCAAGACTGGTGAAGGGTTTTGTCTGACATAGCATGATATCAAGGAACTTCGGCATTTTAGCTTCATCTTTCTAGGGTGACCTGCGTTAATCGACGTTGATACTCTCGGTAGCTCCATTGTCACTTCATGCGTTGCCACCTGCCGATTTCATGGCTCCGATTCCATGTCAGAGAGCTTGGTGTCTAGACATAACGTGTATAGATAGTGAATAAAAGCAGATAATACTCGAACTTTACCAACACATCCAATTGACGGTGTCGAAGAAACGCGACATTAATAACCTCAGCTTGCGTGTAATACAATATACAACTAGCGGCAGTTAACCACGGAACGTCATTCCGAGCGATTTACCGATTACTGACATGCATGGCTATCAGGACCCCTGTCCGTCTATCCCTGATCGGCCTTGTCGAATCTTAATTGCTAATACCCCTGTTAGCCGGCTTATGAAGCCGTGACAAAGTTTCCATATACGGTGTTATGCATATAATAGTTTGCGGAAGTACTCCGTGCTTGTCATGGAACGCTGTGATGAGGGTGTCATGAGAAAACTATCCGTACTTCCTATCATGTTAAGGATCGGAACGAGAGCATCGGTACGAGCTCGTTTATGAGTCTATTCAATTTACAAGAAGCGCGTAGTTATGGGATATATAAAATGCCAGAATTGGATCTCGACTATATAAGGTCCAACGAGATCTGTTCCGCCACGGGATGTTTTATTAACTCACCTCCTCGGGTTTTCGTTCAAGATATCATTTTTTTTAACTTTCGTAAAGATGCAAGCCAATCAGAAGCTCTGCATTGCTATCTTCGGCCCTACTGCGTCCGGAAAGACTAAGCTGGGCGTTGCCATTGCAAAGGCCTTTCCGAGCGAGGTCATCTCCGTGGATAGCTTACAGTGTTACAAGGCAGGAAGCATTCTCACCGCCAAGCCTACCGTTCAAGAGATAGATGATGTTCCTCATCACATGGTCGATTACCTTGAGGCTGATGAGGAACCTCATGACTTTGTGGACATGGCTGCAGATAAGATGGAGGAAGTCACAAATCGAGGGAAACTCCCCATTCTTGTCGGCGGCTCAACATCTCTCGCAATACCCTTGCTGCATGAGGCACTTAAGCGTCAGTATCGGTTCATTGCAGCAACCTTGATACCACGTCAATCTGCATACTGGCAGTTCATCCAAGTTAGAGCCAGCGAGATGCTCGAGAGGGGTCTCCTTGTCGAACTCGAGGAGCTGAGAGATCTTCAGCAGAGTTTGCTTGATGACAACGCATGCTTTCATAAGGGCGTGTGGAAGGCCATAGGGTACCAAGAGTTCTATCCATATCTCGAAGCAGACATGTCATGCAGCGCCCGTCAGTCGTCATTCCAGAGGGGTCTCGCACTCATGAACGCCAACACTTTGCAGTACGGCTTCCATCAGCTCGAGTGGATACGTTCCATCCTGAACCCTTTCCTTCAACAAGCTGGTGTAGTATGCATGAGCCTCCCTGTCACTAACAAGGCTTCCTGGACGTTGGATGTTGAGATACCTGCCATATCCATGCTCAACGAGCTTTGCTACAGCTTTCGAACTATCAGACTCTCCAACAACGGCACATTGAACTCGAACTCCAAGTCTCGAGTCGTTTCTCTATTGTAGCCCCCCCCCCCCCCCCCCCCTTTTCTCGAATTGTTGAGATTAAGCTGACCTTCACCAGTGGCGGATCTTCGTCGGGTAATGATCCGAAGCACATCCAGGCTGCCAAGAATCTGGCTTTTGCTCTGCACAGTAATAACTACAAGCTCGTCTACGGCGGTGGAACCACTGGGATCATGGGCGCCATTGCCAGCACTCTGGTTCAGCTCTCGGGCCCAAGTGCCGTCCAGGGCATCATTCCCGTCGCGCTCGCAAAGTACGAAGAGAAACTCACAAAGAAAAATGCAGATCCGTCAAAGTTCGGAAGCCGGACCGTTGTGAAGGACATGCACACACGCAAGAGACTCATGATCGACGCAGTCATTGGCGGTGCCCCTGGTAGCGGCTTTGTCGCTCTTAGCGGCGGATATGGCACTTTAGAGGAACTCCTTGAAACGACGACTTGGTGCCAGCTCGGTATACACCAGTGCGGTATCTGTGTCTTTGACGTGTGCGGGTTCTACAAGGGCTTGCTAGATTGGGTTGATCAAGCTGCACAGGCAGGGTTTGTTGGCACAGAGGATGTTGATATTCTGAGAATTGCAACGACAGCCGAGGAAGTCATTGGATATCTCGGTAGTCAAAATGGGCGTTATTCGCGAATGGGTGAGCTTGAGTGGGATTAGATGCTTGTTGATGGGGACGGAGGGGTGACGTACAGATAGCATTACATTGCATGGGAGCATTACGATGTGTCTCTCACCTGTCGCACTGCATAGATCTTCCGCCTTTCTTAGCTTTACAACTCAATAGTAACTGGGATGGCCTAGGAGACGTAGATATTGTGTAACCTTTCCAGACATCGAGATGGTGGCGTAATCTCATAAGTCCCGTCGCCTGTAGAAGCTCGTGTATTAGCTCACCACTCCTGCTAGCCGTGACTTACTGTCACAAATACTGGATGCTGCCGTGCTCACACAGGATGGGCCTCAAAATCTTCCGTCTTCGTTGCATGATGACTTGTGAGCCTGGCCAAACTTTGGGGTTACCTTGCTCGGCCCGTTCTCCGATTGTGCTCGGAACAGATCATACGCTTTTGAGTTTCTCGGAAGTACTTATCAGATATGCAGGAGGTCCGGGTATAATATGCCAGAGCGGGCTAGGTTTGATGACCGGGGTAATGGATGATTAGCAAGCAGAATAACATAGCCCGACTAATCAGGGCCATGCCCAGTAATTAAAGGCTTTTAGGTACAGGTCTTAACTGTGAACAACAAATCCTGCCGGATTGCTTATATCGTGCTGCGCCAAAGGAATGGATTTCCAGAAATAAATCTATTGAGCCTACATTTGAGGCAGAGTAGTGCTGGACCATGAGTCTTGATCCATTTTATGGCATCAGTTTTATTAGTGATACTAGATCACGACATGATGGATCTTGTATCCCAGGTAAGAGGGTTGAGCCCTTGGTATTTACGGATATATTAGAGCTGGACCCTCTAGAATTGGCAGGGCCCATCCTCACAAGGGATCAGGCATTAAGTAAGTACAGCATTCCCAAAGCCTCCCATATGCTACGGCCTATAGGAATATTCCATGCTGAACCTCAAGATCAGGAGATAGGTCTCGTGACACAATCATACATCCCGAGGTGCTTGAAGACTCTGAGGCAAACGTCGATATCGCGCAACCGGCATTGGAGCCGGATAGCATGTATAACAACCTTGGTACATGGACTATGGGGATAGACGAGGCAACATTCCGTCTTACAGACTACGATCTATGTTCTACTCTGGGTGACCAGTCTCCTCTGAGCTTCTTGCTTTGGTGATTGCAATGGTGAAGCCATGGTGCCACCTTGTAATCCACCTCTGTCGTCCTTGTTTCTGGATGATTATCCTTCCAGAGGTTTGTGGGCAAGAACAGATTGATCCAGGACTTAATAATTGTAGATAAGGACGTTCGCTGTTCATATGTTTAAATACGAAAAAGAACAGTCTCGCCTAATAAAGACAACACAAGGAGGGCTTGGCTGACTCTATCACCAGGTTGTCAGCCTTGGTTGTGAACGCCATGTAGGCCTAAGCACCGGCATTCAAAGAAGAGCGCCTGGTCTGAGAAGGCTCACCAGTATTCTGTCAGCGCAATGCAGTAACAAATTGCAGCTCATGGATCGGCATACATAGATATCTCTATTAAGACAAGCAGTTTACAACTTACTCTTACCCTGGCTCGTAACCTTCATCAAAGCCAATCCATTGCTCAAAACAACCTTGCCACCGGCGACCTGCGTAACAAATCTCACCTCGGCCCAACCGTCCTGGTTGACCCCCGTAACCCACGCATGCGTAACCAGCTTGTCGCCCGGCCTCACCGGACTAGCAAACCTCGCTTGGTACTCCTTGATGTTGGCAGGATCCCCACCACCCAGCTCCTTCAACAGTGAATGAGCCGTCGAGTTCCACGAGTACAGCCCATGCATAATTGTCCCTCCGAAACCCATCTTCTGCCCGGGCTCAGGATCAGCATGCAGCGGGTTGTAATCGCCATTCAACCTGTACAGAAGCGCCGTCTCGGCGTTGGTCTGGACCTCAATCGTAGCATCAGGAGCCTTCCCTTTTGGTGGAGGGTAGTTCTCCGTGGCTGGACCCTTGGGACCCCCCCAGTTGCCCTGGCCAATGAAGAAGCCACTGCTGGTGACACGGGTGTGCACCTCGCCAGACTCTACGTCTACAAGGTCAGTCTGCGTCTCGAGCACAGTACCGGGGCGACCCTTGTCGTAGACGCCGATGACCTTCTGGCGGGTTTCGAAGTTGCGGCCGGCGGAGGTGGTTGGGAGGGGTTTGAGGAATTGGATCTTCCGCTGGCCGTCGACAACGCGCGTGTAGTCGAGTTTGGGGACACCGGGGATCTGAACAGCTTTGCTCTCCTTGTAGTAGTCGACTACTTCCTGGGAATCCTTCTTGAAGGCTGTGATGGGTCAATGATTGGGGCTGTAGGCTCAAGTAGCGGGACTTACGAAGGATGACGGGGTAGGTAGGGAAGACGGCGAATTTAGGATGGAACTCCTGTGTCTTGTCAGTACGAGCTCAGTGTTTCTAGGCAGGATCGCGACGGACGTAGAGGAAGTGTAGCTCATCAGCAGTAGCGCCGATGGTGTTGGCGAAAAGTAGGACATCGCGCTGCAGCCACGTAACCTTAACAGGCGGGTATTCAAAACCAACACCGGGACCTGACATAATGAGTGATTTAGAATGTGTGTATGTGAGTATGTGGAAGAATAATGGAGGAGAAAATAAAGAGGAGACAGATGGGCTATATACCCCGGACTTAATTAGTAGCCAAGTGGAATCAACCGAGGTTTGCGGGGTGTGGGGAAGGGTAGTTAGTCTTAGTACCCCGGACTTGATTGGTAGCCGAGTAAAATAAACCGAGGCTTGCAGGGTATAGGGAAGGGAAGACATTCTTAGTAATGAGCTATTGTAATTAAGATTAATTAGAGTTTATAACTGCTCTTCTATTAGTTATATAAGTATATATCTTAGTTATATAATGTTTTTATTATGGCTCTGGTATACTAAAATAGTCTTTTTAAATCTCTATATGTTACTATGTAAAATATAGATTTTAATTAAAATAACTATTAGATAAGGCTGTCTAGGACCTAACGCCTTGGCCGGGATAGTAAGAACAAAATGTCTTTAGTTAATATAGTAAAACAGCATTTGAATTTCGATTTTCTAGTTAACACAAGGTGGGCTGATGAATTAACAAGGCACAGCCATTGATAAGCAGCTTATGATAACGTTGCGACTTAACAGCTGACATATGCGAAGATACGACAATTAGTCAGGCACAACTTCTTCGCATCACGTAATCTTCAACTTGGAGCTGTACTTATAAGCAGGCCCAAAGAACTCAGTATTTCTACCAACAGAATAGCATTGAGATATCAAACAGATCATGACTACTACAAAAGCTCTCGTTAATATTCGCCCCGGCCATGCTGAGGTTCAGGATATTCCTGTGCCAGCGCTTGAGCCCGGTTACATTAGAGTCAAACCCACCGCGTGGGCTACCAACCCAGACGATGCTTACCACCTTGATCTAGAAGGTGATGAGAGTTGTGTTGGTGCCGTTGTAGGAACGGACTATGCAGGTGTTGTTGTAGAAGTTGGACCTGGAGTGAAGAGGGACTTTAAAGTTGGGGACCGAATTGCTGGCGGTGTTAGCGGGCAGTATGTAAAGCCCTTGAGAGATTGGTATATGGCCAGTATTGACACATTTTTTTAGGAATATTCTGCGGAAACATGATGGTGCTTTTGCGCACTTGATACATGTTAAGGGAGACATTCAGATGAAGATCCCTGATAACATGAGTGACCAAGATGCTGCAACACAAGGCGTTGCGCTCATCACTATGGTATGCCAAAGTTCCTCCCATCCAAAATCACATTCTCATGCACATTCTGTAGGGCGTTGGCTTATACCAGCATCTGCATCTTCCCCTCCCTGGTGCACCAGCAAAGGAACCCTTTCCTTTCTTTATCTATGGTGGCAGTACAGCCATGGGAATAGCCGCAATACAGTTTGCAAAGCTCGCTGGCGCTATAGTCATTACTACTTCGTCACCCGGAAATGCAGACTATGTCAAGTCCTTGGGAGCCGACCATGTCCTCGACTACAAATCCGAAACTCTGGTCGACGACATCCGCAGTTTATCAGGCGGAACTCTCCTCCACGTCTTCGACACCCACCCCAACTCGACCAGCACCGTCATATCCGCAGCAATCCTCCAACAATCCCCCACCGCAAAATACGTCTCCCTCAACCCCGGCCCCGAACACGAAGTAAGACGCCTCAACCCTCACGTCACCGCCGAATCTATCCTCGCATACTCAGCCACAGGCAATCCATGGATGTACGAGAATGAGTTTTACGAGGCTGTACCAGCAGATTTTGCATTCCAGAAGAAGTTTGTCAAAGTGGCTGAGAAGCTGTTCGAGGAGGGACTAGTCAAGCCGCCGCGTGTTTTTCTGAATAGAGGGGGGAGTGGTTTGGAGGGCGTTTTGAAGGGACTGGTTGAGATAAGGGAGGGGAAAGTAAGTGGCGGGAAGCTTGTGTATACGCGGGATTGAGGATTATTAATCTTTGAGTTTGGGATGTTGATCTTTGATGATCAGAATAACATTGACGTAAATTGAGTTAACGGGTTAGATATGAAACATTACTAGTGACTAGGGTTTCTACTAAAAAGCCAGTCCTGCCGTCGAGCTCGTTATGCTATCTGAACAATGATAATCGTGAACCTGTGCAGGTGAAGTCGCAACCGTTGTCTCAACTGTCCTCACGATCCCACTTTGACTCATACTCATACGCCCTTGGAGTTGCATCTCAATGGAGCTATCGCGGTCACCAGCCTGTGTATGGGTCGTGTTGTTTCCGGGAAATGCTCCATGGACACCTGGATGGGAATGGGTGGCCGATGGCTTGGTTATGGTATTTGTTGCCATGCTTTTTGCATGGTTGGCGCTGGAGTGATGGTAGTAAGCATTGTCTTTGCCTGTTGCGCCGGATGACCGGACGATCTTTGTGATGAGTTCGGCCATTTTCATTTCAATTTGGAGCTTGAGTAGGTAGCACACTGGGTGGAATGAGAGATAACTGTGGACTGTCAGTCAAGGTCTGCTGAGAATCGAGGCACTTACACCAAGCTACTTGGCAAAGACATGAGACCAACCAGCACAACCTGGAATATGTCAGTTGTTGAGAAGATCATGAGAAATCACTCTACTTACGTCTAATGAAAGAGAAACGAAAATTAGAAACAGATTCATCCGATAGAGAGGGATATACTTCGTCAACCCATTCTCAATAAGCCTTGACCGAACGAGATAAATGAAATATGCATTTAATGCTCCATCCACCAGCGCAAATATGACTTTCTCACATCTGTCCCAAATATTGTTCAGCCAGATCCATTGGTCATTGATCTGCAGGCGCGCTGGCATCCAAATGATAAAGACGCTGATGTTGACTGCTAAGATGATTGCAAATACGATCCATTTGAGACGGTTGGCTCGGCCTGGAACAGCCATCAGGAGACCGAGTCGGTTAAGGATGATCTGAAGAAGGAATTGGACTTGAATGGCCCAAAACAGAGCTGAATTTTGTTAAGTGGTTGTACGTAGGTGAAGGGAGAGACGCACCAACGGAGAAGTAGAAGCCAAAGCTATATTGCAATCAGTAAAAATGAACACTATGGTAGGAAGGATAACATAAACTTACCTTGGATCGATGTACTGCCGTTGAAACCCCCAAGCCAAACATCCAAGGACCATACTGCTGAACCAAACCGCCCAGATCATAGCGACATAAGATGTCACCCGTCGACACCTCTTCCATGCCCTCCAACTCTGCTCCGATGCTTTGGCAACTGAAAACACTGCGGCGCCTAGAGAAAAGCCCTAGAATATGCTGGCGGTATTCATGTCGACTTCTCCGGGAACTTCACGGACGTACCTGTCCGGTATTAAAAAGCCGTATTGACCCATACTGGAGATTCATGAATGAAAACAATAGAGAAATACGGCCAAACGCGGGGAGTCCCCATGATGAGGAGAATGGGTTTGTTAAATATTGCATGTTGCATTCTCCATTTCCTTGGCCATGGCCAGGGAACAAACACATGGCTATTGCACTAATACATAGATCGAACTCAAATCCGGAGTAAAACTCAAAAGTCCAGCTCCAAGCAAACGATCAAGCCACATTACAGCGAGGCTTGTATAGATACCACTAGAACAAACAAATGATGCGCTGTTTCATGTAGTTGGACTTATTCGGATAAAGGTAATTGACAGATCGGAGACAGAAACAGATCATGGCGCTGAGACTAAGACCAAGCCGGGCGTGGTTTCAGGGTTCCCCCAGATCTGCGGAAGGATTGTGATCGACGGCTGAACTTTGATAACCTATGAGATTGAGAGCCATGTGAAGGATTTATCGGTACTTGATTGATGGCTTTTAACTTACCGAGGTCAGCTTGGGGTATTACGTATGTTGGCATCAAGGTTGGTTTCTTATTGAAAGTTCGATGATGGTATTGCTCGGATGTAAGACGGAGTTCAGCTGATTGACATGCTGCAGGCGAGAAGTTTAATGTTGTTCATTTCAGTGCTGAGGGCCTGCAGGTACAGGGAAACTTTTGATATTGCCTGTTTCAAAACCAGCCCATTCTCAATTACCGCGTCTGACAGTTTCATGTAGAACGTCAATTGGTATCACAGCTCAAGAATAGGGACTAAGTATCAGATGATGGATATAGCGCTAAATTATTATAACCAGGATCCATTAGCCCCGCTTGTAAGGCAGAGTCTTAACATCGTCAGCCAGGCTGACTTGATCTTACTCACCGTAATCACAAAAGATGGCATCACCTGAAGAAATCGCAGGGACATGGCTCCTCAGCCTCTGCAGCCGTAAACCCTCAGCAGAAAGAGATCAACTCCTCACCAATCTCGAGAAAATAAAACTCGACGAATTCTTCGCTCTGCATGGAAGATCACCCGTTTTCAAGACGTACCACGTCGAAGCCGTGCGTAGGTGCCTGGCCAAAGAGCTGAGGGTGGATTATCCGCTGGCACGTGCGCTGCTGGAGAAGGATGATGCAGGTGATTTGTTTGTTAGGGAGAGGGATTTGTTGCAGGTTGCGATTAATAGGGCAAAGATTGATCCGGGGTTATTGGGTGAGGACCCGAAGAAGTCGAATCCTGAGCTTTTGGAGATGGTCAAGTTGCTTATAGCTCATGGGGCGGCGGTGAATTGCTTTGATGACGAGGGATATTCGCCGCTTGTTTATACCTGTATCTTGGGGTATGAGGAGCTCTCCCGCTTCCTGATCGAGTCTGGAGCAGATATCTCGACGGTGCAGGAGCGCAGGGGGCCAGAGCAGCTTGTCAAGAGACGAAAGGCCGCCAAAGCTGGAGAGCCTTTGGATCCTGCAGAAGATGAGCCCAAAGAACAGGTCAACCTTCTTCAGGTTACTCTTGACGCTTTGATCTCTCCCCAAGAGATCGTCGACATGACGTGGGTTGGTTGGCCTCCTGGTGTTAACTTCGACACACCCTTGTGGGATCTTGATATCGAAGCTACCTGGGGTGGCATCATTATGTATCTTCTGGAGCAGGGTCTTTCATGTCCCAAAGATGATGCGGGGTTAGTGATGATGCTTCATATTGCTTGTCGCAAAGGAGCGCTGGAGTTTGTGAAGAAGCTTTTGGCTTATGGTGCCGCTGCTGATGTCGCTGGCCCAAGAATGGTTGATGGAGGACAAGGCGAGGGCTCGACTTTCGGAACAGCGATGCATGCTGCAGCCGCAGGTCGCAACATCGATATCGTTTTGACTTTGATAGAACATGGCGAAAGTGCCAGCTGTCGTCGACACTGCATTTTCGACCACAGAAGCACAAAGGGAAATCTGACGCCCATCGAAGTTGCTATAGCATCAGATCGTTTTGGAAACGATGAAAACCTTCTCGAATTTCTGGAGGCGTTCATGGCACACGCGAGCGATCTTGAAAGTTCTGACTACCAGGCCGTGCTGAGATATTGCGCGCAGAACAATGAGCTTGATGCAGCCAAACGGCTTTTAGGCAAGGGAATACGACTCGAAGAAGTGCCAACCTGGGTTTCAAGCGTTGATGTGGCAAAGTTGCTTGTTTCATATGGTATCAAGCTTGATCCGGGGGCGTTGCAGGAGAAAGCCCTGAAGAGAGGAAGACTGAGTCTCCTTCGCTGGTGTGTTAGTGAGTACGGTGCATCGCTACCTGATGACCCCAAGTCGTGGGGGGAGATGGTAACGTGGCTTCTCTCCTCCGGTGCAATGCATCATGAGAAGACAAGATATCTTATCACGGAGTATCCCGGTCCGCATATCGACACGGTTCTCATCTCAAGACGACGTCTCCATCGTGAAAATCTCAAAGCAAAGAAGACGAGCTGGCTTCATACCGCTATCATCAAAAGTAATTTGCCGGTTGTCAAGATGTTGCTGGAAGCGGGGGCTGATGTAAAATGTCCTGGGTTATATGTTGATGCACCCACTGCGATGAGGAAAGGTGGTCGAGGGTCGTTCCGAGACGTTGAGGAGAGACTTGAGATTGTGAGGGTGTTGGAGGAGAAGCTCTCCGGTGATGAGGAGTGGAGTATGCCCTCTTATGAAGAGGTGAGGAGGCGTGTTGCGCAGACCGTGGCGCTTGAGAGGCGAGCTTGGGATGAGAAAGTTGAGAGTATGGTCAAAGGTAGACAGGAGGTCCCTTACGCAACTCTGCAGAGCGTAGATGACTCAGTACCATCTTCTCCTTTGGGAGTCATTTCTTCAGCAGATGTTTATCAGCCTCTAAGCAGCAGCAGCTCCTTTAGACTTCTCGAACTACTCCCGTCGAGCAACCGGACAGACCCTCTTGTCGGACGCTTAGTCGATAGCGATATTACGTTTCAACCCGACTACGAAGCTCTTTCCTACGTCTGGGGAGACATAACACCAGTCAGGTATATCAACCTCGGCGATCAAGATATCTCAATCACGCCAAACCTTCACTCAGCACTGATCCACCTACGATCTCCCGACACTATCCGAACACTCTGGGTTGATGCCCTATGTATCAACCAATCCGTCCACGGTGAACGAAACCAACAAGTCCGCATCATGGGCGACATCTACAAATCAGCCCGTCAAGTCGTAGTATGGCTCGGCGACGCAGCCGATGATTCCCATCTCGTATTCCAACATCTCAACGACGAAAGTATCCCCGACTCATTCCACAATGATTCAACTCCACCACAAGATAAACGCCACGCTTGGAGTGCCCTCGTCAAAAGACCGTGGTTCTTCCGCACATGGGTGATCCAAGAAATCGCCCTTGCGAAAAGAGCCGTCATGATGTGTGGAGAGGACTCGACGCTGTGGAGGAACGTTGATGTGAGTTGGAAGCCAGACTTTTCAGGTGGTGCGAAGGGACTGTCGACTTCGCGTGGCAAAGAATGTGATCACCCGATCGAGGGGTTTGATCCGGATAGTCACGTTTGGAGTCTGAGACTTCTTAAGGTTGGGAGCGATCCAATGAGTATTCTGGGGTATAGTCGCGTTTGTCAGACTACTGAGATTCGGGATAAGATCTATGGTATTTTGGGTTTATTCGAACCAGGTTTCATACCCGTTGACTATGATCTACCAGTGGAAGATATCTTTCGTCAGTTCGCACAGGCTGTGCTCATTCTCACTAAAGACCTTCGTATCCTGAAGCATCTCGGCGCAAGGCGCAGCTATCCAAATCTTCCATCCTGGGTTCCCGATTTCACAGATACTTCGACCAAGAGTCTTCCTGAGGAACATTGGTACGCACCGTATCGTTATGACGCGGAGGAGCATTACGATGTTCGATGTATGGATGGAACGCAGTTCAGTTTTCCTCGTGCTAGTCTTGGTAGGGAGTATCTCCCGGGCTTAACGTTCTCGAAATATCGGAGTTTGACGATTAAGGGAAAGTTGGTTGATACGATTCGTGAGATTGGACCTGAACTTGAAGATGGAATTGATCATGCACCGGGAACTGAGGGTTTTGCGAACGTGATGAAAGAGTGGGAAACTCTGGCTGCGAAACTGGTTCCTGAGTGGAAGGCTCATGAGTCTTCAGTTAGCAAGGCTTTTGCGACTACGCTTACAGCAACTCATGGCTCTGAACTCTTCAGTGTTGGGGTCGGTTTCACATGGTGGTATCGACACTGCGGCACAGGAGTCCTCGAATCAACCGATCCATCCATGTTTCTTCGCGATCACGAGTTCTACCTCTGGTGGTTAAGCGTCGGGAAAGACTCAGAAGAAAAGAACCCCGACTCAAGTTCTGAAGAGGAATCAAACGAAGAACACAAGGTCATTGGCTATGATCTCGAAGAGTTTTCCGAGACGCTCACCTTTGCGAGTTACGGTCGGTGCCTGTTCACGAGTGAGAAGGGGTCGTTGGGACTGGCGAGTCCGAGAGCGAAAGCGGGGGATCGAGTTGTTTACTTTCCTGGTTCGGCTGGACCTTTTCTGTTGAGGAAGAAGGAGGGTGGGGGGTGGACCTTGGTGAATGATTGTTATTTGTATGGGCTTGATTTAGACATGCTGTTTCATGATGCGGAGCATTTAGTTGAGGATTTCGAGATCTACTGATGTCAGTTTAGAGTAACAAGTATCTCTTGCGGGCAGATGCAACTATCTAGATGATTACTAGTCTTAAGGTTAAACCTTAGGCTGCCTTCAAAAACATCGTCTTTTATTCAAAGGCAATTGCAGTATTTAAACCACTCTTCCTTGGATTTGAAA